GAAGTTGTTAATAATTAAAATATAAGACAAACCTAAGAGTGCCCCTTGAATCAACACCTGATTTATGAAATGGTAAGTTATTACACTAAAATAACAATAACCTTAAACAATACTTTTGATGATCAGCCTCTATATAAATTATGTAGATTGAGCATTTCTTTTAGTAATGACCCTTGATGGTTTAATGTGATATTGTAAATTCCTTCGATTGTTACAAAGTGTATAATTCTCAAATTTCCTATCTAAATAACAAGAATCAAGCAAAGGGTTCTATTTTCAATACCTAAAAATTACTTTAATTAAATTGGAACTTATTATAAACTTATATATTTAATAATGGGAGTAATCTGCAATTAAAATTTTACTATTTGCACTAAATATCTTCTTCGAAGAATTTCTTAAATAAATGATTTTATCTTTCTAACTGACAACTAGGAAAATAAGTAGGACATGTTATGAGGATAATTGAAAAGCTGGGAACCTTTCTTAAGTTAAAATTATCTAAAGCATAAATCAGTTTTATGAAAGCATTGAAACTAGTGGCATAGGAATATTAAATGGTATTTTATGGCTATTATTAAGTTACAATAAATGCATAACTTTTGTGCATTTGAAAGAATATTCATATTCAGATTTTTGAATATCCATCCCAAAAGTTAGTGTCCCAACCCTTTTTAAATCTTCATAGTAAAGAGATATTTCTCAAGCCCATAACTATATATTTGATATAATTTTAAGACACATGAATGTAGAATCTGTTCAAATTAATGAATCGAATTCAAAACTACTGGTTGAATTAAATTATTAATATATTATTTAGGATATTAAAAAAATTAAATATTTATTCATTCTTTTTTATTGAAGAATTACTCAAATTTCGAAGTGCTATATTTCTATTATAATATTATAATTTTCTATTGAAGCCAAGAAACCATAATATAATAATCAAATTAAAAAAGTAAATAATACATTAAATGAGCAAACAGAATGAGATTCTATTGCAGTCTTGGAGAATTAGATCAGTCCCGATATGCATTGTAGCATCAAGCCGTTTCTACTTATCTAGAAAGATATTCAATTCAATTTAACAATAATAGGGAAAGTTAGATCTTCTAGCATTATACTATTCAAAGAAGTAGAGCATTGAGGTCTTGAACAAGTAAATGTTTTAAGCCAAATTTTTTTATTATTTAACTTCGTAAAGAATTGTAATTGGAACTCCAAATTTAGATTCAAAAATTTTTTTGAATAGAAAAAAATTTTCTCTTCGTCTTCTGTGCTCCAAAGATCAAAGTTGAATTCTCAAAAGAGGTTGGACTTCTTTTATTGCTCCTAAATACCACTATTCGACAGCTGATGAAAAATTATGCTCATGTAGATTAGGAGATCTTACAAGTGTTTATGTCTCATAAAGTGATATTGTTACAAACTTAATGGTATCTATCTTATCGTGCCTTCCCTAAAGAATTGAGGTAGATCTTTAGTAAATTTTAATGAACAGGTTGCCTTCTGATCAGTTATTAAAGGAAAAAGTCGGCTGATGTTAGCATACTGAATTTATTTATATTTTAATTGAAAAAACTAAGTTGATATCGAAGATTTTGTATATAATCTTTTGCAATTCTTTGATGATTCTGATGTTCTATTAAAAATAATGTACATACATAAATGTGAATATCTAAAAGAGATGATGAAAAACTTTATTTTATTTAATAAACTGATTATTTATTATTGAAATCTACAATTATTCAATATTATCTAAGCTTAAATAAATCTAAAGTAAATCAAACAAAAAGAAAGTAATAAAATATATCAAAAGGATTGTCAATATAAGTATTTCCCAAACAGAAATACAACTAATATCACTTTAATAGCTTAAGTTAAGTGTTCGAATGGGATCAGATCCTTAGGCTATATGGTAGAATGATAAGTTATTCATTTTCACATTTACACTTCTTATTTCTCTAAATGATTTGATTACACAATTGATTCAAATTTAATCCACGTTTCTATAACTTCCTACTACTTTTATTAATTTATTAACATAATTTTAAATGATTTAAAGCAACAATTAATAAGTTCGAGAATGTTAAAACTACGTAGGTATTTACCTAAAGTCTATTAGGTTAAAAAACAATACTTTTGAAAAACTTTATGCCATTAACAGATAATCATGTAAATATATATGAGAAAGGAAAAATCTTTAAAGCAGACAACCATTGCTAAATACAAAGTGAATAAAAAATTGTAGCTGAAGATATTATGGAGGTTAAAATAAAAATTTTAAGCTTGGACCCTTTTGGGTCTATTCATATTGCTGTTGGAAATTAGCATAAACAATGTAGCGATTATTTTAGTTTCTATGGATATCAATATCAGACACTATAAATACTACCTTTCGGGATTGGTACCATATTATAGATATAAATAAATATGAAACAAAAAAGTATAACATGCACTAATGGTTAATAAAAAATTGTATTATTCAATTATTTATTTATTAATAGTCCAAAGATATTTTCAAATGTCATTCGTGTTCAAGGTTTCCTCAATATTTAATTTAAAATCCTTTATTTTAATGGTACTTGGTAATAGTTCTTGAGAGTTGCACCATTTAAATTCTTGACGAATTATTAGTTTAATTAATCATTATAATAATATCAATTTCTAAATGAGTAAATTCTTAGTCCAATACGTTAAAGTAGTTTCTAATTTCCCCAAATTAATGAGTTCAAATTACTAAATTTGGAGGTGGAAAATATTATTTTTTGTTAAAGTGTAAACTGCAGCAGGGAAATTAGTTAATTTAAATTTATTTGAAGGGAAGTAATGGTATCTAGAAACCTCCACTTTTTGCATATTATTCTGTATAAATAGATCAAAATATATGACGTAAAATTATCAGGAACAGATGAATATGTGATCTGGATTTGATAAATCTCAAAATTTATAAAACCTCATAAAATATAGAGCAATAAAAATAAAACCTAAGTCTCTCAAACGATTAAAACATAGAATTTAGATAAACCTTCTAATTTTTGTAATTTTCTTTTCTTTAATAATCAAAATAGGATCAGGCTTGAATTATTTCATTTGAGATTGGAAAATACTAATAAAATTTATTTTAAAAAGTCAGCAATAGAAATATTCATAAAAATATTTCACCAAGAAGTCTCCTTCATTAAATATATATGATACATCAATCCGAAACAACGCCTCAATTACAAAAATCTTAGATTTTATTTAGACAATTTTTACTCAACATTAAAATTTCATTGAAATTATTACAGGCTTAGGTTCAAATATCAGGAAATGACTACAAAAAACTTTTGAGGGCTTCTAAATAAGCAGGATATAAGTCAAAATCTTGAAGGCAAGCTAAATAGATCAATATTGTTTAGGATAATTGTAAATCTTTTTAAAATTGTGTTGATAATTGATGATATTTTCAATAAATTGTATCTGTTTCTCATTTTTGGTATCATATATTAAAGCATGGCTTATTCTTATTTAATAATTTACTTCTATGCATTTCAATTCCTCTCAGCAACTGGAAACCATCAATTAATTAGATTATAATAGGATTAGTCGTAGTCTTAGAAATTAAAATTCTATTGCTCTTTCTTAATCAATAATTAAAATTTTTCTTCTGAATTTTTTTTAAGGTGAACAAATGGAGAGATGTCTTGAAACTATGATTAATAAATATCTAAGAATTCACACAAACTTCTGGATTAAAGAGTCAGAATTTTAGATCCCTTGAAAATATTAAGTCGTATGTTTGTGACCTAAAATTAGATAAAAAAATTAACTTTGTAAATTAATAATTTATTATAAGAAAAAGATCTTTATTATTGATATATTTAAGAACTACCAATAAGATGGAATAATGAAATTTTATAATTTATTTCTTAATAAAGATTGAGGTAATATTACCAACTTCACTGTTGAGTGTTTAATTTTCTACTCATATCTTTATGTTTTACAAAAGATTTTCAAAATATTTAGTCATTTCATTAATTAAAAAAAACCCTCATATATTTTTGCACAGTTTACTTTCAATATATTAAAACTAATTAGTTAAGTTTTTTCTAAAGCATCTTAAGTTTAGTTCTTTTAGTTCTATCTATCAACAGTATATAATACAAGACATTATGGAAAGGGAAAAACAAATGAGTAGAAGAATTAATATCTATATTAAAATTATGAGCAGAGTATAATTATTAAGAACCTTTATATTCAAAAAGGTAATCTTTAAAGTAAAATTATAATAAATGCCTAAATTTTAGTATGAGTACTTTATTCAAATTATATTAATTATAATAAACTTAATTATAGTTATCATGCATTAAAACTTAAATTCAATAGTTTTCTAATGAAAATAATTCATTTAAATAATTTCATATACATTGCCTTGAATAAGCAAGGTATGAATATGATGGAAACATAAAATTGTTATATTGTATTACAAAATTCATTAATTCTATTAAATCCCTTTTAAAATAAAAAGTTAATATTGAAATTCAGAATTATTGTAAATGAATTAAATTAGCCAAAATCTTTAAATAGCTTTACTATATTCAATAAAGACTGATAACTCATAGGATTCTTAACTTGACAAAATTGATTTTTTTAATAAGACAACTAAATTATTCTTAGATTCTCTAGAGGTAGATGAAAGACTTTAAATAAAAGGTTTATTTGGAACACACAAAGAAGTTGAAAGAGAAATTAAATTGTAAATAAATCAAGAAGTGACCTTATAATCTTATTTGAATAATTCTGAAAGGGGAAACTTGATCGCCTTAAAATTCTAAAATGTTATGATATTTATCTTCATTCTTTCCGAAACATTTTTTGTTACCAAACCCATCAATGAAAAAGCTGTAGAAATTGTTCTTTTCAGAATAATATAAGATTTAACAGACAATATTAAATTTTGTTTGAATGATGATATATTTAAAAATCATTGGTATTAAGGAGATATAATTCCTTTTAATCAAATAAAGTAAAGAACAGAATATCATTTTGCTGAGAGTGAAAATAAGGAAATTTAAATATACGATTGTAAATGGGTTTTATCATAAAAAAATATTACAAATTACTAAATCATTAATTCATAGACATTATCACCTACACTTATTAGAATACGAAAACTTCACTTTCGTGAAGAAGAAACAAATAACTTTAAAAAAACCATTTATTATTTTATCGGAAGGCTCCTAATTTAGATTCTAAACAAAAAAGATAAATAAACAAACTAAATAATGAGTATAATTAACATAGAGCACTAAAGCAAAAGCTTGAAAAATATGCTTGATAAAATATCAGATGAATTAGAATATGAAGTTAATGATTAAATAAATAATTTAATAAATATTTTTTCAGACAGCTGGAGATTTATATTGGTGAGGAATAAAGAAAAAGAGATTCAAAAGAAATATTTTGAACAATAGGTAAATAATTTTTTGTAAACAGTGGATTTAGACCAAAAATGGAATTTCATATATAATCATGAATTAGTTGATAAAGAACATTTTAATCTGTTCAAAGAGTAAATGGATGTATTTTTTGATAAATTAAAGGAAAAAGTCTTTAAAATCTTAGATAAGTATAAGTATTAAAAAAATGAAATAATTGAAGAATTAAAGAAATAAAAATATTATGAGGTAGAAAGAATCAACTTAAAATTATCAAGAGCTGACGAAAATGAAACAGGAAGAGTAACAAGTATAATTCAAATAATAGAAAATTAATAATAACCAATTTTGTCTGGAAACCTTTTATAGCTTGGGTCCAAATTTTACGTAAATGATATTTTTGAAACAAAAGAAAAAGATCTCATAATTATAATAACTTCATATACTAATTATAATTAAATATTGAAAACTCTTATATATTTTTACAAATGTAACAAACCTTAGGCTTAACTAATAAAATAATTTGATTTTTTCAATACAGAAAAAGCTGTTTATTTTTATGATTATAATAGAGGACATTTATTTATTTTTAACTTTAAAAGCTAATAAGTTTTACAATTAATTTTGACAGCTAGAGGATCCATATAAAACGAATAATAAGTTTATTATTAACAAGAGCGAGGCTGCTCCTTTCTTGTTTCTCATGTGGCATATCTTAAGATGGTTAATAAATTCATAGTATTGTCAAAAGATAAATGGGTTTATAAATAGCAAGATTAAGGATAAGATTTTGAAAAAGTGAAATGCAGAATATAAAGAGAAAATGGTAATATAGAGCTACACGACTTCGCACCAAGTAGTTAACCATCTTAAAAATATATTTAAATAATCGCCTGTCCTAGTGGGAAATACTTTTATCTTGCTAACCTTTATTGCTGTGATAGATATGATGTAAATCTTTTGAAAATAGACAGCATTAGTATAGACGGGCCAATTAAAATATTTGCTGATTTTTCAGATGTTATAATCTTAGGTCAACTTAATCAAAAGACCATGAATAAAAAAGCAAAAATCCTTTGTAATTTGGTTTCTTAAAAAAGATTTAACAAAAAAGAAGATAATTAAAAAAATGTGATTGGAAATCCAGCATTTGATGTAGCTAAAGGCTCTTGTATCAAATTTGGTCCAAACTCACAATTTTTATTAAAAGAAAAGAATAGTGCCATTACCTTAAATGTCAACAATGATTACTATAATATCGTGAAGTCTTACTTAAATATTATGAAAGTAAATGAAATAATTCTTAGTTCTACTTAGCTTTAAAGTGCAGAATTTAAAAGTGAATAAATTAAAAATATAATATTTTCTAGAGTTCCTTTATAGTTATGCACAATTGAAAATAGCAACTTAATACCTCTAAATGATGGATTTAGATAGGAAACTCAAACAGAAACACTAACAAGTGTAGAATAAAAAGTTAAATAATTGCATTTAGGATTTTTGGAAGAACATTTGTCTAATTATAATAATAAGATATTTGTAGTAGGAATTATAGGTAAATAATCATCTGGCAAAAGTTATTTATTAAACAGAGTGTTTGGAACTCGTTTTGCTGTTTCATCAGCTAGATGCACTGAAGGAGTTTGGGGAAGCATCGCTTATGTTGAAGATTAAACATTTCTAGTTTTAGATTGTGAAGGATTGTTCAATGGAGCTAGATCTGATAAAGAAGAAATAAAAATGTTGGCATTTCTAACTGCAATATGTGATATCACAATCTTAAATTCAGATCTAGCATTTAATCGACATTTTAATGATCTATTCAATCATTTAGTTGAAGCATCTAAATAATTAAATGATGAGAAGTTGTTTAAAGGAATATTATATTTTGTGTTAAGAGATGTTAGTTCATAGGATAATGCAGGAGCTGAATAAGAATTATTAAAAAATCTAGAAAGACTAAAAGAAGGTGGATCAGAAGACATAATATTTTTAAAGAGATTATTTAATAATAAAATTGCTGTTGAATCATTAGTCAATTATGAACTAAAATTATTTGATGATTAAATTATTTCTGTGAGGAAATATATTCTCGAAAAATCTGCAATATCTAGTCACTGGAATTGCGGAAGAGAATTAATATAAATCATGAAAATTTTGCTATGTTAACTTGAATTGTCAGATAATACAAATGTCAGCTTGATAGATTTATAAATATTAATTGAAAAAATTTTTGAAGAGTGCTAATAATTATGGTATGATTTTTCTTTAGAATAAGTTTAAGATATTAATTTAAAATTAGTTTAAAGTGATTATAAGTTTCCAAAATTTGAGGCATAAAAACTCATCTTTTTCAATAGAGATTTAGTATAGTAACTGTATGAAAACCTCATCACAGAGGATACTATCTCAATTCATAACAAAAACATGTTCTATGTAAAAACGTAATTTAATTAAATGATGGAATAAAGAAAAGAATAAATTATATAAAGAGCAAAAGAATTAACAAATCATATCAATAATGATGAAGTTAAAGAAATAATCGAAAAAAATATGTCTATGTTAAAGATTTTCTTAAAAGACTAGATAACGTATTATCAATTTTGTGAAGACAAATGTGATGAATGCTATTTGTAATGCAAACATTTCAAAAATCATATTGAGATATCCTAAACACTTATGTCAAAGTTAGTTGAAGATATAAACCATTTAGAACTTCAACAGAAAAGTTCGAAAATAAAAAATAAATCATAAGAATAGGAGTGGAGGGGAATGATTGATAAAATTAAAGAAGAAATATAAAATGCTGAATATTCTTTGGAAGGATTAAAAATTTAAAATTAAATAATTGAAATTAAGGAAAAAATCTGTAAAGAAAAGGAAGCTATGTAAAATAATGATTTTTATGATTTGGATAGTAATAGTATAAACACAAGCGTTTTTAACATTCCAGAATTAAAAAATCAAAAGTCCTTAGTTGCAACATTAGAGGACATTTAAAACATATAAAACCTATTTGAGAATGAAATTATTAGTCTTCAAAATAAAAAAGAGTAAAATATTGAAACAACTAAATAATCAAAGGCTTAACTTGAGCAATTAAATTAAAATTTAACTCAATATCTGTAGGATATTACTTAAATTGAAATTTGCTAAGAAGAGTTAGAATCTTGCAAAAAGGAAATAAGTAAGTAAAAACTTATTACAGAAAAAGAATTGTAGAATGTCCAATCAGAGTTTTAAAAAATATAGATTGTTGGTGATGAAATGAATATTCAAAATTTATAAGTTAATGTTGAAGATGGAAACAAAATTTTAATAGAAATTTAAGATGAAATGCAAAAATAATAGTTAATTTATTAATAAAATGCTTAAGAGTTAGAAGTACTATTAAAAAAGGATGATAATGAATAAATTTAGTATTTAGAGTAATTAGAATAAGATATAAATGAATTTATTTAAAAACAGAGTTATTTGGAAGAAGAAATAGAAGTTCTGATGAAAAGCAAAAGGGATTTGGAAGATATAAGGTAGAGGTTAGGAAAAGAATAGTCTAAAAAATTTGGAAAAAATAAGAATATAATAGAAGAACTAGGTTAACAATTAAAAGGATTTGATGAGCTATTAATAAATGAAAAATTATCATAATGTGAAATAAAATAAAAGGAGTTAGAAATAAATTTTATAAATTTTGAAAATTCATAGTTATTTGATAAATGTAGGTAAGAAATAGATTTAGAAAAAGAAAATTAAATTCAGAATGAATAAATAGAATAGTAAGATACTTAAATTTAAACCAGTCAATTGAGTGAATAATACTCTCAAACTTTAAACCAATAAAATAAAACTCAAAGTGAATTGTTAGAAATATTTGAAAAGGAGAGAAGGCTTAGATTAATTAATTTGTTCTTATAAAAAAAAGAAGAAAAATTGACTTAAAGCTAAGCTAATTTGAGCTCTTTGAATGAGGAAATTTAGTAAGCAAAAAATGAGATTGATAATATTAACGAAATGATAATATAAATAAAAGAAAGAAATAAACTGCTAGATATTTCATAGAGTCATAAATCTAAGATTTGTGAATTTGAAATAAGACTAAAAGATTTCGATTAAAGATTACAAAACGAGAAGGAAAATATGATTAATATAAATCTAAATCAAGAATCAACTAACAATAAACTTGATTAAATATAAAAATATATTATTGATCTGGAACATTAGAATGACTAAATTGTTTAATAAATAATAAGGGTAAATTCAAGATTGAATGAAATAAAGTAATTTTAGGAAAATTTAAACGAATATTCAATTTTAAATGTCACATTAAGAGAGGAAGAAATAAAATTAAAAAAGAGAGCTGAATTTGAATCTATTCAAAATTTATAATAAATGGATGTTGAAAGCAAAATAGAAAATCTTAATAACTAAATCTCTCAACTTAAACAGGAAAAGGAATCATTAAACAACTAGCTGAGCACATTTAATAAAATTTTATTGCTTGAATAAAATTTGAGAGAATTATATGATTTAAAAAAATAACTTGTTGAATCAAAATCCGATGTACATTTATGTTAAAGGGAAAGTCACAAATGTGATTAGAATTGTAGGATATGTTCTGATTAAAAATGTGATCATAAAGCTGGACATTATGAAAAAGAGGAGCATTTGTGTAACAAATAAGATCATAGATGCTATGACATTTGTTAAATTAAAAATTGCAAAAGAAAATGCATGAAAAGTTTCAACCATGATGAATAACATAAATGCGAAAATGACCATCCTTGTATGGAAAAATGTTAATACTGTGATAAAAAATGTAAGAAAGATCTATCTGATCCTCATGATCGTACTAATCATGATTGCTTAGATAATTACTGTATTCATAATTGCTAATTGTGTTAAAGAAGATGTTGCTAGCCACATAAACACTCATAATAAAAAGATAAACATTTTTGCGAAAATGTTCATTATTGTTAACAACAATGCTAGGAAGATGGAATATGTAAAATAGATTATGAAGTTGTTCAAGCAAAATGGAAAACTAAATCATCAGAATTCTAATATACTAAATACATACAAAAGGATATTGGCAAATAAATATGTTAAAAGCAGATACCAGCAGGATGCGATAAGCATGATGGAAAGCATTTATGTAAGGAAAAAACTGAAAAGCAATTTCATCAATGTAATTAATAATGTCCTGAGTGTAATACATATTGTGATTTGTAATACGGCCATCTTGGATCTCATTAATCAGATCGACATAGGAATAAAGAAGATTAATAATTTACAACTTAAGAAGGAAATTAAATCCACATTTAAATATAAGATCCAAAGGATTCATCTATAAGAAAATATGAAATTGGAGAAAACTCTGCCCCAGAAACTTGTGATTAGAGCTGCAAAAGAAAAGGAAGGGCACATTTTCATTTAGTTAAATGTGAAGGAAAAAAGAAATGCATGATAAATAAAACTAAGGATAAAGCCAGACATTCAAAAAACAAATATATTGGATTTGAGGAAATTAGTTTTGATGAAGTCTTGTGCGAAGAATTTTGGAAATCAATAAATTGGATCCATCCAATCTTATTTGAATTAGAAAATATTAATAAGTGTAATTACTATTGCCCTTTGTGTATATAATAGAATGGCACCCATTAATTTTGTGATAATAATGCTTGGCATACTAAATAATGTAAAATAGGCGATCATTCATTTTCTTGTGTAGAAACTCACTTTTAAAATTAAATTTAGGGGATAGATATTGCTTTTGTAATAGATTCCACATTATCTATGGAATAATATATAAAATCGTGTAAATCTATAATTAAGGATATAATAGAAAAGAGTAAAACTAAATATAATCTTAATGGCTAGAAACTTGAAATTAATTTTGCTGCTGTTTCGTATAAAGATCACTAATTTCCTTATAAAGCGTCTTAAAAAATAATTGATGTCTAAAATTTTTCTTCAGGTACTGATATCATTTCATTTTTAAATAAAATTACTTTAGAAAACGGATTTGATTATCCAGAAGCTGTCTTAGATGGATTAGATGCCACATTAAAGTTAAATTGGCATCCAAAATTTGAAAAATTACTTTATTTAATAGCTGATTCACCTCCGCATGGAAAATAATATCACAATTATGGTGATCATTTTCCAGAAGGCTGCCCATGTGGATTAAAGTAAGAGAAAATATTCAGGATACTCTAAAATATTAAGGTTAAGTTTAAAATATTAAAATTAAATCAAAATATAGAAATGATGATTGGTGAGTTTAAAAAAGATTTTGTTAATTTATAAGTACTAACTCCTTAAGATGAGAACTTGAATAATTTTTAAGATGTAATTGTTTGCGACGTATGCCAATTTTTAGAACATAATGAAATTACATATTAAATGAAAAAATAAAAATGATTATTCAATTAAATATTTGTTAAGAATTATTATATGTTGATAATTGTTAATTGCTATATTCTAAATATTACCTTATTATTCAAGTTATTGAAGGAAAATTCACGAAAGATTTTGATCTAGATCAATAATCATGAATGAGTTAAGTAATAGTATGAAAAATTAAGAAGTAGTAAAAGATTTTTATACCTTTGTTTAAATGAAAAAAAGTTATCTTGAAATGAGAAATGTTCACAAAAAATTTGAAGGTAAGGTTCAATAATGGTCTAAAATAGGAATTTTCATGTTAAGAAATAGGATGAGCTCTCATTTAGAAGAACCAACGTCTAAAAGATTATTTACATGGAACTAAAAACATTTAGATTACCAAAAATACAAGTGAAAGCGGCTCTTTATTATTCAAATGAGATTCATGGAGGTTAGGTTATTTGATAATGAAGCACTTAAGGTACTCGTTTATTACATATATGAAAAAATAAACTTTGTTTTGTTAATCTTAACTCAAAAAATAATTCATTACATTATAATCTTCTTGAATACATAAACATTAAAATATCAAAACTATTTTTACAATATTTTGGCTTATCCGTTAATTGACTTTTTGAAGCGACTACATTACCATATATAAAATTTACATACGCATTTACTGATGCTTATTTCAGAAGCATATATTTACATTCTATTCCTTCATCAGTTTCATTCATTTTAGAGAAATCTCGAATAGTTTCCTCAACTTCTTCCTTTTTCAAAGACAATTGTTGCTGTGAGTTGGAATTCTTAATTAGCGACTTCTTTTTTTAGCCAGAAATTTACTCTATGTAAGAATTCGGGGTAATAGTTAATTTTTTTTCTTATTTAGGAGGTTTTCTATATTCTGGAGTCAGGGTTAGGTTTAATTTGCTATCTCGAACACGAGAAAATGAATTAAAAGATAATTTGCTTAATCTGCTTATCATGCTTGGTTGAATTCCTAACATTATGCTTCCGTTGTTTTCCAATTCAGAATGAGAATCATTGTAACTACTCACAGATTGCATTCTGTTCTTTCTTCTATTAATATCAGGAGCTAAGTTGGATTTTCTTTATTCTGGAGTTTTGAGAAGTGAATTCATCTCCAATTATTCAAGAGAATAATTGAGGAGTGAGCCTCCAATGTTATTAGATGAGACATCTTCTTTTGATTTCTTGAATCTAAGAGATAATAAATTTGTTTAAATACAATGAGGGTTTATCATTTACTAAATTACTATTTTAACTACTTGGCAAATGAACTTCAATAGTTTATTTTCTTTTATCATCATTCTTATCGGATTTAGGACCGGTTTCCCAATCAAAGATTAGATCTTTTTATTAAAAGTTGTGTTCTTAGCATACTTTGTTAAAAAGGGATTAGCAATATTTGTAATTGGGCTCTGCTTTGAATGGTAAACCTCGAATGTATTCAAGGAATCGTCCAAACTCTAGAGGAATTCCTTTACAGAGTTCGGTCATTTCCATTTTCATCTTCATTAAGCCAACTTAACGCATTTTATCTTCTTCATCAATGAATTACAAATTTTACCAGGGTAATTAACCTTAATAATATAAAAATGGTACATTTTACCCTTTAATAAGAAGATCAGCATATATCCTAAGGATTCTAAATCGTCTTTTCTGCTTAAAGATGTTCCTTTATGAGCATTGATGCTAGCATATCTTGTAGTTCCAATAAATGGTTAGTTCTCTCTATAGGAACTAAAATTTACTGATACTTCTTTACATGTGTGAATCATTTTCATCCTTATAAAATTTGCTGATGCCAAAGTCGACTATATAAAGCAGATTTTCTTCTTCTTCTTTTCCCACAAGAACATTTTCAGGTTTAATATCACGATGCAACACTTTGCTAAACATAAATGGTATAATTACTTACTTTTTGTGAATATTTTCAAGAATGTTGATCATTTGTTCAGCTATATTTAGTACGCATCGTAATGAAAACTTACGAAAGGTTTTCAAATAATGGGTTAAGTCTCTCCCCAAATATTATATAACAAGCACATTTGAATCTCCTTCTTTTCCTGCCCAATACAACTTTGGAATCTATGGTACTTTTTACAATCTTCTTAGTATTTCTGCCTTTTTGTATCATGATAATTCAATTACCTCTCTCTCTAGACTAGAGCCTTCCTTATTGCATTTGTCAATTTTTATGGCTACCAAGGCTCGAGTATTTATGTCTTGACCGCAGTATACTACACCGAAAGACCCAGCAGAAACTCTCTTTTTCGTTATAAAAGTGTTGTTAATCAATTTTTAAAGCTATTGATTGATCATTAAATTATAAACAACTCAAATTATTAATGATCTCTAATTATAGGAAAATCATTCTCAAAATCACAATTATTAATTCATACTTTTAATTTATTACTTCACTTCTTTCATAAAATAATATATTTATCAACAAAAAATCTGAAATTATGAAGAAATTAGTTTTGATTCGTCATGGAGAAAGCATCTTAAATAAGACTAACTCATTTGGTGGATGGTTGGATGTAGATTTATCAACCAAGGGAGTTCAGGAGGCTTAACATGCTGCCCTGTTATTATAATAAAATCATCATAACTTTGATGTAGTCCACACATCCATTTTAAAGAGATCCATCAAATCAGCAAATGTCATGTTGGAAACAATGAATTCTCTATGGGTGACACAATAAAGCAGTTGGAGATTAAATGAAAGACATTATGGAATATTGCAAGGCATGAATAAAAAAGAGGCTTCCATTAAGTATGGAGAAGAGCAAATCAAACAGTGGAGAAGATCATTTTCCTAAAAGCCTCCGTAGTCTTTAGATGGAAATAGTGAAAGTCTTGAAGATGTAACCATAAGAGTCAGACCCTATTGGGAGGATAGCATAGCGAAGGATATAAATTAAAATAAGTAGGTTCTTGTGGTTGGTCATAGCAATTCATTACGAGCTTTATTATGCATCATAAAGAAGTTGTCTGAATAATGTAAGTGATCTTTCTTATAAGAGAACTGCTTGAATTGAATATTCCTACTGCGACTCCATTGGTTATATAATTCAATGATAGATTGTAATACCAGGATGAGTTTTATTTAGGGAATCAAGAGTAAATTAAATAGAAAATAAAATAAGTGGCGAATTAGGGTTCTCTCAAATCGAATAAATGAAATTATAATGACAACAATCATGGCAATTTAAAAGTCTCAGTTTCTATAATTAATTCTATTTTTATTAATATTCAAGTATGATCTTAGCGTGTATCTAAAAATGAGATAATTTGAATTTCTTCAGGTTTCATATTATTTTTCAAATTAATTATTTTTATTTAATTTTCAGTTATGCAACAACAACAATAATTAGCTCCAGCATACGAAAAATGTCCAAAACATGGAATCAATGACATTGTTTTATTTTGTTTACACGATTAATGTAGAGAAGTAAGGTTAATTATACTATTTAAGCCATTATGCAAAGAATGCTGTAAATTACATATTCAATGGCATAATCAATTAGGAACACCTCCTTATATTGATACAATTGATAGTGTTAGAGAGATGCTATTTAATGATGTTCACAATCTAAAGGTGAAATTCGAAGAGTAAGATTGATAACAATATTCTAGAGAAAGAGAAATATTACATCATTTTTCTGATGGAGAACATTCTCAGCTTATTAAAACAATTCATGGTAAAATAGAATAAGTCAAGAAAAATCTTCATTAATTAGTTAATGACTACTGTAATGATTTAGAAAAAGAAGTATAGAAAAGAATTCATTAACACAAAGTATTGTTTAAATTCATAAATAGGCTGCCCATCCCGGAGAGAAAAAAGAATTGCATCATAAACTGAATACTGTTATTAATTAATTGGATTTATAAGAAAAAGGACTGCAATCACAAAAATACATCAAGGCTTGTTTAGTTGTGATATCTGAGGAGAAGGATCATGATTTAGAAGGATTGTCTCTAGATATTGATAACGCTTTGAAGCACTATTTGGAAAATATATTTGATATATGTATCCATAACGACAAATTTCAAAAAATTAGTAAGTTTAATTTATATTTTAGATGATGCTTTAAATGAGTATGTGGAGATTCATTAAGTTAATTTAGGCGAAGAATTGGAGTATTATACTTAACAAATAAGAGAAAATAAAAAGGCTACTGGAATACAATAATTATAATAATAATAATAGTATCAATCGAAATAAATAACTAAAAAATAAGACATTAATCCTCCTATTACTTAAACGCTACCTTAAAGCAAACTGATTTATTAATCTATTTATGACACTCCTCATAATTAATTAAATATACGTAAATGTACTTATCAATTTAATAGATTCATCGCTTCAGTAATCTAGAGCAGGTGCAAGCTCAAAGAGTTATGAAACTAGATTGCAACAGAATAATGAAAAGTTGAAGTAATTTTATGGATGATATTTAAATTAAAAAATTATATAAATAACAGCAAATATGAACAAGGGTTAATCTCCAAGAAGAGATCATTCTCCCAACTTCTTCTATCAAGTGACCAATGATAATTACATGTATAAGAGAAGTGCAGATACACAACCAACTGATCCAAATTGTATGACCAAATAAGCTAGAAATTATGTCAATAACTAAAATATCACTAATTCACCTAGACCTGCTGGATCACCTTCAAGAATGAATTTTACAATGCAAAACAAATATTTCCATTAATCAAATATCTTTGATGGAGTTCAATAAAATAAAGATTATAAGCCCCCTGAATAGCCATTAAAAGAGAAATAACGCGATAATAAGTCTCCTTCAATTTTGAATGGAGCTTAGATAAACAAAAATTTACAACTCTACCCTAGGTAAATCATAACCAATAATCAATAAATCAAAATAAATTACTATTGAGTTTCAAACAGACAATAACAATTTTGATGCCTTGGATTTAAAAAGATCTTTATTAAAATAAGGCATCTAGATTTCGGATATTTAGATGAAAAATCCCATAAACTCAGGAAGAACCAAGAATGTAGGGAATCTTACTGTGAGAGGAGATGAAGACAAGTTAACTAACCTTCATTAAGAACTTGAAAAAGTGGGGCTTAAAACTTGTGATAAACCAAATAGTTATTATGTATTATCAAATCAATTATCTAGAAATAATAAGCTAATCAGAATTGGACGCTTTAAAAATAGAAATATGACAAAATTGAATATTTCAAAAATCGTTGATTTCAAACAAATTAAATACACTTTCAATATTATCAATCCTTTTCTATCTCCTCCCTTACTTGATCTCTATGAGCAAACGTTTTTTCGAAAAACATAGCCTGATCAAATCCACTAAAGAATTATTTCTTATCTACTTTCCTCATTCTCTCTAATCTATAATATTATACTCAATTAATTACTCTTCCATCCTTTCCTATCTATATTTATCCTATTAAATCAAGGCTTATTTGCCCCCTAATCCCCAAACTTCAATAAAGACAATTCCTATTGATCCTTCAATTTCACCTGCAATATACCCAGGTTGATATGTGTCATCTTCAGAGGCAACTTTTGATCTATTCTCAACCTCATCATCTATCCATAATCGAAATGAAGTATGTTCAGAATTCCCTCCGAATCCTAATCCCACTTTGTATTTAGATCTATCAATGTTTTTGGTGTTTAAATAAGCGTAATTTTATCCATTACCAGTTGTAGAATATGTTCTGAAACTTGGACTTATAGAGAATAGATAACATCCAGAATCTCCTTAGAATTTTAATCCATCACTCCAAGGATTGGGATTATACGCCCCAAATATTATTGGATGGTTATTTACTTCATATAATAATTAATATTTACATTTCTTATCCAAATAAATAAGTATAAGTGTTGGTCCACCATATCCTAAAATGTTCCATGCCAATCTATTGAAACTTGTACCACTGCTTTAGTTATTGTATAATTATGTCATTTCTGTACAAAAATGAGTTTGGGTTGAGAGAACAGTGAATATTTCATCATCGATAATTTTAGAACTTTACTTTATTATAGGTTTTGGCTATTTGGATTGAATTTGGTTGGATGAAAATATTTTGACCCAGAAGGCTTCAATGTAATCGCCAACCAGAGGCATTATGGAATTAACCTTATTGCACACATAACCTACTCTTTAATTGGAATCTAAACTATCATCTATTTATAGAATGATTTAATTACCATATATTCTATTCATCAAAAATTTTGCTGCTTCTCCACTTTTTATCATGGTAAACAAAATATTCAGTACACTCAAACATACTTCATTTGCAATAGAGTCATTTTCTGAATATCCCATGAATTTAAACATCAATTCAACTGGACGCATCTTATTTAAATATTTAACATTGTAGTCAGGAGCTTTTGTTAAGATATCACATAAATCCAAGTATTGTTATAAGCTTAGGGTATCAGTTTTGAATATTGATTAAACGAACTAATTAAATTAATTCACTAATTGCTGATTCTCAATAGGAATATGCGAAACATTGATTTTGTTTTCTTATTAATAAGTGTTAAATGTCTTAGTATAAGCAATCTGATATTGGTTTTGTACTTCATTACTTTTCTTTGATTGTTATTATTGTTATTGCTGATATTGTTATTATTATTGTTTGACTATTGGTTGTGTTGGTTTTTCTTATTAATTTCCCATATTTAATAATATTTTTTTTGTATATTAATTTTAATGCAAAAACATTTTGGTTCTCCCATTGATAAAAAAGCAATGATGCAAAGAAACAATACATCTCTAAGGAATTTGGCAGAAAAGTCAAAATTCGCCAAACAATAACTCAGTAAGTAAAGAAGATAAATGATCGTTTAGAAAAAGAAGTCAATCCATAAATCTATAAGAATAAGATGAGCCTTCTGTTCATAATTCTCAACCTTTAGAGACAATGAGGGTATCCCAACCCAGTTTTCCCTTAGTTCAGCAAAGTCCTAATGAATGTTTTTAAAAAGTTCTCGGGTCTAAAGAAGGATCGAGAGACGGTAGTGGAGAAGAAGATGATAGAAATGTTGCTAACGTTATAAAACCCTCTAAGATTAAAAGATTATCTCGTATAAAGGATACTGAACCATCATAATCTCTCAAATTCTCACTTATCATAACTCAATAAAGTAGATTAAAATAAACGTGGGATGCAATCATTTTTATAGTATTAATGTATCATAATACGATTTATTAGATATGTTTGTGTATTTACACCGTATAAGATGACATTCATAGATGATGGAGAATTCCCTTTTTGGGATGACTTCGATAACTCAATTGACTTTTTGTTTATGGTCGACATCATCTTCACATTTCTCTGTTCTTATTATGATGAAGAGAATAATCTAGTCAAAGATCATAAACTAATTGCCATCAACTACTTAAAAGGGTGGTTTGCTGTGGATCTAATAGTATATTTATGAAAATAATCCTTAGTCTTGTTTTCCATTCTAATTCATATTTCAAGATTATGATAAATCGAGAAACATTACGAGATTGTCAAAACTGCCAAAAATATATCGAGTCATCAAAATGATTAAAATATTTAGAATGATCTAATTGAAGGATTTAGAGTACATAAAGGTTATTAACATCAATATAGGAAGTGAAAGATTTCTTTATGCATTCTTTTTGTTGATATTCAGTTGTCATATAACTGGATGCATTTGGTTTTTCATAGCATCTCTCTCAGAAGATCCTGATTGGGAATACAATTTCATCTCTGGATATGATCAATATATTGTCTCCTTGTATTGGGCAGTATAAACTATTTTAACGGTTGGATATGGCGATGTCAAAGTCTACAAGTGGCCTTCATATCTTTTTGCTATCTTTTGGATGTTAGTCTCAGTCTACATATTTTCTTTTGCTGTTGGTTCTTTAGCATCATTTTTAGATAGAATGGATCACGCAAATTCCATTTATGTTCATAGAGTTTCTACTTTGAAGAACATTAAAAAAGAATTCCATATTTCAAATGCTATATTCTAAAAGGTAAAGAATGAATTGAAATCAGGTAAGAAAAACCTTTTATTGAATTACAATACTCTTTTGGAAGATCTACCTCCTTAATTAAGGGTTGAATTATCATTCATAATGAATAAGTAATTGTAAGAGGAAATTAAATATTTCCAAGATAAAGCACCTACTTTTATAGCTGCAATAGGACCTGTTCTAACACCATTGAAAGTAGGAGCTCATGAATATTTATTTATGACTGGTGATAACGCAGAAGAAGTATACTTTGTTAAAAGCGGAAAGCTTGCTCTAGTGATTCCAGATAACGAGAATTTCAAATTCCTAATGATCAAACCAGGATCTTATTTTGGTGAAATTGATATCTTGTTTTATGGGGAAAAAAGAAAATACACAATTATGACAACAAAAAAATGCGAATTTTATGTACTATCAAAAAAGCACTTCAAACTCATATATTTAAATTAGTTCAGAGATGAAGGAGCAAAAATGATTAAAGAGGCTCAAAAAAGAAAATAAATGATTAAATCAGCCTATGAAGAAGCAATCCAATTTATTGAAGTTCATGGTGAGAAGTAATTTAAAAGAAATTAACAGCGTTCTTGTTCTATTCAACTCAAACATATGAATTCTGTCTCAAGCTCTAAGAGCCAGTAAGAAAGTAAATATTTATAAATATTTGAAAGTGTCAGTCTCAAATCAAAAGTTCTAATTAGAAAAAATAATTTAAGAAGAGAATGAAGATGATGATCAAGAGAGAGAAACTGAAGCCTTTATGTCACTAATGGATAGATAATAGTTTAAAAAAAAAATGACTCAACTTGAAAAATAAATCTAGTAAAAAGATCACACCATTTAAGCTATCTAATAAGAACTTGATGAACTAATGACTGAAATCCAATTGAAAAATTTGGATGCCTTATAGGAGAAAATTAAAGTGCCCAAAACTTTTGAAGAGCATTTACAATAACGACGCTTTTTAAAGGCCAATCAAAAATTAAAAGAAGAATTGAATAAAAGAAAAAGTAGGAAAGTTTCATTACGTTTCTCATTTAAGTAAACAACTTCCCTAAGTGAGTCAGAAAATAATCGTAATTCACTCTCTCCTTTAATATTGGATGATGAATAAGATTGAAAGATGATATATTTATAACTAACTTACTGTAGTTAATGTTATCATAATTTATAAGTCATTCTAATTATGAATCATTCCTTAATTCCTCTTCCTCTTCTAAATATTACCCAGGAAACTCTTAAGGTTTCTTATCTAGTTGAATTTCAACTTCTTCTTCTAATTGCTGATCAGGTTCTTTTAATTCAAAATTCTCTTAATCTAATTCCAATTATACATACTATTCAACTTAAACTATCTCTGTTACAGGTTCCTAAAGATCTAATAAGTTTAGAAGATCTTTTTCAACTTTAGGTTTCTCCTTTGGATTTTCTACCCCAAGATTATTTGTTTGATTCTATTAATGTGGAATATTATTATCTCCTTAATCCAACTCAATCTATATATTAGGTGGATTTTAAACTATTTCACAAACAACTTGTTTGAGTTCTTCTTCATCATCTTCTTCATCTGCTGCATTTCCTAATTCAAAAACTTCTTCTTGATTTTTTTTCTGTGAATCTAATTCGATTTATGGCTATTAAATCATTTGAACTATTTTAATTTCAGGTTCTTCAAGTTCTAACAAATTCTGTGTTTCATACTTTTAATTAATTCCAAATTAATCTTTTGGTTTTTCATCTAATTCGATTTATTGGTATTCATCGTCTTAGATGATCTCAGCAATTGGCTCCTTTAACTCCTAGTCTGAATTCTCTTCTTGTTTTTATGCATTACACAATTCAAAGACCTCCTCATTTTCTTCTTTATCTAATTCTATTTATGGAGCCTCTTCAATTTAAATTATATTAATCTGAGGTTCTTACAATTCTTCCTATTTTTCTTAGTCTTTAACTTCAATTTCCTCTTAATACTCTTCAAAACTTTATGAATATTCTTCTTAATTATCTTCTGCTTCAGGAGCTTTTCCCAAAGCAATATGACTTAAATCTTCATTTTCATAGGTGCATTATTAATTATTTGGCTCTATTCTTGATAATTCTATTTGTTTTTCTGATTCCTATTAAAATTTCAATAGTTCGTTTTCGTATTTCACCCTCTATTAAATAGCTTCAAATGCTTTATTTTTTAGGTCTTCAATTTCCCTTGTTAATTTGATTTCTATTAATTGTGTTTATAAACTCATTTATCTAATTTCATATAATTTCTATTTTAATTATGAATCTTTATTATTTAATTCATTTTCTAATTGTAGTATTGTTTAATTTTAATCTTCAATCTATTCTTACATTTATTTCACTTAAAACATTAGTTTCTCTGTCTCCTAATTTATAAAATCATTTTAAGGTGTTTGTTATTAAAGATTTTTAATTTATTCTTCTTTTTCAACTATTGTTGATTCTAAATCCTAAATGATTTTCTGATTTTCACTCAATTCAATTGCCAATTCTTTTTGATTGTTGTATAAGTCTTCTATTTATTTTTTTGATTCATCTTATTACTCCTAATATTCAAATACAATCTATTTTAATCTCTCTATTTCTTCATCCTTTTCTTCCGCTCTTTTCTGCGAATCTTCCTTACCAGTTTATAGCTCTTCTAAATTTATTTTTAACTCATTATAATTCTATTTCTAATGATAGAGTTCCTTTTCCAATTTATCTATTTCTTCTGCATCATCATCAATTTATTAATTAAGTTAGTTTTCTAATTCTTAATTTTTTTGTTTTAACAAATCAATTTCCTACAATAAGAGTTCTTAATCATTTCCTTCTTATTAATTCTCGAAATTCTACTGTTACTCTTATTGTTCTTGTATCTCAATACTTAATTTTTCTACTTTAAGTTCTAACTCTTGATTCTAGGATTCTAGTTATTTAATAAATAGCTCCTTCTCATTTATAATATTTTACTACTCCTGATTTAAGAAGTTTACTTTCTAAACCTATTCATTATTATCAATTAAGTGAGAATTTTAAGTTTCCAATTGATTTAGAAGTTCTTCATTATCTTTTTTAAGATTACTTAATTCAATCTATTGTTGATTGGCTGCCTCTTCTAATTCTCCAATTCTTTCTTATAATTTATTTCTCTGTTAATACAATTTTGCATTTTCATTTTCTAATTATGTGAAATTTGATAACTTTTCAGCATCTTTTTTTTATATTTCTTTTATGTGATGATCAAAATTATTTTAAATTTATTATTTATCTTTTTCTAAAGTCTGCATTTTTTGTAAATTTTCTTCATGTTTTTTATTATATGATTCAATCTCCAACTAACTTTTTTTTAATTCCTGTAAAATTTCTTAATTTTATTTTTATAATAGAGCAACTTAGTTTGTCAATTAGTTATTTTATATCTAATACTCCTTATTTTCAGCCTTTTATTCTGTTATTAATTTATCAAACTCTTTTGAATTTACATTTTATTTTAATAGCAAATCCTACTAATAAAGTATTTCAGCTTCCCTTTCTTTATTGATCTAATTTAATTATTCTATTTATTTGTTCAGTTCTTTTATTATAGATTCCTACTAATTTTATTGTCTTAAATGATTTAACTCTTATTCTAACTATATGATTTTCAAAGATTAGTCTTCTACCAATTTGGAATCTTCAGTTTATTATTATTATAATTCCTCATTATTCCTTCTCAATAGTAGTAGTTCCTCATTTATTTCTTCAAAGTCCAGCAACTAATTCTAAAGCTTTCCATTCTCTTCCTATAATTCACTTAATAGTCTTGCATAATATTTAATTTCTTATTCTAATTAAATTGTATTAGATTTATTCTAATTTTATCCTTTTAATTAATTAATTTCTTCTTAAAGCAACTTTAATTATTATTTTGTATCATGGTTCTATACTTTTTGATCTTATATTATCATCTAGAGATTTTCATTCTCTTTTTCTAATTAAGTTACCTTCTGAAAATCTTTAGCTTATTGTTTCAATTTTGCAAGTTCCCCTTCCAATACGCTTATCTCCTAAACTAGTTAATTATTTAGATTTTCTAATTATTGCAGTCTCTCCTAATCCTATAAATTCGTTTTGTTTCTCTATTCTCCAATTTGGCTTAATAAATTTTGGATTTGCTTATCTTTAACTTGTACTTGAAATTAAAGATTTTAGATTTCTTGATTCCTTTATTATTCAATCTATTGTAATGAATAAAGATTCATACATAATTATTTTTATTGATTTATTCATTCAGTTTAGAAGTCTATTATTATAGATGTAATTTTAATTCTTCCTTGTTCGTCTCCAACACTTAAATCTTTTCTTTTAATTTATGGGTTTCACTTTCTTTATCTTCCAATTGAATTATCAATTCCTAACAATACTATTTATATTTACATTCAATTCGTTGTTTTTCGACTAAGTTTTATTCTATAGTTCAAGTGCCCTATAGAGATTTTCCCTCTCATTTTCAAATCTAATTTCAATAGATTCCATTTCTCTTTATTGCTATTCGATTATTTCTTCATACTTCTTCCTCATGAGGCCTTGCTCTTATTACGACTATCGAGATTATTGAGCTTAACGAAACTGATACTCCTTGAGATTTGCAAAGTACTTTTCCTTCCATTATGATATTTCCTTATTCAAAACTGATATCTCCTCTTTGTAATTGTCTTCGATTATTTGAATTTCATTAATCTCTAGTACAAACTATTTGATTTGGGATTGCTGATACACAATCTCCTTCTCCCTTGCCTTTAGTTTTGAGTCCTATGAATCTATTCTGAATTGCAAATCTTCAATTTTCTTTTTTAGATAAGAAACATCATTATCCTTCAAATTGATAAAACTCCCACTTGTTTTAGTTGATATTTCATAAGACTTATTATTAACTTCAAAAGGCTATCTATTGCTGATGAATGGATTAATTACTTAGAACTCCCTCTTTTAATGGAATCACACCTAGAACGGATTTCATTTACCTTCGCTTTTGTTTCTCTTATTCCAGCCATAAGATCTTAACAATTACTTTTCAAATTGTTTTCAAATAATAACTTCTTTCTGTCCATTTGATTTTATTAATATATTTCAAAATCAAATGAATTTAAATAGAATTGCAATTAATTTGAAAGTATCAATAGTGGACAAGACCCAATAATTCTACAATTGATCAATATTTTGAAACAAATGAAATAACTTAAATACTCAACCAGTATTAATTAGACACCAATGAAAGCTAAACCTGAATTATCCTATATAAATATTCAATTATTTTCCTTCGATGAAGTTTTTATATGTCTGTTGAATTGTACATCAAGAAGAAAATAACTATTTATTATTTAGGGATATAAGAATTGAAGTATAAATAATAACCCTAAAAAAGGAAGGAAAAAATAATAATTTTGATTGATTTGCTCTCACAATTACATAACAGTTAAATTTTTAAACTAATACAGCATTTTTTTAGCCAGGAATATATTAATCATTAAGATTTTGAAATAAAGACTGAGTCTTAACCACTAACTGATAAAAAAAGTTTATTCTATTTGGAAATACTTTTTTATTTGATTAATTCAATATTAGTCAATTATTATTCAAAATCCATTTATAACATGAATGAAATGACTTAAATTTATAAAATGAAATAAATAAGTATACTTTCACTTGTAATTTTTTTATTTTATCTCAGGCATTGCAAATTGATTTTTTAGAACTAATTTATTATTTTTTGCATAGGTTACAATCTATGGTCCTTAATAAGTCTTCTATGGTTCAAATAACTTTTTCGAGTTCACAGTAGAATTAGCTCTTGTAGAATTTGAAGTTGTGATTTTTGGTTAAACCAATACACTTGGTTATCGTTATTGAACAGCTTGTTGGCCAACTATGTTTAGATCGGCTGTCTTCTTCTCTTAATTCTTCATCATTTGCCAACCCTTTCCATCTGACGGATTTTCACTTACCTTTAGTTGAAGTGGTTCCTTTTTTACTATCTTGACTTCTTTTTCATAATTTCTTAATTATTTAATAAATCCATAATTAGGCTAAATGACACTTCTTCTCTTTTTGACAAAGTTAAAAGCCTCTGAAAACCCTAAACCTTTTGTTTTCATCAAATATGCTATCACCACTGAAGCAGACCTAGAGACTCCAGCAGCACAATGTACTAAAACTGATCCTCTTTTCAAACCTTCAGTTATTTAAGTGTTTGTGTCCGAAAATAATCTACCTATGTTTGCAGTTTCTGAATCTAGGATATGATAAACCTATCTTATTTGAAATTATTTACCTTATGAGTTATTCCAGCCTCTCTATAAGAAACATCTAAGCCCGTTGCAACAGTTAACACTGTCTTAATCCCTTTAGAATCGAGAAGAGTCCTGTCTAATGCTGCAGTAAAATCCCCAAGCCAGAGAACATTCCCACTATCTTCAAAAATTTGATTCATCTATTGATAATTGGAATCAAACAATCTAAACATTTTTGATTATTATTTTACTATTTTTATTAATAACATTTGTCACAATTTTATAATCGAAATTGACATCAATGGATTTAAATTCTTATATAAACTAACATCAATCAAAATTGAATGAGAGATTAAACCAAAAAATTGGGAATTAGAAGGCTTATTAACTATTTATTATTCTTTGCTTCTCTTTTGAATTCCATTCATATACATATTTATAACAAACTTTTGGACTTTTAGAAAAATTTTAATCTAGAAACTAATTGATAACAAAATTCCAATAAAACTTCTAATTGGAGTAAAATATAATATGACATTTATGATAATAATTATTTTTAATAAAATATTGGATTAATTTAGCAATATTTTGAGAAATATCATCAGTTATAATCAAATAAAAGAGTTTTAAGGCAAATTTCAAAGTTATAAATTCTTTATTTTATTTACATGAATTCTCTTTTAAATTATTTCTCATCATTAAAACTACTTATGCTATTTCTTTCTGTTCATATTTTTCTTCAAATTTTACATCTTAAATTTTCTTTGCCTTCTAATTTAAGATCTTAAATATTGTTCAAAGAGTATTGATGTAATTATATAGATTCATTTCTCCTTGATTTCATCTCTTTTTTTGAATGATACTATTAAAACTGAAGCAAAATTTTATATCATACTCTGCGGATTAGAGGATATTCTAAGAAAGAGTGGAGGATGCTGTGTAAAAATAACTTTTAAACTCTTTTATTAATTTACTATTAAATGTGATAATATAAATCATTAATTAATATCTCATATGATCGATTATAATTAATTTTTCGAAGTAAATAAAATTCATGATGAATTTGATTGATATTTTATTGAGAGATGATATAGTGCGTCCCTGCAGCTACAAATTAGTTCATTTAAATTAATTTTTTAATACGCTACTTCAAAAAGATCAATGAATTCATAATGTATACTTATTAATCTTATTGAGAATATAAAAAAAATAATAAATCATTTCTTTAATGCAAAATTAAAGCACATCTTTCCAAACCAATGAATGTAAGAATAATGAGACGATAAAAGGAACAAAATAATTTCGCTCAAAAAACAATTAGATAGACAATTAAAAAGAAAAATCATAGCTTGAAAGTAGAAAAGATTCAGAAGGAACTAATTAAGGGAATGTATAAGTTTAGTATAAATTAATAGAGTAAGGCTGTATTGAAAAAAAAGAATGAAGAGTTTGATGCTAATACTTGTATTAAAAATCTAATGTGTTTATCTTTGAGTGTTATTAATGAAGAACTTCAATTTAATTGTTAGTAGCAGAATTAGAAAGAATAAATTTCTGAACAATATAAAGTTTTATAAAATTGTGACTAAAACGACATTGACTCATTTTAATTACCACCAACAGCATAACCAATCCCTGCTAAAAAATAAAAGTCTCACAAAAAAGCTAAGAACAGGAAGAATAAAACAGATTCGTAATTGAAAATACCCAAAAATTAAACTCTAACTCAGAAATAGTATCCATAATAACCTCAAACTCAATAACAATCTAAAGAAAAACAACATAATTAACTGACTCCTTAAGGGTCTCATAAAATAAAACAACAATTAAATTAGTAAAGATAAAAAAAGTAGCTCAGCAACACTCAGATTGAAAACTGTGAATAAGAAAACAAAAAAGATTCCGCTGACTTTGATGCTTAATTTAGTCATGTATTTTATGTAACTATAACTTAGATTGGAGCAAGAAGTACAACTGCAGGAAATTCATAATCAGAATCAGACGATTGTCTCTAATAATCATATGACAATAAATAAATTGAATTAAGTGGTTAAAAATTATCAAGCAGAGAAAAAACAAAAAAGAAGAACTATAACAATAATGGAGAAAAAGTTGGTGATAAATAATATCCTCATTCCACATAAACCACACCCATTAAAAGAAAACAATTGAATTTAGTGAAATCTAAAACTTACGATATTGATGAATTATCCAATTATATTCAATAAAAAAGTTATCAAAATAGAATTAGAAAATAAATTTGTTTGAATAGACTTAATTATCTTATTTATACCAATTACCATCTAAATATGTATCCTTATGGATCTTTTGAAACCGGACTAGATTTAGAAATAAGCGATGTAGATGTCGGAATTTGGGGATCTTAGAACTTGAGCTATAGTTAAATAGTAAGTTTTCTGTAGTTATTAAATAATACATTAAAGTAGACACCATTTTTAATTAAATCGAAGTAATCATCAAAATTTATATCTTTAGATTAATTCAAAGTCAGATGCCAATACTCAAATTAGAATTGAATCCTAAATCAAGCTTTTATGATGAGGATTAACATATACAATAGAACTGGTCATATTTTCACTTGGATCAAAATGATCAAGGTATAATTCAATCATCACAATTCTTAGGAAAGATCATTTAGGTGGATATAACTTGGATTTATTAATGGAGCAATGTTTATAATAATCCTCATTTAGGATTTGCTTCCACAACAATTGTTAAAGATTGGGTTAGTAGATTTGTTTGGTACAGAGATATCATGTTAATTCTAAAACATTTAGTTAAATCAAAAAACTTAAATGATGCCCACACAGGTATTTAATTTATCTAATGTAAATAGGTGGAATAAGTTCATTTTGTTTATCAATAATGCTAGCCGCAATCTACATGTGTAAGCATTACACTCAAAATGACAAAAAATAAATTCTTCTTGACTTTTTAAAGAAGTATGGCACTCAATTCGACCCATTAAAAGAGGGCATTTATATCGACAGTTATGGGTATATAATGAATCTAAATTAGATAATAACATCCCTTTGTAGCTTTGGAAGAATGTCCTCCTTATAATCCTCTCACAATTTATTCCCCTATTAATTATTAAATTATTTCTCAAAAGGCTCATCGATTTTTAGATATTTAAGAAGAATTTAAATAGCTTTACGAACACTTGACTAAATCTAATAAAATTTAAGACTACTTTGATTTGCCTTCATAAGTGAATTAACCATTATTTATATGATTATATTATGACTTAAATTTTATTATTTTATTCGTATTTTTAATGCACTACTTGAATATAATTATAAATTCAATATAAATGATTAGATTGTGTTTGAATAACATACATCTTTTAAATCATTATTATCTAAAATCATAAAAAAGTTGAATAAATTGATAAATCTGCTCATGAAATATCTTGGAGAATGTTGTCCAGATATATTGTAAGGATTACAAATATTGAAAATAGTTTAGGTATAGGATGATGAAATTATTATAGACATAACATACATTTTAAACTTGATAAAATTGAGTAAAGCTGCCATTTCAAATCCTATAAGGCTTATAATAATGGATTTCATACTGTAGCTCAAGCAAGATATTCATTAAGGAAATGGCCTATTAATTTAATTATTGGGTAGAACATTAAAGCTAATCTTTAATAAAATGAATTTACTTGCAACCCTAAAGATATAAATTAAAGTTAATTTCTATATGAATTCTCTTGTTTGAAGGAAATTTACAGATTTAAAGTTATACATTTCAGAATTAATATATCAAATGTAAGAAAAATAAATCTTTGTAAGTTAATTGAAAATAGAGATTTAATAACAATTTTATAGATAATATGTTTAGTATGGCTATTTATTATAGAAATACAATGATATTTACTTCAACTTTAATATTTAATGTAAAAATATATTCCTGCTCCAATTAATGCAGAAAGCCCCATTAAAGCGAATCCGTATTTTGGATGATAAAATAACCAAGCAAAAGCTATGATTAAAATGGAAAATGGTATCGATATTGTAAAACTGACTAATAAAAAGATAATACCAGTGATTTAAGCTAAAAAGTTTCCAATAAATGGTAATACTGAAACAATAAATGTGATGGGAGAAAATATAAACCAAAATCCAACTCCCTATGAAACATAATAATAGATATTACCATTATTGTGTATCCTCCCAATCGTTATAGTGTTGTTGTACATTGATTTTCATCTGCTTTTTTTTAAAAAACCTAATCTAATGTCAAAATTGATTCATAGATCCAATTAATCTCAGTGATAGGTTTTTCAATTGATCTAAAATATTTGCAAATAAAGCAACAACAATTTGCACAATTGAATTCCACATTATCCAAATTTTCAAAATTTTAATCCCTAGCCAAAGTTTAATTAAATTTATCTTGAAAGACAAAAGGTGTAAATGTATCATTCTACTAATAAGTAATCACAGTTGTAGGACCAGTTTTTGAAGCGTTGAATGAGACTCTCAAATCATTCATAGTGATAGCTCCTTTATTTTATTAGAAATATATATATTGTTCATTGGCTTCGCTATTATATTGATAAATCTTACTAATTGGTGAATCCCTTTTCATATCCATAAAAATTGGCAACTACTTATGCATTATGAAGATTCATAGGAATACTTTCTTTTGCGTTTGTTTGTTCTGCCAAGGATTTACTCATCAAATAAGCACCAAGACGAACATTCATATTAATTTATGTCTCTTATTCTACAATCCAATAATTTTTGTTATTAAAGTGTCCTTCCCCACAATCAGAATGAAACGTTGTGTTCCATTCTTAAACATAATAATAAACTGTGGTATTATTTTCTTCTTTTGTTTTGCGAACCCATTAATACATTTCCACTACTCTATCTAGCTTAACACAATCCTTCAAAGACAAACCAAAAGCAGCATCAACAACAAGATCATTGGTAGTAGTTTCGCCTATTAGAATGATATAAATGAATCTCTACCATTAGTGTGAATTAATTAATTATTTGTATTAGGATTCACTTCAAGTGAGCTGACTGAAGTGCATTATTTCTTTGCTTCATCTAATCGATATTCTGTGATTGCCTATCTAAGTTTGTTAAGTTATATAATAACAACCTCCTCTCATTGTACCATAACAAAGCAATAGCCCCAAATATTAAAAAGAATCCAACTATGAAATCTACATAAGGGTTTTAAGAGGCTCTGCGTGAAGACAAATGCTTATTTTAATGCTCTAAGATATCTTATAAAAATACATTCAATATGTCCTCTGAGATGATTGCTAGTATTGCAGGAGGAAATTAATAAAGATAATAATACGAGCACGACAAAATTGTGATTTGATGATATCAATCTTATCATTATTGATTTATTAAATAATAAAAATGCATTAACAACATTTCTTTATGTATGCAGATAAACAGTTTAATATCCTAATCGATAAATAACTTATATGCAAATTAATTTAACTAAATGAATTGATGACATTCCGCTTAATACTTTCTAGTTGATTCATTGATACCTAACCTAAATTTAAGGGGAAATATATCATTTAACTTAATAGGAGATCAAAAAACATATTTTATTTATATCATTATAAACAGTTTAGCTAACACTATATATATACTTTTTTTATATACTAATTATCAAACTTAACCCATTGCAATACCGTAACCGAACTTATAAGAATCCTTATTGTAATCTGCAATAGCACATAATTTTAATTGATAGGCAAATCCTTACAAGGTTAAATTTGAGCTGAACTTCATTTTTGAATTGATAGTGATGATGACTTCTGATGTTGCAAACTTTTATCTGTAACCCTTAAAATATTAGAATTAATTCTATTACAAGTATAGTTCTAGATTCTCCAGTTTAATTGGAATACTCTAGTTCAGACATAAAATAGGCTTTATCCAAAATCTAAGTTTATATTAGTATAAATACTCTGTGATTGTAGGCTAAAATTAATTAATCAGCAGCTCCCACATATTAGGCATACAAATTCTACTTTGGATTGATTCCGAATTTGAAAGCATAACTCATCAAGGACATATTCCTTTCAGTCTAATTTATTTTAATTTAATACCAATGTCATCATCTCATACCCTAGAACCAGTCTCTTACCAATTGTTTACATCATATTGAAACTGTACAATCCTGTACCCAATTTAATTGAATGAACATAATCCTCTCCAGAAATGTCGCAATCCAAATGGACCTAGGCGTTGTTAGGACTAGAATCTAAATAGAAGGCGCTGAATCTATTTTCATGATAGAATACTATAGTCATACCTAAAATTAAATGTTTCATTCAATTTCTTTATGATGGCAGCTTCCAATTTGCCGGTAGAGTCCCATCTGCCAGTCATGATATAGGATGGTTGATCAAATGGAGTCCTTAGCTCTCCTCCTAAATATTGAGCAGCTAGAGTGTAGCTTGGAACAGGGGGTTATTTCATGGGATTAGGGTTAGGGGCCTTGCCTTTGCTCTATGATTTTAGATATGATCAAAATACTGAAGGAGGAATCATCCAGGAATGAGCTAAATGAAAATTATTTGATAATCCTCCTGCTACTTCGAATTTAAATCCTTTGATATGTTCTACTTTTTTTGTAACAGCCCTAACATTATTCAATAACCCATCAAAAAGTGGTGGTCTTCTTGGGTAACGATTTCTAAATTGAGGTGGTAAACTCATTTCTTCCTCATCATTTATTTTAAGATGTGGATCTTGTTAGGCAAATGCTGGATTATCCATGTCGACCTATTCTTTGTTGATTGCTGCCATTATTAATTTTTAATTAATTTATTATGAATTTAGATGATCACAATTCCAATGAACAAAAACCTGATAAAAAACTTCACTATTACGATCAGGATTGGCCTCAACAATAACAAACCATATCACCAAGATTCACTCCCTAGTAGTTTTATCTCTAACCACCTTAAAACATCTCTGCATTCAATCTCTTACCTGAACAAGAAATCCAAGATAAAAATAAGCCAAAATATCCATTTAGAAAATTATCTGCTGGAGATGGTTTAGATTAATAGGAAGAAGATCATAATCGCCATTTTTACAATTATCCACCACCATACTATTAGTAAATGCCATAACAAATGAAATATCCTCAAAATAACTAGTATATGCAAAAGTATCCATAACCCTATCCTCCTCCTTGGTATAGACCTCCATATCCACCATTTTACTACCCTCCTTATGATATGTCCTAATACTAAAATACCTTATCGAAGGAGCTCTAATCTAAAGTTAGTCAATTAGTTTAATATTAAAAAGTCTCTCCTTTTCAATGCAATTGCAAAAAAAGTAAATGTCTAAAACTCTATTGTGAATGCTTTACAAATAATTGGGTTTGATTCATCAATATTTTAGGTGTGTTCCTAAAGTTGTAATTGTACTGAATGCAAAAATAGAATCGACAATCCAAATGAAAGATCTAAAGCTATAGAGGAAGCTCTCCTTAGAAACCCAGAAGCATTTGCTCCCATCTTAACTAATAACGGCCAATAACCACAAGTCATCCAAGGTATTAAAGTTGTTTAAATTTTGACAGAATAAAAGTCTTAGAAAGACATACAGAAAGAAACTAAAAAGGGTTGCAATTGTAAAAAATCGGAATGCAAGAAAAAATACTGTGAATGCTATAGCATCAATTAAAAGTGCACGGAACTCTGTAAATGTGAGAATTGTCTAAATAAGGAGGAATAATAATAATAGATTCAACCAGAAAAGGTAGAAAAACATGTGTAGATAGAAATAATATAGTAATAATAATAAGAAGAGGAGGAAGAGATACAAAAAAAACCAGATAGTAAAAAATCAAAAAAAATTAAAAAGGAAACAATATAAAACAATAAAAATAATAAGAAAAAGAAAAAAAATTGATATTCTGCATTTATGTGTATATTAAATACCTAAGATATAATTGGATATTTAAGAAACATAATATATATATATAATCATTAGACTTTGCTTAAATTTTTTAATTCTTTTATTAATGGCAATATATTCTTTCCTTCTCTAGATTGCTCTTAAATCTTTTAACTTGCCCACATCATGAAAATCTCATCCTCCTTTTCTATCTTTCTTTATTTCTCTTCCTATTAATCTAATTATTCAAGATATTCTTTTTCCCTTAGACCCTAAAATATATATTAACAAATATTAATTACTATTTTTTCATTAATTTAATCTTATTAGAATCTGGAATTCTGAACTCTTCTCTCTCTTTATGCTGTAATTTCTGCTCTTTCAATCTCTTCTAGTTCCCTCCCTCTTTTTTCCCAATAGGTTTGAAATTCCTTTTTGTGATAATCAACAGCTAAACATATAATAATTAAAAATACATTTCGCCTCTCTGTCTTTAACTTCATCCTTAATCTTTCTACTGTAATCAATTGCTCTACACATTTGTTCCTTCTTCTACTTTTTTATTTTCTCAACCTCTTCAGCTTTTACTTGTGCTTCTATAATTTATTTATTCAAATGTTCTTCCTGGGCTTTTTTAACTATCTCTAACTACTATATCTGACGATCAATCATTTTTTATCTCTGTTCCTATTTCTCATGGAATTTTAAATCCTCTCTAACTTTTCTCATCTCAGCTATTCTCTATTTCTTATCTGCATGTTATCTTATCTTTTCATCCTCTTCTTTCTCCTTAATTTTTTATTACACTTTAAACTCCTTCAGTTAATCATTCGCCTGCTATACTAATCTCTAATTTTCCAATATCTTTTCCTACTTTAATCTTTAAATCTTCTATTCATCTTCTAAAGCATCCTTAACCTTTTATTTAATCAATTCTCCTTCAATCCTCTCTTCTTTCAATCTGGTGAGATATTTCTCTTTCATTTCTTCGTGTTATCTAAATATATGTCATCTTTACTTGTGTAACATATCCTTTTATTCCTTCTTTCTTTATTGCTACAGTTTCTATTTCAAAGTCTCCTTTTAATCGTACTCTTCTAATTGTTCTTCTATTATTTATTTATAGATCTCTTCTTATTAGTTAAGAAGTTCTTTCTTGTATTTCTCCATCACAATTTATTCGTCCCTCTCTAACAACACATCAGAAAAGAGCATTTTTCCATGAAATGCTTTAACTCTGTCATTCTCCTCATAAATTTATTTGTTGGCTTTTTCCAACGTAATTTTCTTTTCTCCTTTCTAAAAGATCTCCTCTTCAATGTCAATTTTCCTTCTCTCTTCCTCCGCTGCAGTGAATTTCTCAAATCTATGCTAATCTCTTTTTTATTTATAAGCTGCTATTGAGGTAGGCCAACGTTTCATCCTTTCCTCAGAATTAGCCTTCCTACAAATTAAAACAAGTTATACATTCTCATTTTATCTAGTTATCGTTCTTCTTGAGCCAAATTGCCCCCCTTAAGCTTTCCCCTAATGTGATTTAATTCAGAAAGGGGAATCAGAGTTTGAGTTTAAGTCTTTGAAAATTGATTTTATTGCTGCCCTCTTGATGTATTAGATAACATTTATTTTAATGAGTTAATAATTAAACTCAAATTATATAAAGAAATTAATTGCTACTCAAAAGATTATATATATCAAGTAGGGGTTTTTCTCAAAATTCTTCAGGTATGTAATTAATTTTCAACTCACTTATTAATCTTAAAATTTAAATAATGCATATTGCATAGAAAATAATAAAAAACTATGTTCATTAAATTCAATCTTTATTTCTCATATTAATGATCCTATAATTTCAAATATCATAGCCGTAGATTAAAAATTTGGTAATAATTTAAGTGTTATTACTATAAAGTAATATTTTTAAGTCTAAACAGTCAAAATTTAAGAGAAATTTATTTCTTATATTATAATTAAAACATTAACTCTAAATTAATGACCATTTTTAAGAAATATAAAGAAACCTAAAAGTGAGTATAAATTAATTGGTTTTTGTTAATATTAAGCAAATTTGATTTTATTTGCTATATGATAAAGCAAATGGCAATAGTCCTATTATTTTTAATCTCTAAAATTTATTGGATTATAAATGCTTAATTTATAAAACAAGTGAATTTAATGTGCTAATATTAAAATTTATGAATATCGTTTAGGAGTGGTATAATAATAAAATAAATTATATTAAATATCAGATCAATAGCTCTCTTTATGAACATCAGTCCATCTGATTCTCTTTCCATCTGCCCATTCTCCTCTTTTGCTTGTTCCATCTGATTTAATAAACACTCCTTATCCTTATTACTTCCCATCAACCCACTAGCCAATGTACTTTCTTCCATCACTCCAAATAAATGTGCCATGTCCGTGTTTTTTATCTTCCTTATATCTAAGAAATAAATTTAACTAATTACTCTCCATCATATGATCTACCATCTGGCCATTTCGTTAATCCATATCCATGCATTTTATTCCTCTACCAATCACCATTATATTGTCTCTTGTCTGCCCAAACATACAATCCTAAATGAATAAATATTGACACGTACCTTTCCCATGAATATCATTTGCCAAGAATTCTCCATCATAAAATGAGCCATCTATGAATTCCAGTTTTCCTTTGCCATGTTTTTTACCATCTATATACTACCCTTTGTATTTAGATCCGTCTGGCCAAGTTTCTTCACCAAATCCTTCTTACTTGTCATCTTTCCATTATCCTTGATATGTTGCTCCATTGCTGTGATAATACCTTCCAAAACCATTAGCCTTATCATTAGCCCATTCACCATCATAAATGTCTCCATCTGCATGTATTAGCTTTCCCCTTCCACATGCCTTATCATTAACCCATTCTCCTTCATATACTGATTAATCTGGCCAAACTTACCTCCCCCAACCATGTCTTTATTCATCCTTCCACTATCCAGTATAAATTGCTCCTGTTTCAAGTGTTACCGGTTCACATTTTTCAAGAAAAGAATCATGTTATAATTAAGTTTTTATTTCTTCAAACCTCTAGTTTGATCGCTTTAGTTGTTCATAATGATCATTATCATAATGAACTTAAGGAACATTCACATCTGAAGATTGTTGAGATTATCTAACTGAATGTCCTGATCCTTTTAGACCCTAATCAATCTATTATTCAAAATCTGACTGATTCACATGATTCCCATTAACTATTGTGTGATCCGTATTGCTTTATCCACATATTCCACTACAAGCTCCCATTTATAAATATTTAGTAAAAATAATTAATTTGATATATGAAAAAATTTCAAAATCTCAAAGAATTCCAATGATGACTTTAATTTCTCTATTTTACCTATCCTACTATATTAGATTAATTGATACTTTTATTTGTTTCTAATACTACTTTATTTAAACTATAAAGAAATTTAAAGTTAAGATTAAATTATCTTAATAACAAAACCAAATTTGTTTGCCAAAACTATGAGTTTATACTGTAGCTTATACTATAACCTATATTCTAGTTGCTACCTCTTAAAAGTTCAAAGAAACATTTTAAATGATTACAAAGTCAGTAAAATCAAGTTTAATATAATTATTATTAAATTGTATTATTTTTTATAGTTATGTGTTGGATTTTGAAAAATCTATATTATGTGATTTAACTTTACATCAATCTAAAATATAATAGATAAATGATTCAGGAGTTTAGTAAAATGTTGATAACAATTTGTTATGGTTATGAAGCGAGTATTTTTATTCTTAAATTCATTATATTTATATTAAACACTTTGAATATTGATAAAAAGTACTTAGGGAAATTCATAGACTGTGTATTTAATATCTTTTTTAAGATATTCTGATTAACTTTCTTAATCATATTATATTGTTATCTTTTGATCCAAAATTTCGATTAATAGAGTTATCTTGAGTCGGCTTCTCAAATTTTGAAATCTTTTTTAATATTGATTTATTTGTTAAATCCACCATTCAAATCGTTATTAAATTGAGTTTCAATCAAGAATTGTATAGAATTGAAAGTCTTTGCAACTTATGATAAATTTATTTGATAATCTTTAATTTGAAAACAAAAGGCGATAAAATTTACTTATTAGATTAAAATTTTTTTCTTCGATTTTGAATTGAATTCCAAGAGCAAGTGAAATTATTAGCCATCCATTTTAATATGATATCAATCACAAAAAAATTTTAATGAAAACTATAAATTGTTGTTTCTAAAATTTTTAAAGTCATTAATTGTTCAATAAATTCATAAAGTTTTTGAACTCTAAATTATTTAGTTAATGAATAAATGGAGTTAGATTAATTTTTGATTAATTTCGATTCTAATGAGATAATATAAAAACATCTTTATATAAATAACTATGTAACATTAATCATAAATTTATTTAAATTTATATACTAATTTTTAAACATTTTTGTTTGAGTCACAACATTAAATCAATCCTAACCTTTAATATTTATTCATAATGTGTTCAATAGCTGATACGTTCTTCTCATTTAATAAGATACTCATCAACTCCACCTATTCATTTGAAGTATATTTAAATTACTTGTTCAACCCTATGAAAAATTCTGTGTATGCTATCTGGTAGTGATTTCTTCTCTAAAACTCAGCAAGACTTTTTTTATAGAAATATTAGAGAAACAGCAAAATGTTGATCAAAGACTTGATTGTATTTTTTATATAATGTTATCTGGATTATCATAAAATCATCAGATCAAAATTGGGGAGGGATTTGCCAAAAGTCTAGAATAGATAAATGTTATCGTACTTCACTTATTAGCTATTCGATGAGCTAATTGTGCCTTAAAAATTAGCGTTTGCCTGGGATTGGTAAAATCGATTTTCTCAACTGTTAAATAAAAAAAGGAGTTATTAGAACTATTTAATTTTGCCTCTTTGATTGTTTCTGGAGTCTACCTCTTCATATGATATTTTATGTTTAATTATTTATTAAAAAGAAGAATTATATAGATTATGGCTTTCTAATTGAATCAGCATTTTTAACTTGCATTTTTTGTTCATCAGAGAAACTACTGCTATTTGTTAATCTAAATCCATCAGAAACCTACTTTTACAAGCCAAGAGAGATCTCCTATTCATATAAATATAAGACAGTTATTTTATATCTCCTTTTATAATAGAGATTCATATGTTTGTATGATATAATATTAGATTTTAATTCTACGGGAGTTTCAAAAGTAGATAAATCCTACAATAACTAATTCTTTTCATAATTTAGAGAAATTCGCGGGGAATGGAATATAGTTTTGGAAACTCTTGCAGATATATAATATATATAATAAATTACATAAAAACGGAAATGAGATTATTATTAGTTCTATTGATAGTCACAATAGTTTCTGCCTCAATGGCTCCTCCCATTACAAGTAACGACAAAAAATGGGTGAAATCATCAATTGAAAATAATGATTGCCATAAAGATTGTAAAAGAGCAGATGGCCATGTTTGCGCCGGATTGCATAAATCATAATGTTGTCAAAGACATTGGTGTTTATAGGATGAAAAATTACATGACGTTTGGAGCTGCAGAACTGGATTGTAACTTTTGTTATTATACTAAACTTTAGCGAAATTCATGTTGATTCATGTAATTCATTCCCTAAAAGAGATGCAGGATTTCTATAAGAAACAGATTGATATAAGCAATTAAAATCATTTACATATCCAGTAAAATACATTTATTCTCTTGCTTCGTCTTCTTCAAATATTTAGCAGAACATTAAAATAATAATCATGCAAAGAAATAGGAAAGGCATTTATTAAAAATGAATCTAAGAGAGCATTAACATTATTTATTCTACTTTTATAGTGGTCAATTAAGCTAATATCAATATATTCTTCAATAATTAAATAATAAGCTTCATTTATTAATTTTCATTTTTATAGATACTTATTTTATATATTAAACTAATAACAATAACACGCGTGATTTGATTAATAAAAATATTAAAACAGAAAAATATCGAGATGGTACTTATTCTTATATAGCATAGCCATCTGCTTAAACAATGAAATTGAGAAGCCAAAACTATTAAGGAAACATTCATAAATAAGGAAAGGTTCCAAAATCATTGATTGTAATATAATTGAATATTCATTCATTAATAGAAAAAAGAAGAAAACCTACCAGTGGGTCCAATATTATTAGGAGTGTTCTTGTTTGTAGTGGTTGGATCAGGTATTCATTATTATTTATTAAATCAAAGCCTTGTTTCAAATACTCAATGTAGCTTCAAGTGGATAAGATGTTTGATATATATTTATTTGCTATATCATTGTTTCATTTAAACAATACAGAAATTACAATCTAACGCAGCTATCTATTACCTTTCATATATTCTTCCTCCATTTTATTTGCCTCTCATTTTTCTTAATAAAATTCCACAATTTTGCTTCCAAGATTCTGGGTAAAATAGACGATTTGAATCAAAACATCAAATGATTATTAAATTTAACATGGACTTCTATCCTCCTCATTCCAGATAAAAAAAACATCTGAGCAAATATTTGATTTTGTAATACCAAATTTAATCTTATCAGATAGTGTTTCTTGCTATATTGATTAGTATTAACACTTTACAAAGTGTCTTGTATGTGAAATCTAATAAATAAGAATTCAGATGAAATTTATGAGAATGAATTTATTAGAATTATTCTAATAGAAAAGTAACTATATTAAAAATTACTATATATCATAATATAATATAATCTATGATATTCAGTAATCTAAATGCCTAATATTACCAAATTTAACAACTAAATTTATCATTTATCTTGTCGAAATCTATAAACATTTTGAAATTAGATGCAAGAAAATAAAAGTTTTATGAAATAAGTATGAAGTTAATAAATAAAATTATAAAGTTAAAGTCAATTTAAGTTAAAATTTCAAGTCTAAAATTCAAAGTGATTAACCCTATAACAGCATTTTCTAACTATGATTAAGAAATATAGTTTAAACATATTTTATTAATAATTTATTGTTGCAATACTATCATATACAAATTACTACTATAAATAGATTAAGTCAAATATGATTACATATTACAATATATATTGTTTAGAATTATTATTTAAAAAAATTTAACAATTGCGATGTATGTTATATTCTGAAGTCTCCATCCTTCCTTATGCAGTTAATTTTTTGATATAAATTGTTTTCAATTTAAATTATAAACTATTAGTAAAATGAAATAATGAATTGAGAGAGTCAAAGTGTATTTTATCATGTTTGAAATATATTAGTTAATAAATATAAATTAGTATTGATCTTTTAATTTTAAGATTTGAGTTTGCCTGATGAAATAGATTGAGATTGTCAGTAGCGTTGAGAGTTATTGGTTATAGAAATGAATGAGAAATTAATAATTATTTATATTTTAATGAATAAAGAAAAGGATAACCAAGAACTATTAATAGGAAAGGATTGGGAAGGAAACCAAATTCATATCCATAATGAGGATCTTCACAAAGCAGAATACGTTGATGTTTAAGCTATGTTAAATGATACGCTTGATAAATTGGACAAAATAGAGAAGATAGAAATATTTATGACGTTCCTCAACTTTACAACGAAAGCTTTGTCTCTCTATCTTGTCCTGATTTATTTTGACACTGTCTTCAAATATGATTCTCTCTTGCTATTCAGTTATCTCCTATATGCATTGCTTGAATTGGTTGCCTTTGGAGCAGCATTTGCAGTTGTTTTGAGTGCCCGAATCATATCAGCCTTATTGGGAGTGAACGTATTCTATTTAGGTAACACATACGTTATGCTTAGACAGCTTCATTTATTTACCCATCTTGTATTCTTTATTCAAGTTTTGCTTTGTGGTAACCTTTCTTGTGTAATCATTAACCGTTGTGATCTTTTCTAAGTTTTCCCATTGGATATTCCCCTTAGTTCTAGTATGATTAGTGATAATAATAAAAATAGATAGCCTCACTCTTTGTAACTCTCATATTACAAGTTAGTCGATTGATCCTGATGGTTGGAGGGAAGGTTAGTTCGGTTTCGAAGTGTTTTGATACCAACTGGATATTCAAGATATTGGCTCCTGAGAATTGGTAGAAGGTATGCTATTTGATCCTATGAATATTACAGAGTTACCAATTCACAAGGAATATGCTCTATCAATTTTTGAATATCTTCGAAGAACTCAATCCGGAGTACAAGGAATTCATTCAGAAAGGGTACAAGTACTAGAAGTAAGTGATTGAGTTGAAAGAAGACATTGAATGGGCGAAGGATTTCATCAAAAGATCCATAATAGAAAATAACGATGTCCCAGGCAATCCTTCTTCAAACAAATAATCTCTTGTCATATAATCATGAATATAAACTAGAAGTATAAGCATTTCATAAAAAGTTTAAAATTATAATCTTCTCCATATTCAAATATAATTATCAGATTAAAAATGAGTTATTTCTCTCTATCTAGCAGATTGACATTCTTGTTAATTTAGCTTAAAAGCCAGGCCCTAATTACATCAGACCAATATTCCCAACTTTGCGACCATGCTGCTAAGGATGATCCACAATTGAAGCAGTTGATTGTTTCCTACGAGAATGGTTTACCATAAAGTGAGTTTATTGCTCAAATGTCAAAAATGCTGGATACTCAAAATGGTAATGATAACATCATCAAATCCTACTTGTAAGTCTGAATATCATTAATATTAGTAACTCCATAGTCAATATTGGCAAATCGCTCAAGAGTAAAATTAAGTAGTTTTATGGAGACATTAAGGTAAATTTAATCTTAATTTAATCTTAGCAAGATATCAACGAAATCTATCAAGAGTGCTTCATAGCACAGAATCATCAGCAGCAAATAAAGAGTCTCATTCGATTAATACTTAAGCATTTTAACATTAATGAATTTACTTTACTACAATTTATGTAGAATGAGCAATGTTAAATTCTTACAAATAATTTTGAATCAATTACAATTAAAGAAGTCCAGAATATACAATAGTTTATTCAAGCACAATTACATAATTAAATCCTCGAGACTTCAAAAGAATTAGTAACATTATTAAAAACAGATTAATTACCTTAATTTTATATAATAGCAAATAATGGTATAATTTTTTTTACCTTTAATGAAAATATCAATAGCACCTTTAAATCGTACTTCATGATTGCTTCTCTTTACAACCAAATCATTTCAATTATCAAATAAGGATCTCAAATAACTGCATTAAAAAAATTATAGACTATTAGAATGGAAATCTTATAATTTGTATCAAGAACTATATAGATTTTAAATTACAAACTACTCTTCAGCATATTGATTTAAATAATGAAGTAGTTTAGTTTGCAAAGTTTGGTTAGCCAAAGTGATCTATAAGAATTGTTGTAATAAAATGTAAAGAATTATCTAATGCTAAATTTTTAAAGCGAGTGGGATGTTGCGTATATTGATTTGGAAGGCAATCTTTCCACTTAATTGAAGGAAAAAGTGCAGAGCACTTTTAGAAAGAGCATCAAAAGATATAGTAAGAAGTTAAAATAGAAAAAGTATTTATTAGAATCATTCTAATAAGTTACTTAGCATAATGAAATGATTATGTGTTTATTCTTTAACAGTTACTTGTTTGTGTACTACATGACTGTTTAATGGAATCATGATTAATTTGTGTACTTAATGCATATAGATATAGGTCTCGATTCAAACTACCCAAAGAAATCAATTTTGGAGATCCACTCTATAAGATCTTTGAAAAAAACCCAATTGTAATAGCAAAAGTAAAAGAATTAATTGAATCTAAAAATGATCATTTGGAATTTAACGATGGCTACTATAAATTTTCTTTGAAAGTCGAAAGAGGAACCAAATAGGATGTTAAATAAATTTCTGTCTATTTATTCAACATGCAATTGAAAAGGTATTTCAAATGTTGATTTATAAGACCTCTCTACGAATTATTATAAATCTTTCGAAACAAAGTTAAAATATTATTGACACTAAAGAGGGCAACATTGGCATTTAAATCAAAGCAACTTGTGATGGAAAATCAATTCTTTAGAGAATCAGCTTTGGTGATGTATTTGCCAGATCAAGATATGAGGAGAATAAATGCGATCTATAACTAAAGTCATGAATAAGCACTAGAGAAATATAGAGCATATACAATGAAAAAGAAATCAAAAAAATTGGAATAGTTCTTATCTAAATATGAGGAGGAGGACAAGAATACTCCAGATGATCGAAAAATAGCAATAGATCCTAATTTATAGGAAAGATTACTAGATTACGAGTTTAATCTATTGAACAAGAAATTGTATAAGAATAAGTTTATGATTGTGTATAACATCTTTGATATGCTTGAATACACCAAATAATATACATTAAAAAATAAGGAACTCGTCAATTTTTTAACTGCCTTGAAATACAAGTATAATAAGTCAGCAAATCCATTTCATAATTTTACTCATGGAGTCAATGTAATGCATGGATGTTTTCTTTTTGCTCATCATTCAAAATTTGGTTCATGTTTTAATGATTAATAGAGATTTGCTATGACATTGGCAGGTTTATGTCATGATGTTGGACATCCTGGGACAAATAATTTATTTTAAGTGAATGCTTAGACTAAATTGGCTTTGTTATACAATGATAAATCCGTTTTAGAGAATCATCATATAGCAGTCACCTATAAATTGCTGGCATTGAAACAATGTGATTTTTTGGGATCAATCCCAAGAGCAGACAAAATAATGATCAGAAAATACATTGTGAATAATGTGTTAGCCACCGATAATTAATTCCATTTTAAACTGCTCAATGATATCGAAATTAAATTTGGTCAATCCTTAGGCGATCCAAAAATCTTTAGTATCTTTAGAAGTTATATAATAACTAGAATCTGATGATAACAAGCTTCTTCTGAGTGGGTTCTTGACTCATGCCGCTGACTTTTTCGGAGCAGCAAAGTCTTATCAAATAGGCAGAGAGTGGAGCGAAAGGTTAAGGAAAGAATTTCAGGCATAAGTAAATTAGCGATAATATGATTTTAAAGTCTCAATTAGAAGATATAGTTGGTATCGCCTAGACTCCGTATCTCAGAAATTTAGACGATGAGGTTCAGTATGCCAAAAATGAGATTGGATTCTTGAAGGTCATCGTGAAACCCATTTATGAATCCTTGAATCAGTTCTCTGATGGAGCAATGTCATTATAATTAGCTAACATTAATCTAAGCATTAAAAAATATTCAGAAATCGTTGATTCACATTAATAATAATGAATATGAGTCTATACAGCCTTACAAAATACTAATATCATTATAATTCACTATCTGATAGATTTGAATCATTTCCTGAAAATGCTTCCAATTTTTTATTGATATCTTGCATCAAATCGATACTTCGATTAAAAGAGTTCCTACATTCTTCGATAGACACTCTATTTGTTGATTTGTTCTAACTATTCTCACTCTCTGAACATGGACAACTCACTAAATCCAAATTGTTATCTATCCCATATAAAAACAATCCTTACTCTTATCTTGTTCATTCATAGCTGCCTACTCCTTTTGTTCCTCTATGAGTTACTGATTTCTAGAATGTAGACACCCCATTTAATAATTAATATATTATTTTAACACTCATTTATTTATCAAATATATGGCCTTTTCTATACTTTACAATAATTTACTAATTAATTACTAAATAATAATAAGTAGTACAAAAATATAGTTTATTTAGTACCTGTAATTATAGGAATGATGTGGTTCGGATTTCATAAATAGAATTTTGAGTCATTCATATTGTCCCATCACATAATTACTTTGATCTAATTAAGTAAATTGAGTCATCAAAAGATTGTATCAATTCTATGAATTCTAAATTGCATTAATTTAAATGATTCACATCAACTGGATATGTCACGACTATAGAAATCATAAGGTTCTTTAATTAAATGTGGTGCATGGTTATGAAATAAGCTAATGCAATGAAATTCTATGAACTCATATTTCTAAACTATTACAATAATTTTTTCTTTATAGATTTTGAAAATACAATTTCTAAATAATGTTCAGATTGACTATTTTATGTTAGCCATTCAAATTACAATACTGTTTAATATTTATTTTGTATAGAAGTTGAGTATAAAAATTATTAAAATAATAAACTATTAATTGTATGTATTCATAATTATTCATATAATTTTAAACTAATTATGTTGGAGTTAAGCTTTTTGATTACTGTCTACACCTTCTGAGATGTCTTTAATTTTGAAATAAGGCATAGAATTGTAGACGTAATTAAGAACACAAATTAAGAAATATTTTACTTTAATACAATCAAAATTAAATACAAAATAACACTAAAATCTTATTAATAAATTTTGATCTTCTATATTTATCTCAATAAATAGTCCTTTGAATCCTTGTTTTTATTGAGTTCGATCATAATGAGAGGGATTGTTGTTTCTATTCATTTTATATGATGTTGTCTTGCACAGTTAGATAATATTAAAATGTGAAACACATAATTTTAAATCTAATTTAAAAGATCCAAGATTTTTATGAAGGTAACTAAATATGCTTTGCTTAGTTCAACATTTCCTACCCTTTGACAGGCGCTTAAAAAACAGTCGAAATTGATGATGACAAGAAATGGTAATAAATTGTGGGTGATTATGTAGCTCCATATTCTTCGATAAGAGAATGGGACAAGTTGTCGAGGCTGACAACCTTGGTGAGGAATACAAAGGATATGTACTCAAGATCACTGGTGGTAACGATAAACAAGGTTTCCCAATGAGACAAGGAGTCCTATTCAAGGGAAGAGTGAGAATCCTCATGAGAAAGGGACACAAGGGCTACAGACCAAGAAAGGATGGAGAGATGAAACGCAAATCAATTAGAGGATGCATTGTGGGTCAAGACATCAGAGTACTTGCCTTGTAAGTCGTAAAGAAGGGTGCCAATGAAATTGCTGGACTCACAGATCAAAAACGTCCCAAGAAGATTGGGTCCAAAGAGATTAACCAAATTGAGAAGATTATTCGGATTCAAGAAGGCTGATGGTGTTGCTATAGTTTAAAAGAATCTCATTAGAAGAACATGGACCACCAAGGATGGAAAGAAGAGATAAAAGGCTCCAAAGATCCAAAGACTCGTCACCGAATCAAGATTGAGAAGAAAGACCATCTAAAAGAAGACAGAATAAGCCAGAAGAACCAAGGCCAAATAAGCTTTGGAAGCATATAAAAAATTGGCTCATGATGTCCATGAAGCTCACAAGAAGCACAGAAAGGCCTCATCTGAAATCAAGGAGAAAGTCAAGGAACAACCAAAAGTATGAAATTCAAGCCAATTATTAGGCCAAAGACACTAAATAAGTTAAACCAACATAAGCAACTAAAGCAACAACATAAGCTAAGGGTGCTGCACCAGCCAAAGTAGCTGCTCCAGTTAAAGCCACAGCCCCAGTTAAGACAACTGCACCAGCCAAGACTGTACCATAACCAACTCAAAAAGCTCCAACCAAAGCCAAGAAATGAAAATGATATTATAAAATAAAGTACATTACATAAAATAATGATAAAATTAATAAATATCAATTTGAAAATGAAAAGTGAGGGGATTCTGGTTGTTGTTTCTACTCTGCAAATTCAAATTTTATCATTTATCTCTATTTTGTAGTCTAAGGTTTGTATTTAACTCGTTCTTGATTCAATTTATTCATATTGGTTTACGAGTGCATTTTGGTTGTGTTATTTTGTAAGTCTTTAAGGTAACGTTGTTCAACAACCAATGAAAAAGGTGGCATGATTTAAGAAAAATGCGAAAAGTTGCGATTAAATCGATAAAAACTAAGCATCTTTTATTAAAGTACTTAACACTATCAAGATTAAATATAAAATTTACTTCTTTATATAACTCAAGGATCTGCAATTTTTTCTATTTAGAGTCGTATTAGTTTTCAATAAGCGATTTAACATCTTTCATTATAAAAATGGCTATGTCTTGCAAATCGTAATAGATGAACTTCACAGTGTTGGCTAGTAGATGATTGGTTTAGAAGGAGTCTACATCTTCAATCTATGATTAAATGCCTATTCCCAAAATGCATTAATTCGATAATGTGAAATAAATTAATAATTCACCATTGATTACGTCTTCATTAATAAATGTTGTTTGGGAAGCCAGCTTATAAAGATAAAAGTAATATTGTTGACACACTTTTCCTAAAGTAGTATTGTTGATTTGAATATTAATTTGTTTTGATATTAAAATTTTAGATAATTCCGCTCGAGCTACTTATGAACTTAAAATTAGGTGAAGCAAAAGTAGAAGTTTTAATTTAATTTAGAAGTTCCCTTCCTTTTGACTCTCTCTTTCAAAGATTTTAAATAAAGACTTTAAGAATTATTTCTAGAGATAATGAATGCATGATAATACTTTAGTTTGTGCGTTTTCAAAGAAGGACTTAAGACGAATAGAAATTGACTGTTGGGATTAGAATTCATTGTTTTTGTCGAATATGTTAAGATCTCTAAGAGCGTCAAGGATAGGTTGAGAATTGTTGACAAATTCTTAAAAATTAGTAATCATAATATTAGATATTTTCAATTTGAATTCCATTTTAATTGATATTGTTAATTATAAACGAGAACAATAGATTAGAAAATTCTTGTTTGTAATGAGTTAGGAAAACAATAATTTAGTTATAGTATTATAATTTTTCAAAATTTATAAACAAATATTAGGAGACATGAAAGCAGCTTGTGTATTTTACAATAAGAAAAGTAATTATTACTAATACTACTTTAGAGTATCTGGGACCATCTTTATTTCTAGTATTGCAAGTAGGTTTACACGTATGGGCTTACAATGACTTCCTCATGAATTGTCACATTTTTGGGTTGTTATATAATGAACTATCAGCATTAGACCCTTGATGTTTGTTACAAGTGGATTGTATTTTATAGTACGGTTCAAAGATCCTGGAACTATTCCAATAGTTAAGGTAGAGCTTCCCCTTGAGAATAATCAAATCGAAGTAAAGATTGAAAATAATGAAAAAAGAGAAGTACTCAATGCTTAGGCAAATGATGAATCTAATGGTTAGATTTCACTGGATCAATTCAAAGATGGTCCTGATAATGACAACACAATATAAAAGTAAAATTGTACAGGAATATCATTGTAGATATTATCCGGAGTAATAGCAATAACAATCTACAAACAATCAGCACATCATATCGGGTAGAGGAATGCTATCATCGCCATCTTCTGAACAGGAAAAGATAAATATTCCAAATAAATAAACCTGTATAAGCACTTCAAATGCAGCCATTTCTCCAATATTGACAACAGAAAGGAGATTCTGTATGCAATGTTTAAATGAGTAACCAATGAGAGCCAAACACTGTCAATATTGCAAGAAATGTGTGCCATTGTTTGATCATCATTGTCCTTGGATTGGCATATGTATAGGCGAAAAGAATAAACTACTGTTTCTGATTTATTTGTTAGTCTAAATTGCTTAGTTAATAGTGGGTATTCGAATCTCAGTTCAGAATATTGGATTGCTGGTGGTTATGGGGGTTATTGTGCTTTTGCTGATTAGTCTATTGGGATTTCATGCGTATTATGTAGCCAAAAATATTACAACATGTAAAGTGATCAATAATCCCAGGGGAATACTTGAGTTGGAAAAGGATTTCGTATATCAATTAGAATTCAAGATATCCATTTGACAAAGGTGTGATCAATAATGTTAGGTTACTTCTCCAAATCTCATGCGAAAAAAAGATTTACGATTGGTAAATATAATCTTAATGAGTACTTTTATTTAAAATAAATTCAAATTTATTTATATTAAGATTTTTATCATATATTTTCAAACCATCTTTTGAAAATGTAATCTCTCTTTGTCAAGTGTTAAAAATGTTAACAAAGACCTGCTACCATTAAGTGTAATCAATGTAGATATGGTCAAACTTACAGATTATGCTATTCATGCGATTCTTAAATTCATAATCGAACAGGCCCTGTAGATCAGCAACATAAAACTGAAATCATCCCATATCAAGGTATTGATTAGCATTAACTCAACTCTAGAAATGTACTAGAAAAATTAGAGTAATGTCCCTGTTCCCTAAAAAAATGATTAAAGAAATTCATTCAAAAAAAATGATTACAAACCTTAACCTCAAGTTCCAACCAAGGACTTTCTAAACAATGAGTATAAGAAACCTGATTATTCCAAAACCATCGATATTAACAGAGTCAGCAACAAACATGATTATTTGGATAAGAAAATCGATAGTCATGAGAAAAGGGCTGATCAATAGTATCTCTCTAATGACAAAAGACCTTACTCCTCCAATTAGAAAATCACATCCGATAATGACCGAAATAGTCAGCAATTAATTAATTAGTTAAAAGAGGAACAATAACAAACAGAAAAACTTAAGGCTGAATTGTCATAGGCTAATTAGAGAGAGAGGGAAGCATAACGAAGATTGTAATTAATCATTGTATCTTAGATAAAAATTAGAATAGGAATTTGAACAAAAAATTAGAGAGGATAAATAAAAAGTTTAATAATTAACAGAAGAAAATAGAAATTTGAATAATAAATTAAATTAAACCAACAAGCATATTTAAGAGGAAGTAAATAAAGTAAGAAATCAATATGAAGAATAAATTAATGAATTGGAATAGATTCTCAATGAAAAAAATTAGTAATTAGAAAGCATTGCTTAAGAATATAATTTGGTAACAATTTGTTTAAATTTATTAGGAAGAATTATAACAAACTCTTAATGAATTACAATAAGAATCCCAAATGAAAGATTAAATTATCGAGTAATTGCAATAAAACTTGCATGACAATTAAGAGGAAATCCACTAAATGAGAGAAGAGTTTATGAATAATTCTAAGAAGAATTTATAATCCTCAAATAAAAAATCAGTGAAAAGTAATGATAATCAAAAAGATGAGTACATCTAGGAATTAGCCTAATAATTAGAGGCTAAAGATGAGGAAATTCATAAGTTAGAAGGTAAATTGAAATAATTATTCAGATTTAATCGAAAATTTCAAGTAATTATACTAACACATGAGCGATGAAAAATAACAGTTATAAGAAGAAGTAGAAAAGTTGGCAAATGAAAATAATTAGTTTAGAGATATATTCAGTGTATGAAATAATTATTATTGTCTAATAGCAAAATTTACATCTTTTTGGAATTGACCCAGAATAATTAAATGAAGAAGGAGAGGAAGGAGATAACGACTATCCAGAAGAGATTGCTGAAGAAAATGATGATCAAAATGATTGATTTTTTATATCAAATAATAAGAAATTAATTTGGAATTAATTTTATTTTTTATTCTCTATATTTCGATTCAATCTATAATAATATTTAAGATAGAAAGAATTAAATTGGATCCTCTTCTGTCCTTTCCAATTAAATACTATTTTGAATACTTAGAATTATAAATTAAATTATAAATATAAATACATGTAATAATATTTTATTGATAAAGACAAATCAATTTGGATTTTACTTGCATAACATGTTAAGGATCAATAAGCATTTAATAAGGAAATAGGGTTGAATGAGAATTGCATATATGCTTTAGTTAATCCAGAATATGTAAACTATGATAATTATTCTAGCTTGTTTCATTGTAGGCATGTCTGATTGCGATCTATAGAATGCTTAAGAAAAAGGAATATAATGTTTCATCGTAATTCCAAAGAGATTTGCATTATTTGTTAACACCAGAATGTTAAAGAAATGATATTAGATTTGGGATTACAAATATTTTGACTTAAAAGATGTTGTGCATATTTCTGACACCAGTAAGTGAAGAACAATTAAACAGTTTTGAGTTGGACGAGTTGACCAACTTATACCAATATTGCAATATTCCTCAGATGATCAAGTATTATAAAATAAGCGACGAAGAATTGAAAGTGGATAAGGATGTGAGAGGAGCTGTTTATAATTCCATTGCACTTAAAAAGTTTAAGTGAATAATATATAAATATTTTATAAATAAATTTTAATGGATAATGGTCCATGGTATTCTAAATAGGAGGGCAGTCCACTCAAATTATCTAGAAATGCCTCAATAACATCTCCTAGAAGAATGGATAATTCTGAGTTGAAACTGGTGAGAGAATACAATAGTCAGGTTTCGATTCCTGAGCATTAAATACTGTCTTTTGATCACTTGTTAGATGAAATCAATTTTGGAAACTTCTAATACTGGATATATGGTATTATGGCCTTGATGAGTATTAGTGAAGGAGCTTAGATTACCATATTTACATTAATGGTTCCCATATTAAAAAATGAATGGCACATTTCTGATTCATTAAATTCCTTATAAGCAAGTTTTGTTTTTGTAATAGTGTCATCTTAATTCAGGTAGGATATTTAGTAGGTTCAATGTTGTCAGGACAATTGGCTGATAGAGTTGGTAGAAAGAAACCATTTCTAATTAGTTCATTTTTTACCTGTCTATTATCCCTAGGAACGATAGCATGTTAAGAAATTTATTCACTTTTGATAGTCAGAGGATTGCTAGGGATTCTGGGTATTATATAATCAATTAATATATATATAGTTGGTCTCTTTGCACCGTGTGGAGTTACAATGATATCAGAGATTACTCCTGGTCATTTAAGAGGGAGATATATGGGTTTAATAACTTTGACTTTTGCCATAGGTTAACTATTTGGGTTGTTTGTTGCTGAATTTACATTAATATCTTTGGATGAAGGTAATTGGAGATTGCTGACTTTTTGGTGTTGTCTTCCAGGATTTTTAGCTTGGTTTATTAGCTTATTTCGTTTGAGGGAGAGTCCTAGGTTTGCGTTGTTAAGTGGATAGAAGGACTTAGCTTATAATATTATTGAAGAGATGATTCAATCAAACAAATCTTCGATTTAATTTAATGATGATTTGAAGATCAAATTGTCAAATTGGACTCATGCAATGAATAGAATAGCCAAAAATTAAAAAAATGTAATTCTTTTTTTAACGTTAAGGCTTCAGTAACTTCTCTATTTGAGAATAATAGATTCTTTCTGACAATTTTAATTTGGTTCAATTGGTTTATACTCTCATTTGTATACTATGGAATTGTACTTTTATTACCAGATATATTATCGCACATCGAATAAACTCACACTGGAAGAGATAAGATTATTTAATTAGTAGTATCCTGCATTAGTGACATTTTGGGTGCTGTAGCGGCTGCTTTCTTTATTGAATTAAAAGGATTTGGAAGAAAAAACTCTTTAATAATATTCTATACTATACAAGCCTTGACGGCACTTATGGGATTTTATGATATTGAACATCGTTTCATATATTGGGCAACGGCATCTAAGTTTTTTTTATCTATGACTTTCATCTTTTCGTATCAACTTAATTTTATTTAGATTTTAATATACGGCGGAAGTCTACCCAACAAAAATAAGGACAACTGGAATAGGTATGGCCAATGGAATAGGAAGACTAGGAGGAGTGATCATGCCATGGATATGCATGTATATGAATAGCAAACAATTGAGAAGTCCATTTGTATTATTTTCTGTTCTCTCTGTTATTACGTCATTTTCAAATTGTTTCTTACCATTTGAGACACTAGGGAAAGAATTGGAATGACTAATTAAGATATAAATATTATTAAATATGTAAATCTCAGAAGAGTAACTCATTCAAGAAGCACTCAAAGCCAAAGAAAGGGCATATTGTCCATATTCAAACTTTAGAGTAGGATGCTCTTTATTGACAAAAACGAACAAAATATATACAGGATGCAATGTCGAAAATGCTAGTTATGGTCTATGTGTTTGTGCTGAGCGTGTAGCGATATGCAAGGCTGTGAGTGAGGGGGATCGTCAAATTTCAACCATTGTAGTATCATGGTACTTATTTATAATAAAAAATAGTGACACTGATGAGCCTACATTCCCTTGTGGTATGTGCAGACAAACAATCATTGAAGTAAAATACAAATCTCTAAATAATAGTTTTGTTATGCTGGCAATGATATTAAAATTATCGCCATAGGAAAGGATCAAACAAAACCTAAGTATTCTAAAGGCTCCGAAGTTATACCATTTGCTTTTGTTCCCAAAGATCTTAACGTAGATCCTTAATTGGAAAATAAATGACAATAAAATATTTAAAAGAAACAATCACACCCATTCCCTTAATCACTTTTGCATCTTTTTGATTATTTATTTTAATTATAATGTTATTCTTTTTCCATCTATTTTGATCAATTATCAATTTTTACTCCTGAGAATGATGTTACTATCACAACTACACTTCAACGCTATTCTTATCTGATCATCGAAAGAATTTCATAATATATATTTATATAATTTAATCTTAATTACAATTTAGAGGGAATAATCGCTATGCCCAATTATAGGTATTATTTATTAACCTCCAAAAAACAATATTTAATTAATAAAAAAGTTCATGGCTTTTGTGAGCATTACGAATATTGTAGTTGATGACAAACCTCAACCCTTCACAAGTCCAATAACTATGGATATTTACTTTGATGTGATAGCTGACATTGAGGACGAAATAGAATGGACGTAATACATAATTTATTAATCTTAGTCTTCTTTATATAGGGTCTCCAAAAGATGAAGCTCATGATTAAATATTGGACTAATTTTCTATGGGACCCTTGACTAAGGGAACCAAGCAATTTACTCTTGAATCGAATCCACCTGATTGGAAAAAAATTCCTCAAGATGAATTATTGGGTATTACTGCCTTCATCTTGACATGTTCATACAGACAAAGAGAATTTTTCAGAGTCGGATATTATGTCTATAACACCTACACATCCCCTGAAAACATCGAAAACGACCCCTAAGAAGTCATCATCGAAGATATTGCTAGATAAATCTTCAATAATAAACCCCGTATAACTCGATTTGAAATCGACTGGAATAACCCTGCTAATTCTGAGGTTCAACAACAACCTATTTAAACAAAGGCCTACATGTTTCAAGAATAATAAGAGAAACAATCAGCTGATGCAACAGAAGTTTATGATGCTCCTCATTAGATTCAAAATGTATTTGACTCCTGATCATATTTTTTAATTAAAAACTTATTAAATAATTATTTGTTTTACATAAAAATATTTCACTACGATAATGCAAATTCTAATCAAACTAATAAATTGGAATTATGACAGCATCCCTTTATTCTAAATAATAATATTGATAAGTGAATTAAGAGCTAGATAAATGAATTGATAAAATTGATTTTGATCCAAATTAAACTAAAAATTAAAGAGAAAGCAGATAATCTAATTTATTGTTATTTAACTACCTCATCCATTCAATCAAGATGAGATTCATAAAATTAATAGATAATCAGTAATTTAATTCATAAAGAAAAGGAATACTCAAACAAAAGTGTTCCTCTAAGATCATTGTAATTTTATTCCTCAATCAGAAATTGCAACTTAAAAGAGTTATTTATTATTAATTAAATCAAAAATTGGTAATACTCCTACTACCTTCCTAAAATGAACTAGCCTGTTAATTATTAATGATATTAGTAATTGAGTTTCATATATAATAATAGAATTTAATCTTAATTACATTGAAACATACATGTTTAACAAGTTTGTATTCCTCAACTTTTAATAGATATTTACATTAACTATAAATGCTCATAATTCCTTCTTTAAACCATTCTATATGAATTTTAATTCTAATTGATAATAAATTAAAATTCCTATAGAAATTAAAATTAATTCATTCATTCATTTTTCTTACCTATTTATATTTATTTTTACAAATGTCAGAAGAATAAGCATAAGAATAAAATCAAACTATATAGGAAGTACAATAGGAGCAATCACAATAGCCTTAAATTGAAGTACATAATCAATAAGTTAAAGAGGAGGTTCAATAAAAAGAAGAGATTCAAGAAAAGTAGGAGAAGCAGGAATAAGTTGTTTAGTAAATCAAATAAGAGATAGAAGTCAAGGATGATAATCAATAATAACAAGAAGCTATTTAATAAGCAGAAACCATCACTTAAAAGGAACCTGAATAAGAAATTGCTTAAGATGAAAAAAAAGTTGAAGGCGATTAAGCAAAAGAGTAGGAAGATAGATAATAGTTAGCTGAAAAAAATCCAGAAACAATGTCATCAAATTTGGAGAATTTATTCTTAAAAGCAGATTATAGTTTTCCAGTATTTAAGTATTCTATATTTTAGATCGAAATAAAAGTAAGTGATCCTGTTTAAAAGAGTGGAGGTATTTCAAACTATGTAGTTTACACAATCAAGGGAAAAGATTGCTTTGGAGAATTCGAAGCATAAAGAAGATTCAATGAATTCTACACAATCAGAGAACTACTCTTAGCCAAATGGCCTGGATAATATATACCTCCAATTCCTGAGAAATCTGTCAGTACTGGATCAGACATCATTATTGAAAGGACAAGACTGCTTAATATATTTTGTATGAAGATGATGTAGATTAAACATCTCTATTATTCAGAAGAATTTTATGATATCTTTTTAAGGTCAACAAATCCTGATATAAACAAAGTATTTGATTCATAATATATTCAATAGCAAATAAGTTAGATACCTAAATAAAATGTGTTTGCATACACTGAGAGATATAAGCAAGCATTTTAGATCACTGATATAAAGGAAATCTCTCCTGAGATGATTAAGAAGATGAGTGGAGTCTAAATCTTTTTAAAATAATCGTCAACTTCTTTGGCCAAATTGCTAGAACAAGCTAAGAATTTAAGTTCCAGTCGAAAATAATTGAAGGAAACATTTTTCACAATTTTTGGACTTAACTTCTCTGAATATGAGAAATAAATACTTCAGGAATGGGTACCACAAAATAAAATGGTATTTTCTAATCCTGCCAATGCTGATATTTTAGAACTTGCTAAAAAGATTGTATTATTAATAAGCTAATATAGAGAGATCCAAATAACAATTCTCTTGACAAAATATAGGATTTAATTTCAACAGAACAAAGAGATATTGATGCATTTATTTAGGCATTCCAAACTAGAGATTCTTTGATGCAATCAAAATAAAAGGCAGAATAGAAGTTAAGTGAAGAATAATCAGATTTATACAAAATTATGAAAGGCAATTCGACTATGAAAGGTTCCTTTAGTAAAATAAGTCTGGAGGAATAAAAGTAAAAATTAGAACTTCAATTAAATGAGGTAATTATTACTCATACTATTTAGACTCAAAAAGAGGTTGATTAGTACAAGTTATTATTTTAATTGGTTACAGATGTTTTGACCTCTTATACTATTGATAAATTTAAAAAAGACAAGCATTAGACTTATAAATCGATTTTGGCTGATTTAGCCTCATGTGAATAGCAACAGTTGGAGATCCAATAGGAATTTTGGTCGAAAGTGTAATAGGTTATAGCGTAAAGTTAAGAACCTTGAATATTATTTTCATAAAAAGAAATGTGTTATTTATACAAATCATTAAGACTTCTGCTTTCCAACTGTCTTCTTGTCTTAAATTTAGAGTAATTCTTTCTGTACTCTTAAGCAGAACAATGACGATAGCAGATACACAACTCCAGGTCCATATGAAAGGATATTGTGTTTACTCGTCAAACTTAATGTAATTTAGAGCATTGATTCTAAAATATGGATTTTTACTTAGAATGGACTCAAAGTAGTGCCATTCTTATTTTTAAACATCTAAAATAAATGATAAATAAAAGCTAAGCTCTATGCATATTAAGTTGCCTAACAAAAAAATCCAATTGATTCCTCTGTCATCTATTACACAAAATATGAATATTGGACCAAGATTGTGAATTAATAAACAACCTAAGCAAACTATTTTTCATAAAACAATGCTGCAATTTGAAAAATTATTCCAATTATCAAATGGCCTAATATAAACTCATTAGATGAATATTTAATTTTCTTAAATACTATATAGAATGACAATATGAGACAAGTCTTTAATATCATTGTAGGTCCTACAGGGATAATTTTTAAGAATACCTATTTGATTGAAAAATGATGATTCTTTTTTGTAAGTTCGGAAGCCAAAATAGCAGTAATGGACAAGTTAGAACGCCAAGATTAGTTGAATGTCTAAGAATTGTTGCTTATCATCTGATGGAAATTCCTATACTATAGATTGCTAAGGTTCCATTTAATTTTTATAACTATCTAAATTAATATTATAATAGTAATTGCAAATAAATTTATTTTTATATTGACTCATTATATTGGTAAATTGTAGGTTGTATTTTTTCACAATATTTATAAATTTTGAGATTTAATTGATATAAAGTTAGTCTATCTATTTGAGCTTTTGAGATTTATAAGATAAAAATAGTATTGGTCTTCTATTTTTAATTATTTGAATTGACATTAATAAAAATCAATATATTTTAAAGAATTAGACTTTTATTATCACATTATAATTAAAATATTACTGAACCCGTCGTTCTGATTATCCTCTATAAAATCATTAGATTCTAGATTTAGTATAGACAACCTTCTCATACAAGCAACTCATTTTTGTCTGAACATTTTTGTCATTCTGATAATTATATGATTTATAAGGATGATGAGTTTTTGATATGTGAATAACACAAATCTTACCATCCATAGTAGGAGGGGAGTATTAGTTTAAAGATATTTGTAAAGAGGGGGAAATTTAATAATAAAATCATTTGTGTTTTCCACTAACTATATTGAAAAGATTTCTTTAGCAAGACACGGATCTATAAACAGTGTTGTAGTCATGTTCAAAGGGAATGACTTTTTCTTTTTTTACTAGAGGCACAGTCTTGATTCGACTTTTAGAAACAATTGGACTGTAGGTTCCGATTCTCAAATCTGCGTAATTCTTTATGTTCTATTCCGTAATGACCACTCTTTGGGAAGGGTAACTTTAGACTTCCTAAATTTTAAATTCGTAAAATGCAACCAAAGAAGGTTGAAATTTTTTTCGATGGTATTATAAAAACATTAAAAAAATGAATGAAAATTTTGATGGGATTTACAATTCTTTAAGTAAGAATTTCAACTCATATAATATTAGTGATATTTAATACTCAATTGTCTTCACTTTGCTTTCCCAATATTTCATTAATTCTATTTTGGAGTATCCTTTTCTCCTAAATAGATTCTGCTAAATCGCTATTAACTTTTTCATATTCTTATTATATCATTTGATATTGCTATTCCTATAGGCGACAATATGTACTTTCATGAGAATTGCATACTTCTTCTTTAATTCCTTGTACTTAGTTTCATTGTATGAATCCATCAATTTAACAAATATTAATTTTATTAATTATTATGTTTACTAGTGAAAGTGTGCAAGAACATATACTTTATGATAAAATATATCAATATCTTTGGGTTAAGTCTGAGACGTCGAGTCCACCTTCTGTGTTAATACCAGACACTGTGATTTTGATAAGGTCGATGCCAATATATTGGTATTTTACAGATAAGGAGACAGGGGAGGTGAAAAAAAAGATGAGGAAAAACGTTACGAAAGAAAATATAAAAGAAACCTGGTTGAATTAGGTTGGGAGATCTGGAGTAGTAGGATATCTGCTGCATTTTATGTATAAATAGCATACTTAACATTATCAAGAGAAAATTTAGACTTGAATTATCCACCTGAGAAGCTCAAAATAAGTGGCTAAATTTAGATTGTGTATTTTGACGAAAAAGGGTTCGAAAACTTTATGAATTCAAATTTGGAGCTTCCCTTTGGAATACTCTAACGATACGTTGAGGCAGCAGATGACAAAAATTGTATTCATCTCATTAAAATCAGCATAAATATAGGCATTTTGGAGTAAGTCAGTTACGCTCTTCACCAAGAGAGTGACAAAGAAAAGTTATCTGAACAAATCAATGAATATTTATGAGAGGCTGTGTACATTCGAAGGACCTGAATATTTGAGTGAAGCAAGTAAGATATTAGTATAATCATTAAAACTTAGCTTAAGTGAAGGATTTCTAATCTTAACGAATATCTGAATAGATTGAAAAGATGATTAATCATTTAGATGCAATATCATTTGGAAAATTGAATATAAGTTAAGGAACCTTTTATTTTAAGGTTGACAAATAAGCTAAATGTTGGTTCCTATTTTGTGGAAGTCTAAAATTCGATGACGATAAGCATTTTAAGAATTATCCAAAGGATTTATACACGCAATCATAAATTTAAATACCAAAATCAGTGGATGGCATTATGTCTGTGTATAGTCAAAGACCATTGCAATTGAACAAGGAATCTAAATGCATTAAGTGCGGTAACATTGACAAAGAGAACAATTTCATTGATATTCCATATCATTATATTTTAGATTAAAATGAAGAAAGTCTGCCCGCTGATCAATGGCCAAATGAAATTAAGAAAGAGGCCAAAACAGTAAAAGTGGCAGGGGCTAATGCTGGAACCCAAGCATTGTTAAATACAATAACACAGGTTCCCTTGGTATTTTAGAAGATTCACTAAAAGTTAAATTACACAAACTTCGAATATTTTAAAAATTCTGATGGATTTTTGCATAAAAAATTATAAGTCTGTTTAGATTGCTACATAGCTTTAGGTATATTAATATATTTATAACTATTTAAGTTGCTCATCAAGAGAAGGTGTAAAAGAATTGTGTAATTAACAAAATCAGTTAAAATATTCGAATTCGAAAGTCAACAGGAGGCTTCACAAATGCAAAACAGTTAAAGGCATATTTAAGATAGCAATAGAAAGAATAACAGAAGAAAATAAGTTAGGTTAAAACAACAGAGAGCAATACAAGCAATGGAATATAAAAAATAAGGCCGATTTAACAATATATCAATATGAGATTACAAAGTTTAAGTCCCCAATAAAAATACTCAATCGAAGTTCCTTCTACTGCAGATTACTTATCATTTAAAACGAAATCATCTAATTACGAGAGTAATTTAAAAATAAGAAATTTTTATAACTAGTCTCTTTAAACAAAATTGAATTCTTGAGATTAAATATTTTTTGCTTCTATTTTATTTGTTTTTTTAGTTTAAAAATGAAAATTGATTTTAATAGATTTAATTTTAAATTAAAAATAATTTCTTAGAGTCAAAAATATTAATGATGAACCTTTAAATATTTATTTTAATATTCAAATATATATTATTGTTCATTTTTTAACAGCTCTTGTTTTTTAAACTTTTTGTTAAAATTGGACACTATTATAAGAATCTTCTTATGCTTAAAAGTCTTCATCATCTTCATCAGAATCCATCTAAGACAAAGTGAGTTTATGATCATTTCCATTTTAACTGCCATCCTCACTGTCATCCTTGCCATTCTTGATTCCTTCATTTTCTTCTTGTATTTTTTTCACTTGTAATTTCTTGGAATTAAAGTATTATGATAGGTTATCCAACTCTTCTCTATCTACTGTAGAGAATAAATGAGATGCATTCTTGGTGACAATTTTAATATCAAAGAATTTATTCTGAGTTGTCTGTGTGATCTAATAGATTTTATGTATATAATTACTCTTTGAAATATAATCTCCTTAATATCGTCATGTTTAATGTAGATTACTGGTTTCTAGATGTAAAGCAGGGATTTTTCTAATGGGAATAGGAATCCTGAATGAGGCACGACTGAACATCTCAGACAAAATAAACCATTCTTGCATTTGAAATTCTTAGGTGATACTACTTTGATTCCTGTGATTTCTGAGAGAATATCGCATACTATATCAAACATGGAACCTGAGTATTCTAATCGAATGCCTTTCCATCCAATATTGTCTAATTGCTCTCTTGTGTACTTCATCTCAATTTAGGCTTCCAAGTCCTTCCTAAACTGCATCACAATGTAATTATAAGCAGTTTGACCTTGCTTAATGGGATTTTCAAGACCAACAACTAAGGAAAGATTGACTTCATCTGGCATTGGAAGCAAGAAGAATCTGGTTATACTCTTATAATCGGTAGTGAATTGATAGGTGTTGCCATGAAAGCGAATGTCTTTTTTAAAGAAATCCATTGTATATTTTCCCCTGGGAACTATTAATGGGACTTCGTGAATGGTAAGTATGGAATCGCTGCTGCCTCCAATTTTTGCTTTTTTGACAATGTGATTCTAAACTTGTTATAGGTATGAGATTTCATCTTATTCTTCTTCATTTGATTCCTATTTCTTTTTTTCAGCTTTCTAGTATTTTAATATTATAAACATACTTGTTCTTTCGGAGGAATATAAAATCTGACTTCACATAACATGTCTTCACTAATAAAGAATACTATGATATTTGATACTTTTCTGCACATTCATCAGTACTTAATTGTAGTACGATATCATTCTTTTGAATATTGGAATTTGTAATTCTCTTGAGAGGGAATTTAATGACATTTTGAGTGAGATGAGATAAACTCAAATTCTTATCATCTATATTGACTCTGCCCCAATTAGTTCCTTTAAGTGATTAATCTGCCATGAATATTTATTTATTGAACCTTGTAAGTTTTGGTTTTTGATATAGTGTAAGTATTCTAATATTTGGCAAATAATATTTATAATTTTGAATTCCAAATTATAATTGATATCAAAATCAATAGCTGTTGGATTATTTAATATATCAAGGTATTATAGATATAGAAATTATTGAAGTTTAATTACTACTTAAGAAATGAGTACTAAAATGATTGGATGATGGATGGACACAAAGTATAATGTATTGAATTACAAAAGAAATATAATCTATATAGCTAGTTAGTAATAATCGAGAGGAGAGTCAGAAATTTAAAAAAATTAAGATATCAATGAATATTGATCAAGATTAATCTTCAGTAATTTCATCCACTTCCTTAATACCTAATTCGTTCAGCATCCTATTAACTTATGACCCTCTCTTTTTTGAACCTTATTGTTCCTGTTGAATATTTTGCTTTTGTGTTTACAATTGCCATTCACTTGGAGTAATTTCTTAATTTTAATCCAAAATATTTCCTAATTAGAAGATTAGTTTATTATTTGAATTATAGAGTTCTTCTTTCATCTCCAAGCTGCTTTGAATATTGCATATGTCTCCAAAGGGATCTTGATGGATTGTCTTATCTATGGGGTTATTTCAAATTACAGATACTTGATGAACCACAAAACTGAAGGCCGCAACTTTTATCAAGTATTTCTTGTCTGGATCCCAATTTACTCATAAATGCATTGCTACTTCCAACTGAGTTCATTAATTGGATTTAACCACATTTTACAGTGTGTCTTTGGATGATGTGAATATTCCCGAAGTCTTGGACTAAATCATTAATATTAATATTTTCATTCTCATTAACGCTATTTTGTAACTTTTTGATTACATTCCCCCATTGCTCATTCATTTTTAAACTATTCTACAATGATTTACACCTTTCACAATTATCTCGTTCTATATTATCTTTACTCAACAAAGCCATGACATCACGAATGGTTCCAATTTCAAAGAAAGGATGTCGAATAGCTTCCTCTGCTGTTATCCTACCTTCTGATTTTGGATTAAGCATTGACATTATTAAATTAGATAATGGCAACTCAAGTTAAGTTAAAGATTCTTTGAATGTCCATTTATCTGGACTGCCTAATAAATTAATAAAATCTGATAATTCATTGGAATGTAAAGGTAATTTTTGAAAAGTACATTAATATATGATGACTCCTATTGCCCAAATGTCAACTTCTTTTGAGTAACTACTACTATGAAATATTTCAGGAGCACAGTAAAAAATGTTGCCTGTTTTTGTCAGCATATCAATTTCTTGTCCTTTGGATACAAATCGACGGGAAACTCCAAAATCCACCAGTTTCACATGTGGTGGATTGCTATTCTCCTCCAAATTGACAAGTATATTGTCAGGTTTAAGATCTCTATGACAAATGCCTTTGGAGTGAGAATGCTAGACTGCAAGCAACAATTATTTTATAATCACTTTTAACTCCTCTGATGTCAATACACGCTTCTTGATGACAGTCTCCAAACTGGGAAAATTGCAGTACTCCATAACTAAAAAGGAGGTTTCGCTTTTCTCATTGATGTACAATTCAATATCCTGAGCAATGTTTGAATGCTTTAGACACCTAGTATTGTTAAATGTCCTCCTCACATTGTTTTAAATTTCCTGATCTCCAGAACGCACTATTTTCACAGCGTAGATCTCGTCTGTTCCTTTTTTCCTGGCTGTCTTTACTACTGCATGAGCACCTTAGCCTACACTCATGATAACTTGAATCTCATACCTATGGTCTACAGACATTCATAATGATCTTCAAATCTTTTGGTTTCAATAGTGTCAAATGTATTCGAATTAGATTAATCATCACTAAATTGGATTTATGTTTTTAGTCGATTCGCCATTAAAATAATTAACTGAATGCTTCGATAAGTATGTGGCAGTGCCATAACCGTAGATCCCATTAAAAAAAGCAAGTCCTCTTGTTCCACACCCAATAAAGAATTCCAAATTGATCAAATCATTCACAAATATATTGGCATGGACAGAACTGCTGACACATTCACCTCTTCCATCACCACCATGTTCCATAACACTCTTCCCGAAGAAAAACAGCTCCTCGTCTCTCCTTACAAAAAGTTGACCGAAAAGGATTGCGAAAAATATTTCACAACCTTTCAAAGACTTTCCGATCGAAAATCTGACAATTTAGAGAGTCCTCATCAAGATGAAGAATTTCATCATCTCAAAACATCCAGCGAATATGGTTCTTCCCATAATTCATTACATGAACTCGCACAAAATCTAGAACAGGTTTTTGATTCCCCAGAAGGGACCAACAATGCACATACAGACAAAAGTCCTGAATTTTATAATCCAGAAACCAAACTCAAATCTCTACCAAAAGAACTTCCTATCATCGAAGAAAACGAAGAAATCCTCAACACACATCAAAGATTAAATGGACTCATCACCTAAATAGATTAGAAAATTGGCCTTCACCAAGTCAATTAACAAGTTATTGATAAAATAAAAGAAAAATACTTACCCAGAAAAGAAGAACTCTTGGAATTCCAAGATTTCCCTGAATTCAACCCATCTGATTGGCCCAAAGACGAAGACTTAGACAATCTTAAAAATGAATAACCTAAACAACAATCCCCCAAATAAATTGTTGTTAAGGAATTCAGAGTCTAAGCTGTTAGAAATATCACCTTCAATTCTAATGAATTTAACGATTTCATTTAGGAGTAGTTTCAAACAGAAGAATAAGAAAAAAAAGATTATTCTACGGAATAATAAATAAAAAATGATAGTCATGCAGACTAACAAATAACAAAAGATAATCAAAATGTATTTCAACAGAGAAAGAGTTAAATTCTTATTTCAAAAAACTCAAAATTCAAATTACCTGAATTAAATGATCATCAAATAAGACTAGCATCAAAAGTAATAATAATTGTATTGATATTGATACTGTTATCCCAATTATTCACTTTAATATTATGACAATGTATATATAAATAAAGTTTCATCTTTCAAGCCTCAGGTATATGCATTAATTTAAATTCAATAATTTATTATTATTCATGTTGAAATTCCTTTTTTCATATTTATTCATTAAAAATACTGTTTAAGATAATTACTTACAAACTAGATTTATATAACCAATACTCCTTTAAAAATCCATTATTATAAAATTAAGTGATCTTCTATTTTCAAATAATACTAAATTATCTAATTGATAGATTATATTATTTCATTAAAAAAATAAAAATTATTTATGATATAAATACTGATACACCAAAAAATTAGGATTGACTTGATTTCTCAAACTGCACATATAGAAGCTTAAAAAAATGAGGTTTTAATCTTACAACAATTTCGATAATTAATTTAAAAACGACTTAAATTTATTTTCTCCAATTCTTAGATTCAATATATGCAAAAAGTGGCATAACCTTGCATGGAAAAAGAATTTAATATAGACAAAGAGGAGAGTGATAATATAGAATCATACATAATTAGATTAATAATTCTTTATAATTGATAAGATAGGAATAATTTATTCCAGAATAATATTGGATGAACTCGAAAATTATTAAATCTTTTTTAGGAGAGCCTAATTGTAAATTATCCCATAGTCTCAATCCTCTCAAGCTAATAAAGCATGTGTACAATGAGAATTTTTCACTTTTTATAGAAAATAAAATGCTTTGAAAGATTTTAGCATTCCTCAAAATCCATAAAATGAAATGGAGATCATAGTCACTAATACTTACGTGTTGATAACTATTTAATATTATGTTTTTTATATCATTATTCCTTTATTTTTTTCTATGCTATCTCTGTTCTGTCAAATGATTCATAATAATCATGTATTAAGCTGAATATTCTTAAATTTGCTAAAGTGACAAAAAATGCACCAGCGTAAAGGTAAAGATTTCTTTCATCTCTATATAAATCCTCTTTATCTTCAATGTACTCCAATGTGGTTTTATCCAAATGCGAGTCAATATGTTCAAGTTGCTTTTTGACTTGATCAAAATTATAAACCCATAAAAGGCAAATTCCAAAGCTAATTATGCCATATGTAAATTTCAAATAACCATAGAATGGCTATTATCTTAACACTTTTGACAATGCCTGGTATAAATGCGATTAATTACTTTTTATGCTGGATTGAAAACCTTGAATAGGAATCCAAATGCTGTCAATCCATAAATTATGGACACGGCAATAAAGTATGAATATATGAATTTATTTATAAACATTATATTAATGAATACAATAATATCAAATAATTAGACTAATACAATAAGCATTCTTCTGTGATTAAAGTTGTTCGTACTCTGATAACTTTACACAGCAAGAATTTAAATGAAAATTATCATATTTGATTCATAACTCTCTAGAAAATAGGTCTTAGTGCACCCAGTAAAGCAGGATGGTGCGAGAGTGATAGAATGAATAACTTATTAATATAATAAATAATGTTTGAGAATCTAGGAACCTCGAAACATTAACTTAATAATCGAAGTTGCCATCATCCCAATTACACAATAAATTAATTTAGGTCTCATGACTATCCTAATCTCTGCAATGCAATACAGAATTCTTGATAGTCTAAAACCATAAATAATAAAATTAATATAAAATAATACATGATTTTTTCAGACTTATAAAGTGTTAATAAGTTCATAATTATATATGAAAGAGAATATAAAAAAGCACATCTAAAACAGTATTTCAATAATTGGTACTTATTCTTAAGTGCATATGTTAATGACAAAGAAAATAAAATGTGTATACTAATATTTTGGATTATTAATTAATGAATGCAAATTGTAGCCCTTGTTCAAATTGTAACTAATTAATTGAAGAGACTAAATTGGTTCTTCATGAAACCTATTGCATACGATTCAATATTAAATGCGATAGATGTGGGTAATATTATGACAAAAATGATCCTGAATCTCATGAAGAAGATTACCATAAAAAAGAAAAATGCTAGTATTGTTACGTAGATTTTGATGGTTATCATATTGTTTTGATTTCCTAGATTTATCTAAACATAAATGCCAAAAAACACCTCAATTATGTTTGTATTGTGAACTCAGTTATCCATTGGATTAGATTTATCAACACGAGAATCAGTGTGGAAGCAGAACTGAAAAATGCCAGATGTGTTAGAATTACGTTATGAAGAGGGATTTGAATGCCCATAATCAGAAATGCAGTTAAGAGACACAACTAAGAGAGAAACAAATTTAAAGGCCGTCGTCTATTTAAGAAAAACGATAAATTCCAAATGAGGAGATTAATAAGGTGTATCAACAACAAAAGAGTTAATAGAAATAATCAAATATCGATGCATTATCATAATAGGTTAAAACAAAAAAATAAGTTCCTTAACAATAGTAATAATAATAAGTAGGCAAAATACAATCGAAAGAGATAAGTTTTGGGTCAATTCAAAAATAAACATCTTTACAGCATTAAGTATCTCAGGATAATAAACAAAAAGAGTAAATTGAATTTGATAAATACTTTAAGTATTAACCAATTAGACCTCCGTCTTCAAATTCCTTATTAAAATAAAGACCAAGTCTTAATAATAACAAACCATCTATATCTTAAAATAGAATAAGACAACAGAGTAATTAAAAGCAAGTGAATCCAAAAGGAGAAGTGAATAATCTTTTAGCAAGCAAGTCCAAGAATTCAAATTTGCCTCCGATTGGAAGATAAATATAGAATCCAAAAAGAAATCCCGAAGCTAAAAATAGCAATCAAGATGTGAGAACAAAAAGTCTTTAATCAAGGTAACAAGTTAAAAGGAGTGTCTAAAACTGTGCAGAGAAAAAGGAGTAAATTGAAATCGAAGGGTTGAGGTTTTCAGAGGAAGAGTTAATGCAATAAAAAATGATCTTGGATCAACTGAAGTAATAGAAAAGGGATTCCAATTTTAAAGAATAACCTCTTGTCAATAGATAAAATTAAAATTCTAAGGCAAAGGCATCTATAGACCATTCAGAGTTTGGAGACTAAGGGGATTTTGATTAGTTTATGAGTCCAGAGGAACGGGCTATGCAATAATTCATATTGGAGAACTATTAATTGAATTCGAAAAAATAATGAATAACATATTATCATAGAATCATATTTAATTTAACAAAGGCAGCGAGAATAAGTTGAGCGGAGATCATCATGAGCTCAGAGCTTATTGCAAGAATCCTACTCATCAAAATATATTACAATTCTGGTGTAAGGGGTGCTCCAAAGCAATGTGTTAGAAATGTGTTGTTGAGCACAGCACCAAGCAATTTAGAAAAATACATCAATTGGTAGAGTTGAGTACGTTGAGAAGTGAAGTTCAAAAGGAGGCTACTGATTTAAGTTAAGAATTAGATTTATTAATGTAAACATTGTAACCAGAGTATAATTTAGTTGAATAGTAAAGAATAGGCTTATAGTTATTATAAAGAAGTCAAACAATTTTGCAATAGGCTGTAGCTAATTTCTTTGATGAACTCAAACATACATTCATTTCTTTAACATCTAATCATTCAAATTTAACCTAGAAGAAAGTATTATAGGAGGAATTAGAGAAAATTATGTTTGAATTAAATGAATACATATCCACGAATGACTTTTAAATATCAGAATTCTTCGAAAGGGATTTCAGAGCATCAATCAAGAAAATGAGAGAAAATGTTACTCAATTCATAGAGAAAACTAAAATTGAGTACAAGAAACCAAATCTAAAAATAAATGATAAATTCACCTAAGACATTCCACAATTGCTTTCAAATTATATTAGTATAACTTTCGAGAAGAACCACATGGATAAGACAGAGATTAGAGCACCAAAGCCAAGACAAACCTTGCATTTCACAATGGAAAGGAATAATAGTCAGAGACTAGAAAGAAAGATGACATTGATAAATCCCTAAAACTTGGCTTAGTCTCAAATCTTGAATCATACTTATCTCTAAGCAATTACAGAGTAGAACCTGGAAGATCAGTTGATTTAATAGTTTGACTAAAATGAAGAAATCTAAAAGATTGTAATTCTTGAGCAATCAAGAGTGAGATACTTACATTCATTAATTGATGCTTAGACACTTTTTATACATGATATTCAATTAAAAGAGAACTAATTGATTTCACTTCCTGAAAGTGCAAAAATACCGGAGAATGCCTAAACACTTATAACAAGTGATTTAATATTGTACATTTGTGGTGGGATCCATAATTCAGTACTTAGTTAAAAATTCTATTAATTTGACAATGTTCATGGATTATTGCAACTACCCAACTTATTAGAACCTGTAAATCATCACAGTTTAATATATGTGAAGGGATTCATTTATGTGATTGGGGGTAAGACTCTAGATGGTGTAACCGCTAAATGTTGGAGGTTTATTGTGAATACTTAATTATGGGAAGAGTTTGCTGCTTTGAATGAACCTCGATCTCATCATTCCTCATGTGTTTTTGAAAATGAGGATCAAGTATTTATTTACACATTTTTTGGATAAGGATAAGGAGGAATTCTGTTGGATTCAATAGAAAAGTATAGTAATTTGGAAAGGAGATGGCAAAGCATTTTAGTTAAAAATATGATACCTGGCTTTGCTACAATACGAAGTTGTTGTATCTAATTGGATGAATAGAAGATCTTAATTTATGGAGGGTATTACAAACATCTGAAAAATGCAAATAAAATGATTACATTCAATACTTAAACGGCAACAATAGATAATTTAAATTAATTGAATCTACCTATTGGATAGTTACAAGGACAACCAATCACAATAAACAATTCAATTTTCTCTCTTCATAATTGTCCAGATCAGATAGTTCCAAAATATTCAGAGTTTGGAGATGTACTCTACATTTTAGAAATAAACAACAATTCATGTCACATCCAGGATGTAATAAATTGTAGATAATTAACATTAAAAAAAAATTGAAGTTTTTTCATAATATTGGCATACTATCATTCCAATCTAATTCTAATTCTCCATATTTCGTTTTAAGTAAACACTCGATCAAGGGTGTCACTTTATCACTTGAATCAAATTGAACTCCCTCTATTTGAATCTTCTTTTTCTATTTTCCTAACTAAGCACCCAATCTTCTTATTGTGATGATGATGAGATCATCGGGGTTATTCAATCCATCATAGAAAACGAGATCAAACTCTTTTAAATTGTTTTCTACAATATATATATTACTCCATACTTAAATAAGGCTTGTCTTAAATTACATCATTATTGCAACCAAAAATGACTGAATAATGATATTCTTTGCAAATCACCCAAATGGGAAGTAAGGGCTCTTTCAGATTCTTACCCACTTCAAGATATTAAAAGTGTTCAAAGATAGTCAAGAATCCAATTTCGCTTCTTTCCTCAATTCCCTTTATTTTCATGTCATCTATTTATTTGCATCTATAAATTAAATCATAATTATTACCCATCAAAACAATTACTAATAGCCTATCCAGTCAACATCAGATTAACAGCTTCTTGAGTACAATGACCATGATTACCAATCAAAGGATTTACGGCTGAATCCATTTCCTACATAATTTATTCTACACCTTTTGTTAAAATAAGGGAATAGAAGAACAAAGTGACTCCATTTTGACCAAAAAACAGAGATGCATGTTCCAACAATACTTCATACAAATAACTAAGAGATTTGATTTAATATTCTAATTGATCACAACTTTCAGTTCCTATTGCTTGACTCATGGAGGAATCCCTTGCTGGGATAGCTATTATAAGTCTCTCTTTATTAGCTTTATAAAATATATCAGATAAAGCAGCAAGTAAACAATTTTATTTAATAGAAGACTTGGAATAGCTGGATTAAGAAAATAGAAAATGTTTAAGATAATAGGCTTAGACTGAGGCTAAAACACCACATGGGCCACCTTCTAACTAATGTAATCCGAAGAAAGTAGGTTCATCTTTAAATATAAATGGCTATGACCAACTTTTTGGTAGTCCAGTCATGGTGCCTTAGAACAGTAGTTTCTTAATAGGTTGTGTAATTGATTTTTGTTGAGGTTTTCTTTTCCCTTAATTAAATCCTATTGTTTTCTCATAATTAAGATTTGAAAATGGAAGTTGCACATTATGTTGTTTAATATTGCACTTCTAATACTCGACTTTAATGTTCAGAGATGGATCCTCTTAATTATTATCCTGTAAATCTCTGAGCATTACTTGATCAGCTTCTTTCTTTTCTGATTATTTTTTCATATTGATCAATCTGGGCGGTTGAGATATTAGTAACGAAGGGATTTCTTTGTTTTCTTATTTAGATTGATCATCCACTTTGTCATCTTAACCATCAAACAATCTGACTTGCTTTGTTGACGGTTTTCTTGGTGCTTCGAATGCTCCTTTATTTGATGAGAATGTCTCATCCTTCTTGTCCTCTTTCTATTCAATGACAACTTCCTCTTCTTTTGATAAATCCAAGTTTTTGGGTTTGTATTCTGATTAGGGTCTTTTCTTCATTTTATTCATGCGAGATGCACCAACACTAGGATCATATGGGACATCTTAAGGTATATCCTCAATCCTCTCAGCTTTTGATGCTATTGTTTAAGCTTCCAAATATGCTTTCTTAGTGAGAAGATGAGAAACCAGGATTTCTATTAAACTCTTTAGAGGTTTCAATGATTCGTTGTTTCGTTTTACTATTATTGAAAGTCCAAGCTACAAAATAACATCCATCCTAGTTATGGTAGTCTTGTCTTTGTACTCTTGGTCAAAGGTGTTTAAGGTCTCAGTGAGTCCTGACTTGATGAGGAATTCTCGAATAAGTGCTTTAACAACAATTTAATGCATTAATATTAATGTCGTTCATAAATGATTATTGTAAATAGATAATAAGACCTCCCAGAAGAACTTACTCAACCCAACTTCTAGGTATTGATTTCACTTCTAACAGGCCCCAAAATGCGTTTCATAAAAAATGTTCCAATAATCAGAGAAGATTTTGAATTTACCTCAAGATAACTAAAACTTCAAGCCAGTTACTTTGTATAGGAATCTGTTCATCATCGTTGTTTGATATATCTCCACTGCAATGCTAGTTGTAGATTAGAGGGATTGCAATATGTGGATAGATTGTTAGCTGCTGGAGTCAATCTATGCATTTTTGATTTTGCTGGGTGTGGTTTGTCAGATGGAAAATACATTACCATGGGAACCTATGAAAGTGTAGATGTTAAAGAACTCATGAACTACATAGAGTGTCGGTTTGGTAAAGTGGACGAGTTTATTTTATGGGGGAGAAGCATGGGAGCTGTCACAGCACTCATGTTGTCCCAAGATCCCAGAATTACCACCTACATTGCTGATAGTGCATTCACTTAATTAAGAACTGTTATTGAGGAGTTGGGTTAACAAAAATTTGGATGCTTCTCATTTATGATCAACGGTTTTATGCCATTTCTTAGAAGCAAGATAATCAATGAGGCTTAATTTGACATTGATCAAGTCTCTCCACTTAACTGTATTGGCATCTAGAGTAATAAAAAACGATTCTACTTCCTTGCTGGGAAAACTGATCAACTGGTTCATCCAAGACATTCACAAATACTCTACGAAAACTGTAAATCCTATAAGAGAATTGAGTTATGTGATGGAAATCACAATACAACCAGACAAATTGAAACACTAGACAAAATCTCCAATTTTATCAACCTATTACAATTAGACTCACCATTAAATGTCGATTATGCTAAAAAGTGCTCAAAGTATTTTTAGGAAGCCCAACAATCCCTAAACAGCTATAGAATGTAATAATAAGAGTAAGAAGACAATCTAAAAGAATATGTGAAATAATTAGAAAGAAAAAGTGTATTAAAATCATATTAATAATAATCAAGGGACCTTTCAGATTTAGAAAAATATTTAGAATGATCCTTTCAGTTCTTAAATTTCTATATCATTTAATAAATTAAATTCTTAAGAAGTTTTTGGAATTATTGTCTAATTCTATTATTGTAAATTATCATCCAAATTATCTTAATTCTAAACTGTAGCAAAAACAATGTCCTTTACTTTTCCGAGCATTCTTCATACAATTCAATAATTAGAAGCTTGCAAATCAATCAAAAATTTGAATTAAAATTTTGATTTTTCTTTTCTTGCTCACTCATATATTATTCCCAGTCTGCTTTTATAATTATTAATGCGTATTTAGTCTGTATTCCAATATTTTCTAAGGATGACAATGATATTTTGGCTATTTATTAAATTATATTAAATAAATGGGAAATGGATAATGTTGTAAACGCGTAGAGAGAATAGAAACATTAGAAGTTGATACTACTCCTCCTTAACAATCAAAATTAGGCTCACTATTTGATGCTCCACAATAAATGATTTCTCTATCGGATTCTGATGAAGACTATTAACCATAAAAATAACCATAGTTTGGAGTGTTTAAAGAAAACTAAAAAAGTTCTCAGCTATCAACAGGATAATAATTTTCTTTCCAAACTCTTCCTTCTGAATAATAATTCTCTAATTTTGTTACCTTTTAGGCACTACCTTCTCAGTAAGGAATCAAAAATAATGTTTTTTCCAAATTCTAAAAAGAAATGAATGATATTGCTAAAAATGTTCCACCGCACTAAAAGAACTATAAACAAAAATGACAAGACCTGATAAATGAATTTTTTAAACTTAAATATCATTATTTTAACTAAATAATCTTAAGTACTAATTTCAAAAGAAATACACCCTTCCTAATTTACTAGTCAGTATATTTTGACCGCTGTTTACTAGCAATAATATATTTCTTGATTCTTGAAAAAACATATTCAGATTTTATGATTTTATAACTATGTTGAATATAATACTATTAAAAAGAATTTATTTGAAATTGCAAAACTGTAAATTAGCTTTTCCAATTACATCAAATATTGCGGAAAAGGCGACAAAAACCATTTATTCTTTCGGTCAAGTGCTTAATTTATTGGTTTCTTAAGAATGGAGTTATATAGCGAATAGATTGATAGAAAGAATTTGAAATGATATTTATTGACAAAATGATTATATTAGTACTAATTCATAATTATGAAAGTTCATATTAAATGTACAAATTAAATGAAAAATATAATTATTTATTATCCTATTGTCTATTAAATTAGATGAGAGAGATAAATGAATTCTAAATTTCAAAAACTTAGCTTTTGTAAAACGAAAATCGTTTTTATTATGAAATTTTTTTTATCTTAATATCCTTATCCATTAATTTCTATTATTTAATCACATTAAGCATGGAAATTAATTTTTTTAATTCAAGAATGAGATTAATGAATTTATCTTCAGTGCAAGATCTTCTCCTATAAGTCTATAAAAATAAGATCATGGTCAATTTTAAATCCATTTAATATCAACTTCATTTGTTTTAATTTTTAGAGTTCTACCTTGTAATTTTGATATTTTAAGTCTATTTAGTTGAAGCCATCTTATCATTACTAAGTGTATGAATATTCTCCCTAAATTTTTAACATTATTTACTTTTTTCCCAATTATAAATTTCCGATTTTGTCTTATTCTTAAGAATAGATTGATAATTTATTCTATGCTTAGGTACGAGTTACTTTAGAAAGGTTATAATTTGAAATTATGTAGTAATTTAAATTTTTAGAATAACATAAGTAGAAAAGATAAATTTTTGATAATATTTTGCTTAATATTATTTATTTAGAATTTAGATAAACGAATAACCTTGGATAATAAGAAAATACCATTTTATATTATTTTTTTTGTTAAATTTATAGAGCTTCCAGCTAACCGATGAATATTTAACTCTCCATTTGATTTAAAAAGCAAATTTCTCAAAAAGGAAAGAATGAAATATAAATACATTATAATATCTTCTAAATATAATAACTAGATGTTTTTTATGGTTATAAACATATTATTTCATGTAATTTGATATGATTGATTAGTATTCATATTTTATCATTGTTGCACTATTAATTAAATATATATTAATAAATGAAATTTGTGAATATTATTAGAAACCTTCATTATAATGCAGCTTGGAGATGTACATTTTTGAGAATTCATCCTCTAAGTTAAATTCCTGGAATGCAGGGTTTATAAGAGTTTAGTGATTCTGAAGATTGGTCAGAATAGGAAAATCCCTCAGATTTAGAGAATGTAGAGGAATTCGATTCTAGCGGTGACGAGAAAGATTAAAATGTTGGAGATAGAAAATGATTTCAGTATTATATATGTGATCATCATATTTGCTATCTTTAATGTTTTAGAATTTAATCCTAACATATAGTAATATTTTATAATCAAAAGAGAACTATATATAATTATTTGAATATAGAAATACAGCGTAAGGATATTTAGATAAGAATATAAATATAATGAATTAATAATCGTCACATTATTAGACATGCTTAAACATTGTTACTAGAAGGTCTCTGGGAATCATTTAATTTTTCATCCATAGATTCGTAAAGTCTTTCAGATTGAGCAGGGGCTCCCAGTTAAGGAACTGGCATAGTATTTGGTCTAATAGTTTGTTGTTAAATGCCGCTCATTGGTTTTTAGGAGGAGCCCATTAATTGTTAAGCCACATATTAGTCTTTGATTCTTTAGGATGAGGCTACAGAATTAGCTTTACTATGTTGCTTAAATTATTGTTCTGGTAATGCAGATCCCTGAAACCCTGGATTCATGAATTGTTATTGAGGAGATTATTGAATTTAATTAGTTTATTAATAAAATTCTCCAGAGAAATTAGTTTAACTGAGATCTTATTATTCTTATCCATAATTTTACATTTTGAAGGCGTTACCCATAGTTTAATGAAAATCGATGACTTATAATTTTCCAGAAGCAACACTTGATTTGGGTTCACTTTTGAGAGTGGCTTCCTATGATCTGTCTTCTGCATCTCTTTGTTGCAATCGTTCTAATAATTCCTTAGGATCATTATAAAGTGAGTATTGAATAGTTCCTTGGTTATACATTGGTTTTTGAACCTTAAAGGAAATGCTGCTGGGCTATTAAATGATTTGAGTTGGCAACCAATATTGCTGTATATTGGGCATACCTCCTCCAAATCTGCGTTCCAGCATATCAGGATGAAAGCCATGAGCGAGAGGAGCAAAGGATTTGGATTCCCAAATTTCAATTTTTTTGAAGGTTCTACTATCTAACATTTAATGATAATTATCCCAATTCATAAGCAATTCTTTAGATGGATTAAATAGATAGAGACGATCTAAGATCTGTGGAAAGTTTTAACTCATCATCCAAATAATGACTTGAAATGTTTTTTAAGGGAAATTGTAAAGACTCATTTAATCCGTTTCAACAATAACAACAATATTTTCAACTTTACCTGGATAGAACATATAATCCTCGCAGATTACAAATAGGATGGAAAGAGCTTGAATAAAGGCATCTGAATCGAACAGATATAGATCCATCATGTGTAAATTGATAACTATAATTGGACGATATTGATAGTCTTTGCCACCTATATAAACTAACCCTTCTCTCAAACAGAGGAGCACTTTCTCTGGTATGTTAGATAAGCGACTGGTGTTCAACCAATGAATATGTCGTTTATATAGCTAATTGTAAGTGAATTTAAAATACTTCTAGACAATTAGTCATATTGAAATATCCTGCATAAAGGAATCTTAATAGGACATCGTCAGAACTCACACTTATATTTGCACCTCTAATGATATCTTTGAACTGTTGAATTTATTTCTTCTCGAAATGATCATATTCGACTGATTGAAAGATTCTTCTTGTGGCTGTCCTTTCAATTCCTTCTTTCATATAACCATCTTCATGGTGTATCTCTTCAACTGTTCTCGGTTTGAGTTTCAAGTAATCAAATTGACTCCCAAACATATTAATAAATAAAATGAATTTGATCAAGAAAAAATTGCAGACCCTTCCTAAGGATTACAGAGCCAAAATCATGCTTAGACTCTATGCAGGTGTTGCTAAGCCAAGTCCCAAGATGGGTCAATCTTTGGGTCCTTTGGGAATCAATATGATGCAATTTTGCAAGGAATTCAATGCTGCAAGTTAAGCCTTCAGACCAGATGTTCCCTTGAGAGTTTAGGTTATTGCCTTTCCAGATAGAACATTCAAATTCCTGATCAAGCCACCTGAAACTACCTGGTTTCTGAGGAAGGCCACTGGTATGATTGAATCTAATAATCCTACTCTTAGGCACTGATAAATTCACCAATTTCCCTGGTTATATATGGTACGATACGATCTCTTTGTAACAAGTTTATGAAATAGGTATTATATATCATGATTATGTATTCAATTAGCCAAAGTGAAACAAGAAATGGATCCCCACTTGAAGCATGTCTCACTCCCTGCCATCTGTAGGATGATCATAGGATAGCTGGCATCTTTGGGATGCAATTTGTCCACACAGTATTTCAAGCCAGAAACCGTTGTTAGACCAGAAATAAAGAGTTGATTTATTATTAAAATATGAATTACGAGACCCCTCATGCTCAAAAGATGTTTACACTGTTTTAATCTCCTGCCCAAGTAGATCTCTTTTAATACCTTTTGCTAGATGCAGAGTCCATATTAGCAGTTGTTTCTGTTGCAGAATCGTGTTCCCGTTGATAGTCAGCCTCAACAAGCGATCCAAAAGATCAAGAAGTAACTTTCTATTCCAAAACCACCTACACAAGTCAAAAATAAAATTCCTCAAAAATTGGATTAGCCAGGTTCACAAAAGGCGGTTGTCAACACCTAAACTCCCATTCAAACTTATCATAACATGATTGATCTTATCAGACAAAATCAGGATTTGAAAAATGAGTTGATTGAAATAGAGAAGGACATCCAAAATTATAAAGTATTCTTTTGATATTGATTTAGAGTTTGATAGATATACGATCCAAAAAGAAATGATTTTATTTTTATATAATATATGGGTAATTAATAAAAGCAAAAATCTATTCTAGAACTTTGGAATGAACATTGTTTGAATAAGAGCAAACAACTCAAGAATCAAAGTCTCAAGGAATATAAACCTGAAATTATACGCAAAAACGCAATTGAAGTCTTAGATTAAGCAGTTCATCAAGATCATCTGCAATCATACAAGGAAGACCTCAAGAAATTCTTACTCAATATGGATCCTTAGAAGTACGCCCAATAGTTAGCTATTTCTGTCTATCTTAATCACAGTAAGGAATCCTCTCTCTATAAAAAGCTCAAACTGCACAATTCTTGATTCCTTAGGTAAACAATCTCAAAGAGGAGTTGATCTATAAGCAGATTGCAGATCACCATCTCATCAAAGACTTAATGAATATATGGAGTGAAATCTTCAGTAACAAATACTCGATATTTTAAAATCAAGAAGATAAGGAATTTTTGATCAAATTAATTCACTCCAAAGATTTCGTTTATTCCTCTCTGTGTAATGATATTAAATACTTCATTGAGTATTTGGAGTAGATGCTCAGATTGATCTACGAGGTCTAAAACAAAGAAAAGTTTAAGCAATTGCTCATCAAAATGATCTTTTAGAATCAAAACATTAAGAAGATCATAGTAGACACATTCGAAATTTATAGTTTAGACAAGACATAGATATTCAAGCGGAAACTCTTTAATTATAAACACATTTCATTGGCTGAATTAAGAGTGCCTGAACAATACTATTCGGATTATCCCAATACGATAAATCAATTATAGGAAATATTAATAATTGAGAATCCTTGTGATAAATTTGATTTGTTCTCCAAATTGGAGTAATCCATGATAAAGGACATCAAGAAAGAAGGAATCCAAAATATTCTACTTGAACTAGATAAGTATTATTATGGTTTAAAATAGTTAAATAGGAATATTGACTTTCTGCATTTTCAAGATTTAATCTGACAAATGGGTGTTTTAGTTAAACTTCATAGAGAAGTTCTTGGGTGCAGAAATGACATACAATTAAGGCAGAGATTCAGCCTAATTTTCAAATGTTCTAAGTGCAATTGAATATATAATGAGTGATAAATTTAATGTTTCATGATTCTTCATCAGATATGTTTTCCTTATTTATAACTTATTCTGTAATCTAATTTTTTGTGCCTCCTTTTAGACATTTGTGAATTTTCTTATTTTATCGAAAAGATGAGTTCACTTCTGAAGTGTCAAGATATGCACTCTTCTCCAATTTTTACAATTCCTTTAATTAATCATATTTAACGAATAGCTTTTGATTTTCTACACTAAGTCTATGAATTTCTTCCAATAATTTCTACACGAAATAATTATAAAATAGTACCTGCATTTTTAGATTCTTTTCATCACAAATCTTTTTCAATTTTTGACATTCCCTATAATATTTCTATTTCTCATTAATCACCTAATGCACTCCTGATAGCATTTTTTCAATGTTATTATTCAACTCCTTGCATTTTTCATTGTAAATTTTATTATCTGAAACACATAATAAAATGTTATTTACTTTTATTTAAAGTATATTCTAACTTTTAGCATCTAGCCTTTTCGGCATCCAATAATTACTTAGTGCTTTCTAATGTTTCCAACAACTATGACTAAGTGCTAGAATCTGTTTGCAATTCTAGATTCTACTTTTTCAATTAAGCCACTTGTCTATGTAATTCAGCCAATTGATCATCTATTATTCTTATTACTAAATTTACTGTGAATGTTGAATTCCTTCTTGTCCTCTGTCAAGTATGTCATTATCTATTCATTCAAGATGTCCTTATGATGCTTCTTATACAAATAGGTGATTTATTTTAATTTAGAAGTGACCTTCTCTTTGGCATAATTCTCAATTAAAACTAATATTTGTTCGTCATCTATATAAGAGTCATCTCCCATCCATCCCAATTTTTAAGATAAGAGTCTGTACAAATGAGTTTATTTTATTTTAAATTCACTTTCCTGTTTAGCAAACTGAGTTTCAAAATCTTGCATCTCTAAAATAATAGATTAGGATAATATTAAAACTTTCTTGCATTTCGTCCTCCTTTAATCTAATCTTATTCAGGAATTCCAATTCTCTTTGTTCGAATGTGAACTCCTACTACTTATAAATTTCGATTTCTTATTCATATTTAGTAATTATTTATTGCATATTGAATAATTGTTCACTATTATTTGGTTATTCAAGGAGAATATCTTCTTAGATCTCCTTAATCATCTCCTTGTCTTCATCGCTAATGAACATCCCCTTCTTATATTACGACAATTGTTCCTGCAATAACAAGATCTCCTTCTCTTTCTCCTGAACAATAATCTTGAGCTCTTCGATGGTGTGTTCCTTATTGATTTTCGGTTTGTTCTTAATGGCTTTAGCACGAACCCCAAATCTCAAAGTAGACAGAGTCTCCTATAAATTGAATTGAGCAGGAGAACAAGTGATAATGAGTGTGGTTCTGCTGTTGCCACCAAAAGAACATTGCAGAATCCTGGTTAATTTAGAATCTCTATAAGGTACATGTTGACTGCCGTCGGTCAATGCGTTGATCACTTGACCCAAGGCAGATAATGATTTATTGATGCCTTTGGCTTCATCTAAGATTTTGCCTTCAGCTCCTGTTTTAGATACCTTCTCACTTCCCGCCAAATCAACCAAAAATAGTTTACCAACTTTTGCCGACTGATCTCTTTAATCAATTGATTAAACTGACATTAAAAATATCATATGGGAACGAGAAGATTATTCGTTCATATTAGTACTGGCAATCATCCTGTTGGAATTGCACATCTTCAGAATTTCGTAGATTTCAGATTAATCAGCAATGGAGGTCTCAGTTACTCCATCGATATATGTAGAATGATTCTTGTCCTCCCTTATTTTTAAATCACTCTTCTTGATGTTCTACAAATCTCTCACTTTTTCCATATACAATTCAGCAACTGAAATTTTGATTCGGTACTCAATATAGTCAGGACTTGCCTCAATAAAATCAAACACTGTATTAACCATTCTTTTGATGATTCCCTGTTCCTCACCAATTGAGCCTTCCATTGTGTGTGTCTTCCCAGATCCCGTTTACCCATAAGCCACTACAGTGCCGTTGAATCCCTCCAACACACCCTTGATTACGGGTTCTGCAGCAACCTTAAATACTTCAAGTTATTTTCCAGGGTGAAAGATATGATCGAAGTTGAATTATTGATTTTCAATCAGAACACTCTTGTCGTCAGCGAAATAAATCTAGCTTTCAAGTTACCCAGGAATGGATGGTCTGAAACGACAAATGACTTAAATATTGGTTGTCATATAAATTCAAAATAATTATAATTAGGGATTGTTAATTTCATTACCGATCTGTCTTGAATATTGCTATAATCTTCTCGACGAATGCAACCAGCCACTCCACTATTTTATTTTCCTCACTAACCCATTTCTCATTCACCTCGTGTTGCTATAACTGCAATCCAGAAGTAGTATTAGCCTTTATATTAATTTACATCTCTTACCAATTGTAACACATAATCCAAGTCTTCCTCAATGTTGGTCTTAATCAGAGCCAAGTTCAACAGCATCTTGTGTTGTTCCTTCTACTCCATCATTTTTTAAACTATTTCCCTTGCCAAAACCAAGGAATCCTATTCGTGTTACTCCAGGTAAGATTGCAAAATCAGAAGAAATGACACCTAAAACTCCTTGTCAAGATATTTGTAGATTTTATCCATGTCCTCAATAATTCCATCATTATCAGCATTGGGCAATTCAATTTAAACGTTTTCAGTGTTGTTATCAATGAGGAGGTACAATTTTCTCTCCTCGTAATTGCAATGTTTCTTCAAATCCTTAAGTTTTTGCTTGAAATTAATAGAATATTATCCAGTACCTTCAACTTTCTCGTCTCCTCACTCTTCTTCGTCTTTGTTGACTCCTCCATCGTATTACTCTTTTAACCAGTCTTGTACCGCAAAGCCAAGCTTCCCTTCTCGCATATCAGAGTCAGCATTTGCAATGCCCGATATACATTGAACCATTATCTTTTATCAACCTCCTGAGTTGCCTCATTATTTTCTTTCTTCTTTTTTGGTCTTCCCTAAAATAAAATGAAGACAAATTACAACTTTTCCGTAGTTCTAATCTTCTCCACCCATTTTACTCTTTTTTTATTTTTTAATGCCTGAACTTCCTTTTCCCATTTATTAAAAATATATTTATTAATATCTATCACAATCTTTCCTGATTCTTATATACTATTCCATTTTTTGTGTTTAAACCAATATTCAAATCAACAACATCCTACTATTAGAGATGATAAGAGGTTTTAAGAATATTTAAATTCAGGAAGAGCAAATTAATTGGAATGTATCATTTAGAAAAAGAAATAAATGCATAAGTTCAATATTCTCTTAAAAATAAAGACTTTAATCTAATTATTCTACCCATTCTATAGTGTTGTCTTATTCTCTCCTTCTGTTAAATCAATTGAAAATCTCAAATCTCAAATCTCAAAAGCTTATATAGATTAACATTATATAATATTCATCATTTACATTATAATTCAATATTGTTATTGTTACTGAAATTAACATATTGGGATAGATCCTAGCCAGTTTGTTGCTGAGTTTGGCCATCAATTAATGCTCCTGTAGATGGGGATACGAACAAAAAGGAGTGTAGAAATGATATTAGGAAGCTATATTAATATTATTTTCTTACCCAACCCCTATATAAGTGAATATGGAATCTCCACAAAAAATATACAAAACAAGAACATTCACTAAATTTTGTTAAGAATGTTACATAAAAACAATAGAACCTTCTTTTTATCAGTTGATAGGAAACCAAAATTGGGAATGTAATCTAGTAAGTCATCGTTTTTCAAAGCAGCGTACCAGCTTAGAATAATATAGAATCCATACAATGCAATGCTCAATCCAACACTAATTAAGAATGAAATATTTGTTAATCCTCCCAAAACAACAATAGCAATTGTGAATTAAGAATATGTAGCTCCAAATTTTGAGAAATTCTCTTACAATCTAGTCATGATTGAATCACTTTTCGGAAGAGCATAACTAGATGTATCAAAGATCTTTTTATCACTACGATAATAATCTACTTTTACATTTAAGGCTTCTAAAGAACTTAATGGACTTAATTCATTATTCTGATTTTAATTAATTATTAAAAATATAATCAATGATAATAATTATATTTCATCAATTATTGTGAATTTCGCAATGATTAAATTAGATATTCTGATTAAGTTCAATTCTTTTCTTGATATTATCAAATTAGGAAATATCAAATTTTTCATTTTTCTTTTGACCCTTCTCTTCATAAATGAGATCGTCTAATTCGTCTAAGGTTATGGATATCTAAACATTAAATAATAATATTACTTCATCATCGTCATCATTCATAATATTATTGAATTCAGTAACAATTATGCATTATTTGATTTATTGTTGATTCAATTACAATTTCTCTGATGAAATTTCTGTCTACAATTAATCTTCAGAATACTTTCCAAACAACTCCTCATATTATACATAGATGTCCTTCTTTGTTTTCTTTAGACATGACTTAAGCGGAACTTTGTCCAAATTTAGAAAATCCTTTGAATTTTATGACCTTTATGAAACAATCAAATTATTTCCTGTCATTTTTTTGGAACTGTCCTCTTACAGTTTTTTCCATTCTACGATGCTAACATATTATTGATTCTCTTCTAATTCAGAGAAATCTTGAGTGTCTTCCTCTTATGATAATATTTCTTCAACTTCCTATCCTTTATTCTAGTAAGATTATTTTTTGCTTTGATGTCTTCCTGATTTTTTCTTCATGTATTCATGAGGACACTTTTTAATTGGGTGAATGACGTTTCTTTCAAAACAAAATGAAACACTTTTGAGCTTCTGAACATCTTGGCTTTGCTTTCTCAACTTGTCTTGTACTCAAGATATCTTGAGTCTACTGAACAACAAATACTTTAATTCAGTCTAATAATTTATCAAATATACTATATTTTTACGAATGTTTATAAATGATATAAATGAAAAACTCAGTTTTAAAAGTGTTTATATAATTGCTCCTGATATATCAATTATTCTATTTAAAATCCAGCTCCCGAATACTTTTTGCCTAAAATCTACTTTAACTCTTTGTACATCTACCGAATAATTTTTATAAGAAGTACTTCTTAAGAACTCTGCTTATTCTCAATAGCCTTCAGAATTCTATTGTAAGCAAAATTAAACAAATCTTAAGGGATCTACTGCAAAATGCTCTTTTTCAGGTTTTCGATCATTGAAATTTTTGGCTTAAATTTCTCATCAGTCTTATAAAAACTGGACGAATACGACGATTCAGGCTCTTCTTATATTTCTATATAATAATTGATTTCTAAATTTACCTGCCAAAGTATCATTTCCACTTTTAGCTTTTGCTAATTCATTTTTATAGACTTCCACTACATTTTACAAATCCTAATCAGATTACCTTTGAGTCAATCTCGTACCATCCATTTCATCACCCAATATTTCTTCATTTATAACTGTCTCATTCTAAAATTCATTATCCGAATCATAATCCTCAAAGTCATCATAATACTCAAAATCCTCAGGATATTCATCATACTGGTAGTCCATTGTTTAATTTTTTGAAGACTGTTCTTTCTTTTAAGCTTACTTCTGCTTTAAATTCAATAAACTTTTCTTCATTACTTCTTCATCAATTGGTTTAAATTTAGAAGATGATTATAGACTCTAATCGAAATTAGGATTTTATATCTACTATTACTATTGTTTAGAAGTCTATTGTTATTATTATTAAACTTAGCTTTTCTATAAAGGTATTTCTGTTTGTTACTGCTTTTAATAAAATTATTATTGAGTTGTTGTTTGCTATATTTCTTACTGTTTCTATTGATAAAACTATGATTGAGTTCCATAGAGATTTTAAATTTTCCCTTAATTCAGCCTATTTTTAGTTTTGTTGACTAATATTTTAAGCTGCTTTAGATAACATTTCAATTTTCTATTAAGTCTCTTATTCTTTCTTTAATTTTAAAATAGACTTCGGAGATATTTGTTTAGGTTCTGGTTCTAAGAATTACGATGCTTAACTCATTATTGTATCACCAATTGTATATCTACTTGCATTGTCAATCTGCTCTATTTATTTTTTAAAGTCTTACTTTTATTTAATGATTGCGACAATACAGTCTAATTAATACTCTCATCTTTATTGATTTCATCTTTGATAGAATGTTCATAAGATTCTTAATCCTATTTCGATTAATTTATCTAGTTTTATTAGATTTAATGTTAATTATGTGCTTGAATTTCATGTTATTTGATTTTTTTGACTCCAACAACTGAGCAGAAGTTTTGTTTGCCTCCGCTTCTAATAAAATCTTGCATAACAGATTGAATGAAGGGCATGTTAATAATTTCGGCAACAAGGGGACGTGATTAAACCTATTTAGTAAGAAGTCTATGAATTAATTATTGCAGATCCTTTGAATAATGAGAAGGGAGGGTTTCAGTTTGACCATTCAAAATCTTAGTTACCAAACTTAGTATGTTTTTAGCATCAAATGCATGTTTGAATGTGCATAATTCATGTAAAACACATCCAAGAGCCCAAACATCAGATTTAAAAGTATAGGGTTTATTTTCACAGACTTCTGGACTATTATCAGAAAAACTTAAATACCTCATATAATAAGGGGTACCAGCAACAGTTGATGCCTAATCGAAGGTACTTTCTAAAACTTTGGAAACTCCAAAATCTCCAAGTTTAACTAAGTATAACGTTGAAATCTGATACCTGTTCCATTTGAAGTCAGAAATATGTTGCTTGTTTTAATGTCTCTATGTAATATCTTTTTTGAATGGATGAATTAGAGAGCAAATAATTATTGGATGAACCAATTCAAGATCATTTTCTCAGGAAAGTATTGGATTTATTTACCTTACTTTCTTTTTTTGATGTGATATTGTAAGTCTCCTTCTAAAGGCGTTCATAGGATTATTAATTTACCCTCGCAATATTCCATCAATATAATTAATTAACTACTATCTGCGAAACTGCCCATATATTAGACTATGTTGGGATGATCTAGACTTTTTAATAGTTCTGCTTCTCTCAAGGCACTTATTTTCTCTTTTTCTGAGAGTTTGCCCAAATGAACCTTTTTAGCCACAGACAATTGGCCAGTCTTTTTATTCTTAACCAAATATGCAGATCCTATATAGAATGGAAAATCGAGGTACCATAACTTCCACTACCAATGGTCTCTAATTCTTCATAGAGGTCTGAGTATTTGAGAGACATAGAAAATAAATATAAATTATAATTAATAAAAATACAAAATTGTGTTTTTTAATTCATTCGTTTGTATTTAGAATAATACCACTTCAATTAATTGATAAAATTTATATTCCTAATGGTATTAAATACTTTAATAGATCCCCCAATCTCTTTATAAATCAATATATTATTATTATTTATCAATATTATCATTAACTTAAAAATAGATTATTATTTTTAGAGTTCCTTGTTTTTTCTTTCAATAACTTGTAATCCTAAACCAATTGAGAGTTATTCCCTATTGGAAGAGGCATGTATGTTTTGAGATGTAGAGTGCTCAACCTTGCAGTATTATCAAATGTTCTCTTTGTATCCGACGGATCACGCTCCTATGTTTCATGAAAATATTCAGTCTTAAATAACCTGAGATTGGCATTGGTTAATAATTCTGTACTAGTGATAGTTAATTAATTGTTAATTTTGTTCTCTTTGGCCATTTTGGTTACTCGGTTCTAATCAAGTTCAATTAATTGTATATCAGCATTGGCATAGACATTCTAAGTGTACCCTCCAAAGATGAGGATTTTAGAATCAATCGAAATGCTGCAATGACTGCACTTGCCATGTTTCAGCGATCCAATCTATTGCACCATTATCCAATTGAGTTGTTGCAATTATAAAACAAATAAATCATTTAGGATATTGCCTTCCTTAGAGTCATTTCTCCCTCCATAGACAACCAAAGAATTAAATTGGTGATAGTAGTTCATGCTATGAGAATATCTTGCTATTGGAGCTTAGCCCTTGCATTACGAGATTAAAGTACTTTAGTTTTTAACTTAATGATTCTAATAGGCTTAAACCCAAATTGAATCACCCTCAGATCATTGGATGCTTCTCCATTCTGAACTCTACCTCCATAAATATAAATTCCCTCACAATTCACTTGTGGATACCTCCCTTTCTTCTTATTGCATTCATAACTAAAATAAGGATTTTCCATCTTCACTTCCCCACTAAACAATGCCGTAGCAGCTGCATCTGAAACTCCATCCTAAAACTGATTTTCCACTTAAAGTACTGCCCTAGAAATAAATTCAATATTAACCATTTATTTGTCTCCATATTCAGAGCACACACATCATTCAATATCTTTCCGTATGAATTGATACCCCCATAAATAACAAAATATTTCCCTATGCCTTAAGCTATGTGATTTCTTCGACCTTCTATCATATCTCCTGAAGTTTTGACCAGTGTCCACATTTTGTCCAAAGGATTAAACATTCGCACATCTCCATAACATTCTCTCATCTTCATCGCATTGTTGTACTTCCTCTCCCCTCCATAGATTATTATCTATTATTTGTAAAAGGTGGCTGTATGTCCAAATCTTCCCTCCAAAGGAGCTTCACCCAAACCGACACCAATATCCTTCCAAGTCCAAGTCAAAGTATTCAATTGTATCATATTCTTGAACAAATCGTTTCCGATACCCCCATACATGTATGCTTTATTGAGAGACGGGAGATAAGTGACTGTACATCCCTCTCTAATGGGCGGCTTCCATTCACTTATTTGTATATTAAACCAAAAGACCTTTATAATGTTTGAACTTTCAAATGGCCTCTCATTATTGTCTACTTGCTCCTCTTCTTCTTCCTCTTACTTAATAGTTTTTACCTTCAATTTCACCTTCTTCACTTTTTATAGCTATACCAACTCTTCCTATTTCTAAAATAATTCAGTAACTTCATTGACAGTACTATTCCATTTTTTATTCAGGGAACTTTTAAAAGTATTCGCCTAAACATAATTAAATTGCAATCTATTCTTGAGAGTGGATTCGTTTGGGTTTAATTGATCAGCCTTATTAATCCAACTTGAATTTGTTTTCATCATCTCTGTGAATGTCTTAAACCCCACATCCTCACTTTGCTGTTGCAGAAAGATCAACTTGCAATCCCCCTTCGAAATATATTCATCAATAGCCAATGTCTGCTGGTGCTTCAAAATAGTAGGCGATTTCATTTAAATTAATTTTTCCGTTCGACTCATTCTTATGTTGTCAGTCCTCATGTGATGAGTCCCTATGAGCTTCCTCGATTTCAAATCCTCCAATTTCTATTACTGGGTTTAGATCCAACGTCGTTTTCGTTCTTAATCCATAAATTTATTAATCCATTAATTATATAATATAATGTATCATACCCAACATGAGCCAATAATAAAACAGTCATTTTCATCAAATCCTATCTAATCTCCACTGGAAAAGTAGTTTCTGAAACTGTTACCCAAGTGAAGTTCCACTTTTGATCATTTCAAATCCACTGCTGATCTGCCATCCCAAGTAGAATTCGATGAGACTCAAAATACAATACGATATCTCGAAATCGGAAAGATCTATTCGGATAATTAATTATTTCATACTGGATAATATTATATGAAATCATTGATAAGGGTTGAATTTATTTAGGGTTACTCTTACACATCCAATTTGATATGGAGAACTTGCTCTTGCTCTTCAATTTTATGAAGCATGAGATTTAATATACCTGCTAAAATATATAATTAAATAATGCAAAAATAAACTTAGTTAACCAAATTTTTCACAAAGAAAGCTAAGGAATAGCAGCAATCCCCAGTAAGAACCAAGATAAATGATTACGTATAGTTTTGAGTGTATGTTTGTAGTAGATGTTTTTTTGTACTCCTCCAACATAAGAAATTTAAAGTAAAGTAGAAAATCACAATGCAAAAAAGAAATGCTCCAATAATTTAGACACCTGGATTAGGAAATCCTCTTTGAAATAAAAAAAGTGGTATTCGAATTGTAGTTATCAAAAAGGCCATTTTTACCAAAAAATCTGATGTATTAGATTTACAAATTTTTGTAATTGAGAGAATGTGCCACCTGTTCTTAGGTCTGTAAGTTCTGGATGATTTGCTATAATGATATCTATTTCTCGTACAGTTTCTTTAGGGAATTCGAGACTTCAAGGTAAATTTGACAATTTTAATTGTTTTTGAGATTTAACGAGAAGGAACTTGCCACAGTGTTGAAGAGATCTAGTAAACAATTGAAGCACATAAAGAAAGTTCGAGATATAATAAAAGGATAAAAAATCAGTTCATTTTTGGAGAAAACTGAACTCAGAACAATGTTATCCGACAATTCGCAATAATAAGGATCCCTGTTGGAATTATTTAAATTAGAACCAAAAAAGCAATATACTTCAGTATTTTTGACAGACAAAGATTTGAATAGCATTTGCAAAGAGAGCTAGTAACTATTTTGACCTTAACAATTTTAGTAAATCACTGCAATATATACAATTGATTAGTTGTCAATTTATGACAGGCAAAGGCTTTGAGGTTATTGGAAAATGTTCTCAATTAAGTTTGATTAATATCTAAAGCAATTGCAATTTGAAGGATTAAAATGTTCAAGTCATCTTAGAATAAGTGTAAGAACTCAAAACTTTAATGCTCTTAAAATGCGATGGTTTGACCAATTAGATTTTTGAGATCATAGGAAATTACTGTAAGAGGTTAGAAAGGCTGGACATTGGATGCAATCCATAATTGGATCTAATCAAAGTAAAGCCAAATAATAACGTACTTTTAGTGCAGTCCTTTGAAGAGGATTGAGAGTTTGCAATCACTTTCAATCAAGGAGAATGTTGTGACTAATGAGGCCTTAGAGATAATCACAACCAATCTCTACAAATTGCATAGTCTCAATCTAGAAGGGTGTTAAGAAATGAATGGGTATTCTCTACTGTAAATCTAGAAGTTGAATTTGCAGAGGATCAATTTGAAGAAAATATAATTCAAAGAAGAAGGTGTTATTTTACTTATTATTTAATAGAGATCTACAATTTCGTTCTTTCTGCAAAGGGCATTAAGCTGTTGCTTGTGAATAATAATTTATTGAGTAGTCGGGTAGAAAAGATTATCCATTCTAGACAATGATTACCAGATATAATTTACTCTTTTTTGTTGTTAATTATTTAATATTTTATTTAATTGAAAAATGATTGAACCACCTTAAGGTCCTATTCCAAGAGAAGTAGCCAAATGGTTAGATTCATTAGACTTGGCCTATTAAGTTCGTAATTTCAGGAGAGATTTGGCTAATGGGTATGATCATATCCTACAGTAGTTTCATCGTGGCTGAAATATTATCGAGGTATTACCCCAAAGAAGTTAATATCTACACTGTATATAACGAATAAAACTTGGATAAAAAGCGTGATAATTGGGAATAGATTTCAAAGCTATTGAAGAAGAAAGAACTTCAAGTTCCACAAGAAGAATATGAACCCATCTTTCATTAAGCGCCAGATGCAGCATAAGCCTTCCTCTTTAAACTCTATGAATTCCTAACTAAAAAGAAAATAGGCACCATTTATCCAGATAAGGACAACAGAGACATGAAAAAGCAAGTTAAACAACAAGCGACATTGCAAAGACCAAAGCCACTCACAGTCTAACCAACATATGCAAGACCAACTGCAAATACAATTATCAAAGACAGGGAAATCACCAGAGTTGTTGATGAAAATGAAAGGAAAGTGTTAACTAAATAAGCTATTCAAGAACATGTTGAGAAAGTCAGAAATGATAAAAAAGATGATAACATCATTGAGTATCTGATTTTAAAAAGAAAAAAGTAAATTGAGGAGGAGATCAAAAAACAAGAGGAAGAATTACTAAAAAAATAAATGAAATTTAATAAGAAACTTGTTAACTTAGATTAATCGATCTCATAAACTGGTCAAGATGTCAAAGAAATACAAATCAATTGTTATCATAGCAGTACAAGCAAAAAAGCAAAGGAATAACAAGGTTAATTGCTAGAGACCAAAGGTGTTATTGATTTCCTACATGAAGCATGTGCTTCCTTATTCAAAAAAGATCCCATAAAGAAGGACATCTAAGATTTAAAGCTTGAACCCAAAGAATCCTAATAAAATAATGGTTTTCAAGTCAGTAATCAGAATGTTCAATATACAGCTGTCATCTAATAGCTGTTCTTAAGATGTGATGAAGTCTAAAAAAAGTCGTTGAAACTTCTACTAACCCAATTCATAGACGTTCACTCACAATTAATCCTTGAATAAGTTCAGAGTAATTTTATAGGTATTCTGATTTTGTGATAATTTAGATTTTAAACGATTCTTTCAAATATTCCTCAGACCTATCCAAGTTTTGAAACCCACATCGAAAACATATCAATACATTCTGGAGTTAATTAGGTTTATAGGTTCGAAACTTGTAGAAATAGATCCAAATGATACACAAATGATGTTTGAAAGCATTTTATTGGATTAGCTATTGTAAATTGCATTGCGAAACCCAAAGAAGAGGGAAGATATTGTTCAACTCTTTTTTGTATTCACGCCCATAAATTGTGTGAATAGAACACAATTACTCAAAAGTATCAAAAGTAAGTTATCGACTGATCTTAATGCATTTACTCTCATATTAAGTATTTTGATATAATCTGATTACCCCAGTCAAGATGAAGAATTGTATAGGTTCTTTCTCAATTATGCATTTAATTCCTTAGATTCACCCTCTCCTCTTACAAGGGCTAATGGGTTGAGAATTATCAATCAGATCTCTAGTTGGGATTACTTTCCTGTCCTTTAAAAGATCAGTAGAATTCAAAGACTGATGAATGATTCTTGGTGGGAAGTTCGAGCTCAAGGTATGTGCATATGTGCTGATTTGTTATTGTAAATTGCTTAGAATTCCAATCGAAGTATGGATGAATAAGAAATCACAATAGACTTTGAGTAATCTAAGCAATTGTTGTTGGATTTAATTTATTAAGTTTTTGTTGTTTCTACCACTCCAAATGTAATTAGAATTGGATTGATTTACCTTGCTCCAGTTTTGTAGATGTATTCAGAATTGTGTCCTCGATACTTGGAGATCCTGTTATCAGTTGATTCCGAAATCAGAATTTCAGTTTTAAATACACAAGAAACGTTGATTCAACAAGTAGTCAATGGTTGCAACTCATTTCGATACAAGATAACCGGAGCCCCCATTGATTGGAACAGTGTTGGTATTGCATAAGCTATGGATGTCTATGTTAAGGAAAAGGAATTACAATTCTTTAAGCATGAACATTTAGAAATTATCTATGGATGTCTACACAAACAACTATTGGAATCAGATGGTGAAATCTGGCTTAAAATATTTGAGAATACCAAAAGGCTTTTGTTTCTGGCTTTGTCCAATGAAGATTTGTGTTCATTAGCCCAGGTGATCTTGCAAAAATTCTTTATGTTTTAAACCATTCAATAATAAGTTTTGGACAATTCCAATGAAATATTTTAAAAGATGCTTTAATTGATTTATCATCCAGATGTGCATTTGAAATGTAAAGAAAACTTGTTGGAGTTCTTCACATTTTTACAATAGCAAGGGGTATTATTTACTAATTATCATTTTAGTTCTAAAATTATTGTTATAATATTATTAAACAATTTTCTGAAAAGCATAAGAACATGTTCTTAAATAGTAATTTGGTCGAATTCATGAATGGTTTAGCTAAAGAAAAAAGAAGGGAAATAATGGGCGATGAAAATTATTGAATTATTATTCTATTTTAAATTAATATATAAATAATATTTATTTATTTTTTAATAACTTAAAACTCATTATTTGACGTATAAAGAACTATAAATTTAATCTTGATATCATTAATTATCCGATTTGTAGATTTATTTTAAATAATATCTTAATAAATCAGTGTAAACATCTAATTCTTTTAGTAAGGCCTCTTTCTCCTTTATATAGAGAATCTATTCCCGATCATGATCTTATTGTAACAACAAAGTGACTATATCCATTTTCTCCTACTGTTATCGCATTCTTAGTTTTCTCCATTGAGAATGGTGAGCTAATCATCTAAATCAATCTACAATCATAACTCTATTTACCTTCCTTTCTGCTTCGATATCAATAAGCTTCTTTAATATTTCATTCTCCTTTATTAATTAAGAACATAATAAATCTATTTATTAACCGAATTTATTGAATTTATTGAATTCAAAGTAATACTTTATTAATCTTTATCAATTTTTTCTGCAATTTCTTGAGATGTAGTAATAATCAAGTATCTATTTTTTTCCATTGACTTTTAGGATGAATAAGACAATGAATTCTATTAGATCTACAATTGCGAACTGAATTCTTATGATTAAATATCAGTAGCCTCACTTTGGTCTGAGTATGCTTACTCTAAAAGTGTTGTGAATAAAAATTACATATTAATTTAATGACTTGAACTTCTTATTCTGTTACTTCTACATTGTATTCCTCATACAAGTTTGCATTATAAAGCATTTCTAGTAGACTACCACCACTACTTTACTATTTAAAATGTTTCAAATACTGAAAATGACTTTTATAACTGTATGAATAATGTTTTGGCTTCCTTTTAATCCTTTTTTAGTTTAATGTTTTTCACATTTGATTTGCATCTATCATGAACATGAAAGATGCTTAATTCTTATAAGTTCATACGTCTTTATACATTTTTATTAATCTTTTGTTTATTGGTTTCAATGATTTAAGTTGATTAATTGCTGGATACATATATAAATTTATTTTGGCCATTTCTAGTTTGGCATTAAGCATCTTGTTCAGCTACCATTTCAGTGAAAGCACAAACTTGATCATTTTTTTTAGTTGAAAATACTTTCACCACGATTTTTCTAAGAGCTCCAACTTTTTGTAGTTGCATCTTTGAGATCTTTCACAATCTAAATTGCTTCTTCTTTTTAAAGTTAATCTTAAGCATTCGCAATAAATAGCAAAAATAGAAGAACAGTACTTCTCATTATATTATTTTACTATAAATAATATAAAACGAATTATTATAGTCATCAATTTTACTTGGTTGTAAGTTCTTTGAGCATTGGATATACATTTTTACCATTACTTTACCATTCCTCCACAGCTCTTTATGCCCAAGATGTGAATGTTCTGCTACAGCATTCTTTTTTACGGAGAATTTCTTCAGCTTCATCTAATTCTTAGAGAATCTATTATTCTCTCAATTTCTATTGTAAATAATAAACAAAATAATACCTGTTTTTCTTCAATTTAAGTAAGCTAAAAGTTTTTAAGCTGAACTCTCCTTTATCTAATTTATTCATTTTCATCATCTTCCATCTTCTTCAACTCTTCAGCCCTTTACTTCCAATACTCTTAGAACTCTTTATCATTCTTTACTCTTTATTCTTAATCCTTAGTTCTGAATTCTGAAGTAATCTTCCTACTTTCATCTATATTCTTTTTCAATTAGATTTGCTTTTCCCTTTTTATCCTCTCTACTTCCTCTGCCTTGATTTCGGCCTCTTATATCTATTTACTTAGTATTCTTTAATGTTCATTTTCAATAGATTCTAATTTAGATATTTATGCATCAATCAATTTTTGTCTCTACTCTTATTTTTCTTTAAATTTGAGTTCTTCTCTTTTTTTTCTCATTTCCATTATCTATTCCTTCTTCTCTGCATATGCTCTTATTCTTTCATCATCCTCTAATTCCTTAAGCCTCTAGAGTTGTTTCTGTTCTTTGATATCCTCATTGCCTCTCTTCACCTCCTCGATATTAGCCAATCTCTTCCTTTTCCTTTCATTTTCAGCCTCTTCTTCATCTTTAATCAATTACTCTGCCTTCGCCTTGTTCAATTAACCTTCAATTCTATCATTTTGTATTTATTTGATATGATTATTGACCATTTCATCATGCTGTTACTTCAATATTTTTCGCTACTCCATTTTCTTTTTCTTCATTTCTTCCAATTTAATTTCCTCTATTTATTATAATCGTGCTACATTATCTAAAACTTCCTCATGATGAGCTTCCTCCTTCATCCTAAGAATAGATTGAATATCTAATTTACTCCAAGATGGTTTTCTTATATTTATTCAATTCCAGTTGCGCATCTCTTTCTTATATAACATCAGTAATCAATAATTTGCTTTGAAATTGTCTAACTCTTGGATTGGCCTCGTAGATCTAACGATTGGCTTTTTCCAAGATCTCTTGTTTGACTTATGCTTAATATAATGCTTCTTCCTCCTCTTGTCTCCTTCTCTCCTCTTCATCAGCTTTGAATCTTTCGAATCTCGTCTGGTCCTTCTTCTTTCTTAAAGCATTAATTGTATTGGGCCATCTCTTTACTCTTTCCTGGGATTTAGCATGTCTTTCTCAGTTAATCATATAATTACAGTTCCATCTTTTAGATCAATCCAAAATTTTCCTACGTACCAAAACAATTTTATTGGATTCTTCTTAATTATGATAATGGCACAATCGAACTTACTTTATTTTCAAAAGCTCCGACTGTTTATGCTCGAGGTTCTTGGGACATTTCAATTATTTAATATATTTAATTATAAACAATATAACTCACATATTTCTTTTAATTCTTTCAATATTCAAGGTGTTAGAGTCAATGAGATCATTGCAATTGCACTCCTTCCTATTTGATAAAACTTACTACGTTCATTGCAAAATCCTATTTTGTAGTTTTTTGATATCTATTTTCAAATCATCCAATTCGTCAAAACTTGAATTTATATTAAACTCTTCTTCGATATGTAACAACTTATATTCTTGATTAATACAATATTCTAAACCATCCTGATTATTTATCCAAAGCTTATCCATATTCATAAACTAGTAGGTTAATTTTAATTGGAATTCTACCATAAAAAATATTAGAAGTAGATCTATTTTTAGAATGCTAGATGTATCTTTGGTTATTTTAGGGATTTTGTAAATTCTTTCCTGAATCATTTGTGTTTCATCAAATCTATTGAGGTATTTTGATATGAATATTAGTAGGAATAATAGTAATCATAGGAAAATTGTATTTCTCCTAGAGATATTTTGAAAAATATTAATATTCAAGTTAAATGTTAAGCGTAGGTAAACAATAGATCTAAGGTTTATCACTCTTATTATTGACTATCCAAAAAAATCTTAAGTTTTTACATCCAGAATAGGATTAATATTTAGCAGAAGAAGAGAGGACAAGCAAGGCTAGTGGTCTGAGTGATATTTAAAGTTATCCTTTAATTATTATGGGAGTATTCATTTCTTAAGCTCATAAGAGAAATGCAAATTTGATTAATTTATGGTCTAATTAGATTTAAAATTAGTGTAGTTAATTGAATGCAAGGATATTGAATTTGCTAAATATTTATGGTTTTATGAAAATGTTATGGTGGAAGTAGATAGTATTACAGAAGTGGAGATAGATTGATTTCACAATTTTAATCCTGTTTAATTATTTTAAACTTCATTCAAGGAATATGGGTTATTGGGGGTAGCATTTAATCTTTGATTTCAAGGACTTGCTCTTTAGTAAGTTGCTAGACAGCATAAAAAATTTAATTCATAAATAATAAATAAGAACTTAAAATGAAACCATAATAAAAGAAATAATAATAACAATTGCGGGAGAAGGGTTTTGATACTTTTATCTCTGGGGCTAACAAGGATAGGGTTAATTAGAAGAACAAAAATCAATTGAAGTTAAAAACCAGGGGCGTTAAGAAATGGAATGATGAACATAGTCAATCCTAGAAGATTGGCACTCTTGATCATGATGATTTGGAGGTCTTGAGGAAGTCATTAGTGTAAGGTATTGGGCATCATTAATTCAGGTAATGTGCTCAGCAAATCTTAATAGGATTTGCTTGAAAAATTGCAGAAAGACACACCCATTGATCATAGATATGACCCACATTTTTCACAAATGTTGGATAGCGATAATGATGAATTGGACGAGCAATAAATTTAAGAAGAAGAAGATGTAATTAAAAATTTGAATAACCAAGTTGTGTTAGTCTGAAGGAGAAGACCATGATGAGGAAGCCTATAGGGATGACTTTGAAAACACTAAACCTCAAATCCAACCAGTTGTTCAATAATCATAGCCTTAAAAAGTTATACAAGTTGTCAATTTACCTGCTACCAAACCCAGACCAATCAGTGCCATCTCAGAACATGGCTAATCTCAATAGCAATTGCCCCAATAAGTCAGACAACCTTCCTCTGAAATCAAACCTCCCCCCTTGACTAAACCAGAAACCAAGCAATATGCTTCCAAACCTCAATTGAGGGCCAATTCTGTAACCAAACAAGAGGATATTAAAAATGATAACAATTCCTTCAAAGCTCCTCAAACTTCACAAAGCCAGAAGCCTCAAGAAAAGCCAAAGGATCAACTTGAGGAGTTGTTTGAAAAAATCGAAAAGCTTTCTAGTAATGAGAAATAAAAACTCATTTTTTTCTTGAATAAGAATACCATCAATTTGGAGGAAAAGACTGACAGATCAGAAATGCAAAATGAATAGAGCTAACAAAAACTATCACATGAAATGCCTATCAAATAATAAAAGTAATAAAAAGAATTATAAATTATTGAAAATAAGCCCAAAGAGTAAGTACAATTGACCATTCCTCAATAAATATCCAACAATAACTAACCTGCATTATAAATGCCATAAATTGAAACCAAGAAGCGAAATAAGAGCATAAATAACATTATTCAGATGTAATAAGAATTTGTAAAGGAAGAAAAAGCCTAAATTATAATCGAGAAAAATACTGATTTGTTGATTGATAAGAATTCTTAGTTAAAAATGAGGATACTGTCCACTTGGGGTAATCCAAGCCTGGTAGGTCTCACTGAAATAGAACTATATGCTACTGATGGCAATAAAGTCTAACTTAAACCATATAACATTAAAATGAGCAATGCATAGTCTCTCAAATTGCCAGAAATCCTTATCAATGGCAAATTCTTAACCAAAGATGCTGTCAATATGTGGTTAGGAAGTATGCCTGATCCTCCCAAAACTATTGACATCGAAATCTCATATGATGATGATGTGATGCTAGGTGGGATCAAAGTTTACAACTACAATAAGAGTTTGATTGATAGTGTTAAAGGAGTAAGAGACATGGAAATATTGTGTAGATAGAATGGTAAAGTCATTTCTAAAATTGTGGAAATTAAAAAAGGTACTGGTTTTGAAATTGATGATTATGGAACAGAAATTCAAATTATTGATAATTTCAAATTCTCAAATCTTTAAAACACTCAATCCAAATTTGCACAAAAACTCAGAGGTTAAATTGATTAATCAGATGTGATAGAAAAAAAGTAGGAAAAGTTAGAGGATTCTAAACCTCCTCCTTCAAGAAAAGGAAAAGGACCCATAGTAGTGGATGTATTTAAGGGGGAACGTTTAGATACTGGGAAAACTGATAAGAAGGTTGAGTAGACACAACAACCTAATAATAATTAAACTAATCAATAACAAAATATAGAACCCAGAAGAAGAAGAGATAATCCATAACCCACTCAAGATTACCTTGAAGAAACTCTTCAATATTTCAATATTACATAATAAGGTAGGTTAAAGCCGGTTTAACGGTAGGACATCATTGAAGACCCTGCACCCATACCAAAATACGAAGAAGTTGATGCTCTTGACTTTTTCTTTAAAGGCTAACAACGACCTAATAATATCTAATAGAAACCACAATTATCCAAATGGGAAACCCCATCTTAATAATAGATTCCTTCATAAATTATCTAATAGCCAAATAAAAACAACTATCGACAGTAAACATAAGAAAATGCCTAACTCATTAAGGAGTTGCTTAATTAGCCATTAATTAATTAGGCTCCAGTAAAAAAGGCCAAGAAGCAGGTGTCTTTGCCGACTCTTCCACAAGTACGAGTCATTACAATCCATATACATTCCACTTGGGGAGATAAATATTATGTAGGTTTAAATGGAATTGAAATATTCAATGAAGCAGGAAAATAAATTGAGATTTCAGATCCATACAGTTAAGTCAAGGCTGACCCTAGTGACATCAATGTGTTGCCAGAATATTTCAATGACCCTAGAACACCTGATAAGTTAGTCGATGGAGTATACTATACTCAATCTGATATGCATGTATGGTTGAGTCCCTTTTAGAGAGGGAAGATTAATAAGATTACTATTGATCTGAATGATAAGAAGAAAATTAGTATGATTCGAATATGGAACTATAATAAGAGCAGAATCCATAGTTTTAGAGGAGCCAAAGATATAAGTTTATTCTTTGATAATCAAATTGTGTTTAGAGGAGATATCAAGAAGGGTTTCGGAAATATGAATTTATAAAGAGTCATCAATTAGAATGAGCAACCCTTTGAACTCTTTTTATTCACAAGTGATGAAAATGTCATCTCATAAATAGCCAAAAATGATTGGATAAATTCTTAGGAATTCTAAACTATTTAACATGATTATCAAAACGAAAGACCAAATACTGGAAATGCAGATTCAGAAGTAAGACCAACGACATCGGCCAAAGTGACTAATCTATAGAATGAAAGTAATATGATCCCATAATTATTTAGTTAAATAAGCCAGATAGTAAGAGCAAACACAACAGAGACAAGAGAAATAATAAATTTAAAGAGCATTAGTTAATCAGAACTCAAATGGTATAATTTGTAGATATTTATAAATCAAATTATTAAGACCTTGGGCAGATCAACCCTATATTGGATTGACTGGAGTTGAGATTTATGGTATTGATTTATTTATCTATTTAGGTAAGGAGGGAAAAATATAAGTAAAAAATATTAAATCAGACTACCAAAGTGATGGAGACAAAGGAAACATAGTCAGTCTCATAAATGGGATCAATGTAACTACAAATGATATGAATATGTACATCCTTCCCTTTCAGCCAGGAAGGTGTATCACACTAACATTTACATTCGACATCCCTCAATTAATCACCTCAATTAGAATTTGGAATTACAATAAATCTTATGATGACACCTTTAGAGGTGCTAAGTTTATCAGTTTATAGAATGACTAAGGAATTATTTCCAATTGCATCGCATTAAAGAGAGCTCCTGGTTGTGATACCTATGATTATGCCTAAACCATTACTATACCATCCAAGGAATATGTGTTTGAAGAAACCACTCAAGTCTAAAAGTAATTAAGATGCGAATATGAAATCAATAACTTAATGGTTGGACATGAACTCAAGATCTAATTGATAACTACTTTTGGAGATATCCACTATATTGGATTGAATGGTTTAGAAATCCTAGATTACAAGGGAAGACAAGTTTAAGGCAATATAGGAGCAGAGCCATCGTCGGTTAGAATCCTTTAATCAATGAGAGGAGATAAAAGAGTAGTGGAGAATCTCTTAGATGGAATCAATGAAACTCAAAATGACACTCATATGTGGTTAGCCCCATTCACTAATAGATGCTTTGATCATTCTCAAGATCCCCAAATTAATAGTCTCTATTTCGGCTCAGAACAACCTTTTGCTTTAGGCTGCATCGTCTTTTGGAATTACACCAAAACTCCCGCAAGAGGTGTGCACGAAATAGCTATTAGTCTTGACGATTATATTATCTATAGAGTACAATTTTTGATCTAAATTTAAGGGGTATCTAAGATAAGCAGGCAATGATGGAAACCAAACTGTTGTTCTGTTTTACAGAGACATGTAGTTGATGGAAAGATTCAGTGGAAAATACTACACTGAATTTGGTCAAAAATAGTCTGCTGGTTACAAAAATGAGGAGAAAGTATCATCATTTTTATTATTTTATCTAGGGTACTAGGCAAGTATAAACTTATGCTCTTTTGGAAAGGCCAATAACTAGAGTCAAAGGAAGTAATTGATTTTAATATATTTTATACAAAATTTATTATAATCAGTTATGAATTAGACGCAGTGTCAATTTTGTTTAAATACTAATGGAACTTCAAATGTCAAACATGTTTATCCATAATTAATCAATAGTGTATCAATAATTAAACAATGAGCAGGCATTGTACACTAAATATTCATCAAAAAAGTCCAAAAATTTTGAAGACTTTTTTGCTAAAACACCAGCCAAGTGGGTAATTGATTTTAAAGATCATTTGCATTTACAAGATGATGATGAATATCTGAAAAGGTATAGGTTCATTTTATTGAATCAAGATTCTATCCAAGAGGTCAACAACCCTAAAAATTATAATCCTTACTGGATTACTATAGATATCATTATAACCTGCCTCGAATCTTCTTTGGAGTCTTAGCCGAAATAGCTATCTCATTCTTCGAGAAGAAAAAGTATATAAAATTGTTAATAATTATTCAATAGAAGATTCGAATATAGAAGAATTAAGAAAATGCTTGGAATTCCTTATGAGGAATCTAGTTAAAGTACATGTACTAAATATTCGCATAAAAACATTAGAATATGAAAAGTTGAATTAGGACATTTAAGTTTTAAATAGTATAACAAAGTTTACTGAGCAGTCCACTAAGTCTATTTTAAATGAGTTTTTCAAAATTTAAAACAATGATGTTTAGATTGTAAGTATTAAGTAGATTATTTTCAATAGAATATTGATGAAACGTGGTTGACAATGCAGTAATATGAATTAAGGGTTCCCTAAATAAATAAGAATTATGCTCCATAAAATCTTAAATTACTCAAAAAACTTGTTTAAAATCATTCTAGGGAAAAGATTAAGTTAAATTTACCCTTTCACCTATTAAAAGGAAAAACTGTATCAAATATTCGAAATTCTTAAAATTAATCTCCAGAAAGAATTAACCCAACTCAAAAGTCCTCCTCTCAACAACACATTAACAATAGTCAAGAAGAATGCGAATTTAAATCGATAATGAAATAGAAAATCTTAACATTATCTCAATAAAATAAAGTTAAAATTCAAAATATTTTCAAAAATAAAAATGAAATAGATTAAAACTACTATATTAATGCTCAAGGAAAACGAAGCAACACTCATTTTATTACTAGCACTAGAAGTATTTCATCTGAATAATTAAATACTGAATAGATACGTCTAGGTTAAATTAACTTAAATGGATAAGATCGATAAAGTTAAGATAAATTAATTAATTATGTAAAACACATTCCAATACATCCATCAAGTTAATTCACTTTTCAAAATGAAGGCTCTCCTTCAAAAAAGAATTAATAGCTGATTCAAGTTTATTCAAATAATATAAGTAACAAAGTAAAAACATAACCAAAAAAGTCTCCTTAGAAATAAAGAGTTTTTCACCATACTAATTCATAATCCACCAAATCAGATATTACTAAAGTTCTGTTATAAAATTTTGAGAAGATATATCCGTGCCAATAATAGAAAATCAAATTGGATGATCATTACAATAATAATAAGAGAAAATAATATCAAAATAATTCGGAATTGTATAGGCTATAAACAGAAAATAAATAATTAATAGCTACTGTTAAAAATAGAGTTAAATCAATTATTAAAAAAAAATGATAAATATAATTAAACTAATAAAAATATATCATTTTAGAAGATCAAATAGATCATACTCCATTATTTTATTTATATTTTAATTTATGCTTAAGTTATAACTATTAGTATGAATGTAATAAATAATGAAGAATATAATAAGTAATAATTTTGTAATTCAAAATTTTGTGTTTAGAGCGATATATCAATTATTGATTCCAAATAGTATAAAGAAGGTATATTTCTGATGAGTAATTAATATTGTTTTTTGTTTTTGATTTCAGAAGCAGACAGAAAATTAATAATTTAACAACAAATTTCAATCATATTTCTGTTAAATGAATAATAGATGGTCGATTTCTAATTAGGCTCCTTTGTAGTAATCTCGTTACAAGTAGGAGATTGATAATTCAAATGTACCTAACAATCAACCTGCCCATCACATTAAAAATGATGAATAGGCAAGATAGCTCTGTCCAAAAGATAGTCCGATTCCTTCGTAAATATATAATCAATATCATTTAAAGTGAAAATAGATCTCGGATTAAGAGTTCCTATGATGTAGCAAAATCAGGCATATCTCAAAAATATGAAAGAGGTATATTTCTATATGATCATCAATATTAGCTGAAACATCGTATTCTCCCATCATAAAGTCAACTTACCAAAGAGATATTTCTCCTCAATTCTAAAAGTCTGAGAACCATAAATTGATAGATTCATACGAAGTTCGATTAATGAAGTTAAGTCAGGAGAATGGATCATTATAAAGTCAATTGTTTTCAGATCAATAAAAATACAACTAAATAATTATTGATTTTGAGTTACAAACTAAGTGTTTAGAATAAAAGCTGAATACAGAAATAATGAATATCTAATAGCATAAATTGTTAATCTAGAACAAGAATGAGGAAATCAATGCATAGACTTAGGAATTATTAAGATTGGAACAAAAGTATTTCGAATTAGAATCCAAAGTATGATTATAATTATATTCAACAGATGTTTCAACAACAAAAAGATATGGGAATGTTAAAATAGTCAAATGATTCCAAATCTATTGAAATTGATAATTTAAGACAATACATTAAAGAGCTTTAAGCCAAGAATGCAAGAGATTAAGAGGAATTAAAGCTTGCGACTGATAGTTCTATTCGCATTAATTACGAAATCCAAATCAAAGAAATTTAAGTGCAACATGGTAACAATATTGCTAGATTGAATGATTTACTACAATAGGAACAATAGAAATATAATCGATTACTAAGTTAATTCGAATAATAAATGAATGAATTAAATTATTAGAATATTACGTTTAATGATTTCAAAATAGAAAAAGATAAATTATCTGAAGAAAATGCTCGATTATAAAGGCTTTTAGAAGAAATTAAAGCCTAATAACAAGAACTATTGAGAGAGTCAGACTCTCAAAGAGATAGATTAATGCTACAAGATAAAAATCATTAAACAACACTTAACGAATTGAAATCTCATTATGAGTATATGAGGAAATCTTAAGTTGAGAGGGAAGTTAAGGAAGTCACTATGAAATTTTAGGCCGAAAGATTGAATTATGAGTCCCAAATAAGAACTTTAACTTAGAGATTGATAGATTTTGAAGGAAAGATTAACTAAAAGCATGAAGAGAATCGATAGTTATAACAGAAGTAATAGGCGATAGAATCCGAATTGAGAATTTTCGTTCAGGACCATGAACATTATAAGAGAATCAAGGATAGTGAATTGCAGGAATATTAAAATGAATTCTCAAAATTGAGATAATTGTAATTAGATACTTAGTAGAAAAGCTAAAATTAATAGAATGAGATTTAGAGATTAAATTAAATAATCAATGATTTTAAAACTGAAATTGAATTGGTGAAATCTTAATCTCAAGAAATTCAAAAGTAAGTTAAGTTAGAATATGAAAATGATCTCAAGAACTCAAAGGCTAAATAATAATATGAAATTCGATAATTATAGGATTAGATCAATGATTTAAAAAATGATCTTCAATAATAAGAATAAACTATCAAATAAAAGGATGAAATCATACATCAATAAAAACTTAATTTATCTTAAAAGTAAGGAGAAATTGATGGATTGACATTAAAATTAGACAATGTAGAAAAACTTAAGGATTAGGAAATACAATAATATCAAAGTGAAATAGATAATCTTTAAAGAGAATAAAACTTATCACAAATAAAATTAGGAAATGAAAAGAGTCTCTTAGAATAATAAATTAAATAGTTGAAATAAAAATTAAATGATTTGGAGACTTAATAGATACAATAAGAGTTTAAGAATGAATAAGGAAGGCAGGAATTAGAATAGAAGTTATAATAAAAAGAATTTTAATTGCAATAACTTTAAAATGAAAGAAATAACATCAACTCTCAGTTGACTGTATAAAAATAGAAATTTGAGTAATTTGATTCCATAATATAAGAATTAAGGGAGTAAAATTAATAACTTAGTTAGGAAATTGAGGATCAAAAATAACAAAATGAAAGTGATAGGGCTTAATTTGTTAAGAAAGAACTTGGGTTAGAAAATAAGATATAACAATTAAAATAACAAATGAATTAAAGAGAATATGAATTGTAATAGTATCAAAGTGAGTTGGATACTACAAACAATAGAGTTCGATAATAAGAGTTAATTACACAATAAAGTTAGGATGAATTTAGAAGAAGGGAACATCAATATGTCCAGGAAATAACCAACTTAAAATAACTTATGGATACCACTCAACAAAGACAAAGTGAATATTAAAGCATAAGAGAGACATTGTAAGAACAAGTGTAGAGTTTATAAGAGAAAGGCTAAAATAAAGAAAAAGAAGTGGAAGAGCAAGCTCAAAAGTGTGAGGATTTAAGAGAATAATTTAATCAATATATTGAGGAGACTAATTTGAAATTGGAATATTATTAGAGAACAGAATATGAGAGAAAAGAATCAGATTTGAAATATCAAGCAGAGTTGGTATGTAATTAAGTTTTAATTTTAGAATGCTGCTTAAGATAAAATTAGAGTTTTAGAAATAGAACTAGAAGCTCTTTAATTAAGGTAGAATCAGCTTCTTAAAGAGAGAAGAGAACTTGAAGATTTATTGGACGAAAAATCAAAAGAAATTGAATAACTTAAAAATTAACTTAATTAGGATTATATTTCTAATGAAGAGTATACTTCCTTATAAAGAAAGTATAATGAGCAAACAGAAGAATTACATTTGTTAGAATAAAAACAAATTAAATTTGGCACAGAGAAAAAACAATTAGAAAGATAAATAGATAAATTGAATCAAGATATCGAACTTAAAGATTAAGAACTTTAATAGACTGATAATTTAATGAAAAAAAGAAGAAGCGAATAAGATGAGTTAAATAGGAAGATTGATTCATTAACTAGAGATAATGCAAAAGTATCTCACGATTTACAAGAAGTGTAAGCTTCTTTGAGTTCGAAAATTGATTATATAAATGCTTTGAAGAGAGAGAATGAGGATTTATAGATCTAATTAGCTTCTGCCAAAAAATAATATGAGAAAACATAAGAACAATTGAATAAAAAGAATTAAGAATTACTAGAAAAATTTAATGATGCTGAAATCAAAAAGTCATACTCTTCTGGTGAAAACACCGCAACCAAATTTTTAACTGCCACTACAATAATTAAGACATCTCAAGTGTAACTTAATACTCCATTAATTCCAGAAGAAGAGAGTTAAAAAGGAACCGAAAGATCCGATTAACAATTTCAGGTATTTTAATTATAATCTATTTAGACCTCTCAAAGAAGTGAAGAAGTTTGATTTATTTAATATATATATCAATTTATATCTTATTTTAACTTATTATAATGTTTCAAATTAATATTTAATGAAATATATAAATGTAAATTATAGAAATTTGTAATAAAGGTTTTATGAATCTTATTAATTACAATGTATTTATTTTCATCGTATTAGTGAAATATAATTGCATTATTGATTAAATTAATATTTCAAATATATTTATAATAAGGATTATATTATTCTTTAGGAAGACATTCAGCATTGATTTTGAAGTTTTCATTTATCTTATTAAAATATTTGTGTTTCAATAATTCAGAAGCAGTAGGTCGATCCTGATACTTTAAGGTTGCTTGGAGAAAGTTAATTTGATCATCATCAGCCAAATCAAAATATTCAAAGAAGGATTTGGGTCTGACATGTTGAAAGCTGAAATTAGTTTATTTAATACTTAATCTTTCCTTGATCTGGCAATTCCTTAACTTTGGGCCAGTTGTCTTCAGTGGGTGATCCTAAGACATTACCAATGTGAATGATTTAATCAATTTCTCCTTTGCCAGTGAATAACGGTAATCCAGTGAGGAGTTCAGCATAAATACACCCAAATGACCAAATGTCTACTTCAGTTCCATAATCTCTTTTGCCAAATAACATTTCTGGTGCCATATACCATTTGGAGAAGCCTTCTGTAGAATATTGGCCATTTTGATCCAATTTACTCAAATGTTCTGCTGAGCCAAAATCTCCGATCTTGATGATTCCCTCATGCAACATAATATTGGATGGTTTGAGATCTCGATGAACTACCTAGCGTGAATGGATGTGTTCTATCCCACATAGAATTTGATATGCTATATTCCTGATTACTTCAGCATCCAGAGGGTAGAGAGTGCTTTGTATGAATTAGTGTAAATCATATTAGCAATATTCCATATAGATGGAACATTATTGATCGAGAACTTGGTACTAATATACTTTGATAACATTTTTATGATTCATCTTTTCATGCAAATGAACTTCTCTCAGTACTTTCTTATTACAAAACAATTGCTTAATGGCTACTATTTCTCCAGTTTTCACGTTGATGCCCTCATAAACAGTTCCAAAAGCACCCTGTGATATTTTTTTATTAATTTTATATAAATCAGACATTAATTATTATGATTCCATTTAAAAAATTAGCATCACTTTTTATACGTACATTCTCTAAACCAGTTGCCAATTTTATCAAGAGATACGCTCTGAATAATAGCAATAACAGATCTTTTGGAAGGAGGATAGTCAGAAATGGCTTTATATTTTTAGGAAATAGATACAATGCATTAGATGTATATTTGGAAAGAGTCTCTATTGGTCAATCAAATTAGCAATTTTTCATTAAACCCTTAACAGATGAAACTGCATTTATGAAAGGTTGTTGATCAATTAATATTGAAATAGGCACTGATCTATTCTCAGATGTATTCATTTATATCTGCGTCTTGGGATTGCCTTTATATGAAATCATAAGACAATCAAATGAGTCAGCCCTTAAAGAGGCCATTTACGATGAGAAATTGCACAAACTATCAAAAGTACGCCCACAATTTTGAGTTTTAGGAAGTTGAAGAATTAGAATTAATTGAATCTAAAATTAAGGAAAAACAGTTAGAGTTAGCCTAATTAGATAGGATTCTAATTGAATAAATATCCTAAACAAACCATCAATTTTAATAGCAACTAGCAAAACATCTATATTGATTAACATAAGAATTTTGAATCCATTATAAATTTGTATAATATCAATTTTTATTTTAAGCCTTTCTTATAATTGCCTTCACAAAAGCTATAACTCCATCGAATTCCTACTCCAATATTCTGTAATCCAAGTCTAACTGCTAAATGACAGAACTCCTCTCCCTTCCCTTTAAAGCATGAGTCAATTGATCCAATGCCTATTTAAATTGAGGACTCAGTAGATTTTCTCTAAATTATTCTAAGTTCTATTAATCAGGAGGTAAGTGTCTCGAATAAACAATATTTCTTACTCTTTTAAAGCCTCAAAGTATTCTTGGTCCTTGGCAATTTGAGTCAAAAATTCAGTTGTAAGAAGATCAGTTAATGATAGTCCTGGACCAATTCTGGATGTTAGTTACTATTGAAGTAATTGCAAAAGTTATTATTATTATAGGTCCATTTATTGTGGAGGTTATGGATGAGATTATTATTATGTTATAGTTTAAACTGGAGGCTGTTGTTCAATTTCCATAGGATCATCCAACACTTAAGCATTGATAACATTGTTAAATTGCTTACAATAATTTTCATCCAAACTTGGATCGTCAGACTAAGTATATGCTCATGATTACTTGCATCCAAAAGAAGTATTTATAGTCATCGTCTGTAAATCTAAGGAGGTACACTCTGTTCTAGCCTTTAACTTTTTCGAAAAAAGTGCAGCCTTTAATCAAGACTCTTTCCTAATTTACTTTAAATTATTTCAATACAATTTCTAATTTATTATCTAGATCCACATTATACCACTTCAACCACAATTCATTCTCTTCATTCAAATACAAATTGAGCAATCCTTTTGCTTTCACAATAACTACTTTCTTGGTATCTTGATTGAAATCATACCTTCCGCAAGGAAATTTTACCTCCAGAAACATTAATTATAATTAAAATAATCAATTCAAAAATTACTTTAAATACTCTCAATAATATGGATTTGTCTTAAGCATAAGGCAACATTCTTTCTGAACTCTTAGAATTGATTGTAATCTAAGTACATGGTTTTCTTGACTCCTTTTTTTGTATGGAATATTAAAAGAATCAATGGTCGAATTACCTAATCATGACTCAAAATTAATGATTACTTTTCTCATCTTGATGCTGGATAAAGTAATTTCCAACTTCCACTCCAACTTGGAGAAATCAGCCTCGAAAGATTCCAGATTTGTATTTTCTTTGTATTGTGTCTCAATGATGGTTTCTTATGGATTGATTGAGTTTTCTTTATTAACACATGAATATCATACCTGGATCAGTGTAGTACTTTATGAAAGTGTAATTGTTTAACTTTCTATCAAAGTGAATGATAGGTAATACTTAATCCTTTAGATAAAGCATAATCTATTGGTCGATTTTGCTAATTTTCTCTAATGCTTTAACTTAATCTTGCTATGATCTCATAGCCAATTCTTTTAACGCTTTGGTGCATTTGGTTACTAATATTTTATCTTCTCTTCTCAATTCATCTCTATATTTGACAAGTTGACTTTTGTAATTTTTCTCTTAAAGCATCACATCCAATGTCACCTTAAGTATCATCTGATGATTCTCATGTTTCTTCAATAATTCTACAAATTTCATATTGTAATCCATTTGATATTAAATCTGCTAAGTATTATTTGATAATTATATTATATATTTGTCGATTCATTGAGAAATTACCAATAATAATACTAAATGATCTTTTTGATTAAAATACATCCTGAGAGATGATGATATGATTTATCTCATTTCTAAGGTGTTAATTTAATACATAAAAATAATTACAAGAACCTTAATATAATCAATCCAGTTGTGAAATAAATGTAAAGTTCTATGCTTTAAATTAATCTAAATACATTGTAGAATTATTCGATTATGATTCTGACAGGGATCTCTAAATAAAAGAATAATTAGTAGTTCAATCCAATATTGCTTATACAAACTCTTAAAACATTTTAATTGGAATTTAATCTTCGTATATTATCCTAACTATATATTGAATGATTCCAAATAGTTAGATTAATTTTACAGCCAATATTGAAAAAATATCTAAACCGAGTATATCAATATCACTCAATGATTGCATCTATTGGTCTAGATGGTTATAATACCTTTCGTATCTGATTGTAAAGTGATTGAAATGAACTATTTAAATAAACAACACAATAGAAAACAGACCATTTTGATATGTAAATACGGAGATGAAATTTATAGATTTAAAATACAAATATATTAATGATGTCTATATATAGTTTTAAAAATAGCAAAAATTTAGTTTTGAAATATACTTAATAACAGTTTATTCATTTTTACATATCATTTTTATATATTTTCCAGTTTGGTTATGATCTCTGATTATTATAAATAAAGTCTCGAGTCTGCTTTCAAATTTGACTTATAATCTTAATATTCTCTGCTTGAAATCATCTAAAAAATTTCATTCCTTAAGTAATTCCTGTATCTGTAGATAATTGATAAAGAGGAGGTTACTACGTATTCCCATGGGATATAATATAATTCTCTTGTGATGTCATCAAATGAAAGTGGAATAGTGGTAATGATTATTCGATTGCCTGTTTGTTCTAGTCCAATTTTTAAATTATACTTCGTCATTAGGTAGTTCCTCACGTTTTTCTCACTCAATAATTGAGCCAAAATCTCTTCGGAATTATTAGATTCCAACTTTTCAAGTCTTAGGGTTAAGTATCGAAATAAGTATGGGAATGGTTAATCCATGGCTATAAAGTCGCAAAGCAGTATTTTAATATAGAAGTATTTGTTGCATTAATACATATCTCCTTTGTCTTTCTCTTTATAATAAATTGAATAGGAGAACCTATAATCAAAATTGAATCTAATAATTTCTGATTCAGATTTAAAAATGTTCTCCTTTCTCAACAGCATTCCTAAATGTTTAATCAGACAAACCACAATCACATCTTTCGCGTGTTTGATATAATCTAATCTTGATAGCTACTCAATGTCGTATTTATACCATTCCAAATAATCCTTATATAAAATATTGATTGGGATCATATTAATTTGGCATCTCAAATCTTGATATGCTTCAAAAATCTGATACTTCTGTTGTTAAAACCTCTAAACCAACATTCTTAATTGTGATTCCAAAACGTAATCTTGCATATTGTCCAAGTACAATTTGTCATAAAATAGGTTTTTGTGTAATTGATGTAAATGCAGATTGTATTCTTAGAGAATATAACTTGGAGTTCGTTTACTTTGATCCATTAGCACTACCTTCTGATCCCAACATTTCTTTCTGACTTCAGGGATATTATATATCTTTCTAAGGAAATCTAGTTTTTTAGATAATTGAATAACACATTGTCTTTTTGGATTGGATTTGTTTTTGTCTAAATCTCCTTTCATCTATATGTAGATCAAGATCTCTGGAAATGATATCTAAGAAACCCAACAATTTAACATAATTATCTTTTGTAGCCATCTCAACCCGTTTTTCCTAGGCATCAGGACTGATTTATCAAATTAACCATTCAATGATGACTTAGATTTACAGAAATTAATAAGATTCCTAATAATTCCTAGTAGCTTATTAATTTAAGGATCCAAACTATCGTCATATTATTAGAAGAATTCAAGTTTTTTCATCAATTAAGTTTTACATGATTTTAAATCAAGAAACATTTCATTTAATTCAGTCAATATACTCTCCTTGCTCTTTTCTAATTGCTCAAGACTCATCATTAAGAGTTCTTTCATTTTAATAATTTCTATGCATTTCAGGTTTTAATTCAATTCTTCCTCGTTCCTATGGTCTTTGATCAATGTAAAATTGAGTGAATCTAACAAGGAATCTTCACATCTTATTTTGAGTTTGACCAATTACTCTCTTTTCTTTTGGAATTCAATAAAATTTAAAATAAAAGGCAAAGGTACTTTATTTATTATTAAGTATAGTAATTTCTGTTTAATTTCATTTTTTATTTTTTTGTTTACTTCCACTTCGTCATCTTCGCTTTCTTCAACACTTTCGTCCTATCTCAATCTCTCTGGGTTTAGTTTCTGACTAAATTTAAATTTCCTCTCTCTTGGTATTTACCTACTTATGTGTCCCTTATTATAAACAGCACTCAGAATTTATTGAACTTCCACTATTTCTTCAGCCTATGTATTAATGTTCTTATAATTCTCATAGAGTTAATCTAAATTCCTATCAAGTGTAATAGATTGATTCAATTTAGCAATTTTGTGATGTTTCATCAATTTAACTAATAGTTTAATATTCTTCTTTCTTTAATTAACAGGTTAAATTTAAAAAGAGTAGGAGTCATCTGAAAAATCTAACATTTTTAATTAATTACAAAATACCCTCAAAATTTTTGAAACCATAATGAACAAATTCAATAATGAATTTTTATTTCCAATTAATATTACTCATATAACAAAAATAAATTATACATTTTTATTCAAATCTTATATCCCACTCTTTTTGCCATTCTCATAATTGAGTATTGCCCCTTCCCCACTCTCTCCCTCCAGTCTACCATGATTCCATGGAAAGTAAATAATATTTTATATAACATTTGTTAATAAAATTAAAAATGCTAAATACTTCATAGACCAGATCAACAAATGAAATCCCCAATTATGTTGTAATTGATAATGAATACATAATAGTGAAAAACATATACAAAGGAAACACCTACAATTTATACATAGGTAGAGATTGAAAGCCTAGCTAGCTGTAAAAAGAGACTGTTCTGAAGAATAAAACAAGTTCGTATTGATCAAAATGCGCAGGTAGCCAATTCCATTTATTAAAGAACTAATGCCTCAGAACAGAATTTTGAGTAGTACTTCTTGAACAAACTAAAAGATAGTAAAATAAGTTTGTATATAGGTAAATGCACTACAAGAATTCTGTCCATCGGAGAACAAATAATCAAGGAATAACTTTATCATTATTAAGTGATGGAGCGTCATGGACCTTCCTTAAAGCTAGTTTACAATTACTTATCCAAAAACATCCCTATTACAATACTATGTGTGATGGCAATCCAGACTGTAAATGAATCCAACTAAAATAGCTTACTTGTCTGGAGCAAATCCATAAGCAATTGATCATTCATCGCAATATTAGACCCAAGAAATTGTTAATCTCTCAAAGTGGTTAAGAAATTTTATTGACCGATTTTAAGTATGCTTGTAGATACAGGAAACAGCAAAATAATATCATTGTAAATGATACATTACGCAATTCTTAGAACAAAAGGTTTCTAAATAAATTCTCAAGTCTGAATCAGCATTTAGAACAAGGTAATTGTCATATATTAGAATCTAGTCTCTTCTCCCAAGGACGACCTTGAATCTCTAGCCTTGATCATACTCTATTATGGCGGATTTGCCTAACTCCTAGACATAAAAGAAGAGAACAGGGGACTTAAAATTAAAAAGTTGGAACAAGTTAAATTAACATTGCTACCGGAACTGTCCTTCAAGGGAGCCCCATTGGAATTTATTCAATTTTACAATGGAGTTAAATAATCATCATTCAGCGATTACCCTTAGGAATATGAAAAATATAAACAGTTATTTCGGAAACTATTGAACGGTTGCGGTTATTCAGAGAAAGATGTTGTTTACCCCCATTTACAGATGATGAAACAACAACAATATAATGTGAATGTGATAATCGAAGAATAGGAAACCCAAGCACAGATGGATTCGATCGATGAAGACCAAAGTGTGTTTAGAAAAATGAAAGAATTAGATGGAAAGAGATTTCATAGATTAATTTCATTAGAAAATTAAACATAAAGCTCTCAGAAAGAATGATTAGATTAAATTATTATTAATTTATGTAATATATTTTAAGGGATTATTTTGTAATTCGTTCAGAAAATCTGAAGAATATTGATTCATGGAAAAGGCTAATGGTTCTAATATCGATCTATTAATTAAGCGACGCGATGGTAGTTGCAGGAGAGGCAGCAACAGAAAATATTTAGGGTGAGAAATTTATATTGATTTATCGAATTTTGGTAAAATATATTGTGATATTAGGCTCAAATCTTTTTGATTGCTTTCTTTCATGTACTAATGATAAAATTATTAAAAATAAAAAATAGATTAATAAATTTAATAACATTATTAAAATGTATATGTGTTATCATATGTTGGGAAGAATTGGATATTAATATATAAAACACTTTGCACTAATCATTGCTTGAATAATTTGTAATTGTGCTTTGTTTTGTATTTGCGATTGAATCTTAAATTTGCTAAACACTTGCACTTTTATTTAATCTCATATATAGTCTTACTAGACATTTTAAATTTGATTCAAAGAGTAACATATCATTTGCAGTTAGATTAACTATTATGCACGTATTGTTATAAATATATGTAATAATCTCAAGTCAGAAGAACAATAAGAGTTACTCTAATGCTTAATTAATAGCTATGAGTGCTAATAACAACATAAATTATTCCCAACTATAATCAAATCGAGTCCTAAGTCCGAAATAAGCTCATACCCAATTTTGTATTGAGATTTCAGAGAAGAAGAATCAGTCCGCCATTCCGATGGATTAAAAAATAGATGATAACTTAACAGAATCCATTTAATAGGATCATTTATATGAGGTTTTGCTAACTAGTTTTGATTAAGGAATATATATAATTGATAATTCATTCTAATAAGCCTAAATCATCAATCCTATTTTAAGCAATCTGATTTTGAAGAATGAGAAATTGAATTTAAAGTTGTTTGAAGCTAAGATAGTTGATAGTGGTATTAGTGCAGATGAAATCTATATGATCATTCCTAAACTTCATCAAAGCAATGATATTGAATCATTCTTGAAATTTAGCTAAACCTTAGAGTAAAATATGATTTTATATAATTGAGTTCCATTTTATCAATTTGATAAGCAAATTCATCCAATTCAAAAGTTTTAGCTCATAGGCAAGAACATAACTCTAAAATTTGTATTAGATAATCTAATGGCTTTTAACCATCTTAAATACTCTAAAACTCACTCCCTGGTAGACTTTTCAATTAAAACATACATCAAATATGATACTCTTAATTTGTAAATCTTGTTATCTCCATTGGTGCATAAATAGAAGCTGTATTAAATTCTATTTGTATCCGATGTCACTAATGAACTTGAAATTTCACAAATCTTAGATAACAATAAGAATAGTGATGATTATTTAATTAGTGATATCTCATAGAGAATACGATAACCCTTAAATAGCACAATATCTATGTTAGAAATAATTATGGTATAACCTATGGCATCTATGATTTTAGAATACGATTCCAGAGGATACACGAGAAAAATACATAAATCCAGCTTTGGCAGGTTGTAAATTACTAATTAATACTGCTAATGATATTTTGGATTATGTCCAATTATTGAAGAGAACCAAATTAGAATTAACATTAATTGACATCTAAATGCATACATTTATATCTGATATACTGAATGTAGTGAAATCTCAAGCTACCTTTAGGGGTCTAAAACTAATTGTAACTATTGAATAAAAGGTTCCTCAATTTATCAGAACTGATCCAAATAGATTAAGATAAGTTTTAATTGATTTGTTGGTCACTGTCATTTAAGCCACTATCAAAGGAAAGATAATATTACTAGTGAGGAAGTGCTCACTTAATTCTGATCATGTTGATATTATCATAAAAGTTAATGCACTTGAGACTAACTTTTAGATATTAAAAATGATCAATAAAACAGTAAGGTTTTTTAAATCTCAATCTTTATAATCCAAAGTCATAGAATTATCAAAATTAAAACAATATTCATAATCCATGCTCATAGCATTTTACTTAACCAAATATTTATCATCAATTCCTTTTGAATATGATTATGAAAGAGTCGAAAATTTAGAAAGTCTTCAATTCATTATCAAGGTTTAAAATCTAAATACCCAGTTTAATGAATTGTTATCCTAAAAAAGACTATCTGTTATATAGAATCAAAAAACCTTTCATTAGCTCTTTGTCAATAAAGAAGGACTCTAGAGAGGATAGTCTGATTTGCCAGTTTCAAATGACTTATTAGAATGTAAATAGATAAAGAAGAATGTGTATATTGGAATTAAAGAGAAACTTATAGAATCTGATTAAAATGAGTCTGATGTCTAGGAATATGATGCAATATCAATTGAATCCAGAATTGGATTATCAATTAAAGTGGACTAAATGGAACAAGCAGAACCCTACTTTTTTGATTACATAAATGAGGATAAAAAGAGACAAGAGCTTTTTATATCTCAACCTTCTCAATAATTAACATTCGGAGGCTTTGCATAGCCCAGATCGTCAATCTATTCATCGTTGGGCTATTCTAGTGGAAGTATGTAACCAAATGATCTATTGGATTGTTTTGAAAAAATGGAAAAACTGAAATAGTAAAAATTCTAATTCAACTGCCAAGTATAAATATTAATCATTATTAAAGTGTCCTAAAATTTTGATATATGAAAGCATAGATCTAGATCTTTATGCTATGTCACATTAACTTGACAATCTTGGAATTCTTTATGAATACATCACGTAAAGATAGATGATTGTGAGTGCTCTAAATAAAAATGTAAGCAGAGTGTAACATTGTTGTAAAGGCTTGGAATTATTATTCATAGGAGTAGAATAAAATGAGGAAGATTTAGCTTCAATATTCGCTGAAATCAAAGAGATCTATGTCAAATTTAGAGTCGAACCTAAAATTATTGCTTTAATGGGAGATATGCATTAAGAAAATAGAAAAGAAATTATGAAATTGCCCTTCCACGATTTCTTATCTAAACCTATAATGATCGATGCATTATTATTTATTCTAACCAAATGGATCAAAATTTAATGATAAAATATAACTTCATTTAAGTCTGTTATCAAATTTAAATTCAAATTACATCAATCAATACTTATATCTACATAATTCTTCATATTTTTTGATTAAATATAACTGCAATCACAAAAGGAAGTGTTGTCTCAATACACCCATTTAATTGTTAATTGGATTACACATTGGATTTTTAATGCATTTATGAATTTTTTAATAGCATAGATTTTTTAAATGGTTATGAATCATTTAAATTGCCTTGTAAGTAATAATATTAAAAATGATCAAAGGCATAATTATCATCTCAAATATCATTATTAATTCTAAGGTATTTTTAATTTCTGTTTTGGCTTGAAAATAGAAATTTAATAGTAAATAATTTTATTTTATTTTTAATTAGATGCGATATCGAAATCATATAAATAAAATAAGATTATATCTCATTTTGTAGATATTTATCCCTTGCTAAATAAATTCTTATTTTTCAATACATATTTTTTTTCATAATTCGTTATCTGAATAACAAATAACGAAAAGTGTTGAAGGCATTTAATTACGGATTAGAGATGGAATATATGATTTTACTGACTGATTGTTTGATTAGTAGCATGTGATCTCAAGTTCAATATAACAATTAAAATGATTCAGCATTAAAATTAATGAAATCAAAATAATTAACTCCCTAGAGAGTAGTGTCTACTATAAAGTTGAGGAAGGCTCTTTACTTTTATAAGAAGGACAAAGAAGTGTTAGATCTCAAGATCAAGTTGAATGAGATGTGTGAATCTACTTTTCTCACAAATGCAGAACTGCATCACATAGTCCGTTCAGTTTCTCGAGGGAACTCCCCTTAATCATAGAGATTTCGAATTCGGACGGAAACTGCAACGATTAGCACAGGACCTAAGACTCCCTAACATAGATTCAAAAAATTCGATTTCACCACAACCGCACATCTCTATTTCGCTTGATTATTATTATAATGAATAACTCCACTTTGATCTGCAATCCTCGACATAAACAAATCTATTAAATTTATACGTCTCGCAATCATACTCAAACTAAGTACACTCCCAAGATGCATTCCAAATTACCCAATTGTTCTCCATAACCTAAAATAAATGATTTCAAAGTCAAGAAGTAAAAATGTTTCTTTTCACGCAAAAAATAACTCTCGCATCATTAAAGTCCTGTAATCAATCACAATCATGCAATTCGTGATTCTAGCGAGAGTTTTATGAAGGACTTGGATTTATCTGGCAATGAGGATTTGAAGGAGATCAACAAGAATTTGTTGCTTACATCTTAAGAAATTAATAAGAAAATGCAATTCAATATCGAATCTTATCTAAACAGCACTTTCAAATAGAAACAACTATAACAAAAAGTAAATAATTTCATTGATCTTAATTTTAATCACGCAACAAGTGTTTTCCATTATTTTGATTCCTCCAAAAGTAGAAGAAGCACTCCTTTACAACCCTTAAGACTATATCAAAAAAAATGAATTTGTTTATTTATAATACTTATCATTTCCTCCAACATTCAAATCAATTAGGTCATAATTATTCAAATTATCTAAGTCAGAGTTTAATATAATAAAAATCCTCGGATTATTGCAGTAAAAAGTTTTTAGTAATCTCTTAAATTTAGAAAATATTTAATTATTATTTATGTATAGATTCATAGCTAAATTCCACTTTTGTGATATTAGAAACAAACTATTTAACTTGAGTCTCATACACGCCATCAATCACGGATTCAACAATAAGGCATTATAATAAGCATGTCTAGATCTTAATATCTCAAGTGCTGCATCCACAGTCATCCAACCAATAGATTTAATACATTATTCAATGAGAAAATGGAATCGTGAAATTATCGACACCATGACATTTGATGAAAATTTTAAGCAATTTACTATTAGCAACAAAATCAAGAACTTAATAAAATAAAGATTACAATTGCAAGGTCCTTATATGGGCAGATGGAATGAAGCTATGGCTTTGGGAGCTTAGAATGCAAATTAAACAAGTGCCATTCTATGGTAATTTGCTGATGATTGTTGGTATTTGGCTGGTGATAAATCATAAGATTACAATCACTATACTAAGAGAATGATGTTTTTATATATCTACATTTCTACAGAACTCTTTATGTTAACTGATAAATCACCAAACTTTTTTATGACTTGGGATTTCTTGGAGAGGTGAGAAAATTCATTTAATTGTAGACGAATGTTAGAAATTAAGGATTTTGGTAGTTAAATTGAGTTGATATCCACGACTATGAAAACACTATGGAATTCCGGGTATTATATGACAACAATGTTTTATAATTTTCCAAAGGGTACTTTGAAATGAAAAACATGTGGATCTGTATCAATATAAATTTATTAATATAATCTCTCTACAATCATAATTCCAATCTCTTATGCCAGAGGATCATATCTACTTGGGAATAAATATAATTGTGTAAATCATCTTTTTGGGTGTAAGAGATCAAGAATATAAATATGAGAAAACATTTAATTAATAGAATTTTTGAATGATGACAATTATATATAATCAATTGAATATATTATTTTTAGATTTAAGTACTGATAATGAGAGTTTTGATATACCAAATGTATATATTGTAAGTGTAAAAATAACGAAATAATTAATAAATATATTACCCACGTGTGTGGGAAGAATTAAAAGTGAAAAAATGAAGTTTAAAATCAATAATAAAAATGCCAAACAAAACCAAGATTCTGAATTACATGAGGCCAGCTATGGCTATCATCCCAGACGTAGCTGAACCAGAAAGAAGAGTATGATATTAAATACGAAATTTAGATTCTATTTAAATATAGAGCACTTTGGACAGCCATAGCAACATTGCTGTATTTGATTTGTTCATAGATCCCACTTTATGGTATTTACAAATCATCTGCTGGTGATCCATTTTATTGGATGAGAGTCATCTTGGCATCAAACAGAGGTACTTTAATGGAATTGGGTATTTCACCAATGGTCACAGCATCTATGATAATGTAACTATTGGCTGGTGCCAAATTGATTGACGTTGATTAGAATGTAAAGGAAGACAAATAACTGTATTCAGGAGCATAAAAATGTATAAATACTAATTGATTTTCTAGTGTTGGGAATTCTTATTGCTTTTGGAGAAGCCTTCGCATATGTCTGGTCAGGAATGTATGGAGATTTGGATAAATTGGGTGCAGGAAATGCAATTCTTATTATAATATAGTTGGTATTTTCAGCAATCGTCATGATTATGATTGATGAATTACTATCAAAGGGATATGGAATTGGAAACTCAGGAACTTCTTTGTTTATAGCTATAAATATCTGTGAGAACATTATGTGGAAAGCATTTTCACCAATTACTCACAAAACTGAATTGGGATTAGAATATGAAGGTGCCATTATTGCATTATTACATGGATTGTTTGTATAGAGTGACAAAATAAGTGCTCTTCAATCAGCCATATTGAGAGATTCATTACCAAACCTAACTAATTTGTTAGCAACAGTATTGGTCTTTTTGATTGTCATCTACTTCTAAGGATTCAAAGTCGACATCCCAATCAAAAACAATAAAGTCAGAGGAGGATTAACATCATATCCTATCAAATTATTTTATACCTCCAACATCCCAATCATCCTATAAACTGCATTAGTATCAAACCTCTATTTCCTTTCATAAATTCTTTACAGAAACTTCAAGGGTAACTTCTTAATCAGATTATTGGGATATTATCAAGAATTAGAGAATGGATAGACTGTTCCAATTGGAGGATTAGTGTATTATGTGTCACCTCCAAGATCAATTTCAGAAGCTATCTTCGATCCAATCCACACCATCCTCTATACTGCATTCATTCTTGGAACTTGTGCTGTGTTCTCAAAAACTTGGATTGATGTTTCAGGATCATCACCAAAAGATGTATTGCTTTTTAAATATATTCATAGGTTGCCAAATAATTGAAGGAACAAGACATGTAAATCGTTGGATACAGAGATTCATCAATGAAAGACGTGTTAAAGAGATACATCCCAATTGCTGCTTCCTTTGGAGGTATGTGCATTGGTGCTTTGACCATTCTTGCTGATTTCTTGGGTGCCATCGGTTCAGGTATGAATTTAAGTTAACTTCCAAAGGAACTGGTATTTTGTTGTCTGTTACAATCATTTATGGCTATTTTGAAACCTTAAAGAAGGAAAAAGAATAGGGTACATTAGAGTTGTTTTGATATTATTAAATATTTTTTTAAGTACATAACATTTATGACGCAGAATGTGCTAAAAGAAGAAATAACAAATTAAATATCATCATATATTTGAGTTGAGTATTGGATTTTAAACTATTACATTGTACAATTTACGAACAGATGTAATAGTATTCTCAACTACACTCTAGACAATGAAATGATGAGGTGGTACCCTCAACAAACTCACGCCAGCAGTTCGGATGTCAGGAATGGCAGATTCAGTCTCGCTTTGGCTACTGAGAGCCTTACGACGATACTCATTATAAGCGATTTTGGCCTCATGATACGTGACCTTCATTTCTCTGGCGGCATCTTTTAATTAAACACCTTTATTAATTAGAATGAGGAGGTCTTTTTTTTATTAAGAATTAAGAGGTTGATGAATGCGAGTAGGCTATACTTTCTTTATTTTTTACATTTCCATCTCTACTTGTTTCTTGATTTCGTCTAAAATTTTCATTTTGTAATTTTTACAATTCAAACTCCCTAAGATGCTTTCTTATATTATCCAGAAAACGATAAATCATAGTGCGATCGGTTAATTTTATGATGTAAAGTACATTTCCTATAAGAATCATTAACTACGTCATATAAATACCATCAATCTAATCAGTATTTTATGATTATTGAACAATGTTGCGTATTATCAAAATTCAAACATTCTATGATCTATATTTTATAAAAGAAATCTTTATATATTATTTCATTTAAATACTTCACTAATCTTCAGGACAACACTTATTTTATACCAATTACAATAAATTTCAGCCAAATTTACTAAATAAGATCATAAAACTATAAATTTATCAAATATTAAACATTTTCACTAAATAAATATCATGACTATTATGATTAATAATATTATTTCTCCTTTCCATTAATAATTTAATCGTTGACTTTTATCTACTTTGAAATCATGAACATTCATTCTTAAATTTATCCATTCTTATTAAATTTATACAAATCTATTTAAACTTTTTTTTTAGATATCTAAATCAATAATTAACTTCTGCTAAATTCTAAGTCTGTATTCAATCAAATTCTGAAGATTGAGAAAGTTTAAGATTATCAAATTTTTGGTGCAGTAACATAAGGATGTTTTATAACTATTACTTTCTTTAATTATTAATTTCATATTGTTTTCTAAATTAGAAATTTTAATTCAAACAAGCTACAATTCTAATGCTCATCCTCAGACTTTATTATAACAATTTTTAAAGAATTTTTTATAATTTTCACATAAGAGTTAACCCACTTTAAAATAGCTTTAAGGAAGTATAAAATTAAGAAAATGATAATTTATGGCTAAAATTCTAGTCAATATCAAATGTTCTATTCTAAGCAGTCTTCCGTCTGAAACTGTTTATTGGTAATTGCAATAGCTGCTTATGAGAACTTTTTATTAATAAGATATCATTATTATTTATGCAATAATATTTATACTATATTTAAACATAAAATATTCAAAAATTTATTGTCTAAATAAGCTCTTAAATTTTGTTTTATTAGATTTCATTTCCGAATAATATTTTTAGTAACGTATCGTAAATTTCATAAGGATTACCATCCATCAATTACTTAGATATTGGTCTGAAATTCAATAGCAATTGATCCTTCAGGAATATAGTATTGAGATTTTATAAGCATAATTTAAGTAATTATTAACTTGGAGTCTTTTCTTAAAATAAATCAGCATGAAAATTTTTCTAAAAATCTTATACCTTACTCGACCGAAATTATTATTTAAAATGCTTTCTTTACTTTTCAAGGTACACTTTTTTTTCAATTCCTAATATTAACTAAAATAGAAGTTTCTCATATTTAGAGGAATAAAGAGTGTAAAATTCTGTAATTTCATCTACAGAATCCTTGAAATTTAGGATGTGAGATTGATTTTCTGAATGTTTTTCAAGTTCTTTGATTCCTTAGAGTTCTTATACTATGAGTTTCATTATAAGAAAATCTCTAAAACATTCAAGCTCTTCCTTCTAGAAGAGTAAGAAAACAAACTTCATTCTCATCAAATTTTATAAAATATATATTCTGCCGGTGAGTTGATGATTTCCTTTAATTTGTAATCCTTCAACTAATCTATTATGTAAACTAGATGTTTGAGAAAAAAAGTCATCAATTTTTATGATTTGCTACTCCTTCTCAGCACTTTTAATATATTATTCGCATTATTGAATATACAGAATTTAGGACAAAGCTTCTTTAATAGTGAACCTCTTATTCGATTCAGTTTCTTCTTCCAGAGTGCATTTTTAGACCAGTTATCCAAATAAAAAGTTTAAATATTTATATCCTGGTTTAAAGATGTATTTTGTTAAGTTATATTTACCTTATTCTTCAAAACTATTTGTTCTTTCATACATTTTTTATTTTGTGAACATCTCAAATAGTATGCATCCTAGATTAAAGATGGCCATTTTTTCATCAAATTTTATAGTTTTGCTTTCTTTTTTGATTTAATAGATCAATTCTGGGGGTAGGCAATGATTATTTGCAATTCCTGATGAATTTTAATCCAATTTGTCTAAACCAAAATTATACAGCAGACATCTCTATATATATATATATCTGTTTTGGTTAGCTTTTAGACTCGTTTCCAAAGCCTCATAAAGCGGCATAAAACTCTCTTAGCTTAAAGTTGGTATATAAATTCTTAATAATATTTTTTTTTTACTTTAATTGTGAAAGTCTATTAAATAACTTTAAAAGGTGCTTTGAAAGATAAATTGGCTAATCCTATATTTAGAGTGTATCCTTTCCAACTTAAGTAAGAGCGGATAAATTTTCTTCGGTAAATGTAAATTCATATTGATTCTGCTGTTTTTGAATTATTAAGCTTTATGGAAAGAAAATATAGTTCTCGCTTTTAATAGTTTCAAGATTCTCAATCAAAGTCTCAACCTTTTTATAAATCAAATTATTTAAAATACTTGTTTCAACTGACACTAATTAAGATCTTCTACCTTGTAAACGAATGAAAGCATCATATTTTTTTATTAAAATTTTCAAATCAAATGAATATAAAATACAAAATCAAAGGCCAGCTTCGTCATCATCATCATTTCCACTAAATAATTTCAGTTGTTCGTAATTACCCTTTCCCATATAGGATTAGGGTTTCTTTGGTGCTTTAGGGCTAAATAGACTAAAATTTATAATAAAAAATTACTTAATGACTTTATCCTTAAAGAACAAAATTAATATGACAGCACCTAAAAAGGCTACAACATACCATAAATATGAATTTTATTTTGAAGAATTAAGTTAGGTTGAGGAGTTATGGATTTATGGTTTGCTAATTGTAGGTTATTTGATATCATTAATTGGAATTTCAGTATTATTCAATGAAGTACTGTTTGCTTAGATGTTTGGACAAGGTGTTTCAACAGGGGATAGATCAATACCACCTTAACAATAATCTCCAGAAACCTTTCTGTAGCCTTATGTTTTCATGTAAGTCTGTTTGCAATTAGCAGGAGGTTTTAATAAATCTGGAGTATCATCTTCTTCAAATTTATCTGCAATTGGCACACAGGGTCCTCCTTCTATTTTCCTATAGAATCCAAAATCGCATTCCCAATCATCCTCTATGCAAGGACAAGTTTCGATGAAGAACTTTTTATCAATTTCCTCTTGATTGAAACACTTAGCCTCTCTTTTTCTTCTGATGTACTTGATTTTTCTACCAAATAAGCATTTACCAGATTCAAAGTTTTTAGGAATCCAAAATTCGTAATCTGATTCAGGCATTGTTGGATCCCAAGCACCAGAGCAAACTCGTTAATGAAGTGTTTAGAAATTCAATGCTACAACATATCCTTTTAATTGATTTTCTTATGATCTGCTTTATCCATATACAATGAACTTCTATTCCATATTGGAAGGTTCGGTGACTATATTCTGAATCTCAAATTCCTTTTGACCAATTTTGACTTCTTCCCATGAAAATCCTTAATCCCATGAATAAATGATTTGATTAATGGGTTTATCGTCTTGTCCCATAACAATGAGACCACCTCTATCTCCAATCTCATACATATGAGAACCTTTTCTGATTTCAAACCATTCATGGCCTCCATCTCTGGTCAGATAGGTGTTGACTTCGTGATCTTTCTAAGTCAAATATAGACCTGTATTTCCAACACCAATACTAAGTCCAGGGGCATTTTAACTAGAATAGAGTGGATTTTGATTGGCTTCTGTCCTTCCTTTTAGATGTAAAGAGCAATCTCCAGAACACTAGATTTCATCTCCTTTTGAATCAACTTCTGGAGCTTTTAATGGATGCCATTAACCGCCTCTATCATAGGAGATGAACTAAAAATATGAATGAATTTATTTTGTACAGTTTTTTTATATAATTCTAAGGTGGCAGGAGTGATGGAACTTCTAGATTTTGATTTCTCTACTTCTTGATGATCAAATACGTTAGAAACATAAACTCCTTCCATACCTAACATTCTCTCAAAATCACAATTTCCAGTATCAAGAGATCTCACATTATGTAACAAAGATAGAGTGAATTTAAATCCTCTAAAATCACTTACGTATACATTAGTTAATCTTTGATTTTCTTCTTTATGAGAAACAGACAAAAATATCTGTCCTTCTGAAGTGTCTAGGATAGTAAATGTATGCTAATTCAAAGGGATTGGCAATTATACTGGTTATGGCGAGAATTTATCTAAATAAGCAGGAGCAATCAACAATTCATATCCAGTTTCTCCATCTTCGCCTGTAATAAGTACGAATATGTAATGGGATGTTTAGAAGAATCCCAAAGCATTTTCTTACATTGTTTATACAGTTGCAAAATAGTCATCTGAGTAGGAAATAACAGATTTGCCTTCTTTCATGTGACACACTATTATCCTTTGATCAGGGATTAATTGATATTATAAGAGTTTATCCCATGCAGCATCCCTAACATAGTTTAAGGCTGATTTCCAAGTTTCACCTCCATCTTCAGTCACATAAATTGATTTCTTATAAAAGTCTTTACAATTAACATCATTTTTGCCACAGGGTTTGTCTTTAAAAGCCATAATCCATTAAGCATCCATCTTATTCAATTTAAAATCATAAAGATCTTCTGAATGTGTGAACCTTGTATAAGTTCGACCACAATTCTTAGATTTATAACTAATACCATTTGAACCAAAAAAGAATATAACCCTTGAATCAGCTGGTGAAATATGAATACTTTCGAATTGTAATTATTTATTTTCTGGTTCCATCTTTTCCCAACTCTTTGTTTCATCCAACCAAGTTGTACCGTAATCTGCTGATCTCCATATTCTCCCTTTGTCTGTAAGAATGAACAACACTTTTCTGCTCTCCTAATGTGTTTATTCAATTGTTTCATCGTCTTTTGTAAATACAACAGATGATCCACACCAATAAATGTTAGACACTGGAGATTCAAGTTCATTAAATGAAACCTTCACTTCTTTCTATCCTGACACACATAAAATCAACAGACCTAGAATTATTATCATTTCTTAAATAATAACACGTAGATTAATTAATATATATATCAAAGCAATTCTCATTCATATATATTTTCTGTTTATTAGCAAAATTATCCCCTAAGCTATTCTATCATAATAAACCGGTATTACAAATCACAGATGCTAAAAGATTAACTTAATAACAAATCTTAAATAAGTCTAGACCCAAATCAATCATTCAAATTACAATCAAGTAATTTCTATATATTCTATTTTTTTGAAATTCAATAACAATAATAATTCCTTCTTAAAACTATAAATTAAGATTGTTATTACCTTATAACTTTTAATAAATAGTTTCTAATGATTTCTAATGAGTATTACGAACAATTAGGAACTGCCAAACTAATTTAGAATAATAAAGAAATAGCTACATTTTTTGAAATGTTGACAAAAATTCTTAATTATAAGCTAGGATTAGAATTATTGAATGATAGCAGTCTCATAATTTTGCGAAACTATTTTAAATTTAGAACATTGTAGATCTAATATTATGAATGAAATTAACTATTTATTTGAGACTTAAGATTACAATACTGATTGTTTAGGTTTAAGTGTAAATGTTTCAAAGAAAACTATAAAATTGATATTACTCATAGATAATAAATTTAATATTATTGTATCATAAATAGTGCTTGACTGGGTTAAGATAGTCTATTCTCTTATATTATATTACTAATTATTTTGCTCAGAATCAAAATTCTTCTAATTAATTATGTTCCATATAGAACGTTGGAAAAAATAAGCTCAATAATAAGGATGTAATTATAGTTCCTTCTTCATTTTACAAAAAAACTATTTTTCTAGACTCAAATAAAAAAAAACAATTTATCTTTATCTAATCAAATTTCTTAATACTCAAATTCAATCATCCAAAATCAATTAAAAAAAGAAGAATAAATTTTTGACAACCTATTATTTTTGATACTTAATTTGTATAATGTTAGCATTTTTATCATAAAATATTATGTTGATTGTCTTTTAGGTTATATGTTCCCTACAAGTAACTACATTAATAACCATTATTAACATATAGATGAATGTTATTCAAAATGTAACCAATATATCTCAAACAGATATAAATGAGTTTTAGGATAACATTAATTATATTAGTAATTAATAATGTCCCAAAGGAAAAAAAAAAGAGAACCAACACCCACTAGAGTTGCTTTAGTTTGTCTGAAAACAACATAGAATAATATCTAAATCAATAATCAATCTTTATTGAAAGTTTTCTCCAAACATGGCTCTATTTCAAAAGTATTCCAAAATTATGATATAATATTATAGATTTTAATATTTGAGAGAGGTCAGCTTTAAACAAAAGTATTTATTGAATATGACGAAGTTGATTCAGCAATTGATGCAATAAAGTATAGATTCAATTTTTATCCTAGATCACTTAATAATACAAAAATCTTAAATTAAATTTCATGCAATGTTTATCATTCGAGGTTGAAATAGCTAAAGCTTGATACTGTTCCATATACTAAAGGTCTTGATTTTACTAATCCTCCTTCTAATACTACTGATCAGATTGAGCAAAATGAAGAATAATAAGAAATAGCACGAATCAATGAATGGGAAGATTTCTAATTTGGAAGTAATTCTACAGATGAGGTTTCTGATGAGGAGGAGCCGTAGTTTTCAGAAGAGAAAATGGTAGATATCCTCAGTCGACTCAATTAAATAGATGATGAAATTAATAAAACTATTGAAACTAAGATCGTTACAGCTTTGGACAAGTTGCAACAAAATACAATGTGCATTTAAGTGTTAATCACTTATGATATATTAAATGACTTGAATTTTGTTATCAAAATATTTTGTCTCTTTGGAGAAATTGTAAATTTTAATTTAATATTTAGAAGTATTTGAAATAAAGCTAAATTTATATCTATATCAAATATGGATCCAATATGGAATGCTAAAAAGCATATTAATTACTTAAAGATTATTTGGAAATAAAACTGTAATACAATTTTGAAAATGTCAATGGTAAACTTATTCAACCAAATTATATAAACAATTCAAAATCTTAAGAAGCAATTAATGATTAAGTAGCCATCTAAGAACTCTTCTAATCATATAAAATAATCAAGTAATAGAATAACAGTTTGATAAAAATCAACTAATGAAACAATGAGATATTCAAAATTTAGTATTTCTCTCTTTTTATAAATTAATTAATACAAAATTATGAAAGATTTATATTCTCTAAATGTTGTTTTATATTTATTTTGAAATAAACTTATAGAGGGAAGCAAAGTTTCAGAAGACAATAAATTTATTTATATATGTTTTAAATTCTAACTTAATTTTTAATATACATTCAATTGATGCCTGAAATACATAATTCTAGATAATGAACAAGAATATTATAAATTTATGTTGAAAATTTAATAATAATAATAATAGTATATAACAAATAAAAAGACCTTAATAAACCCAGAATTTTAAAACAAAGTTTATGCGAATAGTTAGTATAGAAAACAGAAACTCATTTAAAAGAATAATATCAGACTTAATCATTCATGTAAAAAATTATCATTTAAAAATCCATTATTTGAATTAAGTGAATTAAACAAGAAGTTACTTCCTAATTTTAAAATCAAAATTAGTGAAACTACACGTTCTTAACCTAGTTTTCGAATATCAATCCTTACTAAGGAAACTGCAAGAGTATTAAGACTAGTGGGATAATACAATTGATAATAACATAATATATATTCATAATTTTGTAATATAATTATTTTTTATGATCTTATCAATGATCAAATGAATATTAGGTGTATATTTCTAAAAGTAAAGTCAATATAACTATAAGTGAAGATAGGTGTCAATAATGAGAAACTTAAATTTAAATGTGTAATGCAAGAGTAATGAATAATTTCCAATAGAGAAAATTTAGCTATTCATCAAGCTGATAATTATAGGTTAAAAGTATGAAGAAAAAATGATTGAAAATAGGTGAATAGGTTGTTAAATTATAAAAGGTTATATTAAAAATAATTTTTTTAATTAAATAATTATAATCAATCAAATATTTTAGTACCTAAGGTTCGACAAGTATAGACTAACAAAAGTTGTCTTATTTTTTGTATTTGATAATTAAATGACATTGTTTCTATTTAAAAATTTTGATGCATCTAATCAAATAGAGCAATCTTCAGATTAGTAGCCTTGACATAATGATTATTTATTTTTGGTGATTTACTTATAACTTAAAATTAGTTTATGATTGACTTAGAATAGATTAAGTTTTCTTTAATTCTTTAATTGTAGGATTAATGTATGATTATTGCCGTGATAGAAGTTGTGATTGGTATCAGGATTTATTTTATATCTTTGAAATAAGAAAGGGATTTAGATGAATTACTTAATATCAATGTTTTTCATTAAAAATATAAATACGAATCATAGGATGTATTAACTTCCCAACCTGAAATTGATGCTTTTTGCTTTGAAATGGGCGGCAGTATTTATTTCTTAGGTTATTCAATAATTCTTGGTGAACGAATAGAAAGAGATCGCTCACTTTATAATTGAATTGTTTTTGAAGATATAGTGATGGGGAGTTTAATGTTTTTGGGTTTTTGCACTGGTCTTTTGAATTTACCCTTTTTGATTATTTCATCGAAGAATTATAATTGTTCTTATATTCTGATTTTTTTGTATAAATTGGAAATATCATTCATTGGTGGTGCCAATGGGTACTGGGTTATAAACTTTCTGCTCATTTTATGATTATATTTAATAACAAAATAAAAACATCATTACTCTCAAATTCCAAATTATTTCATAAATAGATTGAAGTTTTTTTTAAATTATTCTTCATTTTATTGTTTGATCCTTAGGTCTAGATCTTATGTTAAAATTTGTAGTTAAGAAGCATCTAATTATTAATCAGATCTCAGTAAGACTTTGCTTAAAATTGCAACAAAAACTTATTGAAAAGTGCACATAATAGCGAAAACCTATCTTGTGATTTTGAGGTTGGTTTGTTGTGAACATTAACCCTTAATTAAGCACAGTAGTAATTCTTACAAAATAAGTTCAATAATAGGATCTAAAGGCTAAACAAACGATTATAAAATGCCCATCTAAGTCAATTATTGTTCCTCTGATACAAATTCTAGTATTGATAAAACAATGTCTGTTGTATGATCCAAAGTAACTTTATCCAAAGGCTGGTGATATGTGGATATAGTTGAAGTCTTATATTCTTGTGAGAGTTGGCGCAACAAGTGTTTTTGTAAATTTTCAATTATAACCATTAAAGTAGACAGTGATTGTGGATTCAATTCAAATAACTGCAGTTGTGACGAACTCACTACTTACAACACTTAGACTACTTGTAAACATGTTTTATTGTACATCTAAAAATATATATATACATTTACAATGATATAATTTGAGATCTTTGATGTTATTTCTAATGAAGTTATGAGTAGGTCTAAATATTTTCTGTCAGCAAAGAGCAATTAACATGTTTAAGAAATATATTTACCTTTAAGGATGTTATTCATAATTTTAAATATTAATCCCACCAATCTGCAAATCTCTGCTGAGAATTCCTATTTGACTTTTTCATCTTATATGGCATTTATTAAATGTTACAAGTAACTTGTCAATATACCTTAAAATGTTCTGACTAATTCAATTTAAACTACAGAGGAACTATGATATTAATATCTCAGACTCTTGTTCTCTGTTATGGCAACCATTAGTTTTAGACATAATTTACACATTTGGAATTGTTAAGGATTGTCTATTAAAATAAATCTGGTCAATTCAGCTATTTTTAATAGATGTTATTTAATGAGTAATCTAAATATTTTGCTAGTATCAACATGTCTGAAGTAACCTAACATTTCATATAGATATATTAAAATTGATTATTGAGTTGGTTGTATTGTCAAAAACTAATTTAATTAGATTATTGATTCAATGTAGTTCTCATAGGCAGTGTCAAACAATAAAATTGACAGGATTTCAGAGGCTAAAGTTCGACAACTTAAAAATGTATCCTTCTATAAAGCAGTATTCTTAAGATTTAATAGGACGCCTTTAATTTAGGTTACAACATTTGAACTTTAAAAGGCTTCGTTATATAAATGATGTTTGAGTCGAACAATTGTTTCCTTCATAATTACTAAGGCATATTCTATAATTTCTTTGTTCTCAATTTGCAATTGTAAAATTATGAATTACAATAATTGATTAGTAGCTTATTAGGGTTATATCTGAATTGGCTTGATGAAATTATCAAAAAAGGCTTTGTTTGATCTTTATCTACCAATTGATTCATCTGATTCACTAAGAGCAAATTAAAATAAGTTATCTGCCAAAGACATAGCAGACATAATAACTAAGGGAGGTAAATTATGAGTAGAAACTTATAGGAAGGTTAATGAATCTTTAATTACAGTTTATATCATTTAAACTATTTCTTCACTGTTTTTTTCTAAAATTTATGGATTTATTACAATGTAATTAATTAAACTTAATTCAATAATGAACTTTTCTTAATCTTAAGCTGCATTCTTAAAAGAATGATAAATCATCTTAATGTGACTAGTTAAATCTATAGATAAAATTGGAAAAAGATTTTCAAAAAATTCTTTTAAAGTATGCTTTAATTTTTTATGATTCTAAGGTGTGTAACCTTAAAAAAAGGAGTTTTGAGAATTCAATAATAAATGAATTATAGACTTGCTTATTTCCGATATTGCCTTAGAGATTGATTATTTAAATGTAATATCCAATTTGAAGTCAGTAATAAATTTGACTAATTTCTTCATCAATTCTATCATCTAATACATGTGAGGATCCTTAATTTTCATTTATTTTTGTAAGATTTAAACACAAAATGTTTATAAAGAATATAACCATTGTTAACTAAATGTAAAATCAAATCTAATCTATCTCAAACCGAAGCAATTGTTTAATTTTGTATTTAACTCCAATATATCACTTATAATTTCCTCATTAGCTTATTATACCTTTTCAAAAAGGAAAATACAACCTTAATACATTTCCTTAGCAAATAATCTTTTTTTAATTTTCTCTGTAAAAATTCTCTTCTTTGAAGAAGCCATTCTCTTCAGAGATTTCAATGCTAACAGGGCTAAAGAGGAGTCGCTTTAACTGTATAATGCTACAATCTTAAATAAAAGTTCCACCAATTACCTATCATTAAAAAACTCAGCAAATTTCTCAGGAAACTAGGAATATAATATTTTAAATTACGCTAACATTGTTTTGATCATTCGGATCAAAATCTGATTCTAATTCGAAGTAACTCACATTAAAATTGAACATCAAAATATCTTTAAGTGAGGCTAAGGCTGGCTTATAGAGATTTTAAGTGCATTATTTCAGCACTGTACAAACAGTAGACATAAAATCTAGAATATCGCTATTTTAAAACTAAAACATTATTTTCCTATATGAAACATAAGAGTCATAGGATGAATAAAGTTGTAAATTCTATAAAACATGCTACACTAATTTCAAACCTATAGAAAGGAGGTAAGGTTGATTCCCTTGAAAAAAAGAGTTAAAAACTAACTTGAACTTTGAGAATTGGTTGCTACTAAACATCATTATTTGCTGAATCAACAAACCCACCAAATTACAGATTGAATTTTATACGTGATTTTCTTATTGCTTTTAAAGACTAGCACAAAATAGTTAAACCAAAGTTTCATAGACTCTGCATTTTTTAGATAACACATCGTTTTCTTCCCTATATTAGAATTATCCCACAATTAATTACCCTTCTGATAAACTACGATCAGAAGATGAGAATCCCTTGAAAGACCTTTCAGAAACCACAATCTTAGCTATATATTCTGATATCACAAACAAAGTCGAGCCTGACTGAGTTTATTGTATAATCTGACATATAATATCAATGTTTCTTATATCTTCTATGAACTGATAAATTGACTATTCAGCCAATTGCTTACTCTATAAACTTAAAAACAATACTTACTTCTAATGTTGTTGAGAAACAGCAATCATTGCACAAGGAATCAAAATGTACTAAATTCATTTCAATTTAAAATATTCAATTATTTTAATAAATAATACTTCTACGAAAACACATATTTTAAGAATAAAATATAATTAATCTAATCAAATATAATTGAAAAATCAAATTAATACTTACTATTAGAAATACCTAAGTTTTTCTTCATATGTATTTACTAATTCTAATTAATGATATGTAATTGTCGCATAAGTTCGCTTTGCTATGATCTATTAAAAGAATTTTATTGCAAATCTAATTAAAAAGCGCTTAATTTGAAAAAATATAAAGAAAATTGGATTATTTGATATTCTCTAATTCCTAAGTGATCATTTTAATTTGCCCAAACATAAAAATTATCAATTATTTTAAGAATCCATTTGAGCTCTAGATTTATATTGGTTCTATCATATTCAAAAATTTACAGGTTGGAATGAGAAATAAATTTTATCTAAGATTTATTGTAAATATTTCTGCAAGTTAAAAATAGGTACATAGGAAGAAGGTGTAAACTGATGTATTTCAAAAAAGTGTAGGAAATTTGAATACTACTTTTGTAATATTCTTTAGAAATTCATATAAATAATTTTTAATTTGACCTTCTTAAAAGTAATTATTCTATTGAGGAATATTGTAAATTTAAGAAGAAAATTAAATTAAATATTTTAAATGTTTAACCTGCTTTAAGAAAACTATAAAAATGAGCCATTCTAAAATGGGAGGAGTAAGCATTAAAAATAGGTGTATTATAAAAATTATCAAATTTATCTTTACCAAATGTCTAGACATTATTAAGATATCAGTTGTAAATATATTTATAAGTGAGATTAATAATTACTCAAAAGAAATAGAAGAGGATCAAATTAGTATCTTTTAATGATATAAATTAAATTTTCAATAGAATTTAATTAAAATTTAATTAAGTTGTCCTTCAAAATAGTATAATCGACAATAATATAGATATCTAATAAAGATTTAATTTAAAGGTAAGATAGAATATTTACTTAAATGTGGATTAAACTGTATCATTTTTATCTCATTATGTAGAAGGATTTCCAAATTCATCTTAAGTTGGAACATTTTTTGAACTCATTTGACAATTATTATTCTATTATGTTCCCTATTTATAAAAATATATTTCTTCGTTCTAATTTTTTTCATTTTTATTTAATGATTCAACTCCAGATGTGAGCTCTTATTATTATTATTATTATTATTATTATTATTATTATTATTATTATTATTATTATTATTATTATTATCCAGATGTGAGTTCTTATTATTATTATTATCCCGATGTTAATTCATCCTTTTATTACTATTCTGCAGATGTTAATTTCCCTTATTTTTATTTATTTTATTATAATTGTTCATAATAAATTTGTTCTAACTATTTTTATTTATCTTATTCTGATTATTTATTTTCTTATTGTTATTATTACTATTTTTATGTATTTTCTTAAGGTGTTTACAATGTTAATTCTTTCTATTATGGTTATACTTATATAATTGTTCCCTATTACAGATTTGCTACATCTAATTATAGTTATTCTTAAGATTCATTCAATATGGATTCGAAATTGCTCACGAGATTCCAAAATTTTGTATTTATGATATCTTCTTCTCTTTACTTAAAAAATTCTAATACACCAAGCGTTTTAGGTAATAGTTAATACATTAATTCACATATATCTGCATTTGTGACTTTATCATCCTCGGGAATATGTATCTATTCGAACTTTTATTCATCCCACAGTTTTTTGTGAATCTAGAAATATTATTGCCTTTACATTATTCTCATCAAATCCAGAGAAATCTTCCTCATGATTTACAATTTATGGTATTTGAGGCCGAATTTATCGTTACAATTCAACTACATTATTTTATTCGTAGGCAATCTTGTAATACAATTTTTTTTCTAATTAAGAACTCATTTATAAAATTAATAAGAGTATAAATGAATATGAGAAATTAATGACAAACTAAGACCCATATACAATTCGAGAGGTTTTATTGCTTATCCTATAAGTATTGTAATTTTTGAATTCGAAGTAATTTAATTTAAAATTTACTCTAAGAGAAGTGGTTGATATATTTAATTTTGATGAATGAAATATTTAAAAATACTTGAGTTTTAGGATTATTGTAATTAATAAAATTAATCATAATGTTTCGTAATCATCATCATAGTCCTCATCATCAAATTCAATTTCTTTATCATAGACATTAATTATTTCCTTAATTGGTTGAGCAATGGTTGTAGTTTATGGTTCAATGATTTCCTCTTTTTTTTCAACTTCTTTCTTTAAAAATCTCTCATCTTTATTTTATATCAAATAGATACTTAATACATCCACAATGGCTCTTTCTGTTTTTTTCTTCAATTTATCTAATTTAGGTTGGATTGCTCTCTTCAAATCTATGTTTGCTTTTTTAGGTATGATATTCAAGGTGCCTTGTTCGTCTGTGAGTAATTACGATACCATTTCTTATACTTTTTACTATTTATACAGTGATGAATACTTTGTAATGTGTTTCAATAGTCTTAATATTTCTGGTGATTTCTTGCTCCTCTTTTCCAAAGCACTTATTTTTTGGGAAGTAATGCAAGAATTTCAATTCTGAATGCCAGTCTTTTGTTTATTTCTCAGGCATGATGGATTGACTAGAATTTAGATTATCAGGGAAATCCAAAATCATTTTAATATAATTAATGAGCTTAATATTAAAGCATCATCTAATACTACCTAATTTCAAACTAAATGAAACTATCCCTTTCAAAAATTAAAAATCCAACTCAATCACAACTTTGAGAACCTAACAAAAAACATAAAAAGATCAAAAATTGAGTGTGGACAAACATTAACCAACTGTAGAAATGTAAGCTAATAAAACTGATATCACTTTTCCTGTTATAAATAAGACGTCTCCTAAGGAAACAACTTATAAACAGAACCTAACAATTAGAACAGTATACAGTGATGAGAAAACTATCAAAGATTACTTAGACCATTTGAATACATTAAGATCTTAGAAAAATACCTAAAAACAAAATAAATATAAGAAGGTCAGAACTGAAACTGAAATAGTATAATACGGCGATGTTAAGTTTAAAAAAGTAAAAGAAGGCTCTTCCAAAAAATCTCTTGCATTAGTATCCAGTATCAGGAATCCTCAATCTCAATCCTACATCAAATTTAGTTAGCAAATCTTTGCACTCGTCTATAGTTTAGATAATCTTAAAGTATGACTTGATATTTATTAAAGAAATACATAAATAACGAGAGGAAATTGTTTTAAGTAATTAAGTAACTTATAGGCTTAAAAAAAAGTCTCAGGAAAATAATCCTTAAGCAAAATGGAGAGGAATTAGTGGAATTCTCTGAAATCAGCAAATTATGTTGTGTGAGAGAGATCTAGTACATAAATGGAGAATAGAAAATTGTTGACAAATTTGACCTGACCCTTTATGATGATCTTGTATATTTAACTGACACAATTGAAAATCTTTTATTGTCAAATGAGATTCATTCCATCAACCGGATCAGTGATAATGTAATTAATCCTATTATTTTGATAGATCCAAAAGGAAACCGAATAAATTCTTAAAATCTAACATTCGATGAATATGCCTAATGAAGAACAAAAGTTGTCTGTATAGACAATGTCTATGCAAAGATTTAAAATTCACGATGAAATTGATACTATAGAATAAAAATTGGGACCTTTATCGTTGATATCACGATAGGTTAGATAAACATCGATGGTCTTGGGTAGAGTTATAAGTAGTTTAAATGAATGAGTAATAATTTTTTCAATTTGCAAATAAATGATCCTTTAAAAACTTTAGAAATCGTTCAGCATAATCTCTTGGAGGTATGGCTGATATAGTTGGTCCATATATTACTCTCTTTGATAAAAATTCAAGCTTCTTCTTTGTGCTGAAATTTGTTAAAATATCAATTATCCCTATATGCAATGTGTATTGATTATCAACAGTTACCATCTTACTAAAATTATCAAGTTAGGGATTTTCTGAATATACAGAAGACTCATTATCAAGTTGTTTGTTCCCTTTGGCATGTAAACCTAACAAAAGACTATAATCAATAATATCATTATCTTCAAAGAATTTACAATCCTTTTCTAATTAATTAAAGAATAGCATTGATTTATTCTTATTGATATTCAATCTCATATTTTTTTCTTTGTCTTCTAAGAAATTTAGATCTTTTCTGGCAACAGTTGGATCACTTACAATAAATAAATAGTTATTACTTATCAATAGTATATCTTCCATAAGTCGAACCTTTTAAGTCATACCTCACATTAATCTCTTGATTAGTCGAGAAGACATTGCTCATTATCACAAAATAAATAACCTTTTCCCTCAACATAGTCTAATATTTTATTCCAATCTTATGCATTCCAAATAATCTTATTTAAATGTTTATATTACTTTATGATGAGTGTTTCTGGGTAGTTTTTGAGATGATAATAGTAATTTCTCATGATTTACTTTAAGAATCTGAACTCTTGATGATGAATAGTTTTCAAAGTGAATTGCCCATCTGCAGTATAATAGAAGAAACTTCCACTCTTTCCTGTTGATGTCAATTCTTATAAACAAGATAAATCTCCCTTGATTAAAGATTGTAATATAGATTCTGGTCCTATACTTTTAAGATACTAATGGTTGTCTATCCCGTATATAGTTCTAATACTATTGAATACTCGTGGAGCATAATCAAAGAATTAGCATACTTTAAATGAGCTTTTATCGCCTTAAGCTCTTCTTGGTAGGAGTTCGAAATAATATTTTAATTTAAAATCCTTTGGACCTACTTCATAATCGTCAGCTACATTGATACTGCTCACTGCCATCTGAATGCCTATCATCATATTCAAAACCAAATTAAAGTTTTCATGTCCGAATGATACACTGATTTTTGGTTTTTTAGTTTGTTTTTAATTTTTGATTGATTATGTCTTTCTTGGTACATTGATAATTGTATGCAATCTTTATTCATTAATCTAATCGATGATATCCATTTTCTACTATTTGATTTGATTTTGATCTATCAATTCTCTCAATCTTTACACTTCCTTGCTGATATCTGTTACATATGTAATCATCGATTTGTACTTTTCTTTGAGTTAATCAGTGGTCATTTGTTCTACAAATTAATTAGATTCATCTTAATCATGATCACTTTCAAAACTCTTTTCAGTGTTATAAAACTGATCTTCTTCGAGAGGATCTTGATTGTCTCCCTCAATTTGTTTCTATGGGATTTGTTGAAATAATGCTTTAAATTTCCTTTTAGGTTTTGATTATGCATAAAATGAGAAATCTTGATTTTAATCATTTTTTAGATGTTCAATTGATAATTCATTAAATTGATTATAATTGACTGATGGAATTTGATCTGAAGCAAAGAATTTATTAATGCCTTGATGATCATTATTGTTATTATGATTGTTTTCTTCACTATCATATTTAAAGAGACTAATGATAGGGGAATGGAGATTGTCAACCTGACTATTTCTTAATTTTTATTCTTATTCAACAGTTCCTTACACAAAATGAGGGAGCTCTTTTTCCTATTTTTTATTGTCTTATTTCATAAATTCTAGTAATTGATCCAACTTTTTTTCTATATTCTAAACATACTTCTATTGTTGATATATACTATAATCTATGGATTCAAGAGTGACACCCCTTCTAGCAAAGTCAAATATTTCTAAGAGTGCTGGATCTGCCACTACGGAATCTTGATATTGTTATAGTGTAACTCTATCAGCCTTGTCCACATCCATGGTTGAGAATATTAATTTGATTCTTTGATCAATTTGTTTCTTGGTTTCGCTCGTTAGATTTTATCCAGTCATGGCTATCCAACTATTAATCACTCCTTACATAGTATCATTAAATTCAGTCGATGTAAAACTTCCAATCTTATTCTTATCAATCAACTTAAAACTTATTTCTGCTTTTTCCCTGGCATCTCCATGACTCACTTTATCAAAATAAAGGGCAAAATCTTCGAATCGAATCTAGAGAGATTTCCATTTAAATTCATACCTTACCATCCTTATCGTCATCCATTATGTGGAAGATTCTATCTGATAAATGTAGCATAGTTCCCATGCCAAGTAAGCCAAGATTATCTCGAAATTAAAACTTAGTTACAAAATTAGAACCTTGGGACATTCTAGCAAATCTAGTTTTTAATTCTATCAGTTCAATTTCTGTAAGTCTAGTAAGTTTTCCCAATTTATTGATTTCTTCTCTTTAATTGTTAGTTTTTTATTTCCTTGAACAACACATTTATTTAATATAATAATTATAAATATTGTAGAGTTCTGATAGTTATTTTTCATTCTCAATTCATGCAGATAATCTGAATAATACAATTTAATTTACAGAACCATCACATAATTATTAAGAAAATGGAGAGATTGTTCTAGATTTTTCTCTCATTTTACAATTGTCTATAATTAAAATATATTAATATTATCCACTTAAGATGGAATTTGATTACATTATAAAAATTAAAACAGAAATAATTATGATTTAATGATAATTACTGCTACTCCGTAATATGTTTGAAAAGTAAAATCATCTCTATCAATAATAAAAACAAATAAAAACTGATAATATATGATCTTATTTAGTTATTAATGGAAATTTATTTATATAATATCTTAAAATAAAATATTTGGATGATCTGCTATAAATATAGGTTCTTTTCATCCTAGAAATACAGTATTTTTATGTTAAAAGACGAGGTTCATTTATAGAATGTATATCTCTATATTATGTAGGAAAATGAAATTGAAATAATAAAACTTAACTCCTTTCAGCCTAGATTTAAGTGGTCAAAATGCGACATTTCTGATATAGGACAATTCGAGTTATTTGACAATCGGAAGAGCAGAATCTACAAGATAGATCCCTCTTAGGGAATGATGTTGAAGGAATTTTTAAGTGGAAAAGTTTGCTTCTAAGGAATCAATAATCATTTCAAGATAGCAAAAATCATCTCAAACGGAAATTTTGGATCTGTAAACTGTAGTTCTATATTGTAGATTGTACGCATGAGAAATCTCCAAAATGAAGAATTGGTCACATGCAAAATTTTTAAGCAAGGCAGACCAGAATTAGAATAAGTATTCATTTTATCTATCAATAGGAATTCACAAATGAAGTCTTAGCTCTCTAATTTTTAAAACACAAGAATTTACCCAAAATTAGAGAATATTATATAGAAGCCAATCATAATTATATAATTTATGATCTATTCGAAGGCCACCCACTCGATATTTGCATTAAGAACAACGTTCTAGACAATCAATAGATGTATAATATTATGAAGGTAAATAAATGATGTAATGAATAGGAATTATTAAGAGTGGTTAAATTTATCAAAATGGAAGGATACTCCCATTAGAATATCAAATTAGAAAACATATATTATTATTCATTGATGAATCAAATAACCCTAGTCGACTTTGGCAAATCTTAGTTGAAAAATTAATCAGTTATTGCTGGCGATTCTTATTTTTCAAAAACCACAAAGGATTATTCAGAATTAAATACTTAAACTTATCGAAATGCTAATCAAGATAAAGACTACTTTGACTGTGGCTTAGTATTTCTTTAATTGTACATATATAATTTAATTTAGGATTACCCAAAAAGTTTTGAGTCATAAAGACATCCACTATTCGGATAATAATCATATTTTAATGAGTCTAATTACAGAAATTCATAACCAAAAGATTTCTACCTTCCTTATGAAATTACTTTCATAAAATAAAGTCTAAGATAAATCTAGCTTTTCAGAAAACTTATTAACAGAAATCGATGACCTTAATTTCGAACTATCAAATTACAAAAATTATTGATTAAATATTATTTATGTATTAATAGAGTTTAATTACATTTTGTTACTTTGGTTTTAATAAAATTTATTTCATCACAGAAATGGAAGATTAACTAAAAGAAATAGACATCCTCATCAAAAAACAAAACTTTTAAAAGGGCATCGAAAAACTTACACAACTCTAAACCTAACTCAATGACAAAAATATTAACCCAGAAGAAATTCTAGAGGATGACTTAGTAAAGCATAATTAAGATTAGATTTTATAAAGCAAGATATTTGAGAGATTCGCTACTATTTTCATTGATATTAATTAAGTTTACTAAGCAATGTAATATTTGATAAAAATGATTAAAATTGACAAAGACATATGTAAGGCATCCAATAATAAAAATCACATTCTGAGACTCTGTAATTCCTATGCCAAAATGGGTATTTAAAGAATTCTAATTAAATGAAGGAAAATGTTGTTTCTATTGCTGCTACTATGAACAGACTTTCAAATTTTTGGATTATGCTCGACAATTGCTCATCTCACATAATCTCACCAACACCGAAGTTTATGCCTTGACTCTAACATAGTTGGGAAATTATTATAGATTCATGTTCCAAGATGATCTGGCTGAATAAATGTTACTTGAAAGCATCAAAATAAGAGAAGACCTATATTCAAGTAATTCAATAGTAAAATTCATTAACATTTTAGGAAGTGGCTGATTCATTACATTTACTAGCTTAGTTGTTCTCAGACGAGGGGTAAATTGAAAATGCCATGACCTTCATTGATTAAGCCATCACTATATGGATTAATGAGTTAGGTTATGAGAATATTAAAACAGCCAAATCTATTTATCTGAAAGGAAATTTGTACCTTAGAATGAAAAGTACTCCAGAAAGTAATTGTTATTTATGAATATGTAGACTTAGAAAAAGCAGAAAAATTAATTATGCAAAGTTTGGAAATAGACATTAAAATTATGGGCAATTCCTCATAAGATATTGCGGATTGTTATCATTCTTTAGGAAAGATTAAGGCCATTAACAAGAGTTCCAATGAATTTGAAGGGTATTTTATTAAATCATAGCAAATTTTATAAGATTTGTATGGTTAGAGTCATGCAAGCATTGCAATAATATTAAATAATTTGGGAAGTTCATATTATGAGAGAAAATAGTATGAAGAGGCTGTTAATTGTTTTTAAGAATCTATCAAAATTTATACCTAAATTTGTGGAGAAATGCACGGCAATTTAGCCATTACTTTAAGAAACTGTGCTGATTGCCATAAGGAATTAGGTCGTTTCAAATAAGCGTACAATGATTATTCAAAATCATTGGACATCTACAAAGTATATTGTAATAATTTGATTTAGAAAATGGAAATCAATCAACAACAGGTTACTTCAATCTAAAATTAGATGATCTAAATCTAGGAGAAATTTTTGGAAGATTGATCTAAGACTCTTTAGATATAAGAGACAACTAAACAATTTAGTCGTCTTTTATATTAACTAAAATTATATATAATTAAATTCATACCCCCTATTTTATATTCATAATTTTGGAAAATAAAATTACAGCATTTATATTATAAGTAACTTAAAATTATGAAGATATATAATAAATTCATTGCTGATGAAAGCTTTATTATTATTGAACAAGTGACTTTCTCTTTGAATTCTATTTTACTATTTCCTAAACTTAACTGTTCTTTCTTTATAAATCTCTTTTAACAAACTCATCTACTTTTCTGAACTACACCCATGCCTTTCCTTCCATTAAATTATCTAGCTATTTTTATTTTAACATTCAATACTTCTTCAAAGATTTCTTTATCTGTATAACCACTTTTTTTAACAATTTCCCAAAATGCCATCCATTCATCCTCTGATATCTGTCCGCTCTTGTCGAAATCAACTGCATTGAATAAAGCTTAAGTATTAACTTTGGCAAAGTTAGTTTTCCAAAATTTTTAAGTTTCATCTTTATCTATAGAACCTGAATTATTGATGTCAATTCTTCGAAATATTTCCAATGCTTTAGCTCTAAGCTTATCATTGAGACCTTATGAATTCTTTTATGCTCCACACCCCATTTATGATATAATTAAATAAATAAATCAATTTCATTATGAAATTTATTTGCAGTAATAATATTAGATAATCAACCATAGTTTTAATAATCTAAATTATTATTGCCTATGGCGATTGTAGAATAAAATAATTAAATATTTAGAATTAAACTAGTTAACATAAAAATCAAATTATGGCTTCACTCTTTCTGATGATTTAACTTACACTTCTCTATCTAACTTCTCTGGCAAAAACGAGTTTCTCCTTCTTCCTATTCTTACTAATAAGAAAGTCAATATTGAAATTAGGGTAATAATTAACAAAATTATCAATCTTATCAATTGTAAAGGCTAAATGATATTGTGATGATCTTACATTCAATAATGATCTAATTCTCACTATAAAAGGCTTCAAATTAGATTTTCTTATTAATTATTGAGCTGTATTCATCTAATTCTGCTTGTTCTGGCTATTTAGTTTTGATAATTCTGACCTTCTGTTTTTTACTTCTTTAAAATTAGTAGCTTCTGTTTTATTATATATCTAGGGAATTATATATTCAAATACTTAATGATAATTTCCTAAGTTTCTTTTCAACTATGCTTTTCCTAACCCTTTTGATAATTTCCTTACCGATACTCAAATGAGTTAATGAGCAATCTATACTCATATGATCAGTAGACCCACAAGTGAAACATTCAATACCTAGTTCATAATATGCATTATTGAAAATGATTTCATCTCTTAAGAAACAGTAACGCTAGTGATCCAATGGAAATAGCTTCAACTTATCCATGAAGTCTGTTCTTGACAATCTTACTACTTATGAATATTTCTTAGATCTGGCTGACGCTTTTCGTTGTAATCCTGTTACAAAGGCATAATCGCCAAATCTTGCCCCTGACTTTAAATGAGCCATAATGACTTCTTGCTTTTCTGTTTCAGGAACATTAACAAAGATTTCAATATGTCCAATTTATACAAAATAAAGGGCATTGTCATCCCTATTTGCATCACCATCTAAGAAGATATTTTCTTTTTTGGAATAATCAATTTCCTCCATAACCTAACTTAATTCTCGCATTAGATCATCTGAGAAATTGTTGGTAATCCAAGGGACTTGATATAAATAGGGTTGATAGGCTTCATACATTAGACGGTTCTTTAATTAAGGAGCCAATTTTTGGAAAACCTGATCTTCTAAATACTGATCCCTGTTTCTCTTTTCTTTAAAATAGTGCTCTAAGAAATTTCTAATTTCCTTCTCTGTTTTTTCTGAAACATTTTTGGATCGCATAAATTTAGTAATTGCAACTATTTCCTTATTGTATTTTCGTTTTTCGTCAAAGTAATCAACAAATGTTTATTAAATGTTATTTACATTAAAAGCAACCAAGAAGACAGCAGCAATCATAGCCACTTCAGCAACTATGATTTCAAATTCATTCATTGGTGTGATGTCACCATAAGCAACAGTTGTCAAAGTTGCAAATGCCCAATATGTTGACAATATGTATCTTTTTGTCCAATCGTAATAGAGGATTGTTCCAAAATTGCCACTTGAAAAGGTCAACCAAGAATTAGTGTATTTGCCTTCATCTGGGTTATCGTAATGATTTAACATGTACATGCCAGTACCAAAAAAGATGCAACCGAAGAAATGGGTCAAGTAAACAATCTCAATTATCATTCTCACTATCATATATATACTTTTCCATTTTGGATACACCTACAATTTATCTTGATATCGTTGATCGATTTCATAAACTGGGTACATTTTCAATAGGAATAGTAAATGAAATGTGTAGACATTCGCCATTGTGTAGGAAAATGTAGTAATCAAAATTTCAATTAATGGTACAAAATCAAATGTAAATGAACCCATTAAATAATGTAAAGCCACTCTACGTCTATTTTTTACCAAGGCTCCGTATTTATAAAATGCCACATGAAATTCTATGAAGATATCCATCATGAAAATCAGCTATATGATGTTTATGTTAATATTAGTACAATCACTACACTTCTAAAGAATATATATGTTGGACTATGGAATGTATAATAGAAGTCATCTCCGAAAAATATTATTAGTGGGACTTCTATGAATACTACAAATGTGATTATCAATACAGGGATTTTCCAATATGAGAGGAAGGAACTTTGTGGATCAATTATTGGCATCAAATTAACATAAGTCCTTTTTATTTAAGTTAGCAATTATATTTCTCTATTAATTTAGTAGGATGTTTTAAATTGAGTTATTGTTTAAGTATTGAATTGTTTGCGAACAGTCTATCAACTATTAAGATTAATTACGTCTTTCCAATTTTGAGTGCAAACCGCAGTTTTATCAGTTGCTGCTAAATCTCCTATCAATTGGATATGCTAAGTCATTGTATAAGCGTATTCTTCACTCAAAGGAACAATCTGAACAGGCTTTGGCTTTAATGGCATCATTTCGATTTGATTCTAAGAACCTGATAACAAAGTTTTCTTTAGGGAAACAGAAGAATACTCTGACAACTCATTAACAACCAATAGATCTTGATTGTTCTTTTATCTGCTATCCCACATGATGAGATTATATAATTATTAAATACAATATTAATATATGGAGTACTTTTTATTGATCTTCATTTTAACATTTTCTTATTCTAATGATATCCCATTAGTTTCATTAATATATTTTGCATATATTTATGTTTTAGAATTCCTTCTAAGTAAAAGTTTGCGGTGTTACACAATAAGATATTCTTTCAAAATGCCTATTTACAAATAATTGATTATATAATAAGTAACGCTAATATAATATAACCAAATTTAATCCAAAAACAAGAGATTTATAAAATATTAAAAATACCAAGAAATTTAGCGTTCTAAATGAGGTATTTAATGATGATATTTCACGTGTATACAAAATTTGATAAAAATAAAATGATGACGTTAAAGTTTATGTTTTTTTTCATACAATGGGGGGATTAATTAAATAAGGGGTAAGTTGAGTGTAATTTCCAAAACAAAAACATGTTAAAATTATAGGATTAATAATTCGTCACTTTTTGTATATAAAAGGAAGCAAAAATGTATGATTTTTTTCATTATATTTAAAAAAAATATTTTCTGTCAATAGAATGAGTGTTGCATCTAATTCTAGAGATGAAAATGAATTCAAAGAGAATCCTATTGAAGTATTATTTGATAAATAATATAAAATAGACAAAGTTCACATGGACAACAAAGTGTGTAGAAAAACTGAAAGAGCTCCATGTGTTACAACAAGGAAACTGGAAATCAATCAGTTCGTTACTAAATGGACCTACACCCTTAGAGTGTATGTTTAAATGGTAGTAACTCCATCCAGATTCAGTAATTACTATTTTTTTATCTAGGCACCTTCAAGATAGTTATGGTCACCTGAAGAGGACTAATAGTTGAAGGAATTAGTGTAAAAGTTTGGAAAAAAATGGAGCAAGATCTGTACAGTAATGAATTGGAGAACAGGAAAATAAGTTAGAGAGCGTTATTTGAACTAGCTTTAAGGAACAATAAACTAAGACAAGTGGACCGAAGAGGAAGACAAATTGATCTTAAAACTATATAAGAAGTTTGGAACTAAATGGAGCTACATTTCAAGCTTTTTGGATGGAAGACCTGTATATTTCTATTTGAGATGTTTAGGAAAATATGGTCAAAAATCGATTCTATGCCAATCTAAAGAGAAGATTCTAGTGTGATTTAGGTGATTCAGATGATGAAGATTTCGAAGAAGAATCATAAAACTCATCAGATGAAGAAAAAAGTAATCTACAAAGAAGGAGAAGACTTTAAAAGGGAAAGAAGGAACCACCTAAAATCAAAAAGGTTGTGATACAAGATGAGATTGTCGAAAATTTCCAAAGAATGACAAGATCAAAAAATCATAAATCAAACGATGAGAGTTTAAAGTAGGACAGCCCTAACGAAGATTAAAACAATGAAAACAATTCAGGTATATAATATTATTTATCTTAGGGTTGTAACATGTTCAGAGTTCTCCAAGCTACAACACTCATTTAGGAAATTAAATTAATATAAAGGAAGAAAATTAATTAAAATGTGATCACTTTAATAATAATCCTTCCATTATTTAATAAGCTGTTCCATAAGTTGCCATGATCCCCTCCACTGTTTCTCCACTTATCTTTAACAGCCAATTCGTGCCATCATAGTAGAATCCTCTCATTTACCCTTAGCACAATTTACCAATCATCAATACATAACAATTCAAACAGACTTAAATTGACAGAATGCAAATGTCATATTCATTAAATCAAATGACAAGATTGAACTTTGTTAATCCTTTCTTTGAAATGATGTAACAATAATAATTGCTGAATTATCAAATTCCAATCTAATCCTAATATTCAGGATAGATTGACCAAATTACATAATGGGCAGAATTTTATAAAATTTACAATAACTAGATGTTGTAAAAACATTTGTAACCATGAGGTTAACCAGAGAATGTAAACAATATATATGTAATCATATAAACATATTATGCATTCATTATTATAAACAATTTCATCTTTTATTTATAGCTAGATCGAAGTTGCTATTAGTAATTTTCAGCTTTAATTTCTGTCTCAAAAAGAATTTAAGACTTGTGCTTGTCGAAACATCGTCGTCTTCATTTTATTATAATTCTATTTATAAACGAATTGTTTTAATTAATTTTTATAGATTTTCTCTCATCTCCAAATCGCTCCTTGAACACAATAAATTAGAGACTGAAGCATCTTTTCGAATAATTAAGTCTGAAATATATATATATAATTTTACCCTTAATTAGTGATTTTTCACTTGGACTAATATATTAGTACTTCTAATATTCTTGAATAAGGTGAAATGCCTTTGCATAAGGAGAGTCTAGGAGCCACAATTTAGCCATTAAATAAAAAATATTTAACTAATTTTTTTATCAAACTTGCCTTTAAATGCAATTTAATCATTAACTATAACTTAACATTGCTCTGGAAAATTCTAATTTAAGATATGAAATAAACACTTATGAAAACTGTGGAAACGAACATTTTTAACTTGATTTAAAAAGAAAATGGTTGTCAAATTTAAATTTTTAAATACTTCAAATAGATGTTTTAAATAAAAATTATAAAATTAATATATGGGGAAAAAGAGAATTGTAGAAGAAAATTAAAATGAAGAGCCAGAAGAACTCTAAGAAGTGAAAGCAAAAGCAGACAATAAAAAATAAAAGAAAATTGCTAAAAATTAGAATAAAATAAGCAAAGATGTTGATTTCATTTCATTCTTAAAAGAGGATATTCGATTTTTAATTTAGCACAGAAATCAAGAGAATGAACAAAAGCAATAAAAAGCTGAAGAAGTCTTTACTAAAATTGAAGGCATCTTGTACTAAATTGCTTAAACCAAAATCGGAGGTAGAACAATCTAATTAGTAATTAAATGTGCAGATCAAAACGTAAGATAATAGATATTCTCAAAATTATTGAATGACAAACAATTTGGAGAATTATTATAATCTAAATATGGTCACTATATTGGAATTACTATGGTTAGAAATATGGTTCCTGAATTCAGAAATTAATTTTTTGAGATTTTATTCAAAAATGCAAATCACTATGTAGCCCAAGGAGATGCAAGCATTGTTTTAGATAGATTCCTAACAAGAGAAGCAACTACCTAATAAGTCAATAAGGTTAAAGCTCTTTTTTAGAATCACAGTGAAAAAATTGATAATTTAGCAATGAAAATCATAGAAAAGGGAATTCATAATCATCTGTTGAGCTTATAAATTCTAAAAGTGGCATTACCAAATCTAGTTCCAGAAGAGAGATAGAAAGTTATTGAATACTTTTAATAATTAGAGAATCTAGATTATCTTAGACATAAGGATGGCATTTCAGTATTTATTACAACTATATTAGATTTTCTGTGCAATATTGAATGTCACTGATAAGAAAGAAAGGAAGAACTTTTTAAAAAACATATAAACTTACATGTAATAATCATAGGAACACTTACACAGAAACTCATAATTTTATCTAGCATTGCAGAAAGTGATATTTACATACGATGACACTAAATAAGTGAATAAGTCAATTTTGCAAGACATCTTACCTGAATGGTTAAACTCTATTCATGTTTTTAAAATAATCTAATCTATTTATTAACCTAAACTTAGAGATGACATAAAATTTGATACAATAGGTTTATAAAACACAGTTAGTTTGAAGGATGATGAGATTAGAATTAAAGAACTGTAAGATTACTGTTTTGAATCGATCTTGAATTCTTTGTTATCGAGTGAAACCAGCATCTTATTGGAAAGCAATATAAATTAATTCATTTGCTACTTTATTTCCTATATAATTAAGTACACTTAAGTTCAAGCAGTGGATTTCATCAAAGCATAAATTAAATAATTACTCTATTTCAAAGGGGACACTATATTCAGCAGAGATGTTGAATAAAATGGAAACTATTGGATATTGACATAGCCAGAAGCATAGAGAATAGCTAAATGTCTGATACAACAATAATCAATTGCTGTAATAATTATACGCTAATAATTTAGTAAGGTGAATTCAGCGACATCATTAACAATTATTGTTAAAAAATACAAAGTGTTTTGATATCAAATTTGAAAGTGACTCTAATTAGCAAAGCAATCTATTTGTTATTGGCACTGATAGAGAATACTAACTTAAAAGAATAAGTTTTGGTGGAGATCAAGAAAAATAAAAAATGGATAGATAAGTTGGAGAAAACATAATCTCTCCAAATATTGTATAAATATATATGATTTTGTATATTAATAAATATATTACAATGATATTGTACTCTTTATGCTATAGACTCGTATACAGTTTGTAGGTAGACAAATTAATTAGGATTTACAAGGTGAATAATGAGGTAGGATTTTTGACATAGTTCTTTAAATGAGGTTGGATTTATAAGTATGATAATATTGGGAGAGTGGTGTAAAGGTAAAATAAAATGATTGATGAATTTCATGCATATAAGTAAGGGTTGATTGATGGCACAAATATATATATATAAAGAGTATTAAGTTCATTAATTAGTCTAGTTGAGTGTGGTATCAAAAGGCATCATGTTCTTGGGCAATTTAATAGCCTCTATCAATAGAACGATAAAAGGATGCTTAAGATAGTTACCTGTCTGCTTGAGTGTTTGTGACTGTTTGGATCCGGACTTCGAGTTTCTATTATTATCTTGGTTTTGGTTTGCTAGTACAAATGCCCATATTTTTAATCGTTAGTAATATTAATAATAAATGAATTGCTCTGTTTGTGGATTAAATTTTGAGAGGAAAGATAAAGGATGTCAGTAAATGGAATGTCAACAATGCAAATTGAAATATCATCGATTCTGTTATGGATACAATAATTTGGATGGAGTATGTGATCCATGCTAAGACATAGCAAAGAAACCATTGTGTTGTATCTGTGGATAGAAAGGCTTACTTAAACGACTCTCCGATCAGAGTGGAGTCTATGTGCATGTCTCTTGTGCAATTTTCGCTCCCCATATTCAGGTGATCAATTATCATACAATGACATTTGCTACTAAGAGTTAAATAGACAAAAAAACCAAGGAGAAATGTTCAAATTGTGGAAAAAGTGGTGCAAACATCTAATGTCTAGATTGTTAGGCTTATGCTCATCCTCATTGCATTTTCGCAGAACAAGTCGAGAAAGCACAAGAAGACATAGAAACAGAATAGTGGATCTTCCATTTAAAGTTTCAAGCTAATAATTAGGATCCAAATCAATTGGATGTGGAGTCAGGTGAGATTAAATGTGAGTTAAAGGAGATTCAGGATGCCTTTTGCAATGCCCTTGACAAGTTTTAAGACAAATCCAAGAAAAGGGGAAACCAGACACAATAATACAAGGAACATGTAAAAAACACTTTGGAATCTATTTTTGACAACTACACACTACAATAATGCAGTCAACAATGGTCATCATAGAATAAGATAGAGAGTTACTGCTAAGTGCATATGGAGAGTCATCGTTTGTTTTGCATATGTCGTAAATCTTTGAATAATAAGCAAATGGTATAATGTGATCATTGTTATGAATGGTATCATTTCGGATGTATTAAACGTAAGAATGTAAAAGATGACAGCTACATCTGTGAAGCATGTAAAGGATGGAGTGCTAAGAGAACTAAGATAGATTTAGAAGATCCTAAATTACTTAATTTTGAAGATTTGGTTGTGCCTAAAAGTGTCTACATTTTACACTTGATAGACTTGCTCCCATTGCTATTATACATTGAAGCTATCATGAAGAGGTTGCCATCCATTCCTCTGGACGAGAATGATTATAGAAATATCAAATTTTACAAACTCTTCTTGGCATCATTACCCATCAAACCTTCTGCTGTTATTCAATTGGACAAGATTTTATTGAAGGAAAAACTATAAGAAGAATTAAAGTAGAAAATGCACTCTATAATACCCACCTAACTTGAATAGAGTGAACAATTTGCAGAAGAATTAGTTAAATCATTTAAATTTAAAGGTTACTACTTTGAATTGGGTGAGAACAAACTCATTAAATCATTTGTGTTGTCAAGAAAAGATATCAAAGCACAGATATAGAAAGGAAATTTCTGAAGGCTATCTGATGGAAGACACTTTTAAGATTCTCAATGAAAATGTCACAGACAATCAAAAAATATTCAAATCTCCTAATGATAATCTAGGCCAACTTATTAATAGGTACAAAGTGGCATAGCAAATCAAGACCACTCTTAGATCTTTATTTGAGGCAGAGAGAATGCAAATTGAATATCCAGTTATTGATAATCAACTTGATTTGACAGTATATAAATAAATGATTTTGATGAAGAATTAAAAAAATAAACCTAATAAACTGAAATTGATAGATTTAAAGAGGATAGCCAATCATAATAATGTTACTTTGGGATGTCTCAAGATTATTGATAAATTATTAGAGGAACTCAACTCTTTGGAATTAGAGAATGTTCTGAACTCTTATAAGAAGATTATAGAATTCCCAGTCAATAGTGACACTCTCGCAAATTAGTTATAATCTTATTTTGAATAAGAATTTATTGATGAATTCAAAGTAGAATTGGAATTGAAGATTGAGAGTTTCTGTAGATTGACTGAAAAGGAGTACACAGGAGTGTATACATATGATAACATCCAAAAGGCTGCTAAAGACTCGATTGTAATAAGGAGTGTATATAATCAATTGTAAGAGATTCACTAGAAATGTCAGACTCAAAAAAAAGTAACTATTTAATTTTGTCATGAAATATTAGATTTGATGTCAAAGTGCTTATTAACATCAACCTATATGGAAACTCAAAAGGCTAAATTCCTGAAATTCAGAGAACTCTACAAAAGGTTGAATGAATCAATCACACTGGAACAATTGGAGGAGATTGAACATGAATGCTTTTAGCTTGGATTTGATATGGATGTAGAACAAAGGAGATAGCAATTGGTCTAAGCACAAGAGATCATCCAAAATATCCAACCTAGTTTGGGTGATTCCTTGGATGAATTCAAAAAACTCAAGTCTCTTGAATTGGACACTTACATTAGATAAACTGAATTACAAATAGACTTTGTGAAGTAATTATATTATTTGGTATACAATTCATATGATACATTGCCTAAGATGATTTAGAAAGTAAAAGATATCTCAGATTTAGATTTCAATAATGAATTGCTTTACAAAGTCACAATTCCAGAAATAGTGTATGATGAATTGAAATCAGTAGTATTGAATTTCAGATAAATGAAATGGAGATGTGAATGCTAACAAATCTTAGATCAATCAAATCAACTGATAATCCAAGGGGGTAATAAAAAATATAATATCAGCCAAATAATTCATTTGTTAAATGCTGATCCCTCAATCTAAGATCCATTCTACACTTAACAACTCTAGAAGATCAAGAAGGAATACGAGAGTTGGATCATCAATTTGTAGGAGTTCGAGAATCAATTGGCTGGTCAAGTGGCTCCTCATTTCAATCAGCTGATCAAATTAATCAATAAGAATCAATATCAAGATAACAATTTGTAAACTAAATTGTGGCAATACTACATTCAGATGCTTTGGATGTAAAAGGCAGAAGAGGTTCATTTGAAGCCAAAAGCCAATCCCTAAGCCTACAAGACCTTGATCTCCTGTGCTACATAGGCAAACATAGATTCCAACAACGTCCTATTATTGAAACTGAAAGACCCATATCTTCATCATGGATGACTTGGGCAGAAAACTAAAGGAATATCAAGAATAACGATTTTCTGTGGGTCAAGAGTAGGGAGTAGATCAACAATTTGCAATCGTATAAATCTTACTATAAGTATTTGGAAAACAAGCCAGATGCAGAGTAGATCAATCAAATATATATGCAGGCCAAAGAGTATCCAATATTCAAAGTTAAGGACCTAGCTGAAGATCTGTAAGAAGTACGCTAAGTGTTGCAATAATATAATGACTTAGTCTAAAAACAACCAGACAACAGTTTGTACATTCAGCAATTGTAAAAGATAAGGACCTATTATTGTTGTTGTTTTTTGAAAGTAAAGAATTTCTGTGTCTAATTGATGTACAACATGATAAAGTAGTAATCATTGAAATGCTTGAAATAATTGAATCCTACAGAGTAGATTTTACAGAGACTAGAAGAAATCAATCTCTTGGTTGCCTTGGGAGGTGAAGAGTGGTTTTAAAAGTTGAGTCTTACTTATAAAGGGAAGTAGGAGAATGCGAACAATACTGATTTCAAATTCATTGATTGTGTAAGAATTTATTATTATATCTTTATAGAGTCTGTAGGATGATTTTGAATGGATCCGATGGATGGAAGAGAGTAGTTAGAACATAGGCGAGACTTTTGGAATTGAAACAAAAAAACAATAGAAGGAACAAAAGATAAAGAAGAAAAAGTCATAGAGTTAATAAGTTCTGGAAGGGATTACTGAGGATATGAGATAAACTCAAAGACTTGATCTATAGATCTGCTTTAAAAAATGCTCAAATTGGAAACAAGTAAATGAACAACAAATACGCAATTTGGAAGCTCAGGTGTTCATGGAACAGAGTTTCGATAAGGACAAGTATTTGAAAGAAATTGAAAAGATTAAAGCAGTCATTAAGCAAAATAAATAGATAGAGTAACTATTAATATTATCTTATTTAGACTCAATTATGAAGAGATGAAGAAAGCCTACAAACAATATCTCCATCAAAAGAAATCAAATAGTCAACATACCAATAGTAAATAGACCTTGTAATTGGAGAGCATCAAAGTTATAAAGAAATAACAATAGCCTTAAGTTCCCTAAATTGCAAGTGCTTAAAAATTAATCTCTCAACATTCAATTAAAAGTGAACCAGAATTAGAAAAGAAAGTGAAACCTGAAACTCCTAAACAACCAACTATTATTGCTCAACCAATCCAAATAGCTAATGATGTTCTTCTATACAATCCAGATGGACAAGTAGATACACCTTGTAAAAAGTAAAAAAATTTATTGATGAACCTTGGAGAAATTAATTTGTAAATTAAGAAAAAAGTGAATGACTCCAGAGAATCTTTTCTCATTAAACCACAATTATTGACTTATGAACATCATATGGCTTAACACTTCCCAAAAACTGAAAATATTACTGTCACTTGTGAATCATTCTCCCCTGTGAAAGAAGTTATGGAGTATTTTACATAGAGGAAACCAGGTCAATTTAGAATGATGATTGGATGGTTATATTCAAAGGATATCAACGTTGCTGGAGACCTATTTAAATTGGCAGATAAGTTGAAACACTCTAGACAATGTGTTGGAACCAAGTTAGGAGATGTAGGATTGACCTTGATCTACTATGATTATTTGAATAAACTTAAGCCTACGACTAAGTGGATTATAATGAAGGAGGAGTTAGAGTAAGTAATTTTAATATATTCTTTAGGAATCAATTAGTAATGGACAATCTAACCAAATACCATAATTTGGAGAAGTTTAAACCGCATTTATGTTTCGTGTATTATGTCAAGGATTTAAAGGAATGTACAAACACTATCCTGCCTCAACCTGTTCAATACATTAATGTGTTGAAACACATTCAATTCAAGAGAGTCATTGAGAATCATAAAGTGCAATAGAAAAAATAATAAGGGTAATTGATTCCGTCGAAGAAAAAAGAATTAGAGCCGATTTCGGATGAGGAGAACAATAATGGATTTTAGTAGAAACAAGATGTCCATTCAATGCTCATGGAAATCCCTGGCATCCTCAGCTTGTTAAATTAATGATCAATAATTTATATCTATTAACAAAGGGCAATTTTTTGTTACTCTCTCTTTTATATATATTTAATCATGAATCATTAATAATATATTTATTGTAGATGAACCCTAAAGATTTCTTTGAGATTACACATTACTCATTATAGGAAATTTAGTAAATTCCCCCTTTCAAAAACAATCTAAGCACATTCAATAAATAAACCTATACTGTCTCATCTGCTCAGACAGGCAAATCTCATTCTTTAAGCAAGCTCATCAATGAACCTATTTATTTTATAAATGATGGTCATCTGTATTTGGTGGGTCGAAAAGAAATTTAGCAAGGCAAAACCTACGTTGGATATTCAGTCCAATATTTGACGCTAATTAAATACAAAGGTCTATATGAAATGGATTCCATAACAATTGAAGTATACGCATAATGGTTATACCTATTTAGACAAACCTAGAGTCCTTAAAAAAGAATAAAACATATCGCTAATTATCTTCGTCTTATTTTGAGAGAGTAAAAGATGGATAGGAATTACTTATCTTCAATGAAAGCAAATTAGAAGAATAGGATGAATACTCCTTAAGTTATCTACTAAGTTATAAGATTCAAAATTCAGCATAACTAGTGTAACTTATCTTTACTATTAAATGCTTAGTCAAGAATAGGTACGCTTGGAGAAAAAATAACAACATACTTTCAAAGCATTTCAACCTTTTGAGTCTCATTATTCAATGGTTAGTGAGAATGTAAGTTATTATCTTTATCTATTAGTTTCCGGAAGTATTTTTAGAGTATTAATGCTTAAATGTGTCATCGTAGCCTCTGGAGATGAAGAATATTGAATTTAAAGTCGAAAACATCATGTCCATTCAGAAATTGGTATATATATAGCATAATTCTATTCTATAGAAAGACTACTAATTACCAATTGTATTGGCTTAGGATGAATGTGTGAAAATCATATATCGTATTATCATTGAAACATCAGATCTAAAGGCTATCTATACTGTATTGACTCAAAAGAGTATTTCTAATTCTTATCAATTTTATAGAGGATTTGACTGAGTATGATCTGAGGTTGGGTTAGATTCATTTAGAATGGGGTACTTGTGGTAATTATTATGGAACCTAAAAAACTTGTTTGGTCAGGATTTACCCAATAAATCTAAGACCTCCAAAATCAATTCAAATTGAGAAAGAAGTTATTACTACTATAGAAATTGACATTGAATTGGGAATCTTATTTGATGTCCCTTAAATTGATTTGGCTATTAAATTAGAGGAATTGGAGATGAAGGCGATTAAGATTGTGGGAATGAGTTAGATGGTAATATGACTATTTATACGAATATAGAAATTAAACTATCCCGCAGGTTTGAGAACAAGAAGAATTAAGTTAGATGTAGTAGCATATAACTGTGGTGTCCATCAAATAAAGGGGATAAAGTTGTATGATCCAAAAACTATGAAAAATATTGCATATAAAAATTTTCTTTCAGCTTTTGTGGTAAATAAACAGCAAAATCAAAGAGTTTAATAATAAATAAATGCTTAAGATGTAAACTTATTGGATTTAGAAATGAATTAACCGATAAAAGTGGAGAATTAGAATTTGTTGGATTTAATGTGATAATTAAGAATATAATTTATAATTTATTTTCATTTAGCACAAAACATCAACTTACATCAATGACGGAAGAAATATACGAATAAGTGCAATTAGAGAAACTAAGAATGTCTGAATCAAAAAAAGTTGATGATTAACAAAGTATTCAAATGAGAAAATTGGTGTCCAATACTGAGAATAATAGTAATCACAATTAAGAACCTCTTTTCTCATTTGACCAGTTGCTATCCAAGGTAGGATTTGGATCCTATTAATTATGGATTTACTCAATAATGGGGCTGTTGGGTGTAGCAGAAGGTGCTTAAATCACTTTGTTTACATTAATGATACCTATTCTTAAGAACTAATGGAATGTTCCTGACTCATTAAATTCACTCCAAGCAAGTTTTGTTTTTGTTGGGTTTTTAACTGGTTCTATGATGTCAGGTTAATTTTCAGATCGTTTTGGTAGGCGAGGTCCCTTTCTATACAGTTCATTCTTAACTTGTCTAGTGACTTTGGGAACTATTTTATGTTAGGATATATACTAATTATTATTTGTAAGAGGAATCATGGGAGTTTTGATTGGATTCTTTTCACCTTGTGGGGTGACAATGCTTTCTGAAATAACTCAAATAGAATTAAGAGGTAGATATATGAGTCTTATTACACTGACTTTTTCATTGGGATAATTATTTGGCTTGTGGGTTGCTTCATTCTTCTTGATCAATTTCGATGATGTATAAATTTAATATAGAAATAAAGGGTAATTGGAGAGCCATGACATTTTATTGTGCAATTCCAGGAATGTTGGCCTGGTTGTTATGTGTATTGAAATTATAGGAGTCAGCCAGATTTGCATTATTGACTGGAAGAAAGGAGGAAGCATTTGAGATTATTTAATAAATGACTACATTAAACAATTCTCAGTTTGTTTTGACAGATGATGTCAAATCATAATTGATAAATTGGGCGAATATGATGAATAAGATTGCAAAATAATAAGAGAATGTAATTTAATGAATAATTGTAATAGGCATCAATATCATCATTGTTTGATAAAGAGAAGTGGTTTGTAACTTGTTTGGTCTGGTTTAACTGGTTCACCCTTTCCTTTATCTACTATGGGATTGTAATGATGTTGCCTACATTTTTACAAGGCCTTAACTTGGGAGATTCTTATTTGGCTGTACATAAACTATTATAATTGGTGATATCATCAATAAGTGATATATTTGGAGCAGCAGCAGCATCAGTAATCATAGATATAAAATATTTGGGAAGGAAGAATTCACTAATTTTATTCTATTTTATTTAAGCATTGGGTTGTGTTGCTGCCTATTTTGATGATCCAAGTAGATTTATGTTATGGACAAATTTCTGTAAATTCTTTCTATCTATGACTTTTATTTTTTCATTTTAATACACAGCTGAAGTGTATTCAACTAAAATCCGTACAACTGGAGTCGGAATGGCAAACGGAGTAGGCAGATTAGGTGGAGTTATAATGCCATGGATCTGTCTTTATTTGTCATCAATGGATCTTTTAAGTCCATTTTTGTTATTTACAGGTATTTTGACTTAATAATCATAGTCATTTCATTTATGACCAGTCTCACTAATTGTTTTTTACCTTATGACACTCTGGGCAAGGAAATAGAATGATATTATATTTTTTTAGTGTTATATGCGATATTCATTTGGCTTTCAACCTTTCTGCTCTACATAAAGAACAACCTAACGACATTTCCTCACCATTAGGCTTATGGGGAATTCCTAAAGGACATTTTCCTACTCCTGGACATGGTTTGGTCATATTAGTTTTGATGTTTCTATGACAAGGATCACAATAATGAGTTGTACCACTAAACAATAACATTAATATCATACTGACACCACCATAATGCAATTGAACAACAATGTCTACATTTGAAATCAATATAATCAACTCCATGTTTATTACACTTATCCTCAAGAGTCAACAATGGACAGCATTTTGTGCAAACTAAGTCTTCCTACTTGAACTCTACTTTTGGATCTTGATCTGCTGCTTATTAACAATTTTTCAATCCTCCAAAATATGGTTTTTTGCATTTGAAACACAAATAATAACAATAGATATGCATGGCATAATCCAATGGTTTTTAGAAGAACTAATGAGTAGGATCCAATAATTCTTTATCCTTCTCTTTTTCCTCTAATTTCAATCTCTGTAAACACAATTCTTGCACTTCTTTCAATAAAATCTACCCTTATTCAATAGACTTCTTGAAATGAGGCACTTGGATATCCAAAAATTTGTTGCATAAAGGACATTTCATAAAGTTGAATACAATTCTTGGACCATTCCATTTAGCCTCTAACTTTTATCTTAAACAATCTTCATGGAATATCTAATAATAGTATTGAAAGATACATGTCCACACGTAGTCTAAACACAAGGTTGTGATTTTAATCCTTCTGTAAAGCATATATTACAATAGTCTTCTTCATTTTAATCCTTGGCACACTTCTCATTCAGACAGGGCAAACAAGGAGTGTTCTTTATTCCTTGACAAAAATGTCCACATGCTAATTTAAGAGTGCATAAATTTTTAGCTCTATTTTGACACTCCTGTTGTGAACATATTGTTTATAATGCTTCAGGTTGATTTTTTTATATTTCTGTTGGTTACTCACATAATCTGCATTTTACTGCTGCCTTATTAATTTTATATTCTTCACAAGTCATGTTTGTGTGATATGGTATGCTCATACAATTCTTACATTACTCAGTATGACACTTAGAGCATTTAAACCTATTTTCAATGTAATGTTTCAATTGTTATCCCTGCACCAATTTTCCATTCTAATCCTATATCTTTTCCTCTATATTGCCTTTCTGGAAACAGAATCGTTCCTTGCAATGACAACATTCGATAATATTCTATAATGACAAATTCAGTTTCTCGGTCAATTGTTCATATAGGTCTCTTCCCAAGATTTATTTAATCTCCTCGTCCTTGAATCTCTCCCCACATACACAAGTTACATTGCTTTTTTTGGGCAAAAAGTCGTCTTTACAAATATTCAACATGCAATCTTTGCATATGATATGTGAACAATTTTCTAAATACCAAACCTTATCAAAATCGGAATTGGCTTCGAACTGCTTCTTGCATTTTTCGCATTGAACTGTTTATGAAGGAGCCTTCTGTAACATAGGTTATTATTATTGAGAATCTATTTTAGATTAAATTGATTAGTACAAATCATTAGCATCATCTCTAATCTGGATACGTACACTTTTGCTTCTGCTTTCATTATTCTAAGTTGATCTTCATTTGCATTTTAAATATCCTTCCTCTCAATATATTTCATAAATTCGCTGTAAGCACTATATACAGGGCAAGAATCGATATGCATTTCCATTTCCTTCTCCTTTATGTATTGACAAGAGAAACCGCAAGCACAAATGAAACAATCAGGTTCTTAAATTTGTTAGAATTATTGCATGATAATTAAATAATAATCCTTGAAAAGACTCAAACTAATTTAAATATAAACCAGAATGTCTAAAACAAAATAATCTTTCATTCTGCTTAATTAACAAATTTGCTCGGAATGATATCATCTTTATCTTTTTCATAAACAATTTTCAATACTCCATTTTCAATTCCAAAATGTTTCCATTTCCTTTCAAAATTTTCAGGAATCCTAAAACTTAGAGTGAATTCTCCATATTTTCTCTCCTATTTCTTAATGTGATCACTTTGTTCCTCTTAATAAGGTTTTTTTCTATTACCCTTAACAATTGTAACTACATTCTATCTATACATTTCAATATCCTCTTCATTGATTCCAGGTACATCCATATAGATAATGTATTTGTCATTAGCTATGATATCAGTAGCAGGAGCAAACGAATCAGGTCTGGCTAAAATGAGTCCAGATTGATCAATGTTTGTCTAAGGTATCTTAAGTTCTCCATCCTATAGATCAGCCTCCATTTACACGATTTTCTTAACAAATTAGTTATCAGTATCTATCAATTTAACATTGACTTCTCTTTTGAAATACTGTGTAAGTTTACTAGTTGCATATTGGAGGATATTTTCACAAACAGAGAATTGTCGATTAACTGGAACAAAGACTGCTTTTAGCCAGTACTTCAACAATGAAAAGACCCAAGGATTCACATCCAATCCTAATTGACTGTCATCACTAACTAAACAAACATGTCTAGTGTATTGGGTTTTAAACCATAGAACATGTTTTTCTTACAATTCATTTATTCTTGGATTAGTGGCTGCAACCTTAGTTCTTTGGATAGATCCACCAGTTGAATATATCTAAGTCACTTAGGTTGTCCAAACATGCTGTAATATCTCAGCAGTTTCAACTTCCTTCAAATTGTGAACAACAATTATTTCTCTGAATGTTTTCGAACTATTCTAAATATACCTTGATAATCTATCCAGATATCTCTGATCAAGTGAAGTAAAGTCATTTACAACGCATATGAAATAGTCACTCAACTCAAACACTAAATCAATGATGAAATGTTCAGTAGCCTCTTTTTCCACAATACTCATGGCTGACTGAATTTTGACAGGAGAGTAGCTTCCAGCAGTATCAACCAAAATTAATTGAGTACCTGAATCGACATCAACATGTTTAAATGAAATTCCTTTGGTTGTTACCTTTTTTCCAGATGGCAAATTAGATTAAGTTAGATTGTTCAAGACAAACGTTTTACCCTTATCATACAATCCTACTACTGCAACTGTGGCTCCTTCCCATTTTATTTGAGCCTTGTTATCGCTATTAGATAATCCAACCAACTCTTTGTTTGCCTAGAACTACTTGCTAATATAGACTGTCCACCCTTATTGAACGTTGTTTATAAGATCTATGTCAAGTATCCAATCATAAACTTATGTTTCATCGATTCCCTCTTGTGTATTATATTTGATTGGGTCATTGAATATGTTATCTTGGATTTTGTCATTCAACTTTGATTACTCTTCAAAATCGTAACTTGTAATTATATTTGATTATAGTATTTTGGTCTCAACATTCAAATTGTGATTATTGTGATTGAATTATAGGAATCTCCCAGTTTAACGTAAAGATCTTGTTTATTAGAATTTCTCTGATGTCTCCAGGTCTTTGGATATGCTATTGATATGTTTCTATAGACTCGCCGACTCTGTCAATCTTTAATATATTCAAGCACTTACAACAACTCTTCTTGATGAGTGATTTCATCTAAGATCATCATTTTGTCATCATTTCTCACACTCATTTCATAGTTAATCATTTCCATAATCTCATACAATTCATTGATCGTTCGAGCATCTTTAGTCATTTTGTTAAATTATTTCAAAATTTCCTCCTCTTCCTTTTGTATATCTTTTAACATCATTACAAGAATGGCTATTTTCTATCTAATATAGTTACTGTTACTTATGCCTTGTTTGCAATCACTTTCTGGAGTGGCACTTCCTTAAACAAAGAAGACATAAACAATATTAAAATTATTTTTAATCAACTGAATAAAATATTTTCATTTCTCATTCTAAATTGCGATCTCCAGAAATTTATTATCATTTATACAAGCTACACTGATTATATGTATTGCTATCTTCAAATATCTATAAGAAGTTCAATTCTTTAACTTGTAAATTAATAATTTTTAAAATATTAAGAAGAGATTAATTGTATTTTTAAAAAGTCAATTTAATGTAAATCAAGATGATATTTTAGCAACTTCCATTGAATTCGTATGTAGTATTTAAAATGATTTGATAAAATGTGATTGAATTATTTAATTCTATCTGATTGTCTCCATAAACTCATAATATAGGTAAGCTAAATATTAAATAATAAATGTAATCTTGTGTATTTTGATTTAATTTATGAATTTAATTGATTCCATAAATACATTTTATCATAATAATTAAAAAATCAATTTTAAGTATGGACTACACTCAGATACCCTATTTATTTCAAATATGTATAATTTCATCGAGAGGCTTAGAATTTTTCGATATTATTAATTTATAGAATATAAATTAAATTTATTTAGATAATAATTTTATTCCTGGAATCACTTTTTTAGTTATATAATGAGTTATTAGTTTCTATATTTATATTTTAAAATGAAATTCTAGTATTAAATATATTTATAATTCATTATAATGATTATTTTTTATTTAGTATTGGTTTAAATGGTATAGATTAGTAATATTATATTTAATTGGATTTCTTCTTTTTCTCTTATCTTTAATGTTCTAAATACAATCGATCGAATGGATTGGATTCTACTTAAAATTAAGTCACATAGGAATTATTCTCTGATTATGGCTTTTTTATTAAGGATTCCGATTTCTTATTAATATGTGATATTGAATGATCCTTTACTTCTGAAACAGATTTTACACTGCTGTGGTTATAGAGCCTTTCAAATACTTTTTCATTTTGTCTGCAATTACCTTACTAATTAATAGCAGGTGTAAATGTGCATTAATCTAATTCATTTTATTGAAGCTCCTCTTATTTCAAAGCCATATTATTCATTTTCTCGAAATGATGATTATAAAGTCTCTCCTCGACTGAAATTCCCTCTTATTGTTATAATTTAATTGGAGAGCTGATTAATTAAGGACGATACGTAAATTATGAATCTTCATTGTTTCTAGGTGTTTTATTTCTTTAGGTCAGGGCATTTTAATAGAGTCTATCAAACGGATTTTCAACTGATTGATTATTACCAATTGATTTGAAATTAATTGAGGGTTTGAAAGTGCAATCCTTTAATTCTTATTTCTAATTAAGTTCTTAAACTATTTGTAATTTGATTTTAGAGTCCATTGCATAATTGTTCAGTCTAATATGAGCTGGTGAATTCAACTCTAATTTTTGGCTCTTCTTTGTTATTTAAGGTTTGAATGTGCACTCCTTCATAAGGAGATTAATTTACTAATCTCGTTTGACTATTTGATTCTCTTCATTGAATATATGTTAGTCATAGAGATGATTTAATTAGGAACTAGATTTGGTATGCATTTCACTAACAGACATCTTCCTTTATTGGCTTTCTTGAGAAGATCCTTATTTTTGATCTCTATTATTGATGCTCCATATCCTTACAATACGAGTGGATAATTCAATCAGTTATTCCCTTTTTAGTGTAATCAAATGCATGAGTAATGTTTCTTCTAAGGTACTCTTCTGCTCTTTGAATGATTCTTAGAGTGCCAAGAGGCCAACTGATCTACAATATGTAGAAAACTCATTCAGGTATGAAACCATAATTATTTAATCGGATAATTAAGGAAAATTTATTTCATTGCAAATATAAATGAATAGAGCTTCACTCTCATTCATGTGCTTTAATAGTTCATGGAGTTTGTGGATCAGCGTTCTGCTGTTATCTACGAAAATTAACATAGCTGGAGCTCGAGATTGATTTGTCATACTCATAGTACATTTTAATATTACAATAATTTTAATGTCTCTACATGACAATACATTATATTTTTCAATAACTAATGATGATTCTAAATGAAAAAGCATCTATTCAAAATATTTGATTGAATTCTTGTTATCACTATTACACAACTTATTCTATCATCTTTTAATTTCAGTCTAAGCAGACCTACAGAGAATTCTCACTTAATTTAAGTAACCAAAATAATGGAATGATTTTATTGAAATGAACTCTTAGAGATTATTTCAATAGTACAAATGTACAAATTGCTTATCTGAAGAATTGATTGTTTGAATCATAGAATAATTTTAAATTATATGTTATTTTATATGTTTTTGATACTCAATTGATTCATCATTTAAATTGAATCAAAATGCAAGTCATATTATCGCATCCAGTACCCACTAGATTATAGTATTTAATGTTTACATGATGTATCCTTAGCCAACAATTAATCAAGCAATTTCTCTGCAGCTTTCTAAAGATTTTGAGTATTCTTCAACTCTGAATTGATAAAGTTTAGTATTTATTGATGGTCCCATGTTTCAAACACTCCATCACATCCCATCAATAAGAACCTGATCAAATATTGAATATATGCGTATTACTTATCGGCAGCACTCAACTGTGTTACTTTAACATCAGGTAATGCTGTGATGATCTATTCTTCTGGCTTAAATCTGTTATCTTTTTTGTATTCTAAATCTCCCAAAGCTCTTGATAATGATAGATTTCCTTAAATAACATAATATATTCAACCATTAACACGACCATCGGAAACGAAACCTCCAGCCCTCTCAATTCTCTTTTTCTCTTATTCGTCATCTGGCTTATGATCTTTGCTCATGTCAAATGGTTTTCCATCTCTATTTAAAAATGACCTTGAATCTCCTGCATTGGCAACATACAAAGTTTTGCCAACAATCAAAGCAACATTAGCTGTGCATCCAGCCAAAGATGCTAAAATCTGGACATTAATTACCTTCATCGGTCACTCCCCTAATTTTATTTAACTCATCCAAACCAGAAGGCTCTTATAACATCTTATCAATTTTGAAAAATGTTTCTGTCAATGCCTTCTCATAATTTTTTTATTGATAGTTTTTATTCTTCATCAATTCTTCTCTGAAATGTCTTTCTGCAAATATTGCTACTTCACTTCCACCGTGGCCATCGAAAACAGCGAATAAATGGACATCTGGCTCAATGTTCAAATCAGAAATGTGAGCATCCTCCATAGTATTTCTCCATCCTGATTTAATAATCATTAATACCTTGCATATGCGTGGCAGCATATTGGAGTACTTAATTTTAGCCTGTAACTGAAGTCTTCTCTGTTTTTGGTTGGCTTAGATATGGTCCCATTTCGACTTTATTATTTAAAATAGATATTTATTAATAATGTTCATTATTACATCTGCTCTTTAAACCAATATCTATTAAGAATCTTGTCAACCTTGAAAATAGAACAGCTATGCCTAGTCTATTCCTTCTTTCAAATAAAGGAGAAATACCCAAATCGTATTCCACTAACTTAATCAATCGAATTAGAACAATATTACTTTAAAAGTTTTAATAGAAATTTTGATTAGAAAATTAGTACAATTCTTCTTCTATAAATATGATCTAGATTTGTTTCCTATCGCTTTTCTATTGTTAAATCTCTTTTAATTGGGTGATTCTTATAATTATATCCACTATAAAGAAGAGATAAAAATTCTATTGCACATTAATTGAAATTGTTCTCTAAAGGCAACAATTATTCTCTCTTGATTTTCAGACTCAAAATATACATCCATTATAATTATCTTCGATAAAAATCGTCAATTCCACTTTTTTAGAGATATTGGCTAAAAGAAAAATCTTTTATTAAATCATTGTTCCTGACCCAATAACAAAATAGAAAAGATAAATTACTATACTTCCAATATTGGCTAAATTACATATTTTTATACATTTGACAATTGTAATCTAATCTTTTGACATCAAAAGTAATAGTTCCATTTTGAGCTAAAAGAGTATTGTTTCCTTTAAATAATTTGATCATGAAATATAATTATTATGATAAGAACTATAGTTTATGTTAAAATATATTTTTGATATCTCATCATTTCTGCATTTCATCTTTTACAAAGTCAAAGAATTGTATTAATTTTAAATATTAATTAAAATTAATTGATTTTTTGATTATGTCATTAAATTAATATTCTTGTACTCATAACAGATAAACCAATTTAATCTGTATAATAATAATAGCAATAATGTCATCAAATCATAATTAATTAAAACTAAATTTCTAGAACAATTAAAGACTTGATTATTAATTATCTTAACCTAATTATCAAAAGATTTAAATTATCATCTATACTTTTTATCCTTCTATAGTTTTCCATTTGTTTTGGTGTTTTAAATAACGTCTAAGTTTAAATTTTCTTTCAAGTTATGAAATTGAGATAAGCACAGGCACATTTTCAAACTTAAACAAATCAATTTTTCGTTCATTTTTAACTGATTTTACAATTTTATTTGTTTCCTTATTGCTGAAAGTAATTTTAGTTTGTAATTAATCGTTTGAGCTGGAAGTTGAAGAAAGCAATAGAATACATAAAATATATACAAAAATTAGTTATATTGTTCAATTGTATATGTAAGTTTTTGAACTGATTTCTTTTCCTCCTATCTATGATACGATTTTAAATGGAGTATACACATCTCTTTTAGGACATGTCTGACAAGGCTTATCAGAAGCGTAATTAAATTCTTTTCTTAGTAATTTTTTTCTAAATTATAACACAAAGGTTTTAGCGGCAGCATATTTTAAGTTCAATTTCTGTGAAGCCTAATTGTTGATAATATCACACTACCTCTCTAATCTTCATTCCATAGTCGAAAACTAATTGAAGTAAGGATTGCTTTTGAATTTTAGAAATTTTGACATATTATCTTTTTGAAGCAGACATCTTGGCCATAGTTTTGATGCAATGCTTAAATTTATTTTTATTTATACTCATCTCTTTATTTTGAATAAAAAAAAGGGAAATAAATCTTTTATTTGATGCATATTAATAAAGGAATAAATTATTAATACTCATTATAAGAATTATGTAATCATTCATTTATTTATTACAAAAATTTAATAAATTATTATAAACTAAAAGATTATTATATATTTTAATTATAATATAATATATGATGTATTTGTATTTAAAGTGCATCATAATTTTGAATGAACAACAAATTAATTTGACTTAATCAGGGACTTCCTTATTTTCTGCTGTCTTTAATGATGAACAACTTCTACAATCGAAATTCCTAATAATTTTAAGTGAAAAAGTTGCATATGGAAGCCAAACTCCAAATTAAATCCGGAATAATTATATGAAACCTTTATTTTTTCATGAAATCATCTATTAGTAAATAACATTCTTCATTACAATACATATTAAGAATGATCAGTTAATATATTTAGATTAGTTTTTATATTAGGTGTATATTGAATCAATCAACTAAAGCAATAGTCCTTCTCATTTACTATCACTCCACCAGTTTATGAAACTATTTTAAGGTTATATTTAAATTTTGAAGCCTCTTTAACAAGACAAGGCTTCATTGATAAATATTTAACATTCCTTCTTTTCTATGACTTCCTAAATTAGAGGATAGTTGTCTTAGCACTGGTGTAACATATTGATAAAGTATGAGCAGCCTGAAGATATGAACATAATGTTATACTTGTTTGATACTAAATCCTTTGTGAAATACTAAGGATTTCAAATCCTCCTTATACTTTTATGATATCTTATAATATGGTCTTTTGGATTAAAATTGCCATTTCAGCATCAATATTTTATTTCTTCCGGAATTTTAATATATTCAACAGAATATCTTCAAAATTTTGTTAAAAACCTTTATCAAATGAAAGAGAAAGACTTTCACCATAGTTTGTATTTGCTCCTGTTATGAATTTTAGAATATCTCATTAAATTAAAGGATTAAGATTCAAAGATATGTGTATATGTATTATTAATCTTTTATGTTCTTCTGATTAACATTTACATTCCTAAAGTTTTGATTATAGTTAATTTTATATATTCTACTTATTTGAGATAGACAAAGCAAAAAATTTAATAGTTGTAACAAAAAACTGAATTGTTGATTTATATGATTTTTCTAAAAAATATAATATGAGATGTGTTGAAAAACAATAATAATAAAATTATATATTAATTATTTGTGTTCGTTAAATGTTTAAGCACAAAAAATCTCCTTCACTTTTAGATACAACGAGATAATCTTCAGAGAAATACAGTTTATTAACTAGTGATGTTTCAACAATAAAAAAACCTTAAATCAGTCCCATAAATTTCAAAAAGATTCGTACTCCTTCAACTCTCGTGGAGCCTATATAAAAGACCTCAAGGTAACTGTCATAATAAATCTCTTCTGACACTTTAAATGAAATTTTATCTATTAATTAAAAGATTGCTGCTTTACAACAAAGAAAGTCAGCTTTGCTTTAATAATTTTAGAGAATAGAATATTCTGATACTCGAAAAGCTATTCGTTATAATAAAGATTTTAATAATAAGTATTTCGATAAATAAAACATTACATAAATGGAAAAGAATTGGACACACTATTAAGGATAAATGGATTAATAATATAAGTTTAATGGTAAAGGTGTGCTGCATTATAAAAATGCCAAAGTTTTCGGTGTATTTAAAGACGGTAATTTGGAAGGAAGAGCCACAATATTTGATTAAGAATGCAAGATTAGGATAGGATAATATCAACAAGGAATATTATAAAAGATAGAATATGTTTGATTTTATTTGTCAGGCTCTTACAACTCGATATATCCTAAATAATAATAAATATTATGTTCTTATCATCTCCATGTATTAGATCTCTGAGTATTTTAATATAATAAAGGAACTCCTTATTAGTACTTTGATTTTTAATTATTACAATTGCTAATACAATCTTGAATAGTACGAAAGTCAAAGATTATATAATATTATTTATGTTAATAAGTTTTATGTCTAAAAAGAACAAAAAAAATAAAAATATAATAAATATACATTTTTCTATCATCAAATTTTGAGATATAAATCGTTGTCCCTAATTGTCAAGCTATCAAATGAAAATTACCCCTTAAAATATTACAATAATTAAACTTGAGGGTACAAAGATATTATTAAATTAAGTTATTATTCAGATAACATTAAAAATTAGTAGCGTAGCATTTAATTCAAATTTAGGTTGAATTATCATTTCTTAATAAGACATCTGTCGGCTTAGTAGGTTAGATGCAATTAATATTTTTAACTTTAGCAAAAATGTTAACTTCAGTATACAAATAGTAAAATCCTGAATAAATTAATTGTTTTTGTAATATAAGAACTGTCTTCTTATTGTTGAATATTTTAAGATAATTTATGAATGTTTGAAAAATAAAAATTTATTTTTTATAAAATGTCTTATAGATTTGTAGTTGTTGGTGCAGGTATATCAGGTTTGAGCAATGCTTTTTTCATTAAGTAATTGTTTCCAAAAGCAAAAATCACTTTGATTGAATCATCCAATAGAGTGGGAGGAATGATAACAACAACAAAAGAAAATTAATTTATTTGTGAAGAGGGACCACGTTCAATTAAAAGAGGAAAATATGATAGACCTTTATTTTACATGATCGATAAAATTGGGCTTTATCCTGAACGTATATAGTTGTTATATGCTTAGTTGTAACAAGTGTACAACAACCTTATAGTTATATTTATTGGGAAGGAGGATTAAAGAGTATCCCATAACAAAAGAATTTACAAACAATTTCTAGATTTATCAAGGAAAATAGAAAGGATGAACTTCTGAATTTAATGAAAGCAGTTCCAAAAATACTTTTTCCTAATTAAAAATCTGATAATTTGGGAGAATATTTTGATGAAATTGTGGGCAAAGAATTAACATAAAAGTATGCTGAAACTGCTTTTTATGGGTTATATGGAGAATCTGTTTATAAGTTATCAAAGAATATGTGTTTGTCTAAAATTTATATGAGTTCCTACGATGAGGATATTTTAGCAATGGATTTAATTTATGATGATGAATTCGAATAAATAAGAATGAAGAAATTAATGAAAGGTACCAAATATAATTTGATATTATAAAGCAAATAGTTACAGATTTGCTTATGGATTGGATTCATTGCCAAAACGAATATTAAGATATTTAAAAGATAATTCTAAAGAATAAAATTTAGAAATTCAATTGAATACAAAAGGAAAGGAAATAGATGTTGAATAAAGATAATTGGTTACAGAAAATGAAAATTAAGAAATTAAGAGAATTGAATATGATTACTTATTCTTAAATATACCTTCCTCAGAAATAGTGTCTATGTTGGAAAATTCAACTTTAAATGGAATCAAGGAAGATTTAAAGAAGATAAAGAATAATTCTATAATAACAAGAAATATATGTTGGGATTAAAAGATATTACCACCAGATGTAAGTTAAAGTGCTATTATTTAAGTTTAGAGGGTTGGGATATTTAGTAAATCCAAATTAGAATCAAAATATTTTAGGAATGGTGGCAGATTCTTTGCAATTTCCAAAGCAATATCCCAAAAAGTCAACCAGTCTAACTGTGATGACAATAAAGGATGTGAAAGATGATGAGGTACTGGCAGAATTGAGTTCTCATTTAGGAGTCAAAGTTTAGGATCCAAAAATGATAATGAAGAAACATTGGATGAAAAATTTCATTCAATTCTAACCTGGATATTACGAGAATCTGCAGAGGCTTGAGAAAGAACTAGAAAATATGAAGATAATTATTGGTGGTAACCATTATACAATGGTAATACCAGAATTAGTCTATTTGGCGTATAGTAAGATGAAATAATTATATGTGTGAATAATTATTTTCAGTTAGTGCTTTTAAATTTAAAATATGGATTATGAAACCCTCTTCACAATTCTTCCAAAAGAACCGAAGAAATGGTCTTTGGAGGATGTATCGTCGTGGCTCAATTTTGTTGGGTTACAATAACTACAGACAACTTTCAGTACATTTGTGAACTTATATTGTAGCTAAAAATTCAATCGATGGATCATGCTTAGAGTTGATTGAGGAAAATGACTTGATTGAAGATCTAGGAATCACAAACAAGATAGTTAGAAAAAAGCTAATGCATTGTATACTATTTTTAGTAATAAAAAAGGGCTTAAAACAGGATTGAAAGAATATGCATCACATATAAAATCAACTAGTTTCGAAGACAGACGTTACGAAAAGATGGAATAGGAAAATGCTACTCTTGAAAATACTGAATCTGCATAACCTCAATATGGGTAGATTAACATCTCCCATGATATGATGACTAATTATCTTAAGAATAATGAAATGTTTTCGCAACAATTTCAACAACCATTATGTGAGATGTAATAATAATACTTAACTTTTAGTGAAAACAAGGCTCAGTTTTAAAAAAAACAATAAACCGGCATTGTAATTGAATAAGACCTTGAAAAACTAGTTTCAAAAGTATAAAACGAATTGATCATCCAACCAACAGAAGGACCTTAAACCAATTTCTATTGTATTAAAGAATCAGGAGGCAAAATTGGGAGACACTCAAGCAATTAAATATTAATATTGGAGGAGAGCATTAGTAGATTTCATGCAGAAGTGATATTTCAAAATGAAGAAGTATTTATGTATATCTAACTTAGTTTTATATCAAAGACATTGGATCCACAACAGGAACATTTATTAAAGTCGAAACTAAATAACTATTGCAAATAGGAATGGTTGTTGAATTAGGCAGCAATTAATTCGAAATATAATAAGTGAATGTAAATGGTGCCAATATAGATGTAACTATACAATTATATATTAGGTTGTAATGACAATTATCGAAGGACCAAATACTCCTGAGAAGCATGTGATTAATCTAACACCTTAAAAGAGTGTGACAACTGTTGGCAGAAAACAGACTGCTGATCTTACTTTTAGTGAGGATCATCATCTCTCTAATATTCATGCTAAAATTTGTTTGATTGATGGCAGAGTTTACTTGGAAGATATGGGATCTACGAATGGGTATTTTCTATCTCAAATTTTAGATCTTGGCTAAGATTATCAAGAGAAGGTTAACCTTCATAGTTATATCCATTATAAAACTAAACAGTTTTTAAAATTGGAACTACATCTACTTATTTATGTAAAAGAACTACATAATTGGTTGCTGATAGAAGTCACGAAAATAGTTGTATAATATGCATTGAAAATGATCGTGATGCATTGTATATGCCTTGTAAACATAACACTGCCTGTTTGAAATGCAGTAAAAACCTAAAGGATTGCCCTATCTGCAGAACTAAAATATAGGATATCATTAGAATCTATAAAAACTGACAATATTATATATATATAAACATCTATAAAACAAAATTATAAGAGCTTTAGTTACATATTAATTCATTTTAGATAGTTGAGTTATCTTATAGATATATATCTCCTATATTTATGAATTTATAGATTGAATAAGTTAATTTATATACTCTTTATTATCCATAGAATTTTACCTTTAAATTTAATCACTCATTTATTGTCTCAATAATCCAACTACAATATAATTTAAGAATATTAAAGATAGGTAAACTTAATAATATATAAACCAAATTTATTTTTACTTAATAAAAATTTGCTACATTTACTAAAGAATTCAATATCCATTAATTTCATAGTGCATAGTAGGTGTTGTTTTTATAAACCATTTTAGTTTCGAGAATTGATTTTGTTCTATCAAGGAATGATTATTTATTTGTTACTAATAATAATTTAAATTCAAATGAGACATAATACTCAATTACCTCCAAAGCATAATTTTAATTCCTCATTTAATTATGATTGGGATCTAATGAATAAGAAAAGAGAGATTGAAATGCTTAGACCCAGAGAAATATGTCCAAAACGCAATCATTCATTTCATACTAGTTCAAATGATTGTGATAAATCCATACATAATCGATCTTTTGAGAAATCAATGCAGGAAACAGAAAAGGTGAGTTCAAGAATGCAAAATGAATTTGGCTAATTGAAGACTCTCATTTAAAAAAAGCGTGATGAGATTGAAAAATAATAGAGACAATAGGATCTCAAACTTTCGATATCAATTCCCTAACAAAAAGTAAAGGAAGATGTAAGAAAATAAAAGGAGGAAACACCTTAATTCAATTACTATTAAACATTCAAACCCATATTTGCATAATTAAATTCATTGATTGAAAATTCCAACACTAAAGAGTAAGAAAAGCAAAGATTGGTTACATTGTTTGATTCAATTGATTAAGAGTCCATTAAACAGAGCAATGAACCAGAACAAATGTATTAATTGGTTGAACAGTTAGTCAAAGAATTTGTAATTCCCACTTTAGAATAATAAACTCCAACTCAATAAAATTCAAAGCGAAGTTACTTGTAGACACAATCTTCTAATTTTATTAAGCAATTGCCATATCATTAGTAAATACCCAAATCCATTGAGCAATCAATAAATTATAAGAATGTGTTTGAATTGCAATATCAAAATCCCCTTTAATTTTATTCCTAAATAAAGAACAATGAGAGTGGGTATTATGAATATTGTATGAATGATTAAATTGTTACAGGAGAGTCGATAAACAGCTTCAACATCTCAAAATAGTAGTCATGTGCACTAAAGAATTAATAATCGAATGTGAAGGTGGATTATAGATAAATTAAATAGTCCTTGATTTAACAGTAGATTTATAGTCTTGATGATTAATATACTCTTGTTCCGGTAACCCATTTTAACAGGAAAGTAATCTACGCTTTGAATTACCAATCTTCGTATTGTAGATAGATTTAACAATACATTGGATTAAGTGTCAGTAATCAATAATGCAAATTAGAATTGGGTATGAATAAGCTCAATAAGATTGTATTATTATAGCAGAGGATGAAAAGGTCGATGGTTCTTTAGAGAATGAAATAGTTTATGAATTAATTGAGGAATTTAAAAAGGCTGATTCAATAAGTTGGATTTAGAAGGTTGAAATAATACTACAATTCTACGAAAAAATCATAGAGTGTCAATAATAATCTGTGTAAGTTGATTCTTTAGGCAGCCAGACAAGTAAAAAAGAATCAAAGGAATCACGCAATATAATTGTTTATGGTATTGCAAAAGTACTAAAATAGAGTGAAGTGTAATGCTATTAGGTAATTGATTGGGAATGACGATCTGATTATCATGTTACAGGCATTATAATCAGAGAATTCTATTGAGATGTATTTACAATAGGTAACTTAATTGATGGGTGAAAAGTTAGCAGTGTCCATTCTCAATATTGAGATATTGTCATTGACTTCCTATTTACCTGAATATGGCTTGATACAAGAGTATTTTGAGGACATTGATGACATCTCTTAATTCAACACTCTTTATTAACTAACACTAAATTTAAATACAGAATTAACTAATAATTTGAATATCGAATTCGAGAATCGACACATTTGGAAGGTGAATGATGAAATATTCTTAATAACCTCATCAAATATGTAAACTCAATATTTGAGTAAGATAGCACTAATTTTAACTAATGGTATCAATAGTTTAAGATAGAAATATTTGGAGTTTTTTAAATTTATAAGGATGAGAGCAGAATAACATTAATAGAAAATGAAGTCTAAATTTTTCAATAGGTGGAGGATCAATCAAAGTGTATTTGTTGATTAGTTAAGAAATGAATTGGCTTGTTCTTAATAGGAGTAAGATCAATAATAAAGATTAATTTATTAATATGAATTAGAATTGCAGAATATGCAAATATAAAATGCATTGAAATCTAAGTGTTTAAGTAGTGCCATGTTGGAAAACACCTTATCTAAGAGAGAGAACTAGTTATCATTGAAGGAGACATTCTTTAAATTGTGGAGGAGCAGAAACACAAATGGAAGACATCTTGAGTAGAGAGTGCAAACAGGATTATATTTATTGGAATAGGCAATTTGTAAGATTGAGAGATCATAATTGGACAAGGCATTTAGAGAGATTGCATTTTCATACACTCAACCTGCATAAACCATACCTACTAGTCCAGTATTAAAGAATACTAAGAGGAGTTTTCATACTAGAGAGTAGACTAGGAGAAGCCAAGAGGAATTAGAATAATCGGTTTTGTGGGATGTACATCAAATGAAGATTCACTCTCCAAATGGGCACAAGGGATAATCATTATCTCCAATCACTGCTCATACTGCTAACCAATCTTTTCTGATAGAGAATGAGTCTTTGTATCAATATCATTCATAAAGATGGTAAGATTTTAATCACTATTAATAGTACTCAATAGCCTAAGAAGAAGGCCTAGTAATAGCAATCCTCGCATCTTGATTAAGAGAATGTGCAATCGCAGAACAAAATCTATTCTCAAAGAACTAAGGATTTTGTTCGTAAAATAGCTTAGCCAAAAGAATAAAACCATAGGAGAATAAATTCAACACAACCAGGAAGTTCTTTTTCATTTTATGATTTATAACATTGATTAATTTCATTAAGATCTGTTGATGTTGAGTTTTTTTAATTTTCTCTAAAAGGAATTCGCTATGCTTAATTGACTTGTGCTTTATTCTAATTGTCTCACCAACCCTTGCATGCTCAATCCAACCTGCGTTAAGGATTAAACTTTTTTTTTACATTCAGCCATAGGAGATATTTTGGATTCCAAATACTTGAAGTATGTTCTATTGTCACTTGTTTTTATGTCAATGATATTGATAGGAGGCAAGGCAGACTTGCCTTTTAATTCTGGGAGTCTCAATCGATTGTCAAATCCCTTTTTATTTTGTTTATCAACGTAAATATTTTTGATTAGTTTTCTCTTATATTAATTCCAATTTCTCTTCTCTTCATACAATAATTTGAGATCATCATCTTCAGGATATTATTTAATTTATTTTTGATATGCCTCCAATCGATCCGAAGGCACAATCATCTTTAAATTAAAGGAGCTAATTGAAACAATCTCAGAAGGAATTGATGTAATATAAGAACATTATGACTCTTCTTCATTTAGCAAAGCGAAATCACCAAAGATCTCACCATCTCCCAATTCATCAATTTCGAAGTAGACATCCTGATTAAATAAGTCAGTGCTGCTTGTAGTCTAGCCTCTAATTAATGAAGATGGATAATCATCCAAACTCCATTTAATCCTTTTGATTGCTTTTACCCTTCCACTTTTGATTATATACATGTGTGTTGGTTCGACTCCCTATTTCAATAGTATTTATTAGGAAGGATACATTTGTATTTAACATTTTGTGCAAAGTTGTACAAGTAAGTCTTTGTTAAACATTTGGAACACAGGAAGAGATTCTAAAAATTAAAGTAATCTGTTGAGTGCAACTGTTTTCATCTCGTTGGTATTGTCTATAGTTTTCATGTATTCTGAGAAGGCATCCTTTTCTAATACTATTAAGTCGCTTCTCTCGTTTGCTATGACTGTAGCGGTTCTCTTGGAATTATAGAGCAGAGATATTTCTCCAAATGCATCACCTTTACCCAATTGAGCTATTTCTTTCTAAATAAAATAATCTATTCTTACAAGTTGCATGAAATTCTTAAATTCTGTTGGTTCATCTATGTACACTTTGACACTTCCATTCAAGATTACATAGAATGCATCCCCTTAATCGCCTTACTTAAAGATATATTATCTTTTTTCATATGTTTTGAGATAGAGATTTTTACATAATTCCAAGAAGTCTGGTTTTTTTTTGTATTGGGAGAGGAATTTAATTTACTAAAGTAGATATAAATTTTAGGAGGTTTACTTGGGCAATCTCAGCAATATCCTTGCAAATCGGTTGAGTTCTTTACTCAATCGGGACTTACAAAAGTAGTTTGAGTTTTTCTGTTTAATAGATAAATTTCTTTTTATTCTACTCTTCCTCATCTTAACTGGTTTCTGTAACAGTTCTTTATTCGCTCATTACAATAAATAATTATATAAATAAATATTAAAAATGTTTATAAAAAACTTCTTTAAGAAACAATGCAGATTTGAGAGAAAGCTATTCGAATCCTCCATATTCGATAATCAAGAGACAGTGGATCTGGAAGATGTCAAGTAAATGTTGCAAGGTAGATTTGTTTGATTAGTATATAGGATTTCCTTGTCTGTCTGAAATTGATTAACTAGTTTAAAGTATGACTATCGTTTAGGTGTGTCGTGAATTCCTAAGACTCATCCCCCAAACATTAGACAATCATAAAAAGCTAAAAGTTCTACTCACCATGCATGTGCTTATGGGAGATGTCAAACATGGTAGATTATTTGTATAGTAATTAAATTACTTTAATGGTTGGGCATCTACCAATAAAGAAGACATCCTTAATAAGTTCATCGGCATTCAAACGATGATAATACATAAACTCTCCAGCATCTAAGAAATATCTAATAGAAGCAAACTAAAAGTCAGCATTGAAGCCTTCTTCAAAGATATAGATACATCAGTCATTCAATTCTACAAAGCTATCAATTGTCTAAACTTCATTCTAGCTTAATATGATGTATGAATATCTCCTATCTTCAGCTATTCCTCAGTATCTCTAAACTGCATAACCGAACAGTGGTCATGGAAATTTACTTACTAATCTGGAACGATCTAATAGCCATGTATTTGATGCTTGAAAGGTACGGTTTATGAATTCTCTTTTTAAGTATTGTAGGTTCATACGACAATTTATGGAGTGCTATACTTAACTCGATCAGAAATAAGCATTGCAAGTCTATGAACTATTTAACGAATATAACAAATTGACAGCCTCTGTGAGACAATTTGGATCCATCAGTAACAATTTCAAAAATTGCAACATTTCCCAACCTAAGTAATCTCATCCCATATTGTAGATGGTATGTTCCCACAAAAAAAGAGTAGGATGAATTACAACTGTATTTTCAGAATGTCAAAATTTATTTAACAAGTAGAACCAAAAGATAGAAAATTGAAAAATCAGCTTCCTAAGTCTTGAGAGTGTGTCAAAGCACAGATAGAAACTATAGAAAATCAACTTCATTTGTTGGGCAAAAAGGAGATAACTTTCTTTAAAATACTACTTTAGGGTACATGAAAAAAATATCTACTGCTACAAATCCTATTGCATTTTAATACACATTTGAAAGCGAATCAAAAACTGAAATTTAATAGAAATGATCTATATATCAAAATTTATGTTATTGAAACATATATATATAGAAATCAATCAAATTTTTTATGCAAAATATTTCACATCTATATCCTGATCTTATTATAAAGTTCTAGCTTTATTTTTGAACTCATTTTGAGTCTTGTTGTCTAATTTATTTTGGATTGCTGTGAACAACTTGAAAATATTCAATCTAACGTTAGGAACCTTATCATTCAAAGACTTCTGGGTTACTTCCTTTGTAATTAATAGTATATATTCTATACTTTAAATTAATTTACTAGATCATCCTTTGATAATGTATTCTTTAACTTTGCAATACTATGCATAGCTGACACTCTATAGATGTAATTCTAATGCTCGAATTGTATATTGATGCATTTTAAAATGAAATCCCTGATCTTATCATAACCAAAGACTTCGCTCAATTAGACTAGATTTTCTATAGCCTAATCTCTAATTGCTTAATAGTGATTCAAAACACCCTTTTCGAGGTAAACTTCCTATAACTCTAAGAAACTGTCATAGCCTGCCACCTTGAGAAGTTTGGGTATGATAGACATCATTTCTAATCTGTATCTCCATTGTTTCTCTGATGCAAATGTCTATATCAATGGAACTAAGTGTTTTTTTGAGTTTTCCTGTCCAATTGCTTATGATAACTAATCCAAATTGTGAGCGAGCATGATTTTGATTTCTACAACATCATCCTTAATCAAAGTTGTAATTAAGGGTATGAAGTTTTGCAACACGATTTAAACCTGATATTATTTGGATATCTTGCAAATTTGTTCTGCCAAAGACATCCTAACATGTTATGAAGTATCTGTAGAAAGAGCTAAGAATAATGGTAAAAATGAATCTTTGTTCGAAGCAGGTAGCTCTTTTAATAAATGATAGATAGCTATTAGTGCCATAGATCTTACTTCAGGTTCAGTATCTTTAAGTAATTATTAAAACACAGGAACTGCTTGATTTTTTAAAATACTTTTATTTTTATCTTAAATTTTAAAAATAACTTCTTACTTAGTTTAACTATTATGTCAATTATGCTTTCAAAACACTCAGGAACAGTATATCTAACACGCCAACTTTTTTCTTTGGGATCAGCAAGAGCAAAGTATCCTTGAATCTATGTTTCTAATTCATGTTCTTCATCAATCAATTTGAGCATATATTGGGATCCTTCAATTGCTTTAATTTTAACACTATCGATGGGATCTTTGAGCAATGCTTCCCATAATGATAATAATTGTTATGGTTAGCATTTCATTTTGGCAAGATCAGGCAAAACTCCTGCACAAACTCTTCTAACCATTGGAGTGTCATCTCCACATAGTTATTTGAATAAATCCCAAAGAGTAGTCTATTTTTCTAATGAAACATGTTTGTAAGTGAGAGGTAGAAGACTGGCTGCTGATATTCTGGAAGGAAAGTTGTCCCATTGACCTAATTATTGGACAATTTAAAAAAAGTGACTTTCAAAAAAACCTAGTAAAATAGAATCAATTGAGTTTACTGTTTGGCATTCCTTCAGCAAGCAAGATTAAAGATTCTACCGCTTTATCTCTGACTAAAGGCTCTTCCATAGAACTTAGTATTTCTAAAGGCGCATTTAACAAATGAATATTGGCACCAGTGTAAGGTTTGAGATTGACTAATTCTTTAGCTAATTTAATGAGGAATTCATCTTCGTTATCCTATTCTTCAATGATATCTATTAGGTAAGGGATGAGTTCTTGGCATGTCCTTGCAGGTCCAAGGATTTGTGCTATGGTTACAATTTTGTCTACGGCATTGAGTTTGAGAGTGGGATCATCACTTTTGAGTTCTTCAATAAAAATAGTGCAGTCTTCTTCTTCCATTTTAAAAAAATTGAGATTTAGTTTAATTAATTTCGTTAAATGAACAGGCACGAGAAATAGGAAGTTGAATAAGGATTGCGCAATCTTTTAGAAGAAGTATAAGAGTTAAACATATTAAATCAGATGATGATATTTTGTAATGAGAAGATCAATGGCATCGAGAACTGGAATTGTCTGGATCTGATACAGCGAATTACCAAGTTGTCTCGATAACTAAGGAACAGCAATCTCGAATACAAGAAATTGGAATCTGTATTGCAACAATAGGAAGCAGACATTCGAAATCACATAAGTGTATGGAGGCATTTTTAATTTTAGTTAGAATAATAGATGAAATTGTATTAGGATGGATTACAATCAAAGTTAGAGGAGGCTAATCAAGAAATCAAGAGATTATCAGAGGGTCTCTATAAATTAAAGAAGTCTAAGTATTGAGTAGAGTATGATAGTTGTTAATCAGAATCAATGAAAAAGGATTAGAGTAATGATGGGTCTACCTCTTAGAAATAGGGTTCTCCAAAAAAGCTATCCTCCTTCTCTCAACATGGAGGTTACACTTCTCACAGAAGCTCATGTGACGAACTTTTTAAGAGATACAATAAGCTGTTGTAACAATAGTAGGCCTGTATTAATCAACGATCAAATAACATCTAAATTAGTTAATATATGATGAAAGGCCGATAAACTTTAGCTGAAATATGTAATATACAACAAAACAGAAGTTAGACAAAAATTAATAATAGTATAAATAAGAGTGGATAAAATAATTCAATCAATTCAGAAACAATAAGAAATTTATTGAAAATGAAATGAATTATAAAATGTTGAAATTATGAAACGTTTAATTTTAATTCTACCTATTATATACATATGGACAGACTCACTTGAATATTTTTCGAAGATTTCTATATTTAATTGGAATCATGAACACTTTGCAGATGATACCACAGAACTTGGAAATATAAAGATTTTTAGAAATAATCTTTTAATGAGGAGTTGAAACTTTATCTTAACCATAATTTGGATTTGATATTTCCAAGACAATATGCAAGATAATTGTTTTATATTTGATTCCACCAAAAATTAGATGAAAGATGTTACAGGTAATTAAATTATCTATGATGATTTAAAATTATATGAGAATATGGTAGCATCACCTACTACATTCATTTTTCTTGAATAAACTGAAGATTTGAGTAAGATATTTTATCAAGAGACAATGCATACTTAACTTACCATTTCAAATCTCAAGATATAGAGTAAAATTACTAAGCTTGTGAAGATGCATACAAAAATTACTCAATTAGAATAAGAAATTCAAAGAAACATATCTATTCGACTTCAGAATAAAAATAAAATTAGACATTGTTTAAATATAGTTCATAACAACTATCCTCTTTACTCTTTTTGCTACACTAATTTATTTGAGCATTATGATTTTACTTATAAATATTTAAAATATAACATATAAATAATTGTAGTAAGGTAGTTAAATATCCCTTAACCACAGTTATATATAATTGAGGTTTTGAGTACACAGGATTAGATTGGTCAATATAAGAGTTAGGAATAATTTCCAAATTATTAATTAGGAGGTATTTTTGACATATTTGGTTGTTGATATTGATTTGAATCGTTTAATTTGAACCCATATTAATTTTAATCATTTTATCTATAAATCTATTAATTTTAGTCATTCTATTTATTTGGATATTGATTAAAATCTTATTGTTATTTATCGCCACTCTTATTTCTAGATCTAGCAGTATCCTATCTTATTTTCAATTCGAACTTCTGTTTGGTTATACAAGAATGGTAGGTACATATTCTCCATTCCTTCTTCTTTGTTAAGGAGGTAATCAAGTGTTAAAGAACCATCATAAGATCTGGGTTAGAAACAGTTGGGTAAATCTTATTATTCAATTCCATTTTGAGTAAGATTAAATTATAAAAGTAAAATATAAAAATCAGATGTTGGTCTCTATGGGCGATGAAAGAGACTATTAGGTGATGAATGACTTCAATTTTGGTACAATCTACTTTTGCATCATGGGACTAGAATTGTAATCGAAATATTCAAAGTATTCATGACTCAAGGCTTGTTCAATATTGATTTATTGATCCAAATCAGTCTGCAACAATCCTTACACAAGGGAATTACCATAATCAGGAATGGATATCTACTCTTTGTTAATGGAATTGTATTGATATCTAATTAAGTGATTAATTAATACAATTTGACCATCAAATGTCCTACCATTGTCAACATCAATGAGTTTTATAGAGCACTCTCTTCGTTTAATAATTCTGCGTGTTCAAAACCCACCAATTTACAATTCATATCCTTATCCATTACAATATTAGTTAAATTTATTTGGGCATGGAAGACATGATTCACTATCAACATTTTAACACAACATAATATATCCTAATATAAAATTGAATATACAAACATCATCGATTATATATCTTCATGACTCAAACTATGATAATGGATCCTCTTCATCTATTCGTAAATAAAATAATAGGAATTAGATGATTCATAGAAATCTATTATTTGAGCAACATTCTTGAAATCACCTAATTTACGCTGAATAACCAATTGCTCGTATATTTTATACTTCTCAACTTCTGCTTTTTTATAACACTTACAAAAATACTTTTTCCCATCCAATTTGTTTTTAAGCGAGCATATCTAAAATATGTAATTTACCAATTACTTTAGCAAAGTCTGCTTATTAAATTAATATAACATTATCATAAATTTCTCTTATTCCGATATATGTGGTTGAACAATCTAAATGCTTCTTGAGTTTAAGGAGATCTTCATTTTCAGCCTAAATTGTGAATTATTGAAAATGAATTGAAGTTAATTTGCTCTCTTAGCATTTCCATTTTAATTTTAATTTATAGGATATTTCTATTTCAAAACACTGAGTATTCAAAATTAGATTTATTTTATTGGTAGTATATTGTAAATGTGCTTTGTGTTAGTGATGATCTTATTGCTGAAATGAGATCAAGCATTAAAAAGCGTGTATTATTTCCATATCTATCATTAATTATTAAATGAATTCAAACAAAATTTATATTTATAAATGGTTTGGGATATTAATATAATTCTTAGATAATATTTTCATCTCAATTCGACTGGAAAGGAAATGATAAATTTTTAACTAATTATATATAAATTATTATTCCATCCTTCATAAAGTTTAAGCCAAATTCTAGTAACCCAATCCATGATTAAACACAAGAGTCTTCTGCAAAGACTTTTTCAGCATAGCTATTAATATAACTGATATTTACAATAATTGACATAAAACTATTATCGTTTTTATTTAACAAATTCGATAGCATCTTTTAAATCATATTAAAGAATCGAACTTAAATATAAAACTATAATTGAAGGGGCTCTCCCTATCCCAGCAGTGCAATGAACATACACGTACTCATGCTCATTGATTAATTTCTTGAGAATCTATACAGCCTTGTTGGATTTCTTCTCAAAATCTTCTGCATCCATATCAAAGATCTGATAATTCTTCATTACTATGTTCTATCTCTTATATGCATCCACTATCTACTCCCAATTAACTCCTCTATGGAACATGTCTAAACGAGTCTACAAATTGAGGACTGCCTTCACTTATTTTTATTTCAATAATAAAATGTCTTATTCATTTTGAGGATAAGGACCAATCAATATATTTTCATTTATTTCGTAAGTTTGAAATTAGACTACAAAATTCCAATCCAATTTATTCAACCTTCCAAATTCTTCATAGTAAAAGAAGGAAGGCTCCTTATCTGCAAATTAATATCCTTAATTATTAGGTTTGATCTTTTATTTTGGAATCTTAGTAGTTGAAAATGAGCCATTCTTGTATTATGGCTTTGTTTGAAATGCTGTGTAGATTTATGTTTTGACTTTAATTGGATGGAGTGCATATTGATCGAGTACCTATCGAAGAGAAGAGAGATCAGCAGTTTTAAGATAACGTCCATTCCCTCTTTCCCATATCATATTCCCAGATTCGTCGTTTCGAATCACATAATAATATCGGAAATAGAAATTAAGAGGGTTTACAATAAATGAAATGGACCATTGTTGAATAGGCTCTTATGTTACTATTTCAGAATTATGGATTGAGTAATACGTATATCAATCTTCTATTATTATTTCATTAACACAGGTGTTTTCCAAGAACCTATTTCTGGTATTGAACCTATAATCATCATCCGTTCTCCAAACTATAAATTGTGATTGAGCTTTAATTTGATTGTTCTATAACCCCAATACTCCTCTACAATAATCGAATGAACTATTACAATTAAAGTACTCCCCTTTCTTGCCATTCAATAATAAATGTTTCGTAATTATACGATTTTCTCCTGGTTCCCAAAATTCTTTTTCTCGAGATGGGTTATCATAATCATTTAAGAGGAATTTGTACTCAAATTTCTTACAAATTCTTGGAAGTTTTAGACAGGCAGTCCATTCATTATTCTTTTTGAACTTCAATACCATACCTCATTCCATTAGAGTCTTATTGCTTTAGTTGAATCCCAAATTCCCAACCTTTCATCGTCACCACATAAGTAAATTGCTTATCCATATGAAGTATTGTAATGAATTTTTAAATAGATTTTCACATCCCGAATATCTGAAAAAGAAATATTAGTGGATACTGAGTTCATGAATAATAATTAAAAAATTAATCAAGACATCCAAAATTATTTTCAAATTTAATTCAATGAGATGAGGATTTTTCAATTATTAATAGTATAAATCATTGAGTTATAAGGTGTTCTTTTTTTGTTGATAAGTATTCGACTATTTGCTTCGGGGATAATCTTTTCTCTGGATCCAAATTTAACATTTCTTTCAAGATAAATCGTGTCTAGTTATCAATCTTTAATCCTATTGATTATTACATTATTATCATACCAGAATAATTTTTATCAATATAACTATCTAAATTTTAAATAACTTCCATTTAACGATCAATTATTTTATCAAAAACTCTACCCTTAACAGCAAATAATCCATAATCAATTACTTCCTTTCCATTTTTGGTAACTATAGTTTTAAGACTCATCCAGAGGGGAATACCTGAGATTATCTCAAGTACCACACAACCAAGAGACCAAACATCAATCACCCAAGGTTTCTTGTAATTTCTTAAATACTTCATCAAACAAGGACGGTAATTCATTTGATTCTCATATAAGATATAGTTAAGTATTTCTGGACACATGTATCTAAAATAAGAAATATGAGTTACTCTGGTGTGGCCATTGAAAATTATTTTAAATCATCAAATGGAAAACTACTGCCATAATCAATCAATTTCACTTAAGTTAGTTCATGTAGATCGTTCTCATTCTTGATTTTCTTAACTAGAATGTTTTCGGTCTTAAGATCGGAATGCACGATTCTTTGATCTTACAAGAGATCAAGAGCCTATGCTAGTTCTCTTATCAGTTTTTTGAGTTCAGTCAAATCTTTTCGAAAAGTGTTGTAAAGAGGTTTATGAGTCAACTGAAATATAAATGAAGTGTATCTACCTTATACATGCGTTCGTTATTAATATTTTTTCCTTTGAGATCATAGAGTTGATTGCCCAAACTTTCTCCACATATTTCCTAAAATATCCAAGTGTCTTGAGGTTTTATGTCATAGGTGAGGAAACGTACTAGATTCTTAGAGCCAGGAAAACTTGTAAATTGCTATTTGGGCTGACCGTCTTGGAAGAAATGAATTCCAAACCAAATTTCCTTCATGTGAGATTGGTGAGTATTAGTAGAAAGGATTTATTTGATTGCAAACTTTTCTTTGGTTCTTTTGTGTTCTCCCAACCATACTAATGAAAATCCGCCTCTTCCAAGTAACTTCTTCTTTTCAAAGTGTTGGGGAAAGCGATCGCCAAATTATTGCCATTCCTCTTCTGACATATCCCACAAAATCTTAGGATGCACATTCTGAGTTTATTTGTTGTTAATTCTGTTTTGTGAATCCAAAGAGGCATAACGATCTTAGCTCTTTTGTTATGGTGTAGCATTGCTTAGAGAACGTTGTTTTGGGAGGATATTCTTTTCTTTCATCTTGGCCAGAACCATTCTTTGATAGGTCTCCAAATCTGAGTCGACTTCAGTTTTCTAGCTTTGCAAAATACTTTACAATAGGTTTAGCTTCAAAGCGTTGTGGCTTAAACTTCTTGCTTCCCTTACTTGTTCTAATTGTTAGCACAGAATCAAAGTCGAATTTGGTGAATTTTCTTGAAATGTTTGTCTTCGTATCAGTTTCTGTCAGGACTCTGCGACCTGGATCTTGAGATTATAGTCGAGGTCTTCTGTAGATTTACCTGTGATATGGGCTTTCATTAGTTAGTACTCTTTAATGCATTATAACAGTTTTTCTATATATATATGTATATAAATAAATGCAGGCAAGAGCACTACATAATTTTTAATATTAAATGCTTAGATCTATAAGATTAATAAAACGTGTTGCCAATTTCAGCAGGCTGGCCAATCCCCACGAAGTAAATCCCAAAATCCCTGACTGGTTCAAGTCAAGTGACTACATCGTATGGTTTTGATCTAAATTTAGGAATCACGCTTTATAGGATCTGAGCCTTAATAAGTGAAAGAGATGTTGAAAACAGTCGAAGCCAACACACTCGATGAGCTTGTGGACAAAATTATTCCCAAGGAGATTCGCAGTGAGGCAGCCTTTTAAAATCCAGACAATTTTCCTGATGCCATCCCTGAATCATCTATGGTCTAGCATCTCCAATCCTTAGCCAATAAGAACAAGTTATTCAAAAACTACATAGGCCAAGGCTATTATGGTACTCACACACCGTATGTCATCTTGAGAAATGTACTTGAAGACCCAGGATGGTATACATCCTATACTCCCTATTAAGCTGAGATTTCTCAGGGGAGACTTGAAGCTCTTCTCAATTACCAGACTGTAATCACTGAATTAACAGGTATGGATGTATCTAATGCCTCATTATTGGACGAAGCAACTGCTGCAGGAGAAGCAATGTTCTTGGCAAATTCTTGGTTTGAGAAGAAGAAATTCTTTGTAGACAACCATGTATTTCCATAAAGCATCGATTATATCAAGACTAAAGCTTATTATTTAGGAATTGATATCGTTGTTGGAGATGCCAAAACTTATGATTTCAAAGATGCCGATCAATATTGTGGAGTTTTGGTTCAATCACCAGATAATCTAGGAGATGTCCATGATTGGAGTGATCTTTTCAAGCACACCCTCAAAGATGCTAAACTCTTAAAAGTAATTGGAACAGACTTGTTGAGTTTAACTATCAATAAAACACCCAAAGATTAAGGAGCAAATGTTACATATGGAAATTCATAAAGATTCGGTGTACCTATGGGTTTTGGTGGACCACATGCTGCTTTTTTTGCAGTTGAAGACGAATTCAAAAGAAAAATGCCAGGACGTATTATTGGTATTTCCAAAGACACCAATGGAAAATCAGCCTATAGAATGTCATTGCAAACCAGAGAATAACATATCAGAAGAGAAAAGGCCACCTCCAATATCTGTACAGCATAAGCATTATTGGCTAATATGGCTGGCTTTTATGCAACTTACCATGGTCCTTAAGGATTACAAAAGATAGCCAATAGAGTCAATTGTCTGGCAAGAAGCTTTGCTAAATTAGCAAAAAGTTTGGGAATAGTTGTTAAAGAAGGAAGGATCTTTGATACCGTGGTGTTACACAACACAGAAACCTTGTAGGAGTATTTACATTATAATGCATAAGTCAATGTCAGGAAAGTTGGATAAGACACTATCTTTAGTTTTGATGAGACTCACACAATCTAAGATATTGAGGATTTGTTTAATCATCTTCAACATTACACAAAGAAAAAAGCAGATTTTATGTCAGTCATCCAAAAGGTGATTCCATACAAATCTGAAAGAGCATCTTTTATGTAATAGAAGGTGTTCAATTCATTACATAGTGAAACTGAAATGTTGAGATACATCAACTATTTAAGATAGAAGGATGTCTCATTAACTAAGTCTATGATTTCATTAGGTAGTTGTACAATGAAATTGAATCCAACTTCTTTCATGTTGCCTGTCTCATTTTAAGGATTCTCCCAATTGCATCCCTTTTCCCCTTTGTCTTGCACTTAAGGCTATTAAGAATTAACTGAAAATGTTGAAAAATGGTTATGCGATATTACACAAATGGAAGCTGTGTCCTTAATGCCTAACAGTGGTGCTTAAGGGGAATACTCAGGTTTATTATGCATCAGAAAATATCACATCATGAATGGACAAAAGGATAGAAACATATGTTTAATTCCAATATCTGCTCATGGTACTAATCCTGCTTCAGCTGTTCTTGCTGGATTAACTGTTGTACCAGTTAATGTGGTAGATGGTTATGTTGATTTGAATGATTTAAATAAGAAAATCAAAGAAAATGAAAAGTCTTTGGCATGCATTATGATTACATATCCATCAACTTATGGAGTCTATGAAGATCAAACAAAGAAGATTATTTAATTAATTCATGAGCATGGAGGTTTAGTTTATATGGATGGAGCCAATATGAATGCTTAGGTTGGATATACATCTCCTGGATATTTAGGAGCAGATGTTTGTCATTTGAATCTTCATAAGACATTCTCAATCCCACATGGTGGAGGTGGTCCTGGATTAGGTCCTATTGCTGTTAATAAGAAATTGGCACCATATCTTCCAGGCAGAGAGCATTCCTTAGGAAGTGTGGCTTCATCTTTATTTAGTTCTGCATCCATTCTCCCAATACCCTATAGTTATTTTGGACAACTAGGCAGACAAGGGGCAAAGAAATGCACAGCCATGGCTATGTTAAATGCCAACTACTTAATGAAGAGTTTAAAAAATGATTACAAAGTTCTATTTACTGGATAAAATGGAATGTGTGCTCATGAATTCATTATTGACATCAGACCTATCAAATAAGAAAGTGGAATCACTGAAGAAGACATTGCAAAAAGACTTATGGATTATGGATTCCATGCTCCTACTATGTCCTTCCCAGTCCCAGGAACACTTATGATTGAACCAACTGAAAGTGAATCTAAGTATATATCTATATTAATTATTAGGTCTGAATTAGATAGATTCATTGAGGCTATGAAGAATATTAAATTAGAAGTTGAGAAGGTCAAAAATGGATAATATGATAAGAATGATAATCCATTGAAAAATGCTCCTCATACATAAGATTAAGTGATCAATAGTGGTTGGAATCATAAATACACTAGAGAAGAAGCTGCCTTCCCATTGCCTTATGTTTTACAAAGAGGCAAGGTATGGCCTACCGTGAGCAGAATTAATAATGCTTTTGGAGATAGAAATCTTATATGTTAATGTCCATCTGTTTCAGATTACCAATAATGATAATATCTAAATTTGTTCAAAATTATTCGATTTCTGCTATTGGATTCGTATGTATGGCTTTCTTAAATGTTTTAATCTCATTCAATGGTTTGTAATTGTTATCCCCAGTCTCCTTTTCCATCAAATCAAGAGCCTCCCATCCAGAGATTACTTGATAAAATGCAGTATAGAGACCATTCAAGTGATTTTATTTCGAATAGGTAATGTAAAACTTTGATTGGTTGCTATCCTTTCCTGCGTTTGCCATTGAAACTATTTCTCTTCTATCATGTATTATTTCTGGAACAATTTCATCCTCAAAATATTTTCCATAAATACATTCCCCCCCCTTTACCTGTTCATAAAATACTAAATCCATTTTTTAAATTACCTGTAGGATCTCCACCTTAAATGATAAATCCTGGAATGTTTCTATGGAAAATTGTACTGTAAGTCACAATTTCTCTTATTCTTTTTTACTCATCTATTCTTTTTGAGTTTTTGTTTAACTTCAACATTATCTGCTTTTTTTACTTTATATGTTTTTCTTTTATTACAATGCAAGCTATAAATTCAGATTAATTCTTTATGATCTATGATATTTTTTCAGTTTAATCCATTTCTTCCAGGTCTCATTGATATTATTGATATGAGAGATTTATTTATATTAAAATATATAATCTTAATATTTAGAATATTATATAAACGTAGGTTTCTTATATGATTACCAAATTTTGACTAAATTTAGTTAAATCATTTAAATATTTGTGATTATCCTTCTTTACTTCTGCTTTATATAATTTCAGTAGAATATTTATGTTTAAGTTGATTATTTTTATATTGAAAAACCAAAGAATAATGAAAAATATAAAAGATTGATCAGAGTACTAAAGTTTCAGGTATTTTTAAACCTATACAATAATCATTTAAATATCTAAATTACAAGTATATATTATTAAAGAATATGAAATTAATTTCTATATAAATGCTATTAGATAATATTATAATAATTTTATTATTCTTGTTTAATTCTATCTCATTCAAATTTTGGCTTAATGACTCCTACATTGTTGTAATATTCGTCATGAATTTGTGATCTGTCTGTATAAGTATGAGCAAAAATAAATGCTGATCCAAAAACTAAGAATGAATATAACTTGAATCTTCTCCAATTTTGATTTTGTAAGTATCCTTATTTGAATACTGCCTTGTTCTTAGGTCTAATATATAAAATTAAAAATACTGATAATAGGTTGGAACTCCTGTACTTGTTTGTCTGTAAAAATAGGAAACGGGAATAAACTAATTTATATTATAATGTTTTTACATATAATAAACTGAATACCATGCCAGATGCAGCAAAATTGAGAATCCATTCGTATTTGAATGTGTTCAATTTATCAGCATAATCCATCTTTCTTTCTCTTAATGCTTCATTCATATAAAATTTATAGAGGGGTTGATCATAGAAGGACTTTTCAACTGTAGCGATGTATCTCTTTTCTTGATCTCTATTTGGAATAGGTGGAATCTAATCTTCAAATCCCATTTTTAATAATTTTATTAATAATATTTCAATAAACCAATCTGAAAATATCATTGTGTACGTATAATCCTCCTTAACCATTTGGAAGGATTTGAAAACTCTGAGAGAATTTAAATGTGTCTGAGTCATCCATTTGCAATGTACCTGTAACAAATAGGAAAAGAGAATTCTAAACTGCTCCTGGTTAAACATCCATGTCGTCTACTTTATATACAATCTTTTGGAATGCTAATGATTCTAATTTTTCATTGATTGCTTTTAATCCATTGTATTGTTCTCCGCCTAAAGATTGTAAATTAAATATATAATTACCATATGTCATAATTGATGCATCAGTGTAAAATTAAATCAAAGCCATTTTATTGGTCATCAATGTCTAATAGTATTATTGTAGAAATTGTTAGGCGATATTTTAGGCTGGATTCATAATAATAAATTATTTTTTTAATGATTTATGAATAGTTGTAATACCTATAAATTCCCTATAAATGAAGATATACTTCAATAATAAAGTTATTTCTGTAAATTAATAATATAGAAAATAAATAATCATTTGTTTGAATAATCACTCCATCCACTTAGAGTTAGGTTCTGTTTTTGTGATTCTATATGAGTTTATCTTTATTTAACTTTATTTTATTGAAGTATACTATTATAATATTGATTATTAGTTTATTGTCTGTTCGTTGTTTACGTGTGATTGTTTTAGGTTCTATTGCTTTTATATGAGAGATGAGGTAAAATCACATTAGTTAGAGTTTCTTACTTTAGCAATTTAAATTCTTCCAAATATTGACTCAATTGGAGATCATTATAACGAAAAGACGCTGGCTTTTGTTCAATGTAATTACTGTTGCTTACTTCTATAGCAGGGGTTTCAGTATTTTTTTTAATAGTTAATCTTGATGTCTAAGAGATTGGATTTACTAGCAATTATTTTTGTACGATCGGCTTAAGTTTACCTAAGCCTGAGTGCCTCTGAAAAAACATATTTTTGGACTTTAAATCTAAAACTGTTGAATTTCTGTTGAGAGGCTCTTTAGTTTTTTCGAGTTCCTAACAGACTGGCTTCTACAAGTTGCACTTTTTTAATTGATGCTTATTGATTGAAATGTTTTGAGCTCGTATTTATTAGGGATTATAATTTTACTAGATTTGATGTGAGGATGGTCTATGTATCCTATATGTAATCTGTTGATAGTATTAAGTTAATAGTCTTAGAGATGAATTTTTGGATTTTATTTTGCATTTTCTGTTCTTCTTTTTTGATAATGACTAAACAGATTCTTATCACAAAACTCCTCATCAACTAAAATGGACTAAAATATTAATAAGAATAAGCTTACTTAATCTCTATTATCCATTATTATTGATATTATATATAAATATAAATAATCAATAAATTTATAAAAGTATCAGTTGATGACATGGACCCTAAATCTTATCTCATTTACATCATATCACTAAATTAAAAGATATAGGAATTCTTAGATCAATATGACTGATTTTTAATCTGAATGATAAATAATAATGAAGAAATATTGGTAGTTAATCTTATAAAATGGATTGAAATTATTTTGAATATGTGACTTTAAACATTGGAGAAGTGAGGATAGACTGATAACCATAAAGGTTGCTTTTAAATATTAATATGAATAGAATTAGTGTAGTTTAAAATTAAATGGAAACCTGAAATACACATAAATCACATATATATACAATTATAAAATAGAGTAATCTTCAAAAGCTTTTGTTTTAAGTATTTAAATATTACTGTTTTGAAATTTATTATTAACCTCCTCTTTATAATCTTATAACAGTTGAGATATCTAATTATTTTAGAGCATAACTTCTTTGTTTTTTATCAGCATAAGCTCTCAAGATGAAATATTGTTTAGCATATTCTCCAGAATTAACATAGAGATGATATTCTATGAACTTCAAGAAAACTCTTTCCATTTCATTTATTTATACAGTTGAAAATTGAGGTAGTACCTTTGCAAAATTATTATTTTCAAAAGACTCATCATCCCATATTTTTGATGCCATGACCAATGCTGTAAATAAAATTTTCTGCCAATTCAAGCAATTAATTTCTAAGCCCTAATTATAAGTGAGCAATCTGTTAATGTAAATCATTGAGATGATTGCTACTTCCCTTTCCATTTTGGTAGTTGTCATTATGTTCTTACAATAATTTTGTATGATGTCAACATTAGGAATATAATTAGACATAGTTTTATCAACAAAAACTTTATTAAACAAAAGATAATCTTCTAAATTATAAGTGGTATCAACTGAAAAATATGATTTGGAAATTTAATCACTATTAAAATATCTAATTTAATATACTTATTATCCTAGTCTTAATCTTGGATGTATTCCTACTCGGTCTATAGTTTTGATTATTCACTTTGATCAAGTTTCTAAAACTATTCAGTGGCAACATCTTCGTTACCATAATATTGATCAGTACTTTCAGGCTCTATTATTGCTTCTTTTAAGTAATCTTAACAAATTGTATCATCTACCTTTGACATATTGACTGTCTGATCATTATTTTCTTCATCTCTACAATCCTCACTATATCTTCCTCTATCTAAACTATTATTGGATAATATTACCTCTAGATTCTATCTCCTGATATTGATCAGTCTCTTTAAAGATTGCTTGTTGAATTTCTTAGATTTCATTTTCGAGATATTTTTATTACTCTAAATCAACAATCAAAATCATTTTTTATAGAGTAATTCCTACACAATAGCTAATCTCTTCAATATCAATATTTATCAGGGTCGAAGCTAATTTTCCATTATCAAATGATTAATACATCAATTAAATCTGATCTTACTATAAATGAATTTCAGTTCCAATGCTATTTTTTGAATTGATTTATTATAGTTTCTTCAACAACTTATTATCTTTTTCAGTGCTTTACTTAATCACAGATTTCTTCTTTTTAGGTTATTTAATTTTGACGACAGCAGGATTAATTGTTTTTGATAATGGTTTTTGAATTTCTTTAGTTATTGATAATGAACTTCCATGAATGGTTTCTGAATTGAGAATTAATTATTATGATAAAGTATCATTAAATTAAGGACTTTTATCATTGTTACCATTATTAGAACGTTTCTCTAATTTAGGTAAAACTCTAGGTTTAATCACTCCTATATCTTGGAGAGGGGAGAAGTGTTTTAAAGATGAACGCCTATTAACAGGTTTCAGTATTTCAACATAGGTATCTCTAGTTTGTTCAAATTTTCCATGAGAATTTTATTATCCAGGCATAGTATTTCTGTTTTATTTGTTGTTAATTGGAGTTAAGGAGGATTGCCCATTATAATTGTGAGGATCATAATGATCGTTTAAATATTTAAACAAATCTAAAAATTTCTATTTATGTCCAGGTAGTAATTTAATCTCTTGCAATACCAGATTTTGTGATTCTATAGGTTATTGGGCTAATGTTTATAATCCTCCAATATAGCCTCTCAAGAATAATTTATTTGTGTATTATTATAAATTGTATTCAACTAACTATCTATTATTAATATATCCTTAACTTACTTGAACAACAAACTTTCCTTTAAATCGGTTAAATCAGATCTATAAGATGCATGGCTACTGAATTCTGTATCCCTATTTATTTGTTCTATTGTAATGTTTTCCAATAAATACTTTTCATTGCTTTTTTTTGGTTACTTGGCACTGTTGACTTTGCATTCTGGATTTTAGTAACATAGCTCTTCATACGAAAATCGTCATCCCATTTTTTCATTATATATATATTTATGAATATATAAAATAATAAACCATTATAATCAAAAAACCATCCTTCAAATAACAATATTGATCCCTCTATGGTTTTATGGAGGTACAATTACCCCTCTACATCTAGTTAATCATTAAATCAAGTATGAGATGGATGCATTGAAGATATCTTAAATAAATCAGTTGGAATTCCTTTCTTCTTTTTTTCAGAGTATTTACAACTTATAAAATTTACGATTTTAATTATAATAGCACATATATAAGATAAAATTCTCACTCTCATATAATATACCTATCACTTGATAATTATTACATGAACATTCAGACAAGGAGGTAAAATAATTCACATAATACTTTTAAGTTAATAATAATACTTAACAGTGTTATAAATGATTGAAAAATTCTTTGTTAGTTTAGTTTACATAATTAATTGATGAAGATATACCAACTGAAAAATGAACAAAACTAACAAATAATTATTATTTATAACGTATTATTAAATACATAAAATCATTAATTTTTATATTATAGAGATGAACAAAGGATTCATAACTAGATTATCATGTGAAACACTTAAACAACACATTATATTATAATTTTTGAGGATTGATTTTCGATTTGTTGTTAATTGAAATTGCTTAAATTCATATTTAATTGGTTTCAATCCAAAATAATGATTTGTATTGGATAATTAATGGTTATATTTGCTGTTGTTTTAATATCAGAAATAATATAATTTAGGAATATCTTTATTTGTAATGAGTATTTATAAATATATAAAAATTGATTGAAAAATAATTATGAGATCCACATAAAAACATGCGACTACGCATTCAGATAATCCATTCAAATTATCAGTTGGATAGATTATTGCTTAGAAATTCAAATTAATAGATAAGGTTGGATAAGGGAGTTTTGGTATGATATATAAGACGGAGAATTTGGAGACCGGAGATATATTTGCAACTAAATTCGAGAAGAGAGATGAGAATTCCAATGGAGTGAGTTTGTTAGTGAAAGAAATAAAGGTTTTGATAGAGGTCTAAGAATTTGAAGGTAATATTCTAATCGATAAAGGTTTTCCTTAGATCGTCTTTTATGGGAGGGATGAACATTACAATTACTTTATGCAAACCTACTTAGGATAGAATTTGGAACATCTTTTCAGGAAGAGTAATTATAAATTTAGCATGACGACCGTGTGTAGAATAGGAATGAGTTTGATTGATAGATTGAAATTATTGCATTCAAAGAACTTGATTCACAGAGATTTAAAGCCAGATAATGTGTGTATAGGTTATGAGGATGTAGACAAAATCTATTTAATTGATTTTGGATTGGCTAAGTATTATAGAGAGTAAAATGGGAATCATATACCATAGGTAGATAAAAAGGGAATAATAGGAACAGCCAGATATGCTAGTTTAACAGCTCATTTATGTATGATGTTATTTGTGTATGAAATTAAAGCTAAGGAATAATCGCGTAAGGATGATATCGAGAGTTTGGGATACGTATTAGTCTATTTAGCCAAAGGGAAATTACCATGGATGAATTTGAATACAACCACAAAGTCTGAGAAGTATTAGAAGATTAAGGAGTTTAAATAACAATTGACTTTGGAAAAGCTTTGCGAAGGATTGCCGAAAGTTTAACCTAATTATCATCATTTAAGTGTTTCTTGAATTTATTCATCTATGCCCGCGGACTTGACTTTTAGGGTGAACCTGATTATGAATTCCTGAAAGAACTGTTCTAGAAATAATTGCAATAGGAAACCTATTCATAATAAGGCTAGACTACATTGGAATACGAATGGGAGAGATTTCCAGAGATCAAGAAACGTAAATCTAGATTGTGGACGAATTAACAAAAATAAAAAATAGGTATTATTCCTAATATCTAGAAAAACCCGTTCAATTAGGGGTAGACTCTGATCCTCGAAAGAGTAGTGAGGATAAAGGTCAAGAACACAAAGGTAGTTCATTCTTGAATTTACCATTGAAGGACTAACCCCTTGATTCTTTGTCACCTGATATCAAAAATAAATAAAGCAGAGTATCAATAGATCTAATAATTTTTAGAATATCAGTTAGAATATTTCGAGTTTCGGAACTAGTCAGATTAATAATTATTAGATAAGCTAGATTGATAAATTCAAGAGATTCCCGACTGAAAGGAAGGACTAAAGAAATAATACAGTAGATCCTTAGAAAAAGGAGAGAGAAACAAGTCCAAATTAGAAGATCTTTATTAAATAAGCAACAACTAAAACAGAGAGAAAAATGGCATTTTTTGAAATTGATAATGATTATAGAGATTTTGATCATATTGATTAGATTGCCTGTGAAGAAGTTAAAATTGTGTTTTCCAACTTTATTCCCAATCTGGGACGCCGTAAATCTGCATTAGATCTCTGAAAATTATTATTATTTATAAATCAAATGCAATCAAATTACGCAGATTTATTTTTTTCACATTTCTAACTTGTGGCTAATTAATCTCAACAAGGCAGAAAAATCATTGAGGAAATTATAGAGAGTTTTGAAGAAAGAGTGAATATTGAAGAAAAATATGCAAAATCATTAGAAAAATTAGTGAACAATCTAACCAAAATTGAAGATAAGCAATAGTATTACATTATCACATATTATTAGAATGTTTAAAATCCCAATATATTGTCTAAAATGTCTGAGTACAAGTAGATAGCGTTAAGCAGAAGGATTATGTTAATCATTAAAAGAAGATCTTATTGTCCAATTGAAATAATTGATCTAATAATAAAATACTTCTTCAAAGAAATTGATAGAGGAAGCCAAAAAAATAGAAAAAGAGCATTTATTTCTCAATTCTGAACACAAAAGAGTAAAATATATAATAATATTTAGTATTTTTCAGATTACAAACAAAGAAAGAGAGAATATGAATAAAATGCAACCGTGATGGTTGTCTATAATCTTCTATCAGAATATCCAGATAAGAAGAGACTCAGTTAAAACTAAAAAGTCTCCTAAGTAACAAAGGAATCATAAGAAATGGAATAAAGATATAAACAATCAGTTGCCGATTACAATACCAATTGTGACACAGCTAAAACTAGAATCCAAACAATTCTGACTCAGATGTAAGAATAAGAAGAAAAAAGAATTACAGTCTTCAAAGACACTCTAATTAGATAAATTGTATATAAATCATATATAAATTAGATTTTTGAAGTCTCTCATTCTAAAAATGTGTAGTATGATTTAGACAAAATTAATGAGAAAACAGATGAGATACATCCTGAAGAAGAAGTTCAGAAATTCGCCTAAACTTAGAAATTGGAGAATCCTCCTCTTTTCGAAAAAACAGAATTGATTCAATTGAATTCCTTTATTAGCAACAGTTTACAAAAGTTCTTCTCTAAAGAATTTGATGAAATACTATAATTGAATAACGATCCAAAAGTTAAAGAAGTCATTTCACTAGTAGAATAGGGAGGGACTTTCTAATCAGAAGATCAGAAACTAGAAAATGCCTATTATGCATCCAAAATTGTATCTGACTGTTGGAAAGAAGAATTAGTTGACACAGAAATATTTAATTAATTTAAAAAAAAGATTTAAGAAGATTATCAATTGAGAAAGTTAGTAATCATTGCTTTGCAATATAAAAGATCAACTTCTAAATTTAGACTTGGACCTAATGGATTTTAAAATGCTGTTAACCTGTTTAACTCAGTATTAGAAATAGTATTCTATATCTTATTTATACTAGTGTTTGGATACTTTTGATGCTGGAACTTCAAGATAATTGATGAATTTATCATTCACATTCCATAAGGAAAATATTGAAAATGGTAAATTATAGAGTTATTTTATTTAAAATGACTTTTCTAAGCTTTAAGTTTGGGAAAATAGAGATTTGTGGGAAACTAGTATAATCTAATAAATTTATGAATAAATTAAAGAGTAATAATAAAGATAAAAGTCCTTGACGTATTATTAATTATCTATTTAATTAGTCTATTTGATTAGATTCAAACAGAAAAGAATATGATCTTAACTATCCTTACATAAATGGCACAAAATATGCTTCTATTTAATTTTAAGTTTGGAGCAATTAAAGACATTATGTATAAATTTATGGCCTTTTTTGAATTAAATGAAGAGATATCCTCTGATTTATTTGTAAAAATAACATATATCCTTAATAATAGAATGCAATTGAAGGTTTTGAGAAATAGAAACAGTTGAAGGATTAATAAGAAAAATAGATTCAACTTTAATAATAATAATAAGAATAGAACTAACCAGCAGATTAGGAATAGCAGTAGTAACCACCATAATAACCCTAATAATAATAAAATATGATGGGAAAAATAAGTTCATTTTTCTCGCAATTAAATAAGGATTGATTTTTAAATGTATAAATATGTATAAATATTATTTGAATCAAATTCCCTAAATTAAATTTTTTTATGACCTGTTTGTTTGATATTTAATTATAAAAATACTGTCTAAATAAATTTCTTGTGAGTAAGAATGTTTTACATTATATCTTATTGTTATGGATATTTATGTTAGTTTAGTATGTATATATATTAAGTAATTGAAATATATAAATAATTTAAGTAATTTAGATTGAAATCATGCGAGTTATATTTGATTTAATTAATTATATGCAATTATCAATAAAAGTCAATTTTATTATTATTCTATTCTTCATCCTCATGAGTAATTCGTATTTTCTATTTCTAGAGGTTGATTCTATTTAATTATTCAAACTTTTGTAAACTGTTCAAAGTTTGTTTTTCTTATTGATTCTTGAATTATTGAAGTATAAGCAAGATAAGTAAAAATAAGAATATACACAAGAGAATTTTTGATTGTAAAGACCAATGTGTTTGCAAGGGTATGATATTCAGGCTCAATTAAAAAGTATAATAACATTGTATTTTTGGATCAGCCTTTTCTCGTGACAAAAGCTCTTTGAATCGTTCGTCTACATTTTTTGAACTTCTGCATTTCTCCTCACTTCTGATGATCCCAAAGAACAAATGTTTCCTCAATTTATTTTCAACAGGAGCATTACATACCAAATTATAACTCTGACTTGTTGTATTATAAAAGTTAAGACTATTGTTGCTAACTTGAATTATTTGTGAATCTCTAATAAATATCTTATTTTCTGGATCTAAGAAATGTTATGCCTATCCCAAACCATTATTATGTCTGTATTTTTAATGGAAGTTCGTTTGTAAGGTTATCAAGTTAACTTACTCCTTATTAATAATAATAGCAATATCCTTATTGAGCAATCCAAATTTAATATCTTAAGAGTCTAGTTGTATTGTGCCCTCTGATTCCTATGTAATATTTACTACTTAATTTAATCCAAATTGAAAATTGAATTTGAACAAACTCAATTTTCCTCTCTATTCACTCAACAACTCCAGGACTGCCAAATAATCCTAATAGATATCAAAGAAATGACCACTTATATTAAATGAATATATATGAAGAGGTTCAAATGGATCATTAATATCATAAATTGATATTCCATCAGCTACTATAAACAAATTATCATCTTGCAACATCATTGATTTGCATCTAGTTCCATATTAATTTATGATAAAGTATTCATCATTGTAAGCAAATACTCCATTTTCTAAGCATAAATACACTATTTTTGTTGGCATGTGTTATTAACTAATTATACTTTGCCTTAATTTCTATGTAAAATCAACAGGTATATTATCATTTATTATTTTCATATTGACGGTATCAAAAATACTAATTACTTTTTCATTATAATGAATTATTTGTCCTTCTGAAGACAATACCAATGATTTTAAATTTTAGTATTGGAGATCCAATGTTTAATTTTTAGTTGTAAAGATTATTTATCCTTATCTAATGAAACATTCATCAAAACAAACTATATCTGAATCTAAAGAATTGCTGATGTTCATTTAAATTGTTTGAACTGGCTTAAGTCCTATGGCTTGATTAGACCAATAGCAATTCATATCTTCATCATTAATCATCCTATATGGAGGATCAGGGAAGTATAAATCAAGGGATCTAATTTGATTCACATCAAAAAATTGATGCTCAAATGTTTAATTTGGTTAAAGAGTGTGTTTTATGGATCCCAAATAATGACTATCTTTTCCTGCAGATATATATAAAATTATAAATAAAAACATTTAATTATCAAATATGTTATTCTCTATTCAAATATCCTTTAGTGAAAATAGAATGAATTGGTATGATTAATTATTTTAAAACTGTCAAATTAATCACATTATTTAATCTGAACTATTCCAAATGAAAATTGATTTTGATAATTCTTAACTAAAATCTCATCTATTTCTATTCTTATAAATACATCTAATATATATGTATAAATTCATATTTAAATAATATATCATTTCTTCAAAATTCTTAATATGTTCTATAATAAATCTTTAATCATTAGAAACAGTAGTATAAAATCAACTTATCATAGAAATTTAGTTATTCGACTAATATCTAATCTATTTGGAGTAAAATTACAGTAAAAAATTAATTAGACACTTAAGATTTCAATAACAATTATTATGAATTATTGGCCTATTATAAATAATAAAATATTTAATATTATGATGATTGGAATTTGTGTAATATTCCTATGTGCAATGGTAGCTTAGGCTAAGAAGTAGAAGGATTTTCTATTTGATGTAAAATAGGGTAAATCAATTCAAGTTGAATTGCCTGAGAAGTGGGATAAGGATTTCTTAATTATGTATGTTCGACCATTACAAGATGAAAAGAAGAGTGATTTGGGTGAGATTCAATTAAAAAGCAAAGAAGAGGACTTTAAATTGATGGAATTTTATGAGACTGCATTATTTACGATCAAATCTGAAGATATAAATTTAAAATGCATAAGTGCACCATGTGTTGGTAGGATTACAGTAATAAGCAATGACGCAATTGAATTGACTAGTAAGAGTACAGAGCTGATTTTGAATTAGAAACAGCCTGTTTAAGTGATTTCTATGCAACTACCTAGTAAATATAGTAGGATGGTGGGAGAATTTAAATTGGAAGATGATGAATCTGATAAAATAAAAATAGATGTATTTGAAGAGAAGGCTAGACTTTATGGAGATGAAGTTTAGTTAACAGTGGCAGTAAATAGGAAGGATTGCGAGAAATGCAAATTATTGGCTGTTTTGAGTGGAGATTTGAATCTTAAAGAGGAAGCAACAATAAATGGATAATTGTATTTGTATAAAGATGAAGAAGAAATTGAGATAAATTAAGAAGTATTTGATTATTTGTTTGAAAGAGATGAGAACACTTATTAATTGAAATTGCCTAAATAATTTAAAATTTTATAAATAGAAATATTTGGAGATATGTTACCATTATTGAAGGTTCACAAGAAGGATAATGAATATTTTAGTTCACGAGAACCAGTATAATTCTAATAGAGAGGTCAAGCATTTCATATCATTTTGAGAAGAGAGGATATTGAAGGGGATGAAGTCACTATCAATTTGAGTTAAGGGGGTTCGTTGAAATATCTAATGGTTGTTAAATTGATTGATGAACCAGTACTATACAATAATCAGTTGGTATTTTCTAAAATCTAAGACAAAGGTAAACACAATTATTAATTCAAAACTATTGAAAGTGAACAGGAAGTCGGAATTAAACTAGTTTATTTCGAAAAAGGTTCTAACTCTATAAGAATAGCAGAATGTTAAGATGGTTGTTAATTTAGTGACGAAGATAATCATAATTTGAGATTTGACAAACATGAATTGAAACCTGCAGTATTTGTTAGTCCACATTGTTAAAATAAAGATTAAGAAGGATTTTGTAGATTCTAATTAGAAGTAACAAGTGATAATAAGAATATCTATATGTTGACTACTTAAAATGATAATAACCAACGCATTCTTAAATCTGATGTTGCTTATACCAATTATTTGGAATAGTCATAAGAAGAGCATCTCATTCTTAAATATCAAAAATCAGACGATGATGAAGAATTGGTGTTCACAGTCAATACTCACAATATTGTCTATATGATAAGTAGAGACAGCAGTTGTTACCCTGTTCGAATTGAATGTGCAAAACATTTTGGAGGCGTGGATCATCTAGTTGTTCTTAGAGGTGATAAATTGAAACATACTCAATATTATATTACTCTAACAGCTAGAGAAACTACTATGTTTCAATTTATGGCCAAGGTGACTAAATAGGCAGAAATTAATATCAAAGTATTAAAGGAAGATGAAACTTACAGAGGAGTATTATAATTGACAAATGGGGAATCCAAAATTCATTACTTTAGAGTCATGATTAATTTTAATCAAGTGGATTCAAATGTAGAAGTTATTGATGAAGAATAGCCAACTATTGAATTTGCTATTCATTCTTCAAGAATGCAAGTAGCTTTGACCTTGAAAAAAGGCAATCAATTGCCATCTCTTCAATTATTCGATCTAATCACTACCAATAACTATTTGTCAATCTAACCTCAAGATTAATATTATTAGAACTCTGGTAATTATACTATTGGTATTCAGAATATGTTTGAAACATATTTAGATAAAGAAATCATGTACACCTTCACTTATTCAACAAGTAGAACTGTGAAAACACTCCACGCAGGTTAACAATTTGTTGATAGAGTAAAAGGATTGAAGTCTAAGTATTTCAGCTTCTACTACAGCAAAAATACTACCATATTTTACATTAGTTTATAAAGTAAAAGCAATAATAAATTAACTTTAACGGTGTAAAATGATGTTAAACCTGATAATTATTCTTAATTTGCAAAGAGTGAAGATTCAAGCACACTTAAATTAACAGAGTCAGCCTTAAATAGTTTGTGTTTGGATGGACTTTCATAAGATGACAAGGATGATAATTCTAATGTAATTGCCATTTGTCAAGCTTATTTAATAATTGAAAATCATGGTAATGAAGATATCTTATTCAATCTCAACGTTTGGAATCCTCAAACTGCTCTTGAACTTAAAGATGGATAAGAGTACACTTTTAATTTAGAATATCTATTTCAAGAAACATTCTTATATTACAAAGTAGTCTCCCCTTAACTTGATGTTTAATTACACATTAATTCACATTATGGGTACACAAGATATTAAATATACATCCTGGATTCTCAAGATTAGGAGTCTAATTCTCTTTATGCAAAAGAAGAATACAAAACCTAGCATTCTAAGAGTATTCATTCTAATGCGTTTAAATTCTGTGAACCTGATTGCGTGTTGAAAATATTATTAGAAGGTCAAGATGTATAATATCAGAATGATAGAAGAATTAATTTTGATGACACTGTTTTTGTCACTGTCACTCAACAGTATATGGACTTGAAGAGCGGACAAGCAATTTAAATTTCAGTTGATAAATTCAAGCCTAGAAAATTTATATTCTCAGAAATAAACGATATTTCTCCCTAGTCAAGATTCAAATTAATCTTACATGAAATTTATGGCAAAGGTTCGATCTGCTTAAATTTAAATGATGAAGAACATATTGATTCGGATAAATGTGAATATGAGGTCCAAGGCAATGTCTTAGAGTTGACTTAAGCACAACTACAAGAAAAACTAAATGCTTTAAATCTCACCAGTAATCCTTATATTACAATCTAAATCTATTCTATTGTAGATTATAGCAAGTTTTAATTATCATTGGAAATATCTAATGACAAGAATAACCATAAATTAATGATGGGAGTACCAACAAGGATTAAACTAGACATTCAAGAAGAAGTCTAATATCAATATTTTAACATCCAACACAATGATGATTTATACTTTAAATTCATCAAAGTTTAAGGCACTTCAATGATCTAAATATCTAGATGTTTAGACAATCTCAATAAGGAATGTGAAGAAGAGACAATTATTCAAGAATAATTTTTAGCGGGGCAATTCTACAATTAACATATCATCTATAAAAATGACAATAAGAAATATTGTGAATTGTGCACATATATCATCAAAATAAAGACTGTTGGAATCAATGTAGACTTATTGATAGTAGTAACTTCTTAATTAAATTTTGTTTAATTGCCATAGAATATTGCATTTACGGATTTCCTGGAAAACTAGACTGATTACAACATCTATCACTTCTCTTATAACACAGATCACTAAATAGAGGTGTAAATCAATCAATTTGCTGGTGATACATAGATGTGGATTGGATATAATGCTGTGCTGGACTCTTCTCTCTACCAATATGGACCATATAATCTAATTAAATAATAGAAATTAATGAATACTACTTCTTCCTCTATCTCTTACTATTAAGCTATCATCCCTCCAAGAGAACACTTAGAAGAAACTAACTATACTCCTTATGCAAATGGATCGCATACCTTGGCAGGTCATTATAATGATGATGACCTCTATATTATTGTTAAGAATAACTAATAGTCGGCATCGAATTATTCTGTTCTAGTAACCTAGTCTACAACTGGCAATGGTTAACTACTCTAGGATGGAATTATTACATTTGCTTATTTGAGTAGACAAACACCAGTTATTACTTTATATCATTAAAATTCTTATAGAAAATAACCGTAATTAGTGATTAAAATGGTTCCATATGGTGTGAGATTATAAGGTTCGGAGTATTTCAAAATAGAAGTATCTAATGAGACAGATCCTGTCAATTTCACTTTACTTACATCTATTTCTAGCAGGTATAATTAATAGACCTTCCTTTTACCAATGTTAGAAGGACTCTTAACTATAAAAATCCATAGTTTACTAGAGATAAAAGGAAATGAGAATATTAATGTCGAATATGCATTTAATCGTGAAGGAGACATTGTTCCGATTAGAAGGTAACCATTTAAAGAGTTGTACTATTTCGGTAACAACTATTTAAATCGAATTGATCTACAAATCAGCATTGTAAGCAAAGACGTGTTAATGATCGATGAGAAATCAAGTTAAAATGATTAAATCATGGATTCTCTAGAGAAGTTTTATGAATCATATATACCCTATGAAGGTAAGTTAGCAGTATAAGTGTATAATTGTTTAGGTGAGTTGAAAGTATCGATTACTCAAAATTATGATGAATTTATTAATAGAACTTATACTGCTAGTAAGACTACAATAGAAGGCCAATTAACTGATATTATTCTGCCAGTTAAACAAGGACCTGTTTTCTTTGAATTCTCATCTAATGAAAGTGTGTATAAGTTCACAACTCAGGTATATAAAACTCAAGATTTTGCTCCATATGGATAATTAGTAATTGGAGGAGATGGTTAAATAAATTACTCTTTTGAGACATATGATACAGATTTTATTACTGTGAAATTCAAACCATTGAAATGCATTGGCTGTGATCTCTCTTAAGAAATGAACAGTTTAATAAAATATTCAATTAGTTGGGGTAGTAATATTCAGTATGCTCATGTGATTGGACTTTGTCAATACAATTGGTATGCAAATTATCATTAAAATCACTCAGATAATTATGAACAGGCTGATATCGGCCTTTATGCTCTCAACCACTCTGATCAAATTGTAACTAATATTGTTGTTAGTAAATAATCAAGGCATCCTCAATTATTTATAGCTATTAGAGCTTAGGTTTTAGTTTTTAACAATCTAACCATTAATGATTATGAATTATATTACCATGTTGCGGAAATTGGGATGCCCAACGTCTCCTTATATTGGTACAAACATAGGTTCAATGAACTTATTATTGGAGCAGCAATATTTTTGATAGTAGTTATAACTTTGTAAAAATTCAATCCAATATTAGATCATGTGTTTTGTGTAAAATATATAGAAGAATAAGAAAGTTAAAGAAGGAGAATCTGAATTTACAATTAGAGAAAAAAATGGAGGAGGCCAAAGAGAAGGTGCAAATTTAGACTAAATATGAAACCCTAGAGGATGAAAATAATGATTAATCAAATGTATGAATGAGTGTATTATAAATAATTGATATTTACTTCCCATTATAGTTTATAAATTAAATTTACTAATGGTTGACTTAATCAATAAAATAGATTTCAAAAGAGAGATTACTACTTAGAATCAAAATTTACTATACCTCAAATATCTAAGCAATTAAGGTACTCATTAAACAATCAGAAATTATAGTAAATCTTGAATAAAATGAAAGAGAACCCAAAAGTAAAAGTCTTTAAATAACTACACGATTAATAATCAATCGAGAAGATTTTTGTATTTCTGTTGAGGATCTAAAAGTTGCAAACTTTAAGAATCATCCTAACTATATTCTGCATTTTTAGGTTTCATAAACATAAAATCAGTGATATTTTTATTGATGGTCGATCGTTGTACTCATCATTAATTGCATCCTCTCTATAAGGACTTCTTTCGCATTCATTCCACCAAATTTATAGCCTTAGACAACATAGCTGCTTATGTTACAGAAATCTAAGATGCCACATCAATTCTGAAAAATTTATTTTCAAAAGGATTCTATTTTCCATATGAGAAATGCGATGATATCGATAGAGAGGAATATATGTGGAACAGAGGACTATGCAAATAAATATATACACAATAAATCAAAAATTAGGATGTTTTGATAATTCAAGGATTTATGGATAGTTATTCAGTGTATTTGGAAGGCAAAAGAGTATAAGTAGCCTTAATAACCAAAAGATCTTTGAAAGCTCCAGGGACTAGATTGGCTTAAACGGGTGTGTAGAAAGATGGAAATGTGGCTAATTTTGTGGAAACAACATAGATAGTAGTTGTAGCCAATTTGAAATCTTAATTTAAATAAATTAGAGGGAGTGTTCCTGTATTTTGGAGAGAATCAGGAAATTTATTAATGAAGAAATTAGAATTGTACGGAACTGAATAAGAAAATCATATTGCATTTACAAATCATTTCAACAATTTAATTTTTGAAAAAAAACGAGAGAGTGTTAGCTGTGAACTTAATGAATTAAAATAAATAAGCAGAACATGATTTGATCTAGGCATATGAATTAGGAGTTCATCAATATTAACCTGATAAATTAAGATATATATATTATAATTTTGATGAAATTACATAAGATGTTGATTTCCATAGAATAAATTAGGTCATAATGAAAATCAGTAATTTTATTTAAAATATTTAATTTAATGCCTATGATTTATTAACAAATTAAAGAAAGTTGAAACAAAGAGGAATTGTTAGAACAAATTGTTTGAATTGCTTAGATAGAACAAATGTATATTAGTAGAGAGTTGGATTATTGATGTTAGAATATCAATTGAAATGATTTTAGTGAGCATTTAAGATAGAAAAGCATTCTCACTTTGTTAGGAAACTTTGCTTAAGAAAAAGTCTATATTGACAATGATTAATCTTGTTTACTAGATAGCAAGTTTAAAACAAGAATAAAACTAAAAATATCGATAATAAACATTGTTTGTTAGTTGAATTAGGAACTATCAATTTGTATTAATTAGTATAAAATGAATTGCATACATTTTCTGAATCCTAGCTGCTTCAAATATTATTAGATATGGCTTAATAAATCAAACTATACTAAAAATAAGGGTTATACTACATTGGGATTACTGGCAAAAGTGTTTGGTTCCACTATATAAATTAAAACCAATATCAAAACACATTTTATATTGCCACTTATATTCCAACCCCTTTTAATTAGTATCCTACAATAATTAAACCAGATTATATGGACCCACTGATCATTTAAAATATTGATTAATAGGAATAAGATTAGAAAAATAGGAGAAAATTGAAAATACAAATGATTTGATAACACAACACACTAACAATTTTACAGATGAATAGGTTTAATAAGCACAGATATGGATTCTAGCTAGAATAATTTATGTGGTTCTATATTACCCTTAGCCAAGTCAAACCAATAATATTGATATCATGTTACCAAATATAAATTAGATGATTGAAAAACAAAAGTTTGCGGCTCTAGCTCAATTACTAAAGAGAATGTTCAGGTAGGATTTGTAATCCCCAATTCTTGATATTGATTAATTGATTTAAGAGGTTTCAAAAATTAAACAGCTTTTAGGAAATCAACCGCCTATGTAAATTCATGATAAACCATTCAAACAAACATAATTTTAAGTGGATTTAGGTAAAAATTTTAGATGTTAAGATTATGGATTACAAGTTATTAGTTAATTGAAAAAATTATTATAAGATGCTGCGGTGGAATATAAAGTGTCATTGGTTTCAGATCATTTATTTTTTTTAATCTACTTAGGTAAATTTGAAGAAGCCTTTGAAACCATGCTTGAATTTTAAGAGTTGCTTGGTCAATGTAGTGAACCTGAAATCCCCAACATTAAGGAAATAATAATTGATACAAATGTATTGTTTTTAAGACTCTTTCAAGAAGTATGATTTTAATCTATGCATAGTTTAATAAATGAACTTTACGAATACATCATAAAAAATAATTTTGCTTTTAGATCCCCCTTTGAATTTGGTACATCCTCTTCAATCAATCTTGTATTTAATATGGAATCAGATTTCAGTAGAAGAGGAATTTTGACTTAATTATGCACTTAAATCTCTTGAATTTTATAAATAATCTAAAGTTTAACATGAATACCTGAAGATTCTGATTCACATCTAAACTATCAACATTAGAAGTCTTTGGAATACATTTAGAATGCTTTGACAAACATAAATGGAAAATCATTAGAGAAATAGAAATTAGAGATTGAATAAGCTAAAAAAGAATTAGAAAATATTAAAATTGAATTAGAATAGCAAGAACCTAAATAGGCAATTGAGTTGTAACTATTCTAATTAATAAGTAGTCATGAGAAAGCTATTAAATATGCAATGAAAATATAATATATTAATATGACACACATCCTATTGTAATACAGTGGAAATCTATGATGGCTTAATTAAATTAGTGGAATTTATTATATTTTTATATATAATATATTTAAAATTATAGTTATAAATGAATCCTAATCGTGAAGCAACCAGAAATCAATCGCATAGACCTAAAAAGTAATTTTATGAAATTACTATCATTTAGAAAGGACTCTCGCTCTCATGCAGAAACCTTTGAGAATCTGTAAGCAAGAATAAGAGATTTTTCTTATAATAGACTGTATAATGCAGTATCCAATCAACCTATTAGAAGTGATTCTACTAATAGCCAACTTCAACGCTAAGACCTCTAATAGATGTATTATACCAATTTATCTAAGCATTAAGCAAATACTCGATAATGGAACCAAATCATTTAGCAGTGGGTATAAATTAAAAGAATATCCTTATTCTCCAAGTATACAATCACCAAATCAATTGGTTTAATCTCCAAAATAGTTTGAATATAGCAATGAAAAGTAATCTAATCAGAAATCAGTTGACCCATTCAAATTTGAAACATTTGGATTACATTCAGATTAAAATAAGAAAAAAGAAGATTGTCTACAATCTGATGATTCTTATTCAAATGAAATTGCAAAATTAAAAAAATAATTGGAACCAATATCCAATGTTAGTAGAAATTAATTAACAGAATTAGTCAGAATAGCCTAAGCTACAATAAATGATAAAAAAAGAAGTATATTTTAATTCTATTATATAGTGTAACAAAACAATTAGAGATATTAGTGGTAAGTAGAGTCTGAAGATTCATATTAAGAATTTGATTCGAAAATCCTTGATTTACAACAAAAACTAAAAAAATCAAACGATTAATGTGCTTTATTAAAAATAGAAAATAAAAATCTTAACAACTCATTAAAAGATGCTGAATTATAACTCATAAATTTCCAAGAAAAGTAAAAGTAACAAGATAAGGAGTTTTCTTATTTGTAAAATTAAATACAAGAATATAATGATAATAATTCTAAATTAAGAAAATAAAATGATGAGTTGGAATATGAAATCAAAGTATAAGAACAATATATCAACACTCAAAAACAAAATAATTAGTTAAGTGACTTAAATTTTTAGAAAAAATTAAAAATCTTGAAATTGATAAATAAAATTTAAAGGATGACATTTCGAAATATTAAATCCAACTTACCAAAGAAAGAGAAGAATCATCATTAAAAGACGAAAAAATATTTGATTTAGAAAAAATAATAGAATCTTTAAAAGAATAGGTTTAAGACCATTCTACCTAATCAAACCAATATGTATAATAATTAAATTAATTGAGAAATTAAATAAATTATATATCTTAAGAAAAATAAGATTAATTTGACAACTTCTTAGAAATCAAATAAACTTTATTGAATCAAATTAATTAGCAAGAATAAGATTATTAATCTCAATTAGCATAATTAGATGTTTTAAAACAATAAGAATAATTTAAATAAGAAAATTAATCATTAAAAGATTAAATAAAAATAATTCACGAAGATTTAATTAAACTTAAGGAAGACAAAGAATAATTATAAATATAAAATGCAAATCTAACTTCTCAAGTAGGTTATTTATTGTAATAATCTGAAGAAAATCAAATTTTAATTAAAGAACTAGAAAGTGAAATTAAAAAACGCTAATTGCAATCTTAAGAATAAGAGATGCAAATTTAATACTATTAAGATCAAATAGAAAAATAACATTAATAAATTACAAACTTATAAGCTTCATTAAATCAATAGAAAAATACCATAGATTAATTTAATAATTAACGTATAATTTATCAACTTGAAATAGAAGAAGCAACCAACTTTAATAAATAATTGCAAAATCATTTAAAACAAAGTGAAGATTAGAATCTAATCTTAAATAAAGAAAAATAAGGTCTCATTTCAAACATAGATGAATTGAATAAAGCAAATGATTATCTTGAAAAATAAATAATCTCATATTATTCTGAAATAAATGAATTAAAAAACTAATTAAACTAATAGGAATAAGAATTTAAATAAATACAAGAGTAATAATAACAATAAGCTCAAAATGAAAAAGAATTTTTAAATGATTTAAGTTGTTAATTTGAAAGGGAAATTGAGAACCTAAAATAGGAACTAAATAAATATAAAATATTAATTGATAACTTAAATATATATATAGGACAACAAAAAAATGATATCTAATAATTAAATGAAAACTTGGAGAATAATTATGACAAAATTAATGAATTGAATAATTAATTAAATTATTAAAAGAATTAAAATTAATAATTCACTTAAAAAATTGAAACTCTAAATAAAGAAATTTAAAATCAACAGCAATTACTCACTAAACTAAAAGAAAAAGAAGATACTTTTAATTAAATCAATCATGAGTTTAACTTATTACAAGAGTAATACTAAAAAATTAATGATTTGTTCTTAGAATAGTAGAATAGTCTTTCATAAAATGAATACTCCTTAACCGAATAAAAAAAATAGACTTAATAACTTTAAGATGTTATAAAAGAACTGAAATAATTATTAATTGTTTCAAATGAATAAATCAATCAATTGCAAACTCAAATTGAAAATAAAGAAGAAATGTTAACATAAAAAAATGAATTAGTTGATTCAACAAAGTAAGAATTAATATAATAGAGGTAAGAAATTTTATAATTAGAGTGTAAATTAAAGAGAGCAAATGATCAAATACGATGACGCATGATAATCCTTTACATGATTTGGTATTCAATCGAATAAAACTTACATAAGATTTACATAAGTGTAGATTAGAAATAAATGAATATTTTAATTTAAATAAGTCTTTGATTTAAGATTTCGAAGATGTAAATAATAAATACCTGGACCAATAAACTTAAATTTAATAATAATTAGATTTAATAAAGGAGTGTAAAAACTAAATAGAGAACTTATAAAATGGAAATTAATAATTAAATCAATAAAAGCTCATTTCAGAGAATAGGAGATCAATCAAGCTAGCTAAAGGAATGAAATTCTACAAAAATAAATAAATGATCAACAATAATAAAGCTAAAAGGTATAAGATACTTTAGATAATTTATAAGGAGAAAAAGATGAGTTATAATGGAGATATAAGAATTTAGCTTAAGATTATTAAAATTTAAAGGAGAAATTTGCAGAATATGAATAAATTCTGTCGAAAATAGAACATGATTAACAAGATAATAAAATAATCTAGGATTAAATTAATTAATTAGTTAATCTCTAATCAATAAATTAAAAAGAGTAAGATCAATTTGAAGAAAAATCGAACGATGAATAATTAGATAAAAATGATGATGAATATCTAATTTTAACATAAACTGATGTAAATTAAGAAATTGGCCTTTTAAAAATTGAAATTTAAAAACTAAATGGCATAATCAAGGAACAATAAAGCGAGATTATTGCTTTAAAACATTATTAAAATTTCAATAATAACTAAATTATAATTGGATAAAGCAAACAGGTGGAATAAATTTGCGATAAAAATAATTTAGAACAATCAAATGAAAATTTATTAGACCTTAACGACCTGCTTGATTAACAGGTAATTGAGATCAAAGGTGAATCAATCATTGATAGAGCATTAGAATTACAAAATGGCAATTTTACAGCTAATGCTGAATACGTAAATTAGAATGAAGAACTACTTAAAACAATAGACAATTTAAGACAAAAAGTTAAACATCAAGAATAAGAAATTAATCAGTTAATCTTAGAAAATTAGGAATAATATTAAAAGATAGAAGATCTTGAAGTGATGTAAGAATCTTAAAAAAAAATTGAATTAGATTAAGATAACTGTATTACACTATAAAAGGAAAAGATTGAAAAGGAATAATAAAGAGTTATTGAACTAGAAAATGAATTGATCTAATTAAATTAATAAATTTAAGACAATACATAAGACTTTTAAGTTTAATCATAACAGATAGATGGCTTAAAAATGGAGAGAGAAAATTTATAATTTAAATTGAGAGATTCAATTAGTTAAAATTCTATTTATGAGAATGAAATTTCAAAATTAAAAGAACTAAATCAAGAATCTTTAGAGTAAAGAATAACAATTTAATAACAATATGAAAATAGAG